TATTATAAAAATACGAAAAACCCTTCTTTTGGCAGGAAATAGAATTCGCGCTAAGTTATTGCCAAAATATGCGATCGGAATTTTATAATCGTCTCGTTCGATTCTAAGCCTGTTACTTCTGGGGAGAATTTTTCCACTTCAAAAGAGAGAGTCTACCGATCACAGACTGTACGAATTCAAAACAGGAGAATCGAGACCCTGATTCAGAAAAATTATCATATTCGATAAGCAGGGCGGCTTCTGAAATGTTCTCCTTCGACCCCTTGCCTTTTAGCTGGGAGATGAGCCAAGGTAAACAGCTCCTTATTAGTAGCAGCGGCCTATTATGCATCACAAAATTTTATTTTTTTGATGGTGAATCACGTGGCCGCCCTTTGATCGGCGAATGGGGTTGTGTGGCTCGGGTCAATGTAACTTATTTTCACGGACTTTTTCGATGAATTCAAGCTGTTTTCAACTGTATATTTCGAAGAAAGAAGTCTTCTTAGATCAAAAATTCATCAATTTCAACCCAGATGGTCGTCATTTTCTTATTGCATTCGGCCGCTCTTGAAGCTACTAGAAAAAGTAGCTGTCCGCTGCTGAGAAAAGGAAACAGTCATCTTTAATTCATAAAGGAAAGACGGGTTGGTGAGAGTATCTTACGTGTTCAGCTATCGGCATGCTGCCGGTGACGTCAATCCGAGAATATTTTCATGCATCAAAGCTCTTTTTCACTGAGTCGACAAGCGCATTTTAAAATCCACTTTAGCTGTCAATGATTTCATTTTATTGAAATTAAAATGGCCTTTTTGGAACGTTTGATAATGTACAAATGCTTCAAAAATGAAGGAAAATGTTGACCTCGCCCCTTTTTCGACCAATCAAAATCTCTGTTTCGTTGACACGCCCTTTTTTCGGCCAATCAGAAATTCAGGGAAGGGGATAAAGTTTCGAATTTCAAGCAATAGAAGCTGAAATGTTTGGTGTAAAATATTCTTCCGAAGAAGCCGTGAAAAAGGATCAAACATTGATATATTGATATAAAACACCAAATATTTAATTTATCGCGACGCGGGAGTTCTTAATTTTTGAATGACTTTTTCCCTGTACCGATTAAAATATGTTTGGATGTTAAAATCGGTAGACTTTGGCGACCAGACGGGGTTGCGATGGAGCTAGAATTTGTTTTATAACGATATCAAATTCTAGCGATTCTGAGACACTCAAAAAAATGAAAGCATTTTTACGCAAGAGTTACTCTTTTGCGAAATTTCTTTGGCGTATTTTATCTAGAATATTCTAAAAAAATAGCGTTTGAGAGGCGGATGGAGCTATCACGTGGCCTCTGTATGGCCCGACTGACAGTAGATAAACCAATTGGCCATACAAGTTGTTAATTGACACTTGAGGAAAAGCTTGAAGTGAACTTTGTAGGCATCAAGCCAAGTTGCTATTTTCCGTACACTAAGCATATCTGTCTGTATTATATCATGTAATAAAGACTGATAGCAATAGTAATTTCCCCATTTTGCGACCAAAATCGACAGCTGTTGGAGCTGCTTCTTACCAAGAAGTCTGCCAAGACAATTGTCTGCCAGACTGAATTCAATTGAGAATTAGACAATTACGACTTTAATTGCAAAACCGTGGCTGCCAGACGCGAGAGAATTGCCAAAGAATTTTGAATTGCGCAAAATGGCGACCGCCCGTTTTTCTGGATGGAGCAAGATTTTTTAACGCCGGCTGCAACTCTTTTCGTAATTAACTCCTTTCCCTTTTGAAAGGGCTTAATTAAGGGGGTCACGTCGTTATTTCAAAATAAGGAAATAAATAAGCAAGAAAAAGGGAAAAAGCAGGGCGAAACTAGAATTGAAAGATTAAGGGTATCCATCCAATAAAAACTGCTATTTTAATTTTCTGAAATTTCTTAAGGGTTTCTTCAGTAAATAGCTTTTCAATGAATGGACAGTAAAAATGGCCCTAAATGGCCGGAAATCTAAGGAGACAGATACTATCATAAAACTGTCACAAAATCATAAAATCCTAAAAAGAAAAAACAGTGTTGCCAATTAATCAACTTGAATAATGATTAGGACAGTACCAAATGTTGCCAATAAAAGGCAATAAAAAGCTCAAATGGAGTACTTTCTCAGTTATTGGCACCAGCGTTATTGGGCGCTAGTTATTGCTAATAAGAATTTGAGAATTGGCGCGTTTAGTCAAGCTTCAGTTATTCACTTTTTTGGACATAAAATGCGGCTGACCCCGAAAGTTCAAGTCGTAACAGGTGAGAAGAAAGCTCTCGTAAATTTAGCAGTCGTCAACAATTGAAAATAAGGCATTAGCTGTCAATGGGCATCTCACACGTGACCGGGCAAATGGACTTTTGGAAACAGAAACAATGAAACGCTGATGATCTGGGGAGTTGGAAGTAACATTAATATTCGTAGAATGACCGAATGAATTATTCACTTGAGCCCAGCTTGGAAGCCTAGCTGTAAATATCACGTGGTTATTTATTCATAAGGGTGTCACACTACTAATGGACAACTTTTTTTATAAAAAATCGAGAAAAATTCGAGTAAAAAAAATTAAAGCCGCATTTTTCGATGCTTTTTTTATTAAATTTATTTCTTATTAAAAATTATTAAATATTTAAAATATAAAATTATTCTTTTTATAATAAATTTTTCAGGCTATTCTTTCAATTGAGCTAGGAAGACCGAATATGGTGGAGGAGAGGCTGTGGAATTGCACGAATTTGGTGGAGGGAGTAACCAGCGTGGCTGTTCAAGTAGCAAGGAGAGGTAGCGCCTCGTGGTTTTTTTCGTTTTTCCAAGCAGCGTCCGAGCGCCCTCTCACACGTTTCTAACTTTTCTAATGCTTCTCCGACGATTTTGTAACCTTTCTCATCCTTCGAACCTTTCTCGAAAATCATAGAAAATTCTTAGAAAAAAAATGGACCTACTTATAATTATGGTTAATTTTCAAGTCTAAAAATAGTAATAATCGCTTTTTATTATCAAAAAAATATTGATTTTTACGAAGAAAAAACGGTTATTAGTAATACTGTAAAAAATAGACATTTTCAATAAATAACCAACCGGTAAAAAAGGGACAAAAGGAACTCGCTCAATCGTTTGCTCATAATATTTTAGTACAAGCGTGTTTTTATATAGCGCGTAAAGATGTCTAATTTTAACGTCAAATTAAGGCGGCTTGGGTTTTAATGATGATGGAGTCTATTTTTGATGATTTTCGCAAGCATTTCCGTTATCGAATATAATAAAAAATATTGCGAAGCGGAAATGGAAAAATGAGTTTCAAAACTATCGTATTGGTTCCTTGGGGTTATAAATTATTGTGATAAAGAATAAGAAAGAATTCCGATGTGACAATGACTGTGTTTTTATTAAGGCTATCACACGTTGTTTTGAGTAATTTTCACGGCTGCTTGACTCCCTTGGATGTTGTGACCAAATTTGACCTATTTTGCGAAGAAAGAAAATCAGATCGACGATCAATGTCATAAATTCCCGTCTCCAGTCTACTTCCCTCCCAGTTCCACCCCTGTCACGTGATCGGGGGTTTCCCTTTCAACCAGAGTTGGTAAAAAAGTATACTTCACTCGCCCTTCAGAATGAAGTATACTTCATGAAGTATACTTCAGGGCGTTGCAGGGCGTTGAAGGGCGTGAAGTGTACTTCCGCCCTACCCTCTACTTCAACCGCCCTTCCGCCCTTCACTCTACTTCAACTTGGTTCTGTCGGCCATCAGAATCCATCCGCCAGAATTTTTTCAAATTTTGCGCTTATTGGCTCTCAGGCGCCATGATTTAAATCACGCTGATTGTGGCAGATGAACCGATAGCTGAAGTATACTTCAGGGCTTTGAAGGGCGCGTGAAGTACACTTCACCGCCCTTCAAGAATGAAGGGCGCCCTGCAGATTTTTGAAGGGCGAGGGGAAGTATACTTTTTTACCAACTCTGCTTTCAACACCGCTCTTTCAATCATTAGCAAAACAACCTTCAAAAGAACCAATTACAATTTTCGGAAGTACGACTATTTTCAATCGCCATCAATCGTTGTTTTTTATTTCTTCAAAAAATTTATGATTCAAAACTTTAAACGACCGTAACCGCCGTTTTTTCAACAAGGATAAGTTTTTGTTTTCACGATTTTTGAACGCTAATTTTTGTGTTAATAAAAGGGATTTTTCGCAGTCAAAACTTTCCAGTTATTCCGATTTGACCCAATTTTTTGATAAAAAAGCGGAAATTTTATCGATTTTTCGAGAAAAAAAATGTAAAAAAATTCGCGGAAAATGCATGTTTTTTTCAAAAATAAGGGGAAATGAAAATGATGGAAAAGCAGAAAATATGGGGAAAAATCGGTAAGAGAAAAAATAGAGCAAAAGTAACCCTGCGCGTAAAAAAAAGGTTGTTCATTCATCAGATCACGTAGCGCGTAAATTCCACTACACAACCTTTTTTCCCTTTTTCCTCGATTTTTCCTCGCTGATGATTCTTTCATCAGCTTCCTACTCCTTTGGTTGGGCCACTAGGTGCCAGTAGAGCAGTGTAGGTGATCTGATCAGTGGATATTGCAACATTTATTAACGCTGCGTGTCCTTGGTTAGGGAAGCCCGGGGCAGCCCCATTGCAATCCATTGCGCTGAGTCATTGCTCTAGAGATACGTTGCCGGACGTGATCGCAGGGAGGAGGATCGCTAGGCTCTGCCAATTCCATTCGTGGAGCTTGGGCGCCCCCTAGTGCGCCGCGGCGCCATCTTACTCGCCATATAAAAATCTCGCGCTGACGATTCAGCCGCTCAAAAATCATTTTAGGCTTTGCTACTACACGCAGCCCGATTTTTACCGTTACTGAAAAATAGAACGTTGAATACGTATTACGACTTTTTTCTCGAGAACAAACTCATAAACTCAAGCGAGATTTAAAAAAGAGAGATTCAAAAGAAGAAAACTTCAAGTCAAATCAAAGAAAACAGAAAAAAAACATGGGAGCTCCAGAATTTCATCCTTCTCCAGCACACAGTCCTTCCCTTTCTACAGGCAGCTGGTCCTCCATCGCTAGAAAAAACTCTCCATGTACCGGTAAGTCGTCATTTGAAAAACAAATCTCGAAAGAAATTTTATTGCATAACTAGTCTCTTAGACATGTTTTCAAATAAGCAGCTTTTTATGAATTTTCGAAATATGTTTTTAATTTTAAAATTTTCTTTTGAAATGGGTGACTGTAAGAAGCAGTCGTTAGAGTTGGTTGAGAGCGGGGTTCAATATTTTTGGCGCCCAGTCCGTTGCGGGCTTATCGACGTTTTCTGGCTCCTAGCCGTAGTAAGAGTAAGAGTCTCGTGGCGGCGGTGGCGCTGGTGAGCTCGCTCATGACTGGGCGCCAGTGGCGATTGGACCGCGGTTCAATGGCACCGCCCACGCGTTTTACCACTCACTACACTCACCTTCCAAGGGCAGGCACGTGCCAACCACACTCGGCTCTAGCGCGACGTCACGGTCGCCAACCCCGGGCGGCCCTAACTTGAGCTTTGAATTACTTAGTTACTCGCGGTATATTAACTCTGTCTCGAGCATTCAAAATTATCCTATCTCGAGCGCGAGCACACGGCCGTGAGCTCGCCCATCTAGAGAAAAAATGTCATTTCATTCTCTCTCTCTTGTCTGTGCGAGGGGCATTTATTGAAAGAAAGCTGGTCTGTTAGACAGTAAATAAAACAGTCCTGATCACCGCAAGCCTCTTTGGTCATTTTGGGGGGTGACCCGTCCCGATCCGACCGTGAAAAAGGGTGGTCGGCGCCGACCCTGGCCCTCAGCACAGACAAGAGAGAGAGAGAATGAACTGACATTTTTTTCTCTAGATGGGCGAGCTCATGGCCGTGTGCTCGCGCTCGAGATAGGGTTAAAAAATTCTGCCATTACAGTAGCGATTCTGAATAAAGAAAATCATCAGAAATTTCAACTTTTAACTCTTTCTTTTCAGAACTTCCATCCTGGCGACCCGAAAGCTCCCGCTGCGAATGCGGTCTTACTGTTCAACCCCCAACGCCCGAATTCAAGCCCTTGATGACACCCGCCGAGTTGGTGAGCTCGGAAGAGTTCATCCGATCCGTCCTCTACTACGCGCATCAGTTGGAATCGTTCCAACGCGCCCACTCGAACTTCGAGGAGCTGAAAGAATACTGGACGCCCGAGGTCTTCGGCAAAATGGTCAAGATCATCGATTTGGCCGGATGCACCAAGCTGGACAATGCACTTCGCGATTTCCACCAATCTATTCGAAACAATGGCCTCTGGAAGGTGAGAGCGCTAGTTTTAGATAATATTACATAAGCCAGCAAGCCAGTTGACTAATTGCCAAGAAAAGAAGCTTGCCCCGGGGAGAGACTGGACAGAATATCCAGTTAGCTCCAGATCGATAAATTAACACGTGCCAAGGACGTGACCCGGGCTGAATGCGAACTCACAATCCATTATGGATTTATGAGCTCTCCCAACCTGAGTAACTCGGGTGGAATTTCGCGCTCTCACGTGAGCCGCAAAATGGGAACAATAGAATAGAACACACAGATTCTCCCTCTAACTTTTGTAATGGAATTTCGAGAGTAGACTCCCTCCTATTCACTCAGGGCAAATATTAGCAGTATGATTTGGCTTCTTTCTTAGCCCCAAGAATCTTTAGTCATGCTCGCCCTGCGCGGGTGAATGGATTTTACGTCACTCAAAGGCCACTTTCCTTATTTAGCGAGGTCAATTTCAAAAGAGAGCGAGAGAGAGAGCGCTTTTTCGAAATTAGATGAACTGTCTAAAATTTTAAATCTTCCTTGATTTCGAAAAAAGATTAGATTTTAACGGATATTTTCAGAACTGGATTGAAGAGGTCGAGGATTACCCACGATTCGAGGAGCTTTTGTTGAACGAACTCGCCCAGGTCTTGGAAAACCTTTCGCCGAAGTACCTCAAGGACATCAAAATCGAGCACTTGTTGAAGATCTTCGATCCCAACTCGGGTGACCGCGCCAGCTGCATCCAGGGAAAGAAACGGAAGCTCAAGCGACAAGTGCAGAAGTGGATCGAAACGCAGCCCGACGAGGTCTTGGACGAGCACTGGGAGCAAGTCACCGCCCTCAAGTGGAAGCTGATGCAAGTTATCGACATCAAGGACAAGGAGATGGAGGAGCGCAACCGATTCAAGAGCCAGAGCCGGGACTGGCGCCGCAAGACCTCGCCACCACCCGGAAGCCGAGGCTTCTCCCCGTGGATTCAGCAGCGTCGGCTGGCCCGCTATCAAGGACGCCTTCGACACCTGTGGCGGAATGGACAAAGGCAGCTTCAGGGGCGCCTAAGAAGGGAGTGATCGCCTTCCTCACTCTAGCATTACCCCTGCCACCCGCCGCTGACACCCACCTGCCCATTCTCCAGTCCGTAGCCACCGCCGAAATGGAAAATAAAGCGCCAGGTCGAGGACGACAATGAATCCGCTGGAGACTCCAGCCACTCAAGAGCCTCCTCCCTGGCCCCCTCTCTCTCGACGTCACGTGAGCCGCGAACAGTAACTGGAAAACCGCGAAAAAAATAGCTAAAGACTTGCGCTGTTACTATTATATTATTATATGCCCACGTGCTTAGTACTGAGACTGATAATCTGCTCGAAGGCCAGTTATTTATCAACACTACAATCCTATTTACTATTTTTACTATATCAGTATTCCTTTCTTTTTTTCGTATTTTTTGAACCTATTTTGTAATCGGTATCATTGAAACAATTCCAATTGCAAAAGTCGTTTATTTAAAATTATCTTAAATCTAAAATCAAAAAACTCCTCCACCAAAAGAAGCTCCTCCACCAGAAACGCGCTCGAAAAAATATTGCTCCAATCAGATTTTCGTAGTTTTCGTGTAATCCGCCTTTAGATGTAGTAAATCTGCAAATCGCGCGAGCCTGGAGGAGGACTCTTCTCGGAGGAGGCGCAAAATTTTGCATGTCAACATATCATACTTTTACTTTCTTTTTTTGTCATTTCTCAATTTCGAATTTATTTCGCATTTTTTTCATTTTATTTAATTGAAAATTGAAACACTATTTTACAACTTGCGCCATCTTATATAGTTCAATAATTTCCATTTGTGTTCATCAGTGCCGTTTGTGCCCGCCTCAACCCTTTTTTTTTGCTTATTTTCGTCTTGAGGGGGTGCACAATCGCGAAATCCAAAACCTCTTTTTCTTTTCTTTCCCTGGTCTAGGGAAAAAAAGACTACCACTAGAATATCGTTAATCCCTCTTTTTCGACCCTCGAAATGGGCAATTTTCGTCCGAAAAGTTTCATCCTTTCACTTTTTATTATATTTCCTTTATCTCCTTCCTCTCACTTAATATTATAAAGCGGTATATTAAAAATATACCCATATGTTTCACCCTCCTTTTGACTGTTAAAATGACCAAATCATGGCCAAAGTTTTGACCAAAAAAAATAAGTTATTTACTTATAATTTGTTTCTTTCAAGACAAATTTCAACAGTTTCCACTATAATTACTACTATTATTATTATTATTTTAAATCGTTTTTCTTGTGCGCCATGAAAAACGAAACCCTCTTTTTGCTTACGGAAAATATACTGTGTATTCCCTTTAGATTACTTTTTACTTTATCCGAAAAAAATGTTACGCGCTTACCTGTTCTTAAAACTGTTCTTTTTAAAATGAAAGAATAAATAAAATGAACTGGACAAAAATCACTTAAAAAGTTGTCGATTCTTGTTTTTGCAGCATGAACTTTACAAGATTATTTTTTGCGGGAGATTTTGATCCCAAGAAACTCAGAAAGGCAGGAAGCAGACGAGTCAACAAAATATCACAAGAGCATGAGAAAGGGTAAAAGTTCATTCACTTCAGATTACGTGAGGCTACCAGTTCGCAAACATTACTCTTTATGAACTAACAGACCCTTGGAATGGGATTTCTTTCCGCAACTGGGTATTTTTCGAATTCGTTAAGGGTGTCAACATCGATTTTCGCAAACTTCTGGCAACGGTTTTTTATGTTGACACCCTTAAAGCAGAGATTCTGTAATAAAAGATTCTGTTAAGTATAGTCAGAAAAAAACATCTACAGGATCTTCTATTTTTAGCAAAAGAAAACATCAATTCTAGTCTGTAAAATCTGCAAAGAACAAGAAAGAATACGCATTTAATTGTATTTTGGAAATAGCAGCAAGAATCGTATCTTTGACGTCAAAAATTTAAGGAGGGGGTCGACGAGAATCGGGATTTCCGTGACCAAAAATGCGGGAAAACCTGATAAGATAGGCAAAATCTGATTTTACTGGTGGATAGAAAAGGGTTGTAAAAATCAGGCGGCGAAAACTAAAAAAAAATTTTGCCAGAAAAAATCGGTCAAAAATCCCGTCGAAGTAGGGCCATTTTCGCGAAAATGCACCAAAAATGGTCAATTTTTTACTATTTTGTTCATTTCGAGTCGAACGCACACGCGTGTTTTTGAACTCTGATTTCGACCCCTAAATTTAATTTTCATCAAATGATTTTAGGCTCAACAGATTCGGGAGAATCTGAAGATTCCAAAATATAAGATTCATATCCTGACTATGTGTATAAGCGAAATTACGATCACCCCTGAAAAATTCTCGTCGACCCCCCTTTAAAGCCTTCAGAATTCGACATGATTTTTACTAGAAGCAACAGGAATTGACGATAAAGAAAATAGATCAAATTGACATTTATGAGCCACTATTGAAGGTCAAAAACTTACGCGAAGATGCTCTAACATTACTTTGCTGAAGTTGTGTGTTGCGCTGACGTGGATTCCGGATTTGAAAAATATTGATGCAATAATATAGATAAAGTATCGCGTCGTGAGTTAAGTTGAAATGGGTTTAGTTCTTTGTGACAAAAAGTGCTTCCCAAGACTTGTCGCGGATAGTCGCATCGTTGTCAAATCGCATGATTCCGGATCTGCCCCTGTTTTCATCTCAAATAAGGCTGCCGCCTGGGCACGGCTGGCGTCGTTTTCTAGAGCGAGGCACGTGACCACGTCCCACTATCAACCTTGCTTCATCCCGGGCTGACCGCAAAAATCTCAAAATGATAACTCAAGTCCCCGCTTATCAATTTTTCGCCCGGATAGCCCAGGCGGCACCGACTATCATTTCATTACTCTCATAGCAATTTTGACATAACGAAAGAAAGGCCAAACGAAGAGAAGTTTAGAAAAAGTGCAAGCTTGCTGTTGACTCAACCTGGGACGTTGATTAAGAAACCGCCACCATGACCGGGCAGTCGACGCCACAGCATTCATTGCATAATCTAGCGTGACCTATTCGCCGTTGTCAGACGAAACGAAATGCAATTAATTCGGCAATTCACGCATATGGCCTAAAAGTTTACATGACATTTCCTTCCAAATCCAAAAATGGATAATGGGAGCATGAGTAGCTACTGTAGTAAGGGGTTATCATTCGAGCTGCCCCTAACCCTGAAACAGGGGGTCACGCCAACCCCCTCCCCCTGAGACCCCCACCTTATGCCTAAACCAGGGGCTTCGCCCCGGACCCCACTTCCTAACCCTAACCCCTAGCCTAGATTCTAGAGATATTCGATGGCTCGAATCATAGGCTCGAATGATAACCCCTCTCTACGCGTAGTTACTGTTACCCCCTATTCCTTTGTCAGAAAGTGCGCGAATTTTCTCCTAGACAACGAGAACTGCCTTGATGACTGATTTACGATTTACGAACATTCCTACCTCTCCCCGGCAATTTTCCTAAATGCCACTGCCGACAAGACAGACTCAGAAATACTCAGAACCGGAATGGCAAAAGGTGAAAGTCAGACAGGAACGGAAAAACGTATCTTTCCCATGAAAATTCAACGAGTTCTCAACCCGAAGTCGTTTCTTTTTTTTCTGTTACAAAAGGCGGTCTATGCAAAATCTATGTTTTGGCAGCAAACTTGGCAATAACGCCAGACTTCGTTTTACCGGCAAAAAGGGAAAAGAACCGCGGTGAACTTTTTCCCAGACGGTTTTTTGTTTAACATTAGAGAACTGACCGATGACGACAAGTATGAACTTATTTGAGATCTCAATTTTAGTTGAAAACGAGTTTTGATAGTTAGTAAAGATCTCTAATGGAAAGCCGCGTAGCGGCTTTTTTAACAATCAAGCCGCGAAGCGGCTTCAGCAGAGTTTGAAAATAGATTGAAAAGGTAATTTTGCGAAGCCGTCTCGCGGCTTCGTTTTTGAAAAAGCCGCTACGCGGCTTTTCATCAAAGTTTTTTTCAGAAAATAACTCAGGTTTTCTACACAGGCTCGCGAGCCCAGTTTCGCATCGCTAATCAGAGGTCAAAATATTTAGTTGCCAGGGTAAATAAAATCAACGTTTTCCTACGTTCATTAAACTTAGGCAAAATTCGATCTACAGGGAAAGCGGATTTCCTTGGCAACGGCCTTGTAGGTCTTCCTTGTTCCGAGTTACATAACTGTACTGTTAGAACTGACTATAAACTTTCATCGGGCGATAAAGCGCATAATTTTGATGCGAAGGTCACTTTGACGCATTTACTCTTTTTTACTTGAAAGCAAATGTTTTATTATCGCCGCGGAATTTCAAAATTCCAAAAAAGAAAGCAGCTTCAAATTCTTGTGTTATTTATCGATGAACCTTGATGGCTTTTAAACCCAAAATCAGCAAAGCACCGGTAGTAGCCCGCGTTGATTTTGGCGGGAAACGAGCACGCGCACCTGCATGTTTCGGCGAGATTTTACTCTCAATAATTGTCAGTCACTTTTGCCGAGAATTTTTAATCGTGAGAGAATCAAGCTGACCACCTAATACAGTGCGAATTCGTGTGAAAAAATACTCAAATTACAGTTCTAAAATTAGGTCAACAAAGAAACCTGCGTCGAAAACCTGAGTCAGGATCTGGAAGAACTTTCACAAAAAGCCGCACAGCCAGAAATTCTGGCCCAGAATTAAAATAGATACAAATGGTAATTCTGCGCGGCTTTTCTTTTGAGCTTTTTCAGACCCTGACTCAGGTTTTCGACAAAGATTTTGTAAATAAACACAATATCAGATGGATTTTTGACGTCATTAGTGGTTTTATTTACGAATTTAACGCATCTGTGACTTTTTAACAGCGCATCAGGATTTACGAAATGGTTCCTGGAAAATGGCGCAAGTTCAGTCCGAGTTCACAGCGCGGGGGTTTTTCTAAACTTGACTGCCGATGTCCCCCGCGCGGATTTTGTTTTGACACTTTTTCGAGATTATTGAGCCGGTAATTTATTCGCGATTATACGGTCTTATAGAGTGCACAAACAGTCCTGTCCAGCTAAAAATTGATGATGGAAGATGTGCGAAGTTTCACGTGAGGCCGAGAACTGATGAAATTATGATTGGCGTACGGCCGATAATCCGCGCTCTGTTTTTTCAGAGCTGAACTCAGAAATCTGCAATTTCAAGTTTGCACTTTTGTGGCACTTTTTTTTTTGAATTGACGCTGGGTTTATTTTGCGAGAAATGAGCATTTCACGGGTTGACCTTTTTCGCGCCAACCGCTGACCGGACGTTGGGATGAATATCGCTCCTTCGAATGAAGCAAATCGGCGCCTCTGCCAAAGATCAAATTATGAATACAGCATTTTGTTTTCTAAAAACATCATTGCCGGCGCCTAGGAGTTCGTTGCTTGTTCTGAATAATCAACTTCCAATTTGGGAAAATGAAGAAGTCAGGTTTTTAAACGGAAGTACCCACCCTGGCGCATCATATTTTATATTTCTTTTTGGCGAATAAATTGATATACTGGCGATTTAACATCAATATTCGCAGTTTTTTAAAACCGATAAAGCTGCGAACAGGAATTGTCCTTTCTACTGAAACGGTAACCCCGATTTCGGTCGTTGAAATCAAGGAGGAGAACGAGCTCTGAGTTCTATTGAAAAAATGCCGCTTTGCATTCTTGATGACATTCAAAAACGCAACGAAAACGGAGAGTCAACTGTCGACGTGTCAGACAAGAAGTCGTCAGAAACCGCTTCTACCCGTATCTCAGAATATTTTTCATCTCCAAGAGAACACTACTAGCTATGGTTATCGAGGAGGAGAACGAACGGTTGGATGATTCAATTTTCCTAACGAAAATCCAGGTATTTTTTACAAAAATATTGGTTGAATCTTATTGAATACAAGTGTCTCGATTGCGACTGTATTGGCGTTTTGAGACAAAAAGGGAAGAATGTTTATTTATTGCCTGAGGAAGTTTTGACGATTCGAAGCATTCATACTCAAGAGTACGACATAAAAAGATTTGAGAAAAACAGAACATGGAAGAAAAAGGTGACCGAAAAAATGAGCCTGGCAAAGCATGGAAACGCGACAGATACTCAACTTAAAGTTTATCTTACGCTTGGCTCTGTTTTCTGGATTACCGTCATGCTCATAGGTATTTTGACCATAGTTCTAGTGAAAACTTCATATTTCTAGCAAATTTTCTTTCATTGGAGAAATCCCGCGGTGTAACAACCTTTCTGACTTCGACTTGCCACCGTAATTACAAAAAATGCGTTCGAATCGCAACGATGGACTACTGCGGCCATTTGATGAAGCAATGTTATGAAACTCAAAAATTCATCCTTCCTGAAGCTGTTTCAAAGATGGAGCCTACCAAAGCGGCGCCGCTTGTTTTTTCTGAAGAAGAAAATGAAGTGAATCTCCGCCGATGTCAGAAGAAACAGTTTTATGACCAAAAAATCTGCCGACCTCTTTGTTCCAAAACTCTCATTTTGAAATCAACAAGAAATAGCGCAATCCCGCCCTGCGAATTGATGTGTTTCGAACTGACAAGATCTTCTGACGCAGCCGGAGAAATTTGCCCTTTTCAGAAATACTGTCAAAAGGGATGTCCTTGTCCTTATTACGAGAGTGAAAAAATGGAGACGCGTCAGAAATGGGAAAACCTGAAATTGTCAACAAGGCCATCGAGGCCATCAAGACCATTTTAGAAATCAACAAAAGTCCCCATAACCTGAATTTTCGCCAAAAAGTTTCGCCAAAAAGTTCACTTCTATTGTTTGAATTAGTCCGACTTGAGAAAATGGAGTCGAAAAACGACGTCGATGGGCGGTCTCGAAGAGCAACTTCGCGGATCAATTTCGGCTGATGGCGGCTTTGTTCGTCGAAAGACTCCTTCAGTAATCATATTGTTAAATCAGGGGTGAACTGATGATCTGTACCTTTGTGTAGCAAAAATGTTGGATTTCGAAGAGGCTCATTAGATAATTGCCGCGGCCGTTGTTGATGAAACTCATGGTCGAGAGGATTCTTTGATTCACGCGCCGAACGTATGAAACATTGAGGAGTAGTTTCAGGCTGAATTATTTGTTACCTTTTTGCAAAAACGGGTGGACATCAGTAAACCGGACTTTCAGTTATTTTAGAAACCTGTATGGAAAACCTTAGTCAGGGTTATCTGAGTCGATTTCAGACCATGACTCAGGTTTTTGACACAGATCGTGGAGCTTATTGAAACTTGGTTCGGATTCGGACAGAGGATTCGATGTTGATGGAAAAGTCATCAAGCCAAAAGGGGAGCATTTTAAGGGTATCCCTTCTGTAAAAAAAATCTCAGGAGGAAAGCAGATACACTGACGAACACAGGCGGTAAGGCAATAACTCCGACCACGATCCTGTCTACCCTAATCAACCCGTGAACAACAACTCTCAAGCTTCAACTTTCCGATCAAGATCAAATGTAATCGCAAACAGTTTTCTCCATGCCAGCTGAAATTAAAAATAAAACCAAGGCTCTTGCTTCTTTTTTCATTTTTGAAGTTCAAATATCAATGTTTATAAAATAATTTTTTTTTTGACGAAAAAACAAGAGCCGGCAAAAAGTCTCATTCGGTCGTCTTTTGATTTGTTTTTATGTCCTCGATCATTCTTGTCATATAGTCTATATGTTATATGATATAGAGTCGCTGATGACCATTTGAGTCGATTCCGAACATAAATCCGAGCATCGCCGATTTCTCTCATTCTCATCAAATTTCCAATTGCATCAACCAAGTAATGCTCGGCATTCAAAAAAGTTGTTCAAGTTGACTCTTGCGTTTTGAGTGATTGATTTTTTAACTTTGTCAATAACAAATTTTGTTATTATCAATATTTATCAATGGGAAATTTAAAAACTTATTTGCAAAATCGTTCATAAGAATACAAAAAGCCGTTAGCATGGGTATTCGTTGCTCGAATTTGCCCGCCCTGCTCAATCGCATCACCGAAAGAGCAGAAGTAATCCGTCAGATTTGGATCTTTGCTTTCGCCATGACGTCAATGCCAAGCCAGAGTCAAATAATTCCAGCCAGAGTTCTCTTGCTCAATAACACCGACTAGGGGAGCTCTTCCGAGGAATAAAAAGACTACAAGCGGCAGGAGTTGATTTTGTTCACTTTCAGAGTCGACTTTAATTCGATTTTCGAAATGAAATCGAGAATCGTGGAAGAGATTCGCCCCGTAGAAGAGACGCCTCCGCCGAAAATTAAAAAGCCGAAAGGTCGGCAGAAAAAGAAAACTGTTGAAGAGGAAATTCGACCGATGAGCAATGATTTGCCACGAAAGCGGCAAAAAAAGGACCAAACGAAGAGCGAAAATGACCCTTTACCAGCCGAGGCTAAAAGGTCCAAAAGTCGTATTCCCGTAAGGATCCAAAAAAATCCGATAAAGGAGACTACCGCCCAAAAAGGCCCGAAATCGAACGAGTTGGCAAATGTGAGATGCCTTGAATGCCACGCTGTCGGAACAGTGATGAAAACGATCCACGGAATCGTCCTTTTTCCGAATAAAGTTAAGAAAACTCTGCTCGAGCTGGGTGGAGGCATTTTGATGCCGAATATAAAGAAAGTGAAGCCGACTGTCAAGATAGCCAATAAGAAGGCGAAGAAATTCGTGGAGGGGTTCAATCAACTTGAAGACAACAAAGAGGACGAAGAAAACGACGGATTATTTCAGAGATCGGTTAAAAGGGTCCAAAACTTCAGGGCACGATTCGCCAGTGGGGTCAAAAATGCAAAGGGCGAGAAAAAATTTGAGCTTGTGAAGATGATTGAGCGAGAAAAGACGAAGACGCCGGCAAAGGACGTTCCTGAACGATTCACGGGCTTCTTTTCCGACGAGTTTGAAAAAGACAACTTCTGGAAATCGAAAAAACGCTTTTCGCTCCAGTAAGTACTGGTTAACATGAAAATTTTGGAGGCAGTAGTATTTAACGATCGGATATATGGTCACAGGGTGAAACTTCGTAGAGAGGGGCTATCATTCGAGCATATGATTTGAGCCATCCAATACCTCTAGAATCTGGGCTATTGATGAGGGTAAGGGACTGGGAACTCTTTCCAGGGGGAGGGTCCGGGGGCGAAGCCGCCTGGGTTAAGTTAAGGGTGAGGGGCAGCTCGAATGACAACCCACTACGACCTGATTTTTTTTCGCAAGAAGAACAGAACCTTATCGTTGATTATCATTTATCTTTTTCAGCGGCAACGCAACGATGCCTCAATTCGCCGTTTACATGTTGTTCGGCTGCATTTTCTGGGGTATAGTCGTCGGAATAAGTATTCAGATTCGATCAAGCTCAGTTTAAGAGTATTTCAGCGAATTACTATTCGATGCTTGCAGCTCGGATTCAACCAACTTATTTAACGAACGTTTGCCAAGCTGGCTTCAAAAACTGCACTGTTACGAACAATATGGACTACTGCGCGCATTTGCTTCATGATTGCATCGGAACTGGCAATTTCACGCAACCGGCTGTAATCAAAATTCAGGGAAGACCAGTAGAGCCACCTCTTACCTTTACAGACAAAGAGAATGACGTCAATCAACAACGATGCAAAAAACAAAAGTTCTATGCCATGTTTTTCAAAATAACTCTTTAAGTTCCTTTGCCCCTATAAAACATGAAAAAGATCGATTCGTTTGCCGCCATGTTTGTTCGGAGACCCTTGTTTTGGAATCAACAAGGAATAAAACTGCTTCGCGTTGCGATCAAATCTGCGTTCAATTGACAAGATCACAAGACTTAGCCGGAGAAATCTGTCCTTTCGAGAAATATTGTCAAGGAGGTTGTCCATGTCCGTTTTATCAGTGCGAGAAGGTTCTAAATGTGCAAACACTTGTTCCCGTTTGGGATTTGAAAAATGGAAAAATCACTGAAGGAAAATTGAAAAATATGAAACGAGGAAATATTTTCTTATATTTTTATCAACTTTTAAAGTCCCGAAAGAAAGTGAATTAATAACAAAGAGAATACCCGGTCGGGAAGAGTCCTTCACAAAATATCCTGTAATATTTTCGAATCTTCAAGCGACAAACGAATCAACCGCTTTCTCCTTGACGGATCATTCTCTACTGAATAAACTCTTTCCTCATGAATGTTTTCATTCAGTTGGTCGTCAAATAAGTCTAAAAATAATTGAATAAAACAGCAAAAGTCAATCGGCGCGACTTTTCTCAACGGCGAGCATTATTTGGTCGATGCAAAAGGAAACCTGCTCAAAGTCCGAGAAAATGATGGTTCAACAGTTTTCATTCGTAGGAGACGCAAAAAAATGTAAGCTAATGCTTGTGAATATCAATTGTTAATTTGATAGTGGCTTCTTCGTCTTTCATTACGGCTCTTCGATCGGGACACATCAAATTGAAATTCGCAACAAGGGAAAAGAGAAAAAAGTGTTTCCCGTCGTAGTCATCTGGAAAGGTCGATAAGTGTACGATTTCTTTAGTCATCAGTCACTTTCGACCCGTTGAAGTCGTCCAACTGGTAAAAATGAAAAATGTTTCTATTACGCTCCCGAATACAATTTAAATCGCTTCGAGGAAGCTCAAGGCTACATCGCCAGCAATCATTTTAACGCAAAGGTCTCGTCAATCAGCTTCAAAGGTGTCTTTTATTTGATGAGTGCCATGTTGGGAGAGCATTTCATCAAGTTGTCGAAGACTCTCGCTCTCAACCGAATCAGAAAAGACGAAGAACTTGAGAAGGGATGGAGAAAGGGCGATTTCGGAGTTCCTACTGAGCTAAGGGACCTGGATCTTGTCCACGTGGTCCCTTTGGAACGAGTTAAATTTTGTTAATCACAGATCGGGATTAAACCATTTTCTGGTCCCAATCTCTCGAAGTGAATTTTTTGATTATCAATAGGGGAAATCACAAATAATTGGGCTTTTTTTCTAGCTTAGTAGGGTGGGAGTAAAATACAGTTTTAGAATCTCCAGAAGCTGGGGATCATTTTGACTATTGATAGTAGGGGTTGATCTCGTACCCTGAGGGCATTTAAGTACCTCTGAAGTCCCAAAACCTGGCCAATTTTGGAAATGCGAATTTTTGAGGCCTTAACTCGGGCTTTCAGAGGACGCCACTTATCCCAGATTGTAGCCTAGGCTCTGACGATCATTTTGAGCCCAAGAAAAGTACTGAGACCGGGGGGTTCCTGAGGAGCTAGGGGCTCTTGAAGCTGAGGAACTCGACAGAAATTGAGTACTTTTTCCCAAATAGCATATGATTTGTACCTCAAATGCATCCCAAAGATTTTTTATCGACTTTAAGTCATTCACAAATATTATAGATGTCATTTGGGGTCATCTTAGGTCACTTTTGGCCAAGAATTATGAGAAATTCAAAAAATTTGGATAAGTGACCCCATCTGACCTCAGATGACCCCGAATGACATCTATAACATTTGTGAATGAATAAAAGTCGATAAAAAATCTTTGGGAGGCATTAGAGGTACAAATCATATGCTATTTGGGAAAAAGTACTCAATTTCTGTCGAGTTCCTCAGCTTCAAGAGCCCCTAGCTCCTCAGGAACCCCCCGGTCTCAGTACTTTTCTTGGGCTCAAAATGATCGTCAGAGCCTAGGCTACAATCTGGGATAAGTGGCGTCCTCTGAAAGGCCGAGTTAAGGCCTCAAAAATTCGCATTTCCGAAATTGGCCAGGTTTTGGGACTTCAGAGGTACCTAAATGCCCTCAGGGTACGAGATCACCCCCTACTATCAATAGTCAAAATGATCCCCAGCTTCTGGAGATTCTAAAACTGTATTATACTCCCACCCTACTAAGCTAGAAAAAAAGCCCAATTATTAGTGATTTCCCCTAATTATCAATAACTTATTTGGCTTCATAATTGCGTCGAATGCGTTCAAGCGTTAATAAATTTAATTTAACCGAAAAAAGATTGACTTAGGTCGACTCCTGTATATTCTAGTGACAAGAAGTATTGATCTCTCAAACACTCTTTACTCGGTGTTGTTGGAGGCAGAAGGCAAATTCGTCACTCTTGGCCGCGAGTGGATCGGCTCGCTTGATAAATACGAAGAAAAATCTATTTGTTTTTCGAAGTTGTTTACCCAAGTTGATGCATACTACACGGATCAATGGGGGTACAATAACGATGAATGCGAGTATTTCGGAAACGGAATCATTCATGACGACAATATTTTCATCTCGAATTACGTTTTTGACTTTTCATTTGAAGTCAAATTTCATTTAGGAAAAGATTCAATTCTTTTGCTCTTCTTTGAAACCGAACTAATAAGTGATTTAATTCTTTTTCAAGACCTTGTTGAGCTTGAATTCGTCCAGCATCCGGCTAGAAGACAAATATTCGTCACAAGCAATCCACTTTTTGCGTTTCACGACGATGTGTTTCCTGCTTTTCTGAAGAACGCTGTCGCTCAGCCGCGATTCCCACCTAGTTTTGGACGGTCAACGATCATTCCGGACAAATTCTTTAATTCTCTTGAAGAACTAAATCACATTTCTACATTCGAGATGAAATTCGATGGAAGAGAATATCTTGACTTCGAAATGAATTTTTCAGAGAAATCAAGCATTTTTGAAAAAATGAAAATACTTGAATTGAGTTTCTTTGATGGATCCACTTTTCTGAGTTTCGGAGTTTATTCAAATTATTCTTTTCGGATTGATTCCGATTATTTTGAAGGTCGCTCATTTTCGGAAACAAATATCACTCAATTGTCGAAGCTAGAATTTTATTTAAACTCATCAAGCTCAATGGAAACTTCTTTGCAAATTATCGAGGAAAAGTTAAATTAATAATAAACACGAAGTTTTATCGACAAAACCTTAACCAGAAAAAGAATCAAAAGAAAAAGAGAGACCTATCGATAACGAAAATGAGTGGTCTTCAAAATTTGAAGGCTAAAAAACTCCGGATCTTCAAGTTGGACGATCGCGCGGAAATTAAGAATTTTAATTTTTTTTCTGAAACGGCAATTTTGGTTATGGGCTGGAACTTGGAAAAAGCATTATCGATTTCTTTGGATGAAAAATCAAGGAATAACGCGATAATTGTGGCTCCGAGCAATTACTATCTTCAATGGAGTCCGCATGCGCTTGTCAAAAACGAGCTTTTCATTTTTGGAGGAAGAAATCAACGAAAAGTAAGAAAATTTAGAATTTTGAGAATAATAGAGTCAAGATCGCGAAACTGGAAGGCTGCACTTGGAGAGAACAGACAACTCGATTGAAAAATAGATTTTCGAGTGGCTCTGCGGCGCTTACGGTCAATGATGGGACAAAAGCATTAATTTGCTTTGATGATGACGATGAAAACCGATGTAACGATTTTGATGGAGAATTTTCAACGGAAACTTTCTCTTCAAAATATTCGCATTGGAGAGGAAGACTCGGCTTCTATAAAGGAAATCCAACTACTGTTGGAGGTTCGTGGGGCGATGGAACGAATAAAGTGGAGACCCTTGGCTTGTCGGGCTGGACAAGTTTACCTGATTTCCCGAAAAAGTATTTAAAAAAATCGTTTATTTATTAATATTATTAAAGTGTAACACAATATCATCTTTTGATGGGCCTTCCAAGTGGAAGTCTTTTGCTCGCCGGGGGATGGAAATAGAGTTTCTCACGGAAAAATGGTAGTTATCATTTTTTTCTGAAAATTTCATCGCAGGCTTATTTTGACCCGCTGATTCCAAAAATACAAGAATAAGAGGCGCCGGTCGACGTTTTGGTGGTGCGACGCGCGCTGTCTTGGCGCTCTTGGTGCAAGGGAGATTTTTCAGTGAAACCCATGTTCAGAAACTAATTGACAATAAGCTTTTTTCGGCGTTTTCGAGGGTAAGGCACAATATTTATAATGAAATTATCTTGTTTAAATCGGAAATCCCCAAATTATCGCATCGAACCACTATATTTCGTCACCTTCAACAGAAATGTTCGGACTTCTCTCCGGGGAGTGAGTAAATATGCGCGTTTTCAGGCCAAGCGGTGACCCCGTGCGCGGTAGTAGGGATAAATATTTTGGTACAGAAAGAAGAGACTTTTTATTTCTCCCTAACTCAAGCGCGCGCGCAATGCCAAAAAGTTCTAGTTAAATGCGGATTTCTAAGTGACCGGCTATTTACGGCTACCCAAAGATTTCAGAGCTGAATTCTTTCTGCTTGAGATTGATCATAATTAAAAATCGAGAGTGGCGAAATCGAGAAGGCGAACGGAGGCCCGCGCGCTCCCGTGAAAAACCCTAGGTGTGATTATGAAAAACAAAAAGCAATTTGGCTTCTTGAAAACGACATTTGGGAACAAATCGGAATTCTTCAAAACGTAAGTTTCTAAAGCTGTCAAAGATTTTGATTTGAATAAAGGCTTGCATGTCTGCATCTGCAATTATGATCAAAAACTCAATTTTCATCGTTCCTGGCTACGGAAGTTCTTCAATCGAACGACTTGATTTTGAAGGAGATCGATTAACCGGTCAACGAGTCGTTGGAAATACAGACGAAAGTTCGATGCCAGTTCTTCTGGAAGTTCCCGCTAATTATTGTGTCTAAATTTTAGACTCTAAAAGAATAAAAAAGAAACAGAAAAAGAGAACGAAAAATTTTAAGCTTTTTCCTCATTTTTATTTTCATTACAAATTTATTAAATCAATCATCTGTGCATCTCTTTCTATTTCAAAAAGAAAACCTTCATTTTTTCGTGGTATTTATTATCTTCTTTAACAGTAGATTATTAGTTTTCATATTTTATTCCAGGAATTCAAAGCTGAAACCATTTTTTCGTCTTGAACTGAAAAATACAACATAAGCAAGTCTTCAAAAAACTTCCTGTTTTTTACCTTTTCTTTGAGCTGCTTCGCATTTGTTTGAAATTGACTTGCACTTTCCTTCATTTTTTCAGTCTCGTCAGTGCACGATTGAAGATTTTCCTGACGCTTCATGACGTTTTGCCGCATTTTTGCCAATTCTCCTGAATAAGAAATTGAACAATGAGAAATCAATGGATGATCTCGGCTCGGCAACCTGTGTTTAAAACTTGACACAGGTTTCGAGGACCATAAATGAATAGCCGCGAAACGGCTTTTTTAAAAACAAAGCCACGGAGCGGCCTCGCCAGTATTCAAAAATAGGATGATATGACAATTTGGCGAAGCCGCTATGCGGCTTCGTTTTTAAATAAGCCGCTACGCGCCTTTTCATTTAGGGTTATCAAAACCATAGTCAGGTTTTCCCGAGAAAATGAGGCGTTCTTGCCTGATAATCCTGAAGTTTCTCGGTCCAAATCGCCGGGAATAAAAATAGCTATTTGAGAAGAACTTTTCGTTTCGCCAAAAAGCTCACTTCGATTGTTTGAATTAGTCCGACTTGAGAAAATGGAGTCGAAAAACGACGTCGATGGGCGGTCTCGAAGAGCAACTTCGCGGATCCATTTCGGCTGATGGCGGCTTTGTTCGTCGAAAGACTCCTTCAGTAATCATATTGTTAAATCAGGGGGAACTGATGATCTGTACCTTTGTGTAGCAAAAATGTTGGATTTCGAAGAGGCTCATTAGATAATTGCCGCGGCCGTTGTTGATGAAACTCATGGTCGAGAGGATTCTTTGATTCACGCGCCGAACGTATGAAACATTGAGGAGTAGTTTCAGGCTGAATTATTTGTTACCTTTTTGCAAAAAAAACCTTTTGGGGGGGGCTTATTGAAGATGTTCGAGCGTTGACGCGATGTAGCCTTAAATGTCAAGGAACAAGGAAATTTAAGGGCTGATTTTCACCTTGGGCTTCCTCGACTCTGTTTAGGTTATAGTCCGGCGCGTAGTAGTAACATTTGTCTGGACGGTCATTCGGGGAGCTTTTAATGGTCAAAAATTTATAATAATCTTTATAGTGTTCATCTGATTTTCGACCGTTTTCAAATAACAACGACGGGGAAGATCTTTCGATCTCTGTCTTTTAGGCGAATCTCAATGTGGTGAGTTCCAATCGAGGATCCAAAGTGGAAAACGAAGGAGTTCGTTGCTCGTTCTGAATAATCAGCTTCCAATTTGAGAATAAGAAGAAGTCAGGTTTTTAAACGGAAGTCCCCACCCTGGCGCGGTATTTTTTATTTCTATTTTACAAAAAATATTGATATACTGACGATCTGGAATCAATATTCGCAATTTCTTAAAACCGATAAAGCTACGAACAGGAATCGTTCTTTCCGCTGAAACGGCTACCCCAATCTCTGTCGCTGAAATCAAGAAAGAGAACGAGCTCTGAGTTCTATTGAAAAAATGCCGCTTTGCATTCTGGATGACATTCAAAATAGGAACGAAAAAGGGGAGTCAACTGTCGACGTGTCAGACAAAAAGTCGTCAGAAACCGTTTCTACCCGTATCTTAGAATATTTTTTATCTCCAAGAGATCACTACTAGCTATGGTTATCGAAGAGGAGAACGAACGGTTGGATGATTCAATTTTCCTAACGAAAATCCAGGTATTTTTTACAAAGATATTGGTCGAATCTTATTGAATACAAGTGTCTCGACTGCGACTGTATTGGCGTTTTGAGACAAAAAGGGAAGAAAGTTTTTTTAGTTTTATTCAGTTTTATGACCAAAAAATCTGCCGACATTTTTGTTCCAAAACTCTCATTTTGGAATCAACAAGAAATAGCGAAATCCCGCCCTGCGAATTGATGTGTTTCGAACTGACAAAATCTTTTGACGCAGCCGGAGAAGTTTTCCCTTTTCAGAAATACTGTCAAAAGGGATTTCCCTCGTGATCTCTTGGAGATAGAAAAATATTCTGAGATACGGTAGAAACGGTTTCTGACGACTTCTTGTCTGACACGTCGACAGTTGACTCTCCGTTTTCGTTCCTTTTTTGAAGGTCATCAAAAATGCAAAGCGGCATTTTTTCAATAGAACTCGAAGCAAGAATCATCAATGATGATTCATCATCAAATAATTTTGAAGGAAGAACTTTTATTCACACTTGAACAGGAATGGCAGGAATGAAGCAAAAAAAGAATAAGTTACACGTCAATGAAGCATTGAAAATTCGCCGGAGTAGACCTTCGCGGTGGCTTGGCCGCTAATTTGTTGGTAATAGTAGTAACCGTTCCGGCGCCGGAAGAGTGGAAGTTCGAAGTTAGGTCGAGGAGGGAAATCGTACGGTCGACTTCGCGGGATTTGATGAGAATAACATCGTAGCGGTTTGTGTAGTTGGTGACGTCATCGACGGCGACGAGGATGTTGGAAGCATTGGAGACTTCGCTGTAATTGCTGAAAATTTGTGTGAAGAAAATGTCATAGAAAACTTCAGAAATCAACAAAGAAAGATATTGGATTAGAAAAAAGATCGTGTGAATCGCTATCTTACCTGAACTCAGAAGGATTTTCGGAGAGTCTCTGTCTCTTGGATTCACGACTTCTTCTTCTCGATTGTTCTCTTCGTGGTCTGATCCATCTGACCATCAGAAGAATCAGAATCATCGTCAACAAAACAGCGATGACGATCGTTATCGCCAGAACCGACATTGTAGCGATGCTCAACATTTTGTTTCTCGTTTTTTGTTTTACTCTTTTTGGATGCTTGCTGCTTGCATTCAAATTTCGCGCGGTTATAAGTGGGCGTGGAGCCCTCTCGAGCGCCACGAACCAGCTGGTATCAAGTGCACGGATCATGGATCGATTACACAATGGTAATTAACAGCTTTCTGCGAATCGCTCAGATCATTATCAGAACCAGCGGCGGTGCATCAGACTTGTTCCCAGCGCCGGTGCACGGATTGATGTTCTTGGGGAAACAACCTGCGAAATATGGATTGCATCTTTCCTGTTTTAGTTCTCTTTGAGATTTTATTTCCGCTAGAATTGGGCACCTGAAGATTCCGACCTGTTCCCAGAAAATCTTGTTTCTCTCCGCATCAAATTTTGAGGAGACACTCGTACTTGAATTTTCTCTCAAAACTTGAAGGAGCTCATAAAATGATCCCTTCTCTAGAATTTTTTAGCATATCCTCTCGTGGGAAAACAGTCCACTTGAAAATACAAAAACGCTTCCCGACCCACTTTTCCTGCTAAAAACATTTCCACGATTCTTTTTTTCTGTACGAGTAAGCAAAACATGTTTATACAAAGTCAAAACAGGAACAACAAAAAGAATGGTGCGTGTTTCTTCTCCAAATCCGGAACAATGAATTCACACCATAAAATCTCCCCTGCCGGATTAGTAGCTGATGTTCTCGCCTTCTGGACACGTTTTTTGGATAGAGCCATCTGCGCAACATTGCCTTAACAATTGGTAATCACTGGTAAATAGCAATTAGCATGGGGATTAGCTAATTTCGTGTAATTAGGATTAGAAGATAGCTTTTCTTGATAAGAAAAAATTACTTGGCTAGCTTGTTGTATCGCATAAACGCCGTGTCCTTCGATTCGGGTTGGCAGCAAGCAGGTTCTCGAGCTTCAATCACTAGAAATAAACGGTAAGTTCTGTAGTTTTTTTTGCGAAAAACCTTCATCAGAGGGATGGCACCAAAAATCGTCCTTGAAGTCGAAACCAATCGTAGTGAAGAAAAAGTCGTATTTGACGTCGTAAATGGCAGTTCCTCCCTGAGCAAGTCTGATAGCCAAACGCTTGTCGCATTCGAACACATTTCTTCTGCACGTTCCAACGGGATTCGCTGAGACCAGCTCTCCTTCTTCTGACAAGCTCCAACTGAGGAAATTAACGAGGGAAGTTGGCTAGAATCTTACTTGTATCTCGTGTTGTCTGCCAGACAGTCTTCACCGATTTCTTCTCGGAGACATTTTCCGCAAGCCCTGTACTCCTAGAAATATTTTCAATCAGATGCTCTTTTGACAAGCTCTTTGTAGCCAAAACTCGGTATATTTTGGTAGTCCTTCCCTAAACCAGCCTGGGCTTACCTTGAAGATCTTATCGAGCTCGTCGACGGGCGCGCCGAATCCCGAGTGGGCGAGGGGATTAGCCACTTCCGGTGCATTCATTTGCCCGTTGCAGCCGTAATTGAAATAGGTCTTTTCATCGAACTCCGGAAAGACGGCTTTAATCATGCTTACCAATTGATTGTACTTTCGTGGCTCGGGCGAAAACGCCATCTAATAATTAAAAAATAAATCCCCTAAATCTTATTAGACCAACCTGAGAAGCGACGAAAGAAGATAAAATAGAGCCACTAGCAAACAATCTCATAATTATAAAAAAACGATCAAAAACTTCTCTCAATTTTCTGACGGTCATTTTTGAAACTGACTGACTCAGGCTTATAAATCAGAAACTAATCTGGAACGAATGGAAACATGGGGCAAATCTAAGATTGCGGTGGTCTGACAATTAAACTTTCGTCTTATAGGCATGCTAATTTGTGAGGTCATTTTGGACACTTGCGCGTGCGTTTATTGTTTTTTTAGAGAAGGTGGTAGACAGAAACGGAGCTTGGGACTTGGGTTGTGAGCGGGGCAGCGGTGATAATTACATCTGGATGGTGCTTGAGAATATTTTGCAAATGGCTGTTCAGATCTTCAGCGCTGTCGAACTAAAATGAGTAATAAGAACTGCATTGCACTAAAGAACAAACCGGAAACATGCGGACATCTCCAACCGACCAGTGCGCAATCGACCCATGTCCACAAATTCGACCGTTGAGATCAAGAACGAAAACTGACAAGCTTTCATCTTCTGATAAAAGTCTACAAACGTTTCGGCAAAAATTTTCGTCGTCAATTGTTTTGATCGTTTTCTTCGTTGCTATCAGTTCTTCAGCCTGAATTGAATAAGCGTTTTTGGTGTGAAAAGAAGTTTCGCTACCTTTTTGAGATTTGCCTTGTCCACTTTTGGTAAAACGACAGAAATTGTCAGCGCGACAACTTTTCCAATTTCCAATAAGGAAATTTCATGCAGCGTTCCTTCAATGAAATACTGCCCGTCAAAACAACCCTGTTCCAGATTTGAATTCTCGCACTTTCTTATCGTTTCGTTCTGTAATATATCACATGGATTTTCAGTGTACGAGGTGACCACAGTTTTTCGACCTTCATCAGTTTGAAAGCGCAGCCGAATCTTTTTAGCGTCGATTTCGATTTTGTACAGGTACTGTGCGTCTTCAACATTTCTAGAGAAGCATTAACAAATTTGCAGCGTTCTTTTTTCACCTGAGGAATTCTTCTATTTGCGGTGGAAAGATTTCAGTCAGAGCTTCGAAGTCGCGCATCACATGACCAGTCATGCCTTTTGCAACTACTGTCACGTCAGTTTGATTGCTTGAGAAAATATTTCTTTGATTCAATTTGAAGAAGCGTCGTTTTACCTGGTTCGCTTCAAGTACTCATCTGGATCTTGTCTGAACTCGTATCGTTTAGGAATCCTGATCGAAACAGACTCAGGCATAGATCGACCTGGTCCGGAGCTCTGATCGGATGAAGCACAGTCAGAAACATAAACGGGCTGCTGACTTGGCCTCGGTGGAGATCCTCGACCCATGGACTCTCGGAAGCCGCTGTTGGATGTACTCGATGCTAGAAAACCGATGATTTCAGGGCTTTAAAACTCTTGGCTACCAATAGAAGCGATAAGCTTGAGTCCAAATCTATCAGACTCTCGATCTTCGTCTGCTCGTGGATCTTGCCCCGGCGCTAGAAGCGTCAAATCGCACAAATTCGGCAGTGATATTGAAAAACGAGGACTAAAATAGATTCCGTTAATGAGTGTCGAAAGAAAAAGTGTCTGACTTGAGATTGGATTCGATTTCCTCTCGATACGGTCGTGAAGAAACATCGCTGCCACAGAGCGAGTACTCTTCGTCTTCTTCATCAGGGCTCTTCAGGTTGTTTTCAAGCGTATCCGGAAGCGACTGAGTCGAGAAGCGCAGACTTTCATGCAAATCACCAAGGTTTAGGAGGCCAAAGCCCAAGTTTGTTGTTTCAAAACTCTGCACACCACTTGTTGAGTCATCTTGTTTCACCGGATTAATTTCATTTCATATCATGCATCATGCAAAAAACTCAAATAACAAGTAAAGCCCGGACCTTCGATTTCTCCATCGGACCAAAAATCTCTCAAGAATCGGAAATTATCGCTAAACTCGAAAGTATTTCCCTTGAATGAGCTGCTCTTTCGCCGTAAAAGTCGTTGGTACTTAGCATAACTGAATGATTAACTACAGTAGAATACTGATATGAGTGTGGCTATTAAACCTGTCTCTGCGTCTAATTATCCGTCCAGCTCCAACCGTCGGCCGTCGTGAAAAGTATCGATTAGACGGCGCCGATTCCAGCGAGCTGTAAATCGAGTCGTCCCTTTCGGCCACGAGACCAACGCTCGTGCCGTTCAGTAAAAACACGCTACTGTGATCTTGAAGAAACGTTAGCAACTTATTCGTTTGAAGCTCAATTTGCGGATTCTTCTTCAGCTCATTGGCGATGTCGTCGAGGTTCATTTCTCCGTTGTGTCGAGCAACAAGTCGCGTGAGGAATTCCATCGCATCAGCTTCAACAGCTGATGATTTCGAGTCTGTTTCTTCGTCGACTGGAATGATGACTTCTTCATGCTTGGGAATAAGGATCATTTTTGAGCTCAAAAAGGAGAATGAATGAAGTTTGATCCTTTTCTTGGAAGGTGAATGTGCCTTGAATGAGCATTTTGTTCGATTGGCCGACTTTTATGGAGTTTTTTGAGTTCTTTTCAACGAAAAATCGGGTTAAAATAAAGTCCATTCCTTAGAACATGAACAGTCAGAGCAATCCACGGAAAGTTATTTAGATGACTGTAACTCGTCGCCGCTAAAAATTGTAATCATCAGCAAGGCAGTGGAATCATACATGGAATATTTCTAATAACGGCCGCTTGAATCAATTGTCCAGCGGAGCATTTTTCGCGGGCGTCGTAAACGGTCTCGCAATTGCCGATGGAAAGCGCGTGATTGTCTTCCTTGATTTCAAAAAATGATTTATTTATGAAAAAAGGAGGGGTATTTTGAAATCCTGGCGAAGAAGCAACGGTCGGATTGGGAGACGATTATGCCGTAAGTAGGGTAGATTTCCTGAATGACGCCATGGATGATGTTGATTTCTGAGCCGTAATGCAGAAGATCTGGGGAGAGAGGTCTTTTATTGGCTTAGAAAATATCAGAGTACGAGGTTTGAGAACAGTAAGCCAACGAGCCTGATTGGCAGAAAATAGACCATGCCAACTTGATACCGAAAAAGTGACGGGTATTTCAGCAGAAGTCGCTGAAGCGTAGGAGATCCGCCAGAGAATCGTATCTGATGCTCTAAATTCAGTACGAGCTGGTTGATATGCAAATGCTGGTTGTTAATGCTGAGCCATTGAGAACAGAGACGGAGAATTTCCAACTCCTGCAGATTTGCATGACTGTGTACGTCTTCCACAGGTGTCTCCAACGAAGCATGTCCCTCAACGAGAGATACTTCCTCGTCCTGAACTCTGAATGTATTTTCGTGACGCGCGAAGAATCGCCGTAATCCGTCCATTCCGCCAATGTACGCCCGAGCGGCTGCTTTGCACTGTGAGAGAACTCCCGTCATACTCTGGAAGTTCTTCTTGAACCCAGCCCGCTTTATCGCTTTTTTGCAACAAGCCTTGACTTCTGCTTCCATTTTTCGAGCGATGAGCGAATCTGCACCAAGGGAGACGACGTTGTTCTCAACAATAAAAAGTTGGGGAGACTTCGCCAGGAATTCTTTGATGCTCTTTTCTTCTGGCCTTACTTGCTTCTTGACGATCTCTGGTGCATTTTGCACCGCTGCGACTAAATCTCTTACATCCTTTGAACCAGTAGCAGCAAGCATCTGTATGAAATACAGGTTTTCATACGACCACATGACTGATTCCTCCATCGTTGTTACTTCCACTGGTTCTATCTTTGTCGCTTTCCATTTGCACCGCGATCCTTCTGAATTTAATTGTCAGAAAAAACAAGCGTTTACATTAACTTACCCGGCCCAATTTCAGCGTTAATCCAGACTAGTTGCCCAACAGTAAAGATATTTCGCAAGTCGATTATCCCTTTCCCAGAAATAGCTTCCAACGTTTCTTTTCGAAAGTAAACATTGTCACTAAAATCTTATGAAGAGCCTTTAATTCCTATTATTTACCTGAAATTTAGGTTTCCCGGATTACAGTGCCCCGTAGAGAGCGTCGCAAAGCCAACTCTACTCGACAAATTCTGAATTCTTCCTTGAACATTTACAAGCTCTTTTTTCTCGCTTGTTTTCGCCTCCTGTGGCATGCTGAGAAGTGTTCAATTTTGGTTATGGATTCGAACTGAAGAAGGCGGAACCAAAGAAGCTTCGATTTCGGAGCGTGCGGGACGTCATATACGGTTGAGATCGTCTTTCTAGGTGGCTCAAGTAAGCTAGTCATAGAAAATACCTTATGTAAACTAAATGAGCAAAAGTACGATACGACGGATCATGCGGAACAGGCACAGTAATCAACTTGATCACTGAATATTTTCTACAACCGCTGCGTTGAAGACCAAAGTAATCAACACTGAAATCATTGGCGGACACGACTTTGTCAGCATTCAGCCAGTTATTTTTAACATCAACACAACCACTAAAGCTTCACTAGAAAGTATCACTACCTGCTTTCTTCAGATTCTGTAATTATTATTAATCTTAAATAAATCCATTTTTGAAGCCAAAAAATATCTGAACCTCTCAGAGCGGATTCAGAAGGCCTTTATTAGTCCTCGCACCAGATTTTGAGAAGGTTACCTTCAATTTTTGCTTCCAGGGGCGTTGATCCTCCGCGGCGTGGTGGGTCCTCCGGGCGCCGCACGCGACGCTCTATTTTTTTGGACTTTTGGGGCAGGGCCTGATCCAGAGAAAACTAGAGTTTCGCCGTGGGCACTTTCAAAACTACGATTCCCCGCCCATTTTTATGAAATCAAAAAACTACTTGTGAATTGACGAAGAATCAGAAAAGAGAAAGAAACGTAAAAATGGCATTTCCACCTTTTACGCTTGGAGGAAGCCTTCATAACAAAGAAGAATTCTCGGGGAGATATTTTCACTTTTTGAATGTCATCAATCCGGCTTCGTTGATAAAATCCGAGGCGGATATTCGAGCGGCGGAAGGATTGCTAATGAGGAGTAGGAATGAAGCAAGAGGAGGTGTCGTCAAAGGTGAGAAATCAAAGAAGAATCCGTTCATCTCTGACACGAACTTAAGGGTATACGAACAAAGAAATGTGGGAAGCACAGACGCTGGTGCAAAGCGCAGTCCATCCAGATACAGGCGAAATTATCCCTCGACCGTTTCGAATGTCTGGTTATGTTCCCTTCAATTTGCCGGTAAGCAAATTTTCTCCTGTCGAAGCCCTTATGTTTTATGGGTCTGCTGATTGCTTTGCACTCGATTATTATTGCTCTTTTCGAGAACCAAAGTAGACAATCTGGGTTACATTCAAACAGAATTCAGGAGCCATTTCTTTAGCGGATTAATGAAAGGTACTAAATGATTAAATTCAGATTCTAGTGGGACTTCTTGTACCACAAGGGACTGCAGCAACAGCTTTCTGGCAATGGGCGAATCAAACGCATAATGCGCTGATCAACTACTCCAACAGAAATGCCAAGGTAAATAACAGACAGTAAATTGTCTGGAAGAGAGACTGCTTCTCAATTCTACAGTGTCTACTTCTGAAAAGGACCTTTTTCGTTCGAAAAGTTGCCCAAAAAGCGTCTTTCTTAAAAAATAGCCACTGTAAAAAGATCTCTCCAGCTCTAACCGTTCTTTTAGACGCCAGTAACGACTTTCCAGCAAATCTCCGGCTACTCCCTCGCCGTTGGAACTGCCCTATCCGTCTCCTTCGGCTGCGCAGCTTATTTGAAGAAGAATATGGCGAAGATGAACGTAATTACCGCTCTATCAGCTCTAGTTCTCTATATTTTTATTCAATAGACGAAAATAGAGACTCGCTCTAAAAGCCGATGATTAATTAATTAACGATGATGAAACGAGGATTTAGCCGAAAGTCGCTGGTGCGGCGAGCGCGCTCCTTCCATTCGGAGCCGTCGCCGTTGCGAATGTGGCGAACACAGCGGCAATGAGAAACGGGGAAATTAGCACTGGCATCGAAGTTTACAACCCAGACACTGGCGAAGTCTACGGAACATCAAAAGAAGCAGCGAAAAAGGCGATCGCTTTGACTTGTTTTTCGAGAGTGGTGATTGCTGGCGGCTGTCTTGCTATTCCTCCTATCATGACTTCTGCAGCCGTTCAAAGTAAGAATACCCATGCATTCCTTCTCTACCTCCCCTTTTCAGTGAAGCTAATCGACCAAGTGAAGAGGCCAAAGCAATTCGTCCTGGCCCAGTTTGCGTTTTGTGCAATTTGCTTTTTCTCCTGTCTCCCTGGTGCTATCGCATTATTTCCACAGTACAGGACGTAAGTTTTACAGTCGATTCCTTGTTTTCATCAAAATTTAGGATGCCAACTTCTGAGCTAGAGCCAGAACTAGCGGCAAAGATCAAAGCAGCTACTGTAACCTACAATAAAGGCTTGTAGGAAGAAAGAAGTAGAAGTAGAAACGAGTTTGGAAAACGATCAATCCAAGACGAAATTCATACTTAACCACGTGATTACCTGCTATTTATGTCTGTTGAGATTTATAAACGCTTTTTGTCTGTCTTTATTTTATTATCTAGTCGAGTTTGATAGTCTCTCCTATTCTGTGTTCTTTCGAAATCAATAAAAAATCACCAAGGTCCATTTTTCCTGACTGCAACTGTAACTCAACTGTTACGTAAGTGGTCTTGCATAAGGGGAAGACCAAGGGAGGAAAGAAATTCTAGAAGAATCGTTTTTCCACTGCGCTTTTGCATTCAATTTTATCAGTTTTTTGAAAGAGGTTTTTTGTTGAGAAAAATGAGAAATGTTCGAATCCTCGGCTGTAGAATTTTGACGACGCCTCGACCTTCTACCATTTTTCATCGTCTTTCACGCCCTCTCGTTTCTGTTCGCTATTTCAGACAAGTTCCAAATCAGAGTTCTGGAAGAGGAAATGCTCGTCAGGAAGCTGGGCAATCTGGAATTAAGGACAGATTTCTTTCCAAGTTTAATTATGGACAATCCAAGCAATTTGACTCGTTCTTTGACAGGGACATTCGACCTTCACCGCTTTATTCGTAAGTTGTCTATTCTACTAAGAAGACGAAATTAATCCGATAAATCTTTCAAAATTTAAATTTATCTTTCAGAAAGGTTGAACCGACGCTTCTCCGTGCCATCGCCAAAGAATCCTTTACCGAAGGCGCGATGTCGTCCGGCGGCCGCTCTGGAAAAGCGAATACAGTCGCCCTGACCGCGATTTGGCTTCTCTTCTTTGGCGCTATGTTCTATTTCGTTTCCGATGCGACAAAGCGAATCTCCAAAAGCGCAAAAGAAAGCGGCCTCTTTGGCGAAACGGAAGAAGAAGAATATCTCGTCGAGAGTTCCGACAAGAACTTTTCCGATGTTCGAGGAATGGACGAGATTCTCGAGGAATTCGAGCAGGCTGTTGATTTGCTAACGAATGGCGAGAAATATGCGAAAATCGGAGCGAAGGTTCCAAGAGGTATTTTGCTCAATGGACCGCCGGGAACTGGTAAAACGCTCATTGCAAAAGCCATCGCTGGAGAAGCTGGTGTTCCGTTTTTGTACGCTTCTGGCTCGCAGGTAAATTTCAGCGCCTTACAGGCTCGCCATTACTTTATGTACAGCTGAGGCATTCTTTTCCCCAAAATATTTTCTGCATCTGCTGATTGAAACTTAAATTTCAGTTCGATGAAATGTATGTTGGTGTCGGCGCCAAACGAATTCGAAAACTCTTTGAACAAGCGCGAAACAACGCTCCTTGTATCATTTTCATCGACGAAATCGACGCTGTTGGTGGCAAAAGAAAGTCGGGCGGCCAAAGTTCTGACTACTCAAGAATGACGATCAACCAATTGCTTCAGGAAATGGATGGATTCAAGGGAAATGATGGCGTTTTAGTTGTTGCGGCTACAAATCTCAAAGGTTGAGTTTTTCCCAGATTTTTTTGGTGAATTTTGAATTTTCAGATGTTCTTGATCCTGCCTTGCTTCGACCTGGAAGATTTGACTTGTCAGTAGATGTGCCAACTCCGAATAAAAAAGGACGGAAGGAGATTCTTGAGCACTACTTTGGAAAAGGTAAACTCAAATTCTTCTTTTTTTTGATCTCGCGAATAAATGAAAACCAAAAATTAAAAACGTCAACATCAAAAGAATTCTCCAGTTTTACGTCCGAGGCCTATTCATTTATGATCATTTCAGTCAAGCACAATTCCGCCACGATTTCGCTCGAGAAAATCGCTTCAATCACCAGTGGAATGACTGGAGCCCAACTTGAAAATATCGTCAATCAAGGTATCCTTCCTTTCCCTCCTTTTTTCTCCATCGCAAATTCTAGCGGCGATTCGGGCTGTCCGACAACGCCACGATATTGTAGATCTGGGTCACTTGGAATACGCGTTCGACAAGATCACCATGGGTCCGGAACTGAAGTCAATGGACCAAAACGCTGAGGGCATGCGTAAAACTGCCATTCACGAAGGCGGCCACTGTCTTCTCGCGCACATTCTTTTCAACAAGGGAGAAGCGGAAGTAAAACCGAGAAAGGCGACAATCACGAGAAGAGGATCAGCGCTTGGACATGTGAGTTTCCAAATGAATGAAGATGCTAATGAAGAGTCGGAGAGTTTGTTGCACTTGAGGTGGGTTTATTTGAAGGGAAAGGGATTTATTTTCAACTTCCAGAGCGCATTTGGTTGTTGCCATGGGCGGACGAGCTGGCGAAGCAGTCTTTTGGGGAAGATAAAGTCTGTACTGGTGCTATTTCTGATATGCAGCAAGCTCTTCAAATCGCTAGAAAAATCGGTAAGTGCTCGATTCTAGCGCTAAAACACTTTCATCCGAACAAAGAATCTAACCCTTGAACTTAAGTTTGCCATGCTTCCGGAAGCCCAGATCAAATCAAAGGCCGCCTGATCGACGCAAACGGAGACTATACCTCTGAAAAGAAGAAGGAGCTTGTAGATAAGCTCGTCGACGTAGAAATTGATAACGCCTACAAAAGAGCGGTTTCATTGCTCAACGAGCATTCCTACACTCACAAAGTTCTTATCGACGCATTGTTGAAGTTCAAAACATTAGGTGAGTTACAGTAGCAGTTGAATGAGTTTTTACTGTTCGTAGATTCTGATGAAATCGATTTGGTGATGAAAGGCAAGGGGCTATCGGCAATCGAAAGAAGTAGAAAAGACCTGGAAGAAAAACGTACAGAAAATTCAGTCTTCAAAGTTCCGGACTCATAAAATACTCTTTTTTACCTCCCTCGTGAATTCTTTCTTACCTGCAAATGTTCAATCGGTAGAAAAATCTCTCTCAGCTTTCCTCAAAGACAGACTCAACACGGAAAATAAAATTTGTAAATAAAAATGATGAAAAGAGATGCTTTTCAGAGATGGAAGTGGACAAGATGCAGTCGCTGTTCACGACAATTAGGAGAAGATCGGACCCGGTTTTGTGCAGGAGGATTTGGGAAGCAGTGAATGAAATACACGCTGACAATGTAAGTGTTGAGTGCTCTTCTCGCTATGAGTTTATTTGTATTCAATAGAGTCAGAATCAGAGTCTCGTAGATCAAATTTCGGACTCGCATATCTTCTGTTGGCTGAAATTCAGGACAGTGTCCTATTTTAACGCTCACCCCACCGGTCCAAGCATCATTGGCATTCATTTCCATTTTGGCAATAACATTTCCATTCAGTGTAAAAATCTAACTCAACTTTCCGTTTTTCATCTGCTTTTGATAATAGACCAGTTTGTTCCAAGCATTTTTTACGGGGTATAGTCATCGGCAGTCAAATCATAGTTGTTAGGAATCATACTTACTTTAGCGTCCCACGCATGGTAAATTCCACTACTTCCGCCAGTAACGCAGTGAGCAATATGCATCTCTGACGTTTTGATATGCTCATAAATACAGAAAAATCGCTCTCCTAGTTGGCGTCGAACGTCGCCAGTCATGTAAATTACATTTTGCCAGTCTGATATGTTGTAAAATAACTTTCTTTATTTTAAATCTTACTGTTGGGATAAGTAGGAGCCCAAAAAATTTCTACGGAGAGCTTGAATGTTTTGAAACCTCTTGTTTTTGCTAGAATTCCTTTAGTAGGTTTAACGCTTGAACGCACGTTTGTAAAGTTTTGCTGAACGCATATTGCGCAGATTTCTGCGCAGCGCCTTTGACGGGTTCTAGCGTCGACTTATTAAAAGATTTGAGAATACGCTTGGCAACCAGAAAAATATAGTTTTGAGTCCTAACCTTAACCAAAACCTAGCTAAAACAAGTGATTTCAAGTATTGCCTAAGATATGCTATTTTCTCAACTTTTACCGACTATAATACAAAAGAATCTATCATTTTGACAATAAATCGTCATTTTGATTCTTCTTAGAGGTTTATTGTTACTAAAATAAAATTAAACCATGAAAAATTAACTGATTTCGTCAAAAAAGAATCAGTTTATAAGGAAAATTTGGAGAACTTAAGAGGGACGGAAATTTTCGCTCTGAAGCCAAAATTTTAACCTGACGCCAAAAAAATTTTTTGATGATAGATTCGGATTCCTCATCGAAAAGAGCCCGAAAAGTGAAATTTTGACAAAGTTAAGTTTGAGTTATCGAGCTTCGAAGGTGTTCTGCGCAGAAATCTGCGCAATATGCGTTCAAGCGTTAACAGGAATATCTGAATACAATTTTCTCTCGGTCTTCGAGATCAACCATGCAGTTTGAAGCCTCAAAATTTAGAGTCATTTCTAGTAAATCTTTTCGTATTTCCTACAGATCGAAAAATCCCAGTCTCGGGCACAAATTCGATAAAAAACAAATATGCTTGTTTGAAAGTAACCAAAACAAGAACAAATGAAGATTTCTCTAGAACGTTTTTGTTTATTTTTAAGAATTTTCAAATTATTTTAAATTCCCAACCCGGGATAATAAAAAAAAGAAAAAAAAATTATTTTTTAAACTTTCATCAAAACAAATTGTTCTAGAAACGATTCCTTTCAACTTTTTTTTCAGGAAAATGATAGCGACCCAACTCCACCGGACGTTTCCTTGATTCTAGCAAAACTGACGGAAGCAGATCCTTCGCTGGAAAAGCCAAAAATCATCGATGAATGCGAGAAGATGGTCGAAGATGATCTTCTTTATCCAACTTGTACAGTATCGAACACAGGCGAAGAACACTGGAAATTTTCAATTCCTTCTTACGCACCAAGGGGAACCGGTCGCGCACGAGATTGGTACTGCTTCGTTTGTCATCAACCAGGAGAAGTTCTCGGCTGCCGAACTTGCTTCAGATCGTATCACATCAACTGCCTCTCAGAAGCGCCCAGAACGAGCACAAGCCGGAACCAGAAAATCGACGAGAACTGGACCTGCCTTTGGTGCATATTTTTAAAGCAGTCAATGGAGAAAGCGTTCAATCCTGAAATCTTCAAAAAGTCAATGAAGATGCTTCTGAAAATGATCTCACAACAACACAGAGTGCTAGATACACCCATGCTGCCGCTAGAAAAGAACTTTGTCTTTCGCCACGCCAGTTTGCTGCAAATTAAAGACCTGGTCGAAGGAAATATGATCAAATGTCCGGAACAGTTCGAGCTTGAGGTGCGGAATATCGTTCACAACTTTCATGTCTACTTTGGACCCAATGACAGCAAAACTGCTCGGGCTGAGCATGCTCTTGTAAGACATCAAGAAATCTCTTCGTCCCTTATTCAGGCATCTTTTTTCTAGCTAAATACCCGCGAATATGTACAAGACATGGATCCCTGTATCGAGTGCTTTTGGAACAAGTATGAATCCTGGCCGCAGATCTCCGACAAATGGCGAGTGAAAACCTGCAACCCGGCGCATTTCATCGCCCGCGTAAAACACAAAACCTTTGGCTACACGCCTGCCAAAGTGTTGTCCTCGTTGTTGGCCGCCGAAGTGCAAGTGATGTTCTTTGCTGGAAAGGCGGAAAAAGTCACCGTCGATCGAGGATCAGTTTGTAAAATGACAGATGAAAGTGGAGAAAACGAGAAGAAGAGGAAAAGCGCACAAGTTACTCAAGCACATCTGGTAAGTACAACTGTACTTGCAGTTTTCCATGAACGAATAATTACTGAAAATCAAGCTTTCGATCGTTATTTTTATAATAACTTGTTGCGTCAAAGCAAATTAGTGTATAAATATCTCATAATTTACGATTGAGTGAGCATAATCCTAAAAATTGATTTTGATACGCTGATCTCAAATATCTCATGTAACTTTTGCTGGCGCTATCTCCTGGTTCTATCATCTGACTTTTTTTATTCCGAATTTATCGAAAACTAGAAAAAAGACTAAATGAGAAATAAAGAGAAAATGCAGAAAACAAGGGCAAAAACAGCGTCTTATAAAACTCGCGAATTTCGCGCTCTTGAGGTGAAAATTTTTAAGAAAAATTATTGCATATCAGCAAAAATAAAAGACCACCAGCTCAAGCAATTTTTTAGGAAATGAAAGAGCACATAAAAGCCCTGAGAAAACGATTTGGCGCGGATACAGTCAATCGGGCTTTGAACTTCGAATCGGGCGATGCTTCTTCTACCAACACTTCTACAGTCGATACCAGTAACCTCGTTGAAATCGAATCTGTGTAAGAAAATAAGAGAGCCAGCCCAAAATTGATTGATTTCAGAAGCCAAGAAGAAGCATCAAGCATGGAAACAGATGTAAATGGAACTTCTGAAGATCAAACTTCGAAAAGCCAGGAAGTCCAAAAGCGAAATTTACGGAAAAAGGAATCGACAGAGAATAAAAAAGACAATCTCGCTTCAGACCTTGGACTTTTGGTCGAGCGATGCGATCAGGTTTGAAAAAAAATTCTTTTTTGTTCCCTTTACCACCAAAAATCATCTGATGATGATTTTCAGAGCGTACAAACCGACCCATACCGAAGCCGTGAGGACATGAAAACCATCATGCATCTTCGAGAACAACTGGAACATGAAATGCGACGATCGAACGAGCTCAAAATCAAGCATAACGCGATTCTAGCGGCCGAAGTTCAAAAGGTACAATCGTCAAATTTTCTAACCCTCTTATAATTTCTTCCAAAAAGGCAAAGCGCAAAAGCTGGTGCAATATTTGCAGCAAAGAAGCAAGATACCACTGCTGCGCGTCCTTCTTTTACTGTGGAACTGTAAGTCCATTCTTCCTGTAGCCAATACTGTAATTTTTTAATAAGGAGTGCCAGAGAAACGCTTGGAAAGACGGCCATCAGGAGATTTGCAAAAAGCGCTCTAGCCAAAAACGCCCAAAATCGAGCAAATCCGAAACGGTAAAAAATACAGTCTTGAGGCCACTGCTTTCAACCCTTTCTTTTCTAGCCGGAACACCAGGCCGATAAGAGGCAAAAAACTGCATAAAGAAACGACACACTGCTACGAACTTTATTAAACAAGAAGATTTTTTAGAGAAATTCAAAAACTTCAAAAATTCACTCTCTACTGCCACCTTTTTAATTATTTCACTGTAAATCTGTAAGTTACAGTAATCAGTCATAAAATAAGCAAATTTCACATGGAATGAATAAAATGCCCAATCCAATAAAAATTTAGGAAAACATAAAAAGCAAAAATATCTGATGACTCATCAGTTATTCTTTGGTCTCCTCGAAATCTTGATTCATGCGGCAGGTTGATTAATCAGCAGGAGAGACCGTAATTGTTACTATCGATTAGCCTCAATATTCAGTGAGTCAAGCAGATAAAAAGCGCTCTGATTGGCGCCTTCCCACCAATCGCAAAAGCCGATTACGTCACAACTTTGAGTAGAGTAAAAAAAATCCGTCCCTTCCACCTCTCTCGAGCCTACTCGCTCGGCCTCGAGTCGAAAAGGAAACAAAAATAAACCGAATTATAAATATTTTAAATTTTTTCTCGGATTTCGCGGAAAATGGAAGAGTCACGAAAAATTCGAGTGGCGATTTTGATCTGTTCTGATAGAGCTAGCGCTGGGAATTATGAAGATAAGACCGGACCAAAACTAAAATATCAGATTCAGCAAGGTAAATTTGCATTTGGCAGAAATGGCGGGAAATTTATAATGAGTTCTTTGGCGGAAAAAGCAAAAAATTGATTTTTTGCCCTTTTCACCAAAAAATTTATTAATTTCTTAAAGTGATATATTTATTAATAATTTTGAGAATTTGATTAAAATGCATGTTTATAAATCTCATAATCATACTGAATTTTTTTCGATAAGTTTAGTTTTTTATTCAAAATATAATTATTCAAAAAGAGAATCCTTCAGGAGAATTGATCCCTGTCAATTTTGATTTTGGCTTATTTTGTGAGCAATATTCCTTGTCAGAAGAGTTATTTGAACAATGAGAATCTCGAGTGCCTTTTTTTAAGAATATTTTGATTGTCTCGCAGACAAAGGCTTCTGATTTTTATTGTCTCCTTCAGCTCCGTTGAATGGAGAGTGCTGTGAGTTTAAAATCTTGCCCGACGAGCAAGAAGAAATCGAGCAGCTTCTCAGAATTTGGAGCGATGTGAACAAGGTTGATTTGATTCTGACTTCTGGAGGGACGGGCTTTTCAAAGCGGGATATTACGCCGGAAGCGACGAGAAATGTAATTGAAAAGGAGGCGATTGGGATGGTTATTGCAATGATGCAATATTCGTTGACGAAAACACCGATGGCTATGCTTTCTAGGTATCAAAAAATATCAGGAAAAAGAAACTTGAAATCTCAATAGAGCTGTTGCTGGAATACGAGGAAGCACATTGATCATCAACCTTCCTGGAAGCTCAAAAGGCGCTCTTGAATGCTTCGAATCCGTGGCCGGTCAAATTCCTCATGCTATCGACCTTCTTCAGAACTCACATGCAAGTATTGACGAGTTGCATTCACGAATGAATGGAATCGCTCTTTCGCCCGAGCAAATCAAATCGCCCTCGCCCGTGAAAGTCAAAAGCGCTCCTCATGTTTGCCCTCACAAGAAGAAAAAATCGGTCAATTTTAAGGTCTGTTCTTTCAACAAATTCTATTTTTATGTCTTCGTAGAAGACTTCAATTGTTGACAACCCCGCTCGTCGAGATAGAAAATCTCCTTGGCCGATGCTGTCCGTCCAGGAGGCTTTACGGTACTTTTTTTCTTGACCTCTTCGTTGACTTCAAATCGGATTTTTTAGCCTCATATTTGAAAACTCAGAAAAAGTGCCCTCCGAAGAAATTGACTGCCGAAAAGCCATGGGACGAATAATCTCCGAAAAGATTGAAGCTCGTGTTCCTCTTCCTCCTTTTCCAGCTTCCATCAAGGATGGTTATGCTGTTCGTTCTACGGATGGAGGAGGGGTTAGAAAGCTGTTGACTTCCGTAGCAGCTGGGGATGGAAGGGATGATATTTTTCTCGCCAGTGGTTATGTTGCTAGAATTAATACTGGAGCGCCCTTGCCAAAGGGAGCAGATGCGGTTGTACAGGTCGAAGATACAAACGGTAAAGAGGATCGTTTTTTGAAATGTTGTAAAACGTAGCCATCAGTGATCAGCATGGACGATGACGGAGAAGAAACAGAAGTCTCTGTCGTCGCCGTCCCGGTTGGAAACGACATTCGGCCAATCGGCTCTGACGTTTCTGCTGGCGATGCTCTTTTATTCCCTGGAGACCGACTGAACCCTTCGAAAATCGGTCTTTTATGTACAACTGGAAATCGTTTGATAAAAGTCTTCCGAAGGCTCAAAGTCGTCGTTTTCTCAACTGGTTCGGAAGTTGTCGAACTAGACCAACGCGAACTCAAACATGGGCAAATTTATGACGCGAATCGATACGCCCTAATTGGATTTCTTGAGAATCTTGGATACTGTGAAGTCATTGACGGAGGAATTCTACCGGACAAGCCCCAAGTTTGCCTTGATGCTTTCACAACAGCCCTAGAAGACGAAGTTGATGTGATCCTGACATCTGGAGGCGTGAGCATGGGGGATAAGGACTACATAAAGAGCATTATTACGAATGATCTCGGTGGAAAACTTCAATTTGGAAGAGTAAATATGAAGCCAGGAAAACCAACCACTTTCGGAACAATAGGAAAAGTTCAAAAAAAAACGTTTTAGTCAGCTAAAAAGATCTTCATTTTCTGAACTTGAAGTAGGCTCGACTTTGTTCTTCGGTCTTCCAGGAAATCCATCCTCCTCTGCCGTCACATTCAATCTTTTTGTGAAACCTGCGTTGCGAATGATGACCGGACAGAATCCACGACCCAATGTTGTCAAAGTCAAACTAGCGCAAGAAATTGTTTTCGATGGCAGACCTGAGTATCATCGTTGCGTTCTAGGTAGATAATTCCCTTCTTTCTCGTTCTATTTTTGCGTGTAGATTATTCCCGAGAAAGTGACCTCCCCATGGCAGTTTCCACTGGCTCCCAGTGCTCTGCGAATATCCAGTCGATGGCCAAAGCCAACGCGTTAATAATCGTCCCGCAATCTTCCGACGCAAAAGAGTCCTACGCATCGGGCGAGATTGCCTGCGCCATGCTTATCGATGATTTTTAAACATAAACCACCACTCCTGTCTTCCTTCTCACCGTGCCAAATCAAAACCGTTACTGTCTTCCTTCTTTACATGTTCGTCCTCATTTTTCTTCAATTTAGCCTTTAACAAATTCTTCAAATTGAAGTCAAAAGTCCTGAATTCTTACTTTTCAGAAACTATCAGAAATGGGCGATGGGCTGTTTGATATCCCACGATACGAGCCAGAGCGAATTGAGAAGCTTCCAGAAAAGAAATCGAGGAATTCATTTTTAGAAAAGGCAAAAGAGCGAGCTGCGAAAAGAAGGCTTCAAGAACCACTTCCTGAAAAAGAGCCAGAAAAGCGCAAGACGAAAGCAGAGCCAGTAAATGATATCAAGACAGAAGTTGAGAATCTAAGCATCAACCGAGATGAAGAAGATATCAAAACTGAAATCATAGAAGAGAACCACGAGCCTGAAGAGCCCGAAGACTTCAAAATCTTCGACAACATCCAAGCGCAAAAGAAAAAGCGCCTGGCAGCGAGTTTCCCGCGTTGGTGCGAAAATCCCGAGGTCATTGACGGCGACTTTACAAATCTGCCGCCGCTAGAAGAGCTGCACGAGTTTCTTGATGAGACGATTTACAAGAACTTGGAGGCGATGAATTTTACGACGGTGTTTCCTGTTCAAAGGGCGATTATTCCGGAGCTGTTGAAAAGAGGGCCTCCGAGGGATTTAGCTGTTCAAGGAAGGGGGTTAAAGTTTATTGAGTAATTATGTTCAATCACGGTTCTATCAGATAATGGAGGTGACTTTCAGGGATCATTTTAAAGTATATTGTAAAATTCTTCGTTAACAAAATTTCCAGAAATGAATCATTTTAAAAAAATATCAAATGAAATGGAAAATATTGATAGTTTTCCTTCTTATATCCGCGAGCAGGTGTTTCTACTATCGTCATCTAGCCTGCTATCTACCTTGATCTAGATAAGATTTTAATCCTCTGAAAGCTCCCACTGGTTCTGGAAAAACGATAACATTTCTCGTCCCAATTGTTCAAAAGCTCATGCAACGCGCTATCCCTGCCATCCGCGCTCTCATCGTCCTGCCCACCCGAGAATTGGCAAAACAAGTCTACGACGTAATGCTAGAACTCATCAAAGACACTAAGCTGACTGGCATGATTATCGGTGGAGCAACATCGTTGGAGCAAGAATGTAACAAATTAATTCAAACCATCGGCGGAAAGAAATATGCGACGTGTGACATCATCATTGCAACTCCCGGCCGACTTATGGACCACTTAGATAGCGGAATGGATCTCACACGATTGCGATATCTTGTGGTAGACGAAGCGGATCGAATGAGAGGCGCTTGGCTGGAAAAACTGGAGCAGAAAACTAATAGAGCGCTCGTTCAGAAACTTCTTTTCAGTGCTACCCTAGCCAGTGATCCGCAATTTCTTTCATCGCTAAAGGTAGTCCTCTTCATACCAACAACGAATCACAATTTTTTTTAGCTTCGTTTTCCAAAGCTCTACACATCGGGTTGGACACAGCCAGCGGGACTTACCGAAGAAATGATTCGCTACGGGCGACTGGACGAAAAACCGCGCATTATTAGATCACTGATCAAGGAGGACACTCGCGCTCTCATTTTCGTCAATTCGAACGAGTCCGCTGTGGCATTGGATAAACTGTTGAAAAAGAGTGGCATGCGGTCAGAGTCAATAGCCGGAGCGCTCGAAAATTGGCAACGAACAAATGCAATTAAGAAGTTCAAAAAGGGAAAGATTTCAGGTACTCTTCCTTGATTTCAAAGACGTTTTTTTCACTCAATTTTCAGCTATAATCTGCACAGACGTCGTCGCAAGAGGGCTCGATTTAGACTGCTGCAATACAGTTATTAACTACGATGTGGCCTTATCTGCAGCTACTCATGTTCACAGATCAGGCAGAACAGCTCGGGCAGGCAGTGCGGGAGTGTGTATCACTCTTTGCCAGTTGAAGCACAAACCTTATTTCTTCATGATGAAAGAACTGGGAAGGACGTTTATTCAGCGATCGTCAAAATTAGAATTAAAAGAAGAACCGATGGAAGAATAAACTGTATATGAAGAAGACGATTCTCTCTCTTCAGAAAATCATTAAGAGTTTTATAGAATGATTTCCTCCGTTCTTTATTTGGAGCAATTCATCGAAAGTCTCGACCCGCTGCCCGGCGAGCTCGCGAAAAGTTTCAAAGACATGCGCGAAATGGACGTCAAAGTTGAGCAGCAAAAAGCGCTCGCGGAAAACATGACCAATGTAAGAGCATTTGCTAAAAGTCAAACAAGCTGAACTGAATTCTGGAACTAAGGATTACAATAAAAGAGCTCACGAAATGGCGGAAAAGGAAATGCGCGACCATGTGAAGCAAATAGAAGCTGCGTGGCAAAATGCCGCGAAGTGGCAAGACGAAAAAGTCAGCTTGGCAACGGCAACATATGAAATGGTAGAATGATTCGTTGAAAATAAAATCAAGCGGTTTGCAGGTTGATAAACACATCAGGCGATTAGACAGCGACTTATCGCGCTTTGAAAGCGAGCTGGCAGAACGCGGTGGTCTCGATTCCGCCAGTCCGACCAGCGATAAAAGTAAGCCCTACTCTTTCAACATCCAAAATAACAATTTCAAGGAAAACGAGGTCGTCCCGAAGAAGGTGAAAATTATCAGCTTGCCGCGCAAGATGTCCTCGACATGCCCGTTGATCCAAACGAGCCGACATACTGCTCCTGCCATCAAGTTTCTTATGGAGAGATGATCGGCTGCGACAATCCCGACGTAGGAGCTTTAAGACGAAACTCTTTTTAACTTTTTCTAGTGTCCAATCGAGTGGTTCCATTTCGGTTGCGTCGGGTTGGTTCAAAAACCAAAGGGCAAATGGTACTGTGCCAGATGCAAGCCACAGGCTGCCGAGCCCGGACCAAAGAAGAAAAAGAAATAAAAGTGCCCTCGATTTTGTTTTCCGATTTTCCGAACTTGTTTGAGTGCGCGTCTAATATTCCTTTCAACAACTGCCCAAATTTTACTTTTTGCCATTGAAAAGTGAACTCTTATTGATTTTGGATGTTTTTAGAATCGGATGGCCCAGCATTTTCATGGGCAATATGGGCCGGGTCGACGAGATCTGCCCATGGGTGGCCCAACGGGAAGCCCTGCGCCACGCGTCCGGGCTACCTCGTCCAACGGTGCTAGAGGGTTTCCTCGCACTCCGCAAATGGTACCTAACAACACCATCAGTCCCAACCCGACTAGTCCACCAGCGGCCCCCGTCAATCCGATGATGATGATGATGAACATGATGCGCAAGAATCCAAACGCCAATCCAGAGTGGATTGAATTCATGCTCCCGCGTATGATGACCCAAATGCAGTCAATGATGCAAGAGTTCCGCAATCAAAAAATGAACAAACAGATGAACCCAACCCCTGGCTTCTCAAAAACCCCAAATCTTTCTGGAGCGGAGATGAACGAAATCAAACTCGCCCTGGATTCGCTTCAAAAGAAACAATCAGCAATAGCCGCACAAGAAGCCGCCCAGGCCAACCCTGACAAAAGAAACGCACGAGTCAAGCTCGTCAAGCAAATGCGCATGCAGCTACAGAACAAGTACCTCAACTTTTATTACATCAGGGAGATCAGGGGAAATCTCATGAGCTTGCAAATGCAGCTAAACGCACTGGAAGTCTACCCTGAGGATGAAACGGATCTTTCTTTCTTCCTGTCGCAAGGGAAAGAACTTTTGGGAAAAGTGGAAAATCCTCACGGAGGAGAAGCGTCACTGACTGTTGTGAAGAATGTTTTTCAAGGAAAGGTTGAATTTAGTTGAATTCAAAGCTGAATATTCTTTGACTCATTTACTAGCCAGCTTTTGTCAACCATTTAAAAAGCTCTAAAGACCCTGATTCTCTCCGCTTCTGCCACCCAGCAGCTAAAATTTGAAGAAGCTAAAGAAACGCTCGAAGAAAAGCCCGAAAGTGCTTCAGTCAGCGAGTGCAAGCTTCTCAAAATCCACCAACTGCTCAAACGCGACTTTTCTTCGCTGACAGACACCGTCAGATACATGGAACACGCGTTTGTCCGCATCGATGGCTTCCCTGACAAGAAGGCCGTATCCAGCTGGTTCAAGTGCTGGAGAGACTTGTGGAAGTTGCAGGCGATTGCGAACCCAACGCCGGCTGCATTTTCCGGCGAAGGAGGCGAGCTACTGAAGGAGATGCTGCCACACTTTCGATCGGAACACTCGCAGTTGTTGTATAAAATTGATCAAGGAAGGTTTCACAAGCTTTTTTTTTCATGTTTACTGATTTTTGACTCAATTATAACCTCCAATAAGTCGGCATCGGTTCCTTCATCGTCGACCAAGAAGTCCTCCAGGACGACTTGGATCTGCTCAAAATCGCCTTGCATCCGATCAAGAAAAAGCCAGTGATTTCCAGCGAGAACGAGCTCCGCCAGTGGCTAGACGCCTTCAATGAAATGGAAAAAGCTGACGTTTGTGAAGACGAGTCCAAGCTTGAAATGCATCCAAAACTGCTTCGCGATGCAGTGACTTCGACTCAATGCCTCAAGAGAATACGAACCTGGCTCGGCGAGAAGTTTGCCAAGCCTCTGAGTAGATCGTAAGTTCATGAGTTTGTTTTGCTCTTCCACTCGCCCGAGGCGAACTGCCGAGAAAACCTTTTTCGATCGGGAGCCGTAGAAGTTTATTTACAAGCGTCCGATTCCAAACTTTATGAAGAAATAATCCTTCAAAGATACAGTTAGCACTGCCCTTAGAAACTCGTGTTGATTCCATTTGCATGTACAAAAATGTCTTTTTTATCATTTCCTTGTCCACATTTCTTTGATTATTCCAGCTGTTGCACTGATGTTAGAACTCGTGGTTAGGGTACACTTTTTTCAGACCGTGGATAGTAGAATCAAATTCGATTTTTCGACGCAGCGAATCATACATGTCATTTTTTCTTACTGTAGCTGTTCAATTCTTAGAAATAAAAAACGCTTTTTTCAGTTATCAATATTTTTCACATTTTCAAAGCTGCCAGTTCACTAATCCACTTTTTAGGTTGTCAAAGTTGGAACTCAGAAATAAGTTTAATTTCAGGCCGCTTCCTGGGCGTCTCGAGGATATCCTCGCCAACCTAGATGATGCCGAATCCATTTCAGAGAGCCACACGCTCCTCATCAAAGCTCTTCTCAAAGAGCTCGAAGAACGTCGCGGCTGGATTGCCGACCGCTTCGACTCACTCGAGGATCAGAGGCTGCTTGAATGCGCCATTCAGCTGGCCATAGTCATGATTTCTTCGAAACACGACGGAATCGTTGTCCTCTTGGGCGGCAAAGATGGCCAGGTCGCGCAAACACTTGCAAATGTGAAGAAAATTGAAGCGGCGAAAAAGGGACCAGTGAAGGCTGATGTTGTCACAATCACTGCTATTTTGACGAGCATCAGGAAAGGAGCTTGATTTTTCTGTCTGATTGTCACGAAAGAGCATTTTTAAGCTCTGAATAAAGAGAGGAAGAATCGCCAAAGAAAAACGAGGATGAAATCGACCTGGACGACTCCGAAGAAGAGGAGGAAGAGCGAGAGCAAGAAACACCTCTTAATCCGGCTAACATGAAGCAGCACCTTCAAAATCTCCTCAACAAACTCGACGGAAAGCCAAAAGAAGACGCTCCTCCTGCCGCTGAAGAAGATCCAGTCGAGGAAGAGCCAATCTCTGACCCGGAAATGGAGGAAATCTCATCAGACGAGACCGAAGACGAAGAAACACCGATCGACTTTGGTGCAGCTCTGAAACCTCCGTCCCCGCCTCCACAGGTTGAAATCAACGAGGAGAACGTCAAATTACTCAAAAACGCAAGGCCGATTCCGACAATTCCAGTTCACAATCCAAGACACTTTCACATAAGCCAAAAGCATCGTCGCGGTCGATTGACTCACTTTTCTGAGCCTCCTGAAATCGGTTAGTAATCACAGTTATGGCCTTTTTTACGAATCTTTTCAGGAAATTGTTATGAAAAACTCGCAACAAAACGCACAGCAAAAGCGGATTTGGAGATGGAAGACGAGCTGATGAAGAAATCAACGGCAAATATGAACAACATCATTTTGATTTTGACATCCGGCGGGGACACTCCAACTTATGATGAGCGCAATGGATCGAGAGCAAGTACACCAGCGAATCCAGACTCGGCTGAAGAGGGAGAATGTAATGATGATGGAGTCGAGTTGAAACCAAGTTTGAGAATCAAGAATTTAATCGACAGCCCTGAACGGTAAGTATCAGCTCTTTTGCCCTTCTAAATTTATTGTAGTGAGGAGAAAGAGGCTAAGAAATTGCAAGAATCAGCTTCCGAGCAATTAGAAAAGGCCAAAATACGACTTGAGCGCGTCGAATCGTCCCCTCCTAGAATCAAGTCCATCGACAAAGATGATCCCGACATGTCGGAAATTTCGAGCGACGAGTCTGACGAAGAAGAACCGGTCAAGCAAGGGCCTCTTCCTGAAGCCGTGTCAGAGCTTGCAGAGGCTGTTACTGATCCTCCCGAGTCCATGATTTCACAAGAGCCAAGCACAATCGAGGTGATCAAAAAAGAGAATCGAAGAAAATCTACAGATCAGGAGAAAACGCCCGAAAAGCCCAAAATCGTCGCAAAATACTCGAGCGAGGACGAAATTCCTTCAGACTCAGAGCCCCAGCCTGACGACAAAAAAGCAGCAGCGAAAACAAGTGAAAGAATAAAATTAGAACCTATTGTACTTCAAAATCGAAATAAATCGAGAACCAACGGCGCCCATCACAAGCACGAGCCCACAGTTAGATTCCGACCAACTTTCAGTCCCGAGCGAGAGGAAATGATTGAAAAGCCAGAATTAGATATTATCAAAAAAGATAATCTTTCACAGGTACATCTTTCTCTTTCCTGCTTATCAATTAAGTTAATCTCTCAGGATTCACAAGAGTCAAAGTCCGACTTCGACAGGACCCGGTCCATCACCAGCGACGCAGACTCCATCGACCGACTTGAGAGCATTTCTCAGCGCTCTTCCGAGACATCTTCGAAGCACAACTACGTCCTGACTGATATATCCCCGCCGCAGCCTCCGTCGAAAAGAAGGTCAAAGGAACTTGCACCTCCACCGCCTCCTTCTTCCAGCTCCCGGCGGAAAGAAAGAAGAAGCTCGTCCAACTCCTCGAATTCAAGGCACAATCTTCCGATGCCCCCGCAACCTGCATCCAGGCGCAAGGAACATAAAGTCACGATCGCGAAGGGCCAAAGTCTCAAAGAAGCGCTAGAATATACTCCGGCTGCGAGAAAAAGGAATAGTTCTTAGAACTCGAAAGTATTATCCCGTACTTTGACAGATTAAGAACTCATAAAAAGTGCTCCTGTAAAACAATCAGCAGAAGAGCGAGTAAAAGCTCTGAAAGCGCGTCTGGAAGAGATGGAGCGAGTCATGCGAACTGGAGTCATAGATTCTTCAAGTCTGAAGAAGGGGCCGCAGTCCGCGCTGGATGAAGAGTATTACCCGACAGGAGCAAAGGCTAAGAAACAAAAGAAATCCCGGTACCAACAAGTAGCAGAACCGCCTCCTCCGCCACCTGCTAAGAAGAAAGCACCTCCCCCACCTCCTCCACCAAAGCGTCAATTCGGAGCAGAGCCACCTCCCCCTCCCAAGAAAACAGACTCACCTAGAAGTCGTTCCCCTCCCCCAGCACCACCAAAATCAGGACGAGACATTTCTACCCGTCCTCCTCCACCACCCCCTCCAAAGAACACGAAGAAACCTCCACGAACCCCTGAATCCGACGAGTTTTCTCTCAACGATAGTCTCACAATAGTTTCCAATTCACCGCGCTCGCCGCGTTCACCCTCATCACCTTCTCCTCAACGACCAACTGAAAATCGAGGACCTTCGACTCCACCAGCCCCACCGCGGCGTTCACGATCCAGGTCCTCTCCCTCCCCAAGCAAGACAAGATCCAGACGGGCAAGATCACCAAAAACTCCATCTCCAGAACGACCAGCTCCTCCATCTCCGCCAAGAAGATTGTCAGATGGAGTAGCAGGGCCTCAAGCACCGCCAAGAAAACTCTCAGATGGACTTGCTGGACCTTTACCACCCCCATCAACAGATTCACCAGCAAAGCGAAAGCGCGAGAAATCCGGATCCGGGAATGAGCCATCCTCGAAAATCCATGTTCTTCAAGATGAAGATCCCTTTGACAGCTTTGGCGCTGGCCCAATGCCTCCTAGACCACCAACAAGGTTTGAAAGTAACTAAAAGGGTGGTTCTTAAAATCTTTCTTAGTAGATCGGCACCATCCCCTGATGCTTTTGGCCCAGCACTGCCAGCTGGTATAACTCCTTTCGATGATCCAAACAGCGAAGAAGATGAATGGGTAGTAAAACCGCCAAGGTAAGCCAACGGATTTAGAATTGACTCCCCCTATTTAATTTTCTAGCTCTTCGAAAAAGTCCAAGAAAGAAAAGAAAGAGAAGAAAAGGAAGAAGGACAAGAAACGCAAAAGCAGTAGATCAGGTAAATCAAACACTTTGTCCAGGCACTCTTCATTCGGATTTTCAGAACGATAACAAGAATGCAAGTCCGAAAGTTCACCGCAACATCTCTACTGCTCCCAGAAACTTACAGTACCTTTACTGTACAAAGTTGTCTAGAAAGTTCAAGACGCTCGACTAATTACTCGGGTGAGAATGCATCGAAAACCATGTTATTAAAATTGAACAAACCCACACTGAATTCAAGGTCTTCTCGCAATTTATTCTACCAACAGGAAGTGAAGTTAAGAAATGTAGACAGTCCATTTTACTCTGTCTAAATTTGTAGTGGTCATTCTGAATAGTTGTTGTTTTCATCGACAGTTGGGTTATTGTTCTCATCGAGGATTTGCATATTCTTGTGTTTTGTTTATGCTCCGCCGACAATATTGTTATATACGTAAGAGCAGGTGCACAGCTGATTTGCTTTCTCTGATAAGGCCGCCTGCTACATGTGCGCCATCTCCTATCACCTTTGACTCCAATCGTATCTACTTCAGATCGTTCGAACAGATGCGTTTTACTAGAACTCTGAGATCCTCGTTTCGGGCCGCTTTGGCAAAGCAAATCGAGTTCTCTGGGCCACTTACTGTCGCTCAATTTATGCAACAATCCTCAACAAATCCCATGCAAGGATATTATACTAATAAAGATCCTATAACGGTAAGGGTCCTGAATTTCCCTTTGATGCTCTAAAAATCTTCGAATCAACTTGACGGACCCTTAAAATTGGCGGACGGTGACTTCATAACTTCCCCTGAAGTGCACCAAATGTTTGGCGAGCTAATCGGAGCGTGGATTCTCCAAGAATGGACAATTGCTGGAAAGCCTGAATCTTTTGAATATCTTGAACTCGGGCCTGGTAGAGGCACACTCGCTAAAGATGCTCTTAATGCTATTCAAACTCTGCTAGATAAACTGAGTGAAAACAAGGAGGACTCTCAGAAGACTCGGATAAATGTCCGTTTTGTAGAAGTTTCTCCTGTTTTGTCGAAGAAGCAAGCAGAAGTTTTAGGTAAGAATTTTCCCTAAGGAAGATTTGTGAGCCTGTTTTCCAAGATATTAGAGCGGTTTTTATATGAAATTATATCAAGAAAGACACATATTTTGATTTTTCGGATTTTATTTATACTGATTTTGACTGAAAACACACACACAACTGTAGAACTGACTTTGCTTTTTAGAAGAGAGTGAAAATATTAACAAATATAAAAGGGAATATAAACTAAATGTTTAGTAATAGAATCCCTGTCGGGGCTGTTGGTAATAAAAGCCTTGCTTAGGCTGCTGGTAGTAGAATCCTTGCTTGGGCTGTTGGTAGTAGAATCCCTGTCGTGGCTGCTGGTAGTAGAAGCCCTGGTCATAGTAGAATCCCTGCTTTGGTTGTTGGTAGTAGAAACCCTGTCGTGGCTGCTGGTAGTAGAAGCCCTGGTCATAGTAGAATCCCTGCTTTGGTTGTTGGTAGTAGAAACCCTGTCGTGGCTGTTGGTAGTAGAAACCCTGCTTGGGCTGCTGGTAGTAGAAGCCGTCGTAGTAGAATCCTTGTCGTGGCTGCTGGTAGTAAAAACCCATTTTTATATTATTGTTTTGCTCGATTTTCTCTCGATGAAAAACGAAGGGGAGAGCCCAGTATTTATGAGAGCTTTCGTTTCCGTTTTACCTAATTAAAATTGCCTTCCTGTCTAATTATTATCTGGTTTTATATAATTAGACTATAAATGAAGGGATTTAGGGCGTCTAAAAATGCTTTCTGACGGAATCACTTACATATTATTTCTAGTTCGAATCTCTAAAGAACCATAAGAAGCTTCTTTTGAACTTTGAATAGATATCATGCTAGTTGTAGGCTCATTAGTCTGGAGGTGTTCAGAACGAGTACTAGCTTGTAGATATCTTTCTTGCTAGAGGCAACAGTGAAGAGATGTTCTATACCTAGGCCGAAGTAGTCGGAAAGGAACGCCTGAGAAGAGAGGCTTTCCCGGCCATCGGGTTAAGCAATTTTTGTACGCTCCAACAGGAGCATGCGATGAATAAATTTCAGCTTACAGAGCCATTCAGGTCTTACGATTTCCGAAGTATCAGAAGTAGAAGGCCAAGGATGTTACATGAAAGCCACGAACGGTTCAAATCTTAACGCCGAGTGGTATCGAAACTTTGAAAGCTTGCCTGAATCTGATGATATTTGCTTCGCCATATGTAATGAGTTCTTTGATGCGCTGCCGATTCACCAGTTTGATTTCAACGAGAACACCCGCCAGTGGAGAGAAGTGATGGTGGACGCCGACCCTGTTGAAAAAGAAAAGCTTCGTTTTGTCACTGCTCCTGGCGACACCCCTGCAGCTAAGGCACTCCTCCCCATGTTCGACAATGAAGATCTTGAGGGAAAAAGACGGGTAGAAGTGTCCCCTAGTTCATTAATCCACTGCCAGTGGCTTTGCGAAAGGATAATGAAACAAGGTGGTTCATCTTTAATAATCGACTACGGACACGAAGGACAAAAAGAAGACACTCTCCGTGGTTTCAAAAATCATCAGCTCGTCGATGTGCTGGAAAATCCTGGAGACGTGGATATAACTGCCGATGTCAATTTTTCCCACTTGAGATCTGTCGCTGAAGCCGTCGGGGTGGATGCAAGTGAAAGTATCACACAAGATGTGTTTTTGAAAAATATGGGGATTGATACAAGGTAAAATTTTCTAGAACAATTTGTTTATTTTAAAAATAAAATCAAAGAATTTTTTTTATTATCCCGGGTTGGGAATTAAAAAAGTAAATTTCGAATAAATTCAAAATTTCACAAAAACAAATTGTTCTAGAAAATAATTTAATGTCTAAATAACTCAATTACCCCAAAATAGGGCAATTCATGAAGGCTATCCTTTTAGAGTCTAAAATTTAGACTCTTGATGCTTATGCGAGCGACAATTTCCGGCCCCGCAAGAAAAAATCTCTCTGAATGCTTCGATTATCTAATGAAAGAAATGGGCCCTAAATTCCGAGTTATGGCGGTTTCTCATCCCGCTCGGCAAAAATCTGGAGAAGAGATGCCTGGATTCTATGCTCTGCAACAAGATCATTCTGCATTTATGCGCGCGCCACCAAAAATTGATATTGAAGGCGACTTGAAATAACAATTCTTAACTGTTCATCAAAATAAACAAATTGAAAATGGGAAACAAAGTTCCAACTGATTAAATTTTAAAACTCTAGAATGGATTTGAATAAATCTGGGTCGCAAAACGAGACGATATTCAAGAGGGTTGAAGAAATCTCAAAACTGCTTTGTCTGGTAAATTCGATGTTCCCTGGAGTCATGGAAGAATAACGGTTTTTCCTAGTCGAATCGACAAGTAACCGATGATGCTCTGCTCAACAATCTCCTAACAGAACTGAATAAATACATCATCAAATGCAAGAAACAGTCCGAACTAAAAGCAAGGAGCGCCGAATTCCTCAAAATCTTGCGAGAAGCATTCAACAACTGCGAAAATCTGAAGGCTAACAATCTTGCATTTTTGATCGAGTTCTTCGGCAATTCGATTGATTACTTTGAAGCTCCGGTGTGTATCAAGAGCTTTTTGAGGCTCCAAGAAAGCGATATTTTTGAAAAGGAAGCGTTGATCAGAAGTTCTTGGCTATCAGCATACACTGGTTTCATCGAAAGATTCGAAGAAGTAAAATCTTATATTTTATCAGCAATTATAATCCTCATTCAGGAAATCAGCAACGAAGAAGCCAGAGAAGTCATTCAAAAGCTTTCCAATGATATTTCTGTCTTCGTCTCCCGCCAAGCTCAACTCACAACGATCGCTCTTCTTCTGCGTAACAAAGAAAATCAAGACGAATTCGAAAAGATCGTTAATGATTGCGTCTTCCCCTCTTCTGATTTTCTCTACTCGCTTCTCGTCAATGTCAAGAGAATGAAATCTTCGGGAACAAGTCCTGTCGAGCTGTGTAAGAAGATTTATTCTTTGATGTCCAAGGAGCAGAAAAGCGCTAGAATCGTCGAACTTTATTTGGACATGCATTCAATAGCAGCCGCCCCTGGTCTTTCTGAAGACGAATGTTTCGAGATCACCGACGAGTTTTTCATAAAGGAGCATTTTCGTATTCACACGCTGGTAGCTTCGATGCAAGATGATCCAAATACCGCCGTGGGTGGATGTTTACAAAGAATGCTGGCAATTTTGGACGATGAAGAACAACCACATGTGCAGTTTCTCGATGTTTTGAAGAAAATTGATAATTATCTGGAAAGTGTTCAACAACAAGTTTCTTACTCTCAAAATCTATATTTTGAACTCTCAAAAGTCACCTGAATGCAGACTCTTAGTTGTTAATTTTTACAAAAACTACTTCAAAAATATGCCTCCAGTCTTCAACAAAAAGCTTCAATTTATGACGATAAAAATCTTCGTTCATTTCATGACAACAAATACTTCTGAAGATTTCGAAAAAACACTGTATTCAACCCTCTTCGAAGTTTTGACAAATGATCGTGTTTCTGAAAAGGTAGCTCTTTATCACTTGAATTATCAAAGAAATGTTTCAGCTAAAATATCCAATCTACTTGGCCTTTGGGTATTTGACGAACAATGACTCCGTGAAAGAAGTCTGCAAGTATATTCCAGATGCTTATGGCGCGATAACAATTGAAAACTGGCAACTGAAAGATTCTATTCTGGAATGCTTCTATGAATGGTCGAAGAAGAGTTTTTCATATGATGAGAACTTCATCAAACAGTCGGAAGCGATTCTGAAAAATGCAGTAGAAGATGAGAATCCTTCCGTGAGGACGAGCGGGATCAGGAAAGAGTTCAAAACTTGGAATTTCAGAGAAGGCTCTCAGTTAGTTACTGACGCTTTACAGAACTCCGAAAAGAGCGTACGCACTTTTTGCAGAAATCAACAAAGAAAAATGTCCAGAAATTCTTGTTCAGCTTCTCGAGCGAACGACTAGCGACATGGACTTTAGTACTCGTCGAATGGGAGTGCTCACCGTCTCAAGAATTCTCAAAAATATACAGTCTCCATTTGAGCATTCAGAGATGGAAGCGATCATACACGACACATCCCCAATTCTGGAATACAAGCGCCGGAAGATCAACAACTTGTTGAGCTTAATTTCTTACATGGTTCGTGATGATGATTGGGAAGTGCGTAAGAACATTATTGGCTTGATCTGTGAATGTAAAGATCGCAATGAAGACAGTAAAATAGCCGCTTATTTAGAAGAAATGCTAAAGCTACTCATTGAAGACCAAGTTGGAATAGGTAGGGTCATATTTAAACATGTATAAAGGGCCCTTAATTTGGACCCTTATTTGTTAATACAATGTCTATACACGTTTTCTTCACTTTCCTCTTCGAAAATTTATTTATTTCTAGTTTCGGATGCAGCAAAACGAGCTCTCGGAATAGAGCTCTCAAGTCGGAAGGAATACAGTACCGAGAGGCTAGAAGAAATTCTGACAGACATAGAGTTGAACCTGGCCGTGATTCATGAAGAAGGAAAGCTGGAATTTTCAGATAACGAGATGGATAACTTTGCTGACTGCTATTAGATGAACACCGGCGTTATCACACTTTACTGATACTGTCAATTTGCACACGGATAATAAACTTCTACTGCCGAAAACTGACGAAAGCAGTTTATGAAAAAAAAACTGCAGAAAATTTACGTCTTTTGATTTATTAGGAGCAGGAAAGATGGCGAATTTGAAGCGTTGTTTTTATAAACCAAAACGATGCGATTTCTCCATGGGGGCATTCCAGAGACGAACTTGTTCGAGCGGCTCAACTGTAGGATTCCAGCGGGGGAGGACGTCTCGACCGGATTTAAATCGCTTCCACAAGTAAAACCCCATGTCTATTTTTGCAGAAATATAATTACGAATAAAGACTCTTTACAAAATCTTACAGGCGAGGCAACTAATGACGATTACGATGAAAAATATTCCCATGATGTTGTTCTTCTTCGCTTTCCCACGGCTCTATTTTCTTTCAATAGATGTTTTCAAAAAACTTTTTTGTGGGGCCGGAAATCGTAAAAAAAACTGCAAGTGCAGTTTTCTTCAGCTCGTCGAGACGAGTCGAATGATGGGTCTAACTCTTGATAACTCTAAGGATTTACCGGTTTACCGGCTGGTTACCGGAAAATACGTTGTCACCGGCCGTTTTTGTTCTAGAAGTGATAAACAGATGATCGACCCAGGAAATTGTTCCTTATAGTCAGTTCTACAGCAGGCTAAAAGATGAGAGTCGTATCATTACTCCGAAGAGAGTTATCACTAAAAACAGTAAATTTTGCATAAATTTCGTTGTCGCTGCACGTTCCTGATTTCTAGTCCCATTTCCGCCAGAAATAGTATTTTAGTGATAACTCTCTTCGGAGTAATGATACGACTCTCATCTTTTAGCCTGCAGTAGAACTGACTATAAGGAACAATTTCCTGGGTCGATCATCTGTTTATCACTTCTAGAACAAAAACGGCCGGTGACAACGTATTTTCCGGTAACCAGCCGGTAAACCGGTAAATCCTTAGAGTAATCAAGAGTTAGACCCATCATTCGACTCGTCTCGACGAGCTGAAGAAAACTGCACTTGCAGTTTTTTTACGATTTCCGGCCCCACAAAAAGTTTTTTGAAATCATCATAATTCTTAAGTTGAAAAGTATCAAGGAAAGAGGCTATCTCCCTTCAGCTTCTTCACGGACGAGTGATCAATCGTATGGAACATTATACGGCCGAGGGCGGAATTATGTATCGATTTTTAAACACTGAGACTGAAATTTGATAATTAGCTCGTTTGGGCGCGTGAAAGATTTAGGATTTCAAGTGGAGATCAAGGACTGTATCGAGTAGGCAACGAGGCTTGATGATTTCTTTGCACATTATTTTACCGCTTGGCTTGGCAGATGCATCCATCCTGCTGTGCCACGTTTGACTCAGAATAACGAAAAAAGAGTTCAGCAGTTCTTTACCATTGAGTCTTCACTGTAGATTCTAGAGGCAAACACAAGCATTTTCATCATTGAGTACTTTGGCCGCTTACTACGACATCTGATAATATGCTCTATCTAAAAATACAGTATTTTACAGTCTGTCATATATTCTTTGACGTGTACCTTCAATTCTTGTTGTATATTTTGCTTTCTTCCAGAATCAATTATTGACTCTTTTTTTGTCTTGAAATAAAGACCTTTGATTATTATTTATAGTCGTCGTGTTTCTTGAGAAATCTCAGTAGATAGCGTCTCCTAAGAAAGTTCTCCAACATTTGGCATGAACTTTTGGACACTTGTCTTATCAAAAACATGGATATATTTATCTGAAATTGACGATTAAAAATTTAAGGATATAAACAAGACTTTCTTCTATGTCTCCTTCGCCGAAGCATGTGACATGCTGCATCTAGCAGCCTGTTATGGCGCTAGCAAAGAGCATCATCATCATCATTCGAACAGTTCTGGAAACCTTGATGTTATAGTAATGGACAAGCAAAAGAGTATACTACCCATTAGGGACTTTCATACTGTTTTTCTTCGTTTTCAAGACACTTAGCTCGAGTGCCTGTGAATAAATTTATCTCCCTATAAAACCAGAAGGCGCTAACAGACGCCAACCAAATTCGATTAAACAAGATAAAAACGACAATAAGACAAAATAAGTCCAAAGAAAAATGAGAATCTCAAAAGTTCTGTTCACTCTTTTTTTCGCCCTTTTTGCTGCCCAAGAAACGGAAATGAAGAAGACTGAAGTCACTGGAGACATGGAGGAGAATCGAAATCAGCAGATGAAAATGATGAAGAAAAAAAGTGCAATTGAGGAAATTATCGCGAAGAGAAATGACTTTTTGAAGAACTTAGAGGTACATTTGCGAATAAGGGCGAGTCTAAGCAAAGTTAAGAAACTGAAATCGAACGATATGAACACACTTGATGGATACCTAGGAAAATCGCTCAACTATGGCCGTCCTCACTCCGACAGAATGTTTCAATTTGTCCGACTCGTTTGATGACCCTCTTTTTTTACTTGTTACTTTTTTCAGTTTTTCAGTGAATAAATTTTTATAATAAAAAATCGGTTGTTTTTGAAAGTCGCGCAGCTGTTTTTTGTTATGAAAAAGAAGTCAAAATCGAGATTCGATCAGCGAGAAAAAAACGGTTGTTCTGATTTTCGCCATTCAAAAAAACGGAGAAATGTCGCCACCAGCGCCGGATTTTATTCCGACTCTGGACCCGAAAGAAGAGCCGGATTCGTTAGAGTTCCACAGCGTCACGTGAGTGTTCCATCAATCGTCGAGATATGAAATTGAGCTTTCAAGAGCTACTGAAACTCAACTAGACTTGAAATTTCAACGACCGCTAGAAGAATTGAGACGGAAGGGATCGACAAGAGGGTTAGATCCAGTTTTAGAAACGCCAGAGAAAAAGTAAGTCACATGATTTTTATTGTGGTGAGATTCTTGAACTTCAAAAAATTTGAATTCTATCCCCTTAATTGAAATTTTAAGCAAAGTAAGGACTTCATTTTACTTTTAAGTGGGTAGTCAATAAGTATCTTGATTTGCAAGCGGATTTCTTTTTCAGTAATAACGAAGTGAGTCCCTTATTCCCCATAAAAAAGGGGAAAATAAGGGTGTCACTATGTTTAATCCGCAAGAAAAGTCCACTTGTAAATAAAGATACTTGATGACTACTTCCTTGAAAGTAGAATTAGAAGTTGGAACATTTCTTAAGGGGGTAGCCTTCAAATTGTTTGAAGGTCAAAAACTTCGTTCAGATAATATCTCATCTGAAGTTTGCGTCATTTTTCGTTTTCTGTTTGCCGAATTTTTACTTTTGAAAAAGGCAAAAAAAAGAGGCCGAAAAAAGCTGAAAAACTGACGAATAAAGAAAATCGATGAATCATTTTTTTGTTGCTCGTATTCACTCGCCAAACACCAAAGCCGGAGAAAGATAAAAAAACGGCGGATTTATTTAGCTGACCTTTTTTGTTTTATTTATGACGCCAGAGAGAAAATATTTTCGAAAACGAAAAAATGAGAAAACAAAGAGGAATAACTTTCTTCAGAAGAAAACTTAAAATTCGATTTTGATTTACTTTGAATCAATTTATCTCTTTTTAAAAATTAATTAAGGGTGCTCCCTCAGGAGTTTTTTTCCAGGAAAAAAGTTGAAGGTTTCTGTTAATTTTTAACCAATCTTTTTCTTTCGGAAAAAATATCGCTTGGGGTAACCTTAATCTGATTTTCTAACAACGAGTTGTTTCAGAATGGCTCGTCGTGGGGAAGACGAACAGACAAAGGTGAGTTCTTACTGTAATGATCTGTAAATGTCAGATTTTAAACACAATTTCTGACACATAATTTCGCTCTCACGCAAGAATTTTTATCATAACAATTGAAGATAACATTTCGCGGCCTGGAGCCGCGCATCCTTGCCAAGAACAAGGGTACTCCTCTTTTGCCATCCTTGAATTCAGCCGTAAGACCCTTTTTAACAATCTTAGTTCTCATTTTTCGAAAATTGCTCTAGAGCTACTTCCAGTTAGCTTTATAAGGCCTCCCTTTCTAGTAGAATCGTCATTTTCAGGGTGGTCTTATATTTCCTACTTTCTGTAGCTCTCATTTTTCGAATCATTAGAAACTAACCAAAATGTTGTCTCGTCGATTTACTGTCATCTTCTGAAGTTAAAAAAAAGAAAACACGAAAGGCTACTTTTCCCAATTAGAGATTGAGAAACGCCGATTCTCAGTTTGAAAATCACACCCGATCGAAAAGTTAAAATCAACCCTCTTTCAATCGCCCAAAATGGATATCCACGAACTTGAGAATGAAATCAAGTCGTTACAGGCGAATTTTGACCAGCTTCCCGGTTGGGTTGCGCAGAGATATTTGACAGAATACGAAGAGGTACCCTTATCAAAGTGATTTTTAACCCATCCAAGCGCGTACGCCAATTTTTTGGTAAAATAGGGCAAAACGCGTGTTATTAATCATTTTACCAACAAAATGGGTTGTCTGCCCGCCTGAGTTAAAAGAATTATTTTCGTCTCAAACTTTCGTCAATTTTCGAGTCAAAAAATCTCTAGATGCCAAAGAGCTCTCATCGTCCAAGCGCGCATCCTTATTTTTGTCCAAAAAATAACAGAGAAAAAAATCAATAGAAGAGGAAAAAAAGATGGACAGTTCAAAGTATTCTATGGGATCGAGAATTGTAAGAACACTTCATCTCAGTTTTCGAGGACTCTTGAAATTCGGAAACTACCGATTTTTCAAAAATATATTTTATCAATTTCAGATTTGTCAAAATCAATTAACATCTGAATCGGGACTGAAAATAAAGAATTTAATTCTACAAGTGCGATAAGAATTTATCACCGGTTGGTCGAAGCCAACTGTTGCTTCCTGTCCCCCTTGGCCAGGTCGGGGATTATCATCCGGCGGTACATTTTTCTTGCAGCAAAAAAATAGAAAACCGCAAAAAATAATATAAATTCATAGCTTTTTTGTTCACAATAAAAAAATGTCCGGAAAAGATGTCCGAAAAGGGCGGACCACTAGAGGGAGCCTTGGATCTGGGGTAAAGTCAGATCAATTCAAGAGACAAACATTTAACCAAAACAAAAATCTTTTACTAATTTTCATAGAGAAGCACGCTTTCGCATTCGTAACACTATTGTACTAATCGTAGTTTTATTCTCCTCTATCTCTCTTTTTAAAATATGCTTTTAGGTTGGGGGAGAAACCCTTGGCGGCTTCATTGGTTTCGCCAACTTGCCAAATCAAGTGCACCGAAAATCGGTGAAGAAGGGATTCGAGTTTACTTTGATGGTCGTTGGAGAATCGGGTCTTGGAAAATCGACGCTAATCAATTCTCTCTTCCTCACAGATCTCTACCCCGATCGAGAGCTTCCTGATGCCGAAGCTAAGGTTAGACGACCGACTGTCGAATGACTGTAACTGCCCTTTTCCAGATCAAACAAACAGTCTCAATGGAAGCCTCGACAGTTGAAATCGAAGAGCGCGGCGTGCGACTCCGACTCACCGTCGTCGATACTCCCGGCTTTGGCGACGCGATCAACTCTTCAAAATGCTACGATCCAATTCTCGAATACATCGATGCGCAGTTCGAGCGATATCTGCACGACGAAAGCGGACTCAACAGAAGAAACATTTCCGATAATCGAGTCCACTGCTGCTTCTACTTTATCTCGCCTTATGGACACGGCCTCAAGGTAAAGAAAGCAAGAGTTATTTCTGCAGACACGTCGCGATATAACGACGTTTTCTCTCGCCCTATCCAAGGCTTGCAAAAGAGGTCATTAAGACATGATGTCTCTGTTGAACTGATAACCCAAGAAAGCCGCTAAAACCAGCTAGAATCAACCTTTTTACCTAGCCACTGGACATTGAATTCATGAAATCTCTTCACAACCGAGTAAACATCGTGCCAGTCATCGCCAAGTCGGATACATTGACGAAACAGGAAGTCAACAGGCTCAAGAAACGCGTTCTCGACGAGATCGCCAAGGTATACATTTTCTTAAAACCATTTTCAACCCTCTTTTCAGCACAATATCAAAATCTACCAACTTCCAGACGTAGAAGACGACGAAGAAGAAGACTACAAGGAACAGACTCGAGTGCTAAAGGTAGAAATTTCTATGAATTTCGAGGATTACAATACCACTTCTAGCAATCGATTCCCTTCGCCGTCGTCGGCTCAACGACAACTATCGAAGTGAAGGGACGAAAAGTGCGCGGACGGATGTACCCTTGGGGCGTCGTCGAACTCGAAAACGACGAGCACTGCGATTATCTCAAGCTCCGAACTATGCTCATGTAAGTCCCTCCTTTCAATTTCATTTCCCTTATCTTCGCTTCAGCTCGCACATGCAAGATCTCCAAGAAGTGACACACGATCTGCATTATGAAAATTACCGAGCTACTCGACTCGACCCCGAGAATGTTGTCGAACCAGTCAAACCAGGTATTTTCCCTTTATTTTGCTGGTTCTTTCATACCAATCCTTTCTTTCAGGAAAACAAGCATCTGGCAACACTGACGCAAAACTCCGGGAAAAAGAAGCCGAGCTGGCGCGAATGCAAGCCATGCTCGCCCAGATGCAGAAACAGTTGCAGATGCAAAACGACGGTCAACAAACTCACCAGCTATAATCCCAAATTCACGCACTCACTCACCCTCTTATCAATATTCTTCCTGTGTTCGAAATTAAATAATAAGGGCATGTCACCAATCTTCTACTAACCTCACAGCCGAGCGTGTTCGAGTTGACTCTTTTCTTTGACCATTTTCAACCCTTTTTTCATCATCACAGCCTGCGCTCTACAAAAACAGACAGTGTAAAGAACAAAAATAATAAAGTATAAAATCACAAAGAAAAAAATCTTTCCTTTCATTAGAAATTCTACAATTGTAGAATTTGGCATGAAAAAATTATCACTAAAAAGCTCATTTCTTTGAGAAAAAGATGCCGATTCTGATAAATGATTTCACCTGGGAGCAAAATGACAACTTCGTGATCGTGAATGTCAACCTCCCCGTTGGGCACGTGACCTCCAAGGCGGAAGTCAAGGTTGGAGAGAAGATGATCTCAGTAATGAGTCAAACGCATCTCTTCCGAATCGCTCTTTTCCGGGGAATCAATGAAGAGGAATCGACGATGAAACTGCATCACCAGAAAATAGAATTCAATCTGGCGAAGGTGGATAAGATCCCATGGGAAGATTTGACGAAGAAGAAATCGGGCAAGGAACTGACGGAAATGTACATAGAGCTTCTTGAGCAGGAGAGAAAAGATATCGAAGCCAAGGGAGAAGCAAGAAGGATCAAATTCAGGTAAGATCAACAGCTTTTCTGGCCTCATTCCGGATTCTAGAGCCGATAAAGACTCCTCCGTCCACAATCAACTCGCCGCGGAAGAAGTAAAAAGAACCGAGCGAAACCAAATCAAGCAATTCGAACTCGACCTGATCTCGCAAAAAATCAAAAATGAAAAATTCATGCAAGAAGCTCAAGCCAAAAAAGCAGAAGCAGAAAAACAACAGGCGAAAAAAGACGAGAATAGTGGAGAAAAGAAGAAAAAGTCGAATTCAGAAATCGAATTTTCAGATGTCAAAAAAGAGCCGACAGTTTCAATTCGCAGATCGAAAATGCCCCCACCGAGGTAGACCCTAAATTTGAGCTTATTGTTAGCCTTATTTTTAGGCAGCGAGGAAAAATCACGGTCGCTTTCACCGAGCGCTCCTTCCCAACGCCTCTTCGCGAGTCGAACAAGCCCGAAGAAGACGCCTGGCTGCAGAAACAAGCCGCTGCTAGAAAACGCGTCGAATACGCAAATGGAGATCTCACAGAGCAAGACAAAGAAGATGGATATTTGGAGGGCAAGGCGGCGAAGATGGTCAAAAATGGAGACTTTCAGTCAGCTGTTAATGCGCTCACCATTGCTAGCAAGATGTTTCCAAGAAAACCAAGGTAAGAAGCTTGAAAAGATCCCTTGAAAATAAAGCTTCCTTTTAGCATTTATCTGTTACGCTCTGAAGCAAACCTCGGAATGCAAAACGCAGTGCGCGCCGCTGAAGATGCAGCACGCGCCTTTGAAATGTACCAACCACCCGTTCCTGCGAATTTAGACGAGCGCGTCAAGTGCCACATCCTTCGCGGCTCCGCACTCCGCCGCTTGCAAATGTACACCGAAGCGTTGATGGATTTCGTCGCAGCGGAAAAGCTCAAGCCAAAAGACGAGGAGATCCAACAATACTGCACCGATCTGCGAAATATTATTCAAAACAACGGAGGCGATGACTGGAAAGAAGAGTGGGAAACTGACCTGCTTTAGATTCTTTGATTGAAATTTACACATCTGCCAAACTATATTTTTTTACTTTCAATATATTTTCATGAACATCAAAGAAAAAATATTCTAAAGAGAACTTTATCTCAAAAGGTTTATCTTTTGAAAACGTTTATTCTATATGAAACACAGTTTGGACGGTAAATATCAGTCACTGGCGTCAGCCATGACGACATCTCGGAAGAATTTGACGAAGCCAAAGAGGATGAAACTTCCCACGAGCAAGAAAAAGATTAGTACAAAGATTGTATTAACTTTTTGTGCACATGTTGCCTTGTTAGGAGTTCAGCGCTAAATTCTTCAAAGCGAGAGAACTCGCTATTTGCAACTACAGTTTTGAACTCCAACCTCTTGAAAGCTTGCAGGCTAGGAGAAAAGGCGTTGATTTAAACAGGTCTTGTCAAACTTGACATACCTGCTGAACCTGGTTGCACGCTCGAACTGGTTGTTGAACATTCATTACTTGTTGGACGTTTACGACGACAGGCTGCCCCTTGTCGCAGTTTTTCGCTTCCTGCATAACTTAGTGAAATAGAACGGTTAAGAATAAGATACCGTGCCACTGACTTCCGCCGCCGACATAATTTCAGCAAATTTTAAGAATTTTAAAGCAACTGATTAAAGCATGGGTTGAAAATTTTTGGACAACAAGTTTTTCTAGAGAAAGCGTTTCACCTTAGACCGCAAAAAGTCGATTTTAAGAGTTTTTACCAAACTGCGATTACCTGCTGCCAGCAGGCTGCTGGCGACCCTGCTGGGTGAGGTCTACGAGAATCGTGATTTCTGTAACCAAAAATGCGGAAAAACCTGCTTAGATAGGCAAATTATGACTTTTCTTTTGGAAAGAAAAGGGCGAGAAAATGACGACGATGTTGAGCAAACGTTCTTTTTTTTTCTAAATTTGGTACTAGTAGTCTATTTTTATCACTTTTAATATGCGCCATTTCTTTGATATTGTCGTCATCTTGGCAAAAGATCAAGTTTTTAATGAGATTTATCCTCTTTGATTAAATTTGATTAATTTTATATTTTATTTTATTTGTACAGTTTGTGCTCGCAAATACTGTAATGTAAGATGGTCATGGCAAATATTCAAAATCTTTTCTTATACAGTCATTTTGGACAGGAAATTCTCGGACGTTTTTCGATTTTAGGGGTTTTTGGGGGTTCTTTTTATAAATAAAGGGGACAAAAATGTCAAAAAAATAACCACTTAAAAATTGACTGTAATTAATTTTTGATAAAAATTCTGTACAGTACAGAAAAAAAGACAGAAGGAAATGACTTTTTCGGAAAGTCATAATCTTGTTTTTCCGGCTGTTATCATTTTTGAGTTTTCTGAGAGCGGATATCTCCGACTTTCTTCTTCTGAAAAGTCTTCCAAGCCGTTTTCTTTCAAGTAAAGATGCATTCCCCAGTTGAGGTTGATATAGTTCCCGTTGTAGTGTCGACAAAGCTCAGGTGCGTGCAACGGCGTTGGCAGTCCTGCCATGACGCGGAAGATTCCGGTGTACATCAAGTCTTCGAACTGAAAGGTCGAAATTACGAAGCCGTTAAATCGCCCGCTCTAAAATACGACCGGAAACTTACTGTGACATTATTGTTCGAATAGCGGATGGAAACAGAGTAGATGTTCTTCATCGTCTCAGCCGACAGCGTTTTACAAGCGCCGCCGCAATATCCAGGGAAATAGACGCCTTTGTTTTGGTTTTAGAGAGCTCAAGAACTTCTTCGAGTTTGTGTCAGGAAACGACAAAAATCCCGACAAATTTCGGAAATTTTCGGCCAATCAGAAGCCTGAACTGGGCTTACCGGCCAATCAGAAGCCGAGAAGCCGCCCACGCAAAATTTGCGTCAAAATTTTTGTCGGTTCCGGACGCCAACCCCGAGGAAAGTCCACCTTAGAACTAGGTAGTTATGTAGGTATTTTGTAATTGAAATCAACTTTATGAGTCGAGAAGAAGAATTAGATAAATCTTTATGAGTTCTTTTTTTATGAGTTCGCGCTTCTCAAAACCGTACCTGACGGCCATTGCTGCTCGGTAAGCGCCCACTTACCGGTGGTCATTTTTTCTGTCATCGAATTCAGCCGGTAGCCGCAGACAATGTCTTCATCTGGCATCTTGTCGCCAGCGTAGAAGATCGTGTCGTCGTCGACCATCGTCACTTTTTGTTTTGAAAGGCCGCATTTGCTGACGAATTCAAATGCGGAACCAGTCTTGAGGTAGAGGTTCTCGTACGTTTCGTTGTAGCTGCCGATGACGTAATCGTCGAAGTCGGTTGGAAGAGGGTCTTCGGTAAAGCCGATGAGAAAGCGGACCTCGACGGGGTATTTGGAATAAAATCGACGGTGGAGTTTTCTGATAGAGTTATTCAAAGATACAGCATCATTGATGGTCGAATTTTGAAAGTCGACCTTGTCAAGGCTTATTTCACTTAGTCCGATTTAATTACGAGCACTCCGATTAAATGACTTGATTGAAACTATTCATCGAAAGAGAATTCAGTTTCGACTTCTACTCCCGTAAAAAGACTCTCCGCAGGAGTAACTTGTTGAAAAATCTGTGGGTTCCCCGGGAAAAAATCCCGGGTAAAACCAAAGGACTCGAAATCGACAGCCATGTTCTACTCTACTAAACTAGCAAGAGTCTTGCGTAGTGATAAAAGTAATGTATGAAAAGCTGTTTATCATAATTGATTATGATTGAATACTTTTTAAGATCCTTTGTGGATTCATAGAGTATTATCATGCATTAATGAGAGTCTGATAGAAAAATGAACTTCAATATCAACCCTGAGGATTCAAGAACAACATAAAAACTCATTTTTATGGCTTGATTATCTCTTGATTTATTGGCCTAGTCCGCGAAAAATTTGCGGAATTTTTGAAAAAAGGTACAGAAACTGAATTTCATTCTTGACCCCAGGGCGCAAAGTAAACAACTCTCCCTATACTGTGGATTCCTCGCATTCGTCGTCACAAGAACAAGATCATTCTCCGTCTCTGGGCATTTAAAGCTATGAAGTAGGGTGTCTTCAGAAAAACTAGGAGTCGTTGTTTTGCCCGAGTGTTGTCTTTCTCTGAAAAATGCTTCTGGAATAAAATCGTTGGCGACTATCTTCTTCGATTTGATATCTCGTTTGCTTCTGTCTCTTGTTGTTTCACTGCTTTTAAAATTCGACACGACTGTGGCAACTAGAAAAAGACACAAGAAAATCGAGCCAAAAGTGTAGATCTTGCTCGTAACGCGCATTTTCGTTGGCATCGAAATCAAATCAAGTGCTTATTCTGAAAATTGATCATTCCAATCGAGCGTGGTACCTTATCTCGTAAAAATCGGCGCTCGAGCGAGAGAAAAAGAGGCTGATCGTGGTTTATGACGAATTATCAAATTTATTGGAAAGCGCTCACCAAGACAAATTACGAACTTTTATGATGAGCAATCGACAATGATTAGTCGATGACCTAAATTCTTTCCCAAAGTTCTAGCTTTCACCTTGCGTCAAAACAGCTTTTTACGATGGTCGATCCTAATCATTTGCATTTTTCTTCACGTCAGATCTGAACCGTCATTAATTCTTCGTTTCAGGGAAAATCCTCGTTTCTCAGGATCAGAATGTTACATTCTGAATGTAGCTATTGGGAGCTCTCAGAATACCTCCAGTCTTATCATTATCCATTTTGACTTTTTCATTGTTGATTTTGTTGTGAGAAAAGCTTCATCTATTGAACAGAGAAGTAGATTAAATAGGTAAGAAATAATAATTAAAAAAGAGAGTTTGTTTACAAATAATAATGGAATAATTGATATACCGTATATCATATACGGTAGAAAGAAGAATAATTTATTGTTTCATTGATAGTTACTTTTATTCCATGACCAAATTCTTCTAACGACCGTAATTAATTGTCACTAAGACGATCACTATTTATTGCGTTGATTTGAAACCTAGGATGTGTGTGTGTCCTTGTAGGAACTTCCTACACCCAAATTAGTCTTCAATAAGTGAGTGTCGTCTTCCGCCATCTTAAGGGTGTCTCATCCCGGAAATTACTTGCAGCAATTAATTCCTTCCGTAGATTGTAGGATTCTAGGACGCACAGCCTGGTTATGATAGCCGTTTTTTATTAGGACTTAGTTGTTTTCATTACGGTATCCACTTATTTAGCCAACTCGCTTTACTTAGTTGCAAATTTTGATTTATTTTGCTGAGCTGACCTGAGTAAAAATTTCTCTGAGCTGAGCTGGCCTATTTCGGAGGTCATTGAGCGGAGCTGAGCTGAGCAGACATTTTGTTTAAGGTAGTTGAGCTGAGCTGAGCGGAACCTTATTAGAGCTGAGCTGATTGAGCTGAGCTGTTTTCTACTGTTTTTTGGTAGTAGACTTGGATTCAAATCATTGAGCTGAGCTGAGCTGAACTAAGTGATAATTGTCTGAGCTGAGCTGAGCAGAACAGATCATGTTCGAAAATAATTGAGCTGAGCTGAGCAGAGCAGACTATTTTCCAAAATCACTGAGCTGAGCTGAGCGACTGCTCAGCTCACTCAGCCAGCTCAGCTGGCTCAGCTCAGCAAATTTGCAACTCTGCTCCTTTATAATTTTTAATAAAAGTGTCAACTGAAAATGTGGTAATGGAGAATCTGCTTTTAAAAGCCACGTGATCAGTAGCTTATCTCTCTCTTTCTTCAAAACCCAGAAGAAAAAGATTTATGTTCTGATTTGAGTTCTGCGCGACTAGGCGCTAGAATTTGGGTTACATGCTCATTGCGTCGAAATCATCCTCAGTGTCGACCTCAGAGCTCAGCATAATTTTGAACCTCCTCGAAACTCAAATCCCTTCTTTTTGCTTCAAATTCCGAATTCCTCAAAATTCGAAGGTGAGTGAAATTGAAATTATTGATTGCGGCTTTTTTCAAACATTGATTGGCAAGATTGACTGGCAAAAGAGGGAAAATGATCCAAAAAATACAAAATAAACCGCCGTTTTTGGAAAAAACAGAGAAATGGAATTTCAAAAAGACCCTGAATTTCAATTAATAAAATGAAGAAAAAGGTATTTGAATAATTTTTTTTCATGAAAATTTGGAAAAGTTCAATAAATAAACTTTGAAAAGAAAGTTAAAAAAGTTAAAAACACAAATTCGTCAGAATTTTTGCCTCGTCTTGCCTCCTAACAATGTTGCCGCGGTAAGCGAGCCCTGGGCGCTTGGACCAACCAGTTACTCTTCCGGGAGTACTAAATTTGTACAAATTATGAGATTTTGTTAATTTGGAGATAAAAGAGATTTGTTTTCAGAAGAATATATTTATAATGAAGGGATGAATTTTGACAATTAAATTGTCAAATAGAAGAGTGAAAATATAAAATTAATTAATTAAAATAATTATTAAAATAATTAAAAAAAATCATTTTATTTATTTATGAAAAATTAAAAATCTATTTCAAAAAAATTTATTAATTATTAATTAAATTAATTATTTATTTATTTAATAAAATTGTTTTTAAATTAAAATTATAAATTTAATTATATTTTATTGTAGAGAAAAAAAAAACTAAGATTGAAACCACTTTTGACAAACCAAAAACCATCTTCGCCGAAAACCATTATCAACGTGGCATAAAACCTGCAAGTTGCTGGTGATCCACTTTGTGGGAGTGTCGGTAAACTTTGGCAGCTCTGGCCCAGGGCGAATTCTCTCTATTTTACTACCACCCGAAATTATTATTTTTTTGCAATCATAAATCAAATCCCCGAGAGACTTTTCCTCATCCTCTTTTTAAATCATTTTTCCTCTAGAACATAATTACGTAATAATAAGAAGAAAAAACTACTAAACTTTGAAATTTTCTTTTTTCAAATTTTGAAGAAAAATTTTCTTTCTTTTGTCCAAGTCTGAAAAAAAAGAGAAAAACACAATTGTGTTCACGACTGAGTAATTTTCTGGCAATTTCCCAAAGGCTCCTTTTTTCTCAATTACAAATTAGTACTTGTCGTTTTTTAACCTTTTGTTTCTTTTAGATGGCGATGAGTGGGGGGACAGACAAGGAACCGGTTGAAAAATAAAGAGATTGAAGCTTAGAGACTCAGAAAATTAAAAAAGAAAAAAATTCTCCGAGCGAGCGATCGAAATTTTCAATCGGTAAAAGACCACCTTCTACATCAGTGTTTTATTATGCGTTATCGCGGGTAGTTTTCAATATGGGCAAGGTTTTCAACAGTCTTAACCTCTCGAAGGAGATTGGCCAGGAAATTGGCAGCTCCCGGCTATTTTCTCGGATGATTTCAAAGATGAAAAACCTTGGTAAAGCTACAACATTTCTTCGGTAAACGGCCCAGCTGAAAACATCAAGGACAATCTCTACGGTGAATTCCAAGGCGGCAAGGGCGTTTATCAACTCGACGAAGAAGGAGCTCTTTCTGCCGATCCCGTCGCCACCTGCCCGAACATTTCTTCCGTCGCAGATTGCAAAGCTTGCGCGGAAGAAATCGCCTGCAAGAGTCAGTTCGTCAACGAGGAAGATCGACAACTTAGTGATACAAGAGAAGATCAGTACAGTTATGCTGTTGCTCTTTTCACTGTTGGAGGAATTGTTGGTTCCTTTTCTGTGAAACCAGTTGTCTCGCAATTCGGAAGAAAGAAGGGACAGGTTTGAAGAATTATCAAAGAGCGTCATTTTTTATCGATCATTCTAGTTGGTGAACATGATCATTTCTCTCGGAGCATCAGTTCTTTTCGTCGGAGCAAAGCACTACAACAGTCATATTTGCTTGGTCGTCGCTCGAATTCTTATCGGTCTCTTTTCCGGCCTCGCAACTGGCATCTGCCCCATGTACATCATTGGTAAGCCTTCCCATCAGTTTTAGAGACCAGGACTAATTCAGAAATGAGCCCGAAGGAAGACCGAGGCTGGATCGGAGTCTTGAACCAGTTGCTCATCACGATCGGCATCCTCGTCGCACAGATCATTGCTCTTTCTTCTTGGATGCGACAAAACTGGGGAATTTACATGGCTTTGACCGCCGTGCCAGCTATTCTCTGGATCGCTCTCATTGGCCTCTCTTACGAATCTCCTCGATACTTGTATTTGGAAAGAAATGATGCTGAAGAAGCTTCAAGAGTTCTCAGAAAAGTCCGAGGAACTGAAGATGTAAGTTCGAAATCAACGAAGAGAACCTTTTCAGATCAATTTTCAATAAAAATTTTAGGTCGAAGAGGAATTGGACGAAATGAAAGCCGAGCATGAAAAATCGCTCAGCGAAGAAAACATGTCCATCGGCACTCTTTTCACCGCCAAAGACGTCCGTTGGCAATTGATTTCCATCGCCGCCATGATGATTTGCCAGCAAATGTCAGGAATCAACGCTGTCTTTTTCTACACTAACAAGATCTTTGAATCCGCTGGTTTCACTAACGAAACTTCGACCAAGATTTCTGTGCTTATTGGAGCGCTCAATGTCGCCATGACTTTTGTAAGTCGATTTTCATGTATTCTTTGATTCACTAAATGGCTAGGTTTCTATGTCTTTGATGGAGAAAGCTGGTCGAAGATCGCTCATGGTTTATGGTTATGGAATCATGGTCGTCTTGTAAGCTAATTATCGACATATATCGACAAATATATTTATGGAAAAATATCTATCAATAGCCCCTTATTCATTTAAAAATCTAGCTGTGTTCTCCTCGCTGTCGCTTTGAAAAGCCTTCATGTCGGCACTTGGGTCTCCTACGTTTCTATTCTCTGCGTCATGGGCTACATCGTCGGCTTCGCGATCGGACCCGGACCTGTCCCATGGATCTGGGCCACTGAGTTCTTCAAGCAATCTGCTCGGGCTGCCGGAGCCAGTAAGTTTTCCACCTTTTTTCAAGGGGTTTAACGAATTGGTAAGGTATGGGTTGCGTCATCTGCTGGGTGTGTACCTTCATCGTTGGAAAGTTTTTCCCGATTGCTGAGGCAAAACTTGGACCTTACGTCTTCATCTTCTTTGCTCTCGTTTCGCTCTTTGCGTTCTTGTATTGCTTGAAGATCACTCCAGGAATGGCTTTAAGATTTCAACAACTGATCGAATTTTTGCAGTATCAAAAGCCAGAATAAAGAAACGAAAGGAAAGAGCTTCGAAGAAATTCAAGAGTACTTTGCGAAATTGAACGGCGTTGAAATCTCCGACGAAGAAATGAAACTTGCCGACAATCGCGAGGAATAATTAATCCACTCCTTGAGAAACAACAAGGACTCTCTTCCAAATCTATCTTTGCCAAATAATGTCAATTTTTTTCGTTGCCTTTGCTTATCACTCGTTACACAAAAAGTAGCCACTCTTTACTCTTACTACTAAACTCGATTAGTTACGAAGATATATTAACCTATTTATATCAAACCTTTGCCGAATCAAAACCTTAACCACTGTGTTCTTCCTAACCCCGCCAGAGTTAAATTGAATGTCCATGATTGTATTTTTGACTGTAGTATCTTCCTGTGTGTGTTATTGTTATTTTTTCCGCGGCGGAGAAAAAAGACGCGCGGCTTTTGAACAATTTTGGTAATGAAAAAATTAGTGTGGCTCTCTTCTGTTCTGTTTTTGGCAATTCAGAATTCTGTAGCGCTTATTCTATGAATACATTATATAATATAAAAGAGGTGTTTTATTATGTGTTGACCACTGAAAAAAGGGTATCGTTGCAAAGTCAAGTATCAGAGCAAAAGTCAGTATATGCTCAAGAATAGATTTGACACAGGGTCGCGATAAAGTACAAGTGCGGCTTAGCAGAAAAATCCCTCAGCCTCTGTTGTTAAATCCTTGTCTATTTTGATTCAAAGAGATAGAGAAATTCCCCTCAAAATGGACTCCTTTGGCGAAAATGTCGGGACCGAGACCGGTCTGCAGATCTGGCGGGTTGAAAACTTCAAACCCGTGGCTGTTCCGAAAGAGTATTATGGGCAGTTTTACGTTGGAGACTCTTATATTGTGATGGATACGATTGTCGAGGGGGATTATAAGTCGATGAATATTCATTTTTGGCTCGGAAAGGATTCTTCTCAGGATGAAAAAGGAGCTGCAGCGGCTTTGACCGCCCAGTTAGACGAGGAAAAAGGTTGAAAATTATTTTTTCTTTGAGACAAAATTGAAATAGACCCTCTGAAAGCTTCTTGGAGACATTCCAATTCAACATCGAGAAGTTGAAAAATGCGAGTCGTCAAAGTTCCTTTCCTACTTTCCCAACGGCATCCAGTACCTCTGGGGAGGCGTGGCTTCCGGTTTCAATCACGTCGAAGATGAGTCCAAACCTCGACTGCTTCATGTCAAGGGTAGCAAGAAGATTAATGCGACGGAAGTTGCTGTCTCGTGGGACTCGTTCAATCATGGAGATATTTTCATTCTTGAGCATCAGTCGCGCATTTTTCAGTGGAACGGACGGGACTCCAATCCCTTCGAGCGAATCAAGGTTTGATCTTTTTTTACCAACAAAAACTACTTCAGACAATTTTCAGGCTTGTCGACTTGCAAATAAAATCGCTGCTGCTGAGAAATCTGGCCGTGTCAAGGTCCGAATCGTCGATGACGTCGATGACAAGGATGCCATCCCTGAAGCAATGCTCGAAGTTCTCGGTGATCGACCTGATAACATCGCAGAAGCGACTTGTGATAATGTGACGCCAATCGAGCTTCATCGAAGCCCAGCTACACTCTTTCATGTTTCCAACGCTAGTGGATCTATGCAGGTAGGAGTCGGATTTTCCAAAAGTGTTCTCACCAATTCTTCCAGGTCAGCGAGAAAGGCACTGCTCCTCTTTCCCAATCCAGCCTCGAGTCCGGCGATTGCTTCCTGATTGACGCTGCTGCTGCGAACAAGATCTTTGTCTGGAAAGGAAAAGATGCCGACTCTGAAGAGCGAAAGAAGGCCCTGCAACAAGCTGAAGAATTTATCTCCCAAAAAGGATACCCAGCATCGACTGCGATTGAGATCTTGCCTGAAGGAGGAGAGTCGACTTATTTCAAAGAGTACTTTTCTGACTGGCAGCATGTTGAGGAGTCGCCAGGATTAAAGTATTTCAATCTTCGACCTCCAAAACTATTCTGGTAAAAAATCAGCTTTCTAAAGAAATGCAAAGAATTCTAGCGTCTCCGATGCTGATGGAGAACTTCGAGTTGAGGAAATTCTCGGCTCTCTTGAACAAACCGATCTTCTGCCAAAAGAAGTTTGCATCTTGGACTGCTTTGATAAAGTCTTTATCTGGAATGGAAAAGACGCATCTGATGCTGAAAAGTCGTCGTCTGAAGGATTTGCGAAGAAGTTCTTGGAAACTGATCCTCGAGGAAGATCGATTGAAACTCCAATTGTCTTCGAAAACCAAGGTTTTGAAAAGGTTTTCGGAAAAATAGATAAAATGATTTTTTAGAGGAAGAATCTGATGATTTCAAAGCCTATTTTCCGGAATGGGACAACAACTGCTTCGTTGATCCGCATCAGGTTTTGCTCGATATGGCCGAACAGATGAAATTACTGACTCAAAGACACTGCAGCTGCTAGTAACATTATATATTTCTTTAAATTTTACTGAAAAAAATAAAGAAAAACGAGTCATTTGAGTGTCAGAAACTTGCCAAAATCATTATGATATTCCGAGTACAGTGAATTGAAATAATGAAAAGACTTAAAAACTCTTAGAAAAAAGTTGTTTTCTTTGGAGCTTTTAATTGTTCGTTTTTGTTTATAAAAAGGGTTGATGTATTTACAGGGTAGGAGTTTTCAACGAGTGAGTTTACAGCGAATACTTTTTCTTTTCGTTTTTGCGCGATTTCATTTGAACTTCCATACAAGCTTCTGTCGTTTTGTCGAGATAGTCGAGTCCCAATTGAGCGATGCGGCGCACTTCGGCTGAGACGCTTCCCACTGCGTTCTTTGGCTCCGTTTTCAAAATTTGCTTCAAAAATTTGCGATCCTAAAGGTTGATTGATAAGGTTTAAATAGGATTGTAAAAAGTTACCGTTTCAAAACCAGTTTTGGAGACGATTTTCAAATTGTTCATTCCGAGATGTCCAAGAACTGCTTCTTGCGCTTTTTGAATTCCGATTCGGAAGTGGTCGACTTCTGGCCTGAGCATGTGACCTCGGTGGTAAAAGACAAGAGCGTGTTCGTATCGGCCCAGCTGGAAGAGAGCCTCTGCTTTTCGGTACATTGCTTCCTGACTCAGTTTATCTTTCGCCAAAACTTTATCTGCATCGGCAACGGCTAGTTCTAGCTCTCCGAGCTAAACAGTATAGCATAGTAAGGAGCTTTCTTGTTTGAGTTGTACCTGTGTGTAACATCTTGAGCGTGCGACAAGGCCGGCATGATCAGTTGGATCTCGTTCGAGAACTTCGTTATACAGTTGAAGCGCTTGCTCAAGCTTTCCGTTGATGAACAGCTTGTCGCCCTCAGCGATCAGAGCTTTTGGTGGCCGCTCGAGTTCAACAGCGCCTTAGTCTTCAGGTAAAATCAATGCAAAAATGACAAAAAGGTGTACCTCCTTTCATGATTTCTTCTAAACTGAAGATTTTTTATTTTTTCGGCTTTCGAAAACAGGCATTCTAGAGATGAATCAGGGATCTAAATGTTTTCACGAAAATAGCAATTGCCATTGCTTCTTTTATATGCTTTTTTAGAATAAATTATTTGTTACAGTATTCATAAGAAGAAATGAATGCAATAGGATTTACAGCAGATTCCTCTTGGTCAAAAATAATATCGCTCGAAACAAAATTTCCATCTTTATCTGTCAATAGGTCGCTTAAGGGTAGAGTAGGATCCTTGCGCGCGCCCCTTTAAGGGGGTGGTGGTCGAGAAATCGACCTAGATTTTCATAAACTTCCAATAATTCCTTTAGTCGAGCAATTCTTTCTTTTCGAATGGATAGATAATGGTTAAATAAGTCAGTATTAACGAAAAATAAGGCTTCCCCCAAGTTAAAACCGATTATTTCGGCCGAAACATTCACAGGGCGAAGCAAAAATCCGCAAATTTCACTTTTTGGGGGTACTTTGAGCAATATTTTCGCAAAATTTTTCAAGAATTTTTTTTAAAAACTTCACGCGACCACATCCGCTTAACCTTTATCTTTTGAAAAACTAAAAGAAAATTCTAGTATCTGAGGCGGTTTTTGCTCAATCTTGGTTTGAATGAACCCAATTCTCGACCACCACCCCCTTAAAGGGTATAGCCCCCGCTCCTAAAGGGTTGAAAAAATCTATCGGCGAGAAGTTGAAAAACTTTCACCGGAAAAAGTCGGTTAACAATCCCGTCAAAGTAGTGCCATTTTCGCAAAAATGCACCAAAAATGGTCATTTTTTTACAATTTTCTTAATTTCACCCCCTAAATCTCATTTTTATCGAACGATTTTAGGCTCATATGCAGACTATGTGTATAAGCTAGGGTCGGCGCCGACACTCGACCAAATCGCTATTGTCGGGTTTTGGTCGGGCAATGGTCGGTACCTACCCGACCCTACATTGAGATTTGTCGTTGGTCGGTCGATGGTCGTGTTTTTGTCGGGTCAGTGGTCGGTTTTAGCTCATTCTCGGTAATGTTCTCCGATATAAATTCACTTCTTTTATTCGACAAGTTCTTCTTATTTCAATGTCACAAGCGACAAAATAATGTAAAATCTAGGACATTTATAAAATCGAAAGTTTCATACCCCCAATGATTCGATTTCGAAGCTTTTCCATCATTCTCATTGGTTTAAAAAACCGACCACCGAGCCGACCAAAAGGCCGACTCGACCCGACCCGACCATGATTTTGGCCATTTCAAAGTGGTCCGACCCGACCCGACACTGAAAAAGGGTGGTCGATGCCGACCCTAGATATAAGTGAAACGATCACCCCTGAAAAATTCTCGCCGACTCCCCCCCCCCTTAATATCAAAATTTTTGATTCAAAACATAATAATTAAAAGAAACGCTTAAAAATCTCAGAAACACACTGACCGTGACCTAGTATAATTCTGAAAACTGAAGTTTTTCTGTCGCCTTTAGACCATCTAATTTTTCCAGGAAAAACGAATATTGTGTTATCAAATAATAAACTCGCATGTCTTTCAATAACCTTGAAAATACAAGTCAATTGGTAAGGTTAAGCAGACTTCATTCTTACCCCGGAAAGCTGGCCTATTAAATTCCACTTGTTGTTCCTCAGTTGCCAAATATCACCTGAGTCGGCGCCACCTTGGAGACCATCAAACATTCCTCCGACCGTCAATAAATCGCCTGAAGGTAGTCCAATCGAGGTGAAATATTTAATTCGTCTCAATCATGATATTGGCTCAAATTATAATTTGCAACTTTACCTTGGATGTGATGAAAGTTCTATCCAGCCATCTTCAGTAAGTGTTTCAACTGTTTTTTGTCCATAATCTTTAAATTCGCCACCAACGATAGTCGGGCGATTTTTATAAAAAGCTAAATCGCCATAGTAGTGAGGTGTGCGTAAATCAAAAGTCTCGCGCCAAGTTTTTGATCCATCGAATCTGTCGCACTTCTCTGCTTTTGAGTTATAATCATTGCAAATTAGAGCTACGAATTTAATATTCAGTCGGTAAACTTTCTAACCTTCGTTTCCTTCTTTTACAGCTAGAGCAGTTTGGGAACCAAAAGCATAAAACCCTATCAATTTGATTGAGAGTACTCTGAATTGGCATCCATCTAGCTTAGCAATCTTTTTTTTTTAATTTTTTTCAATTTAATTTTTATTACTCTTTGTGTGTACTTGGGATAATATCCTCCGAATATATAAAGATGACCTTTAACAATCGCATTTTTCTGATAGTAAATGAAGTTTACAGGGTCGACGACAAGTTGTCTTCTTGATATGTTCGTTTTATATGAAAATTGGTAAAAAAGAAAAATTAAACGTTTTTATGAAAAAATGAATATATCAAGATTTCCTTTTCCCGTCTCATCAGGTGGATATCTTATGAATATTTTTTTGCTAACGGATCCATCATCGAGAAGTGCGTAATTTCTGTAGTTATAAGCAACCGTAACAGCAATATGATTATCAGCAGCTATCAAAACATTAATTTGCTTCTTTGTCCCGGAAGAATAAATAAAGTTTTTGATTTCTGTTTCACGATCTTGTTTGAAAAGCCTGATAAATTGGCTTTCCTCCTGTGGAAAATGAGCCATTTCTATTGATGCAATCTGGGCATTATTCTTGAATAATTTAAAAGTCGGAATTCTGGTATCTCCTGCATGAATCTCTATGTCCAACTTCGTCCAATGAAATATTGGCCCTTTAAAGTTTAATCTTTCGTCGAAGTATTTCATTGAGTCAATCCAAAAGGATCCATTTTTGTAAGTTCCAAAGTCGAAAAATACTTGTCTATTAAAGAACTGGAATTCTAGCACTTTGGTTTCTTTATCTAAGCCCTCTTTTGCCTTAAAAAATTACGAATCTTAAGAAATTTATATAATTTATATAACAAACTTTTAACTGAAAGCCTAAAGTTGGACGATCGGCTTTTGTTTGAGCTTGAATCTTCCATTTAAAAGTCGAAATATGCTTAAACTGAGCAAGTGCAGTAAATGGCTTCGGCTTGTTCTGATGATAAATGACATCTGGAACTATTGTTTTTCGATATGCTCCGAAAAGCGAGCTTGCGGATTCAGGAAATTTCGGCTGAAAAACAGCATTTGTCGAGAAAAAAGCTGGAAAGACATCGTCATGGAATGCGAAATAGGGATTGCTAGTCACGTGCATCTTTTTAACAGCTTTTTGTTGGACAAATTCAATCTCAATGTTAGCTGGTTTTAAGGATTCTAAGCTCTCTTTGAATACTTTATTCGATAAATATGCAAAAATCCTTTCCAAAATCAAATTCAATCTCAAATGTCGCATCATAAACGTAGTTTTGAATAAAGAATTTCTCGTTATTGATGATTCCATTACCAAAATACTCACACTCATCGTTATTTGTTCCGGTTTGATCAGTGTAGTGCAGATCAAGCGGGGCAAATAATCCAGAAACACATGGGGTCTTTTCTTCGTATTCGACAAGAGTTCCAATCCATTCGCTGCCAAGAATTATAAATCTTCCTGCCTCGACCTCCATCATCAACGAATACTGCGTATTTGAAAGGACGATGCTTCTTGTTACTAGAATAAAGAAAAGCCGGCCTAAATCGATCTTTCTAGGGTAAAAGAGAGAACTGAAGTTAATTTGTTTATATCTTCCTCGGTAAAAAAATTCACAAATGCAAAAATTTCAACCCTTTTCAAAGGAATAATATGAACTGGATCCAAATCCCTGAACTCCGATGGCAGCCCAAACTCGTTCTTTTTCCATCCTTTCTCCATTTCTTCGCTTTTACGAATTCTATTTAGAGCGACTGCAGTTGACAGCTTGATGTAATGATCGCCGATCTTGACACTCATAAGATAAAAGACTCCTTTGTAGCTGATCGAAGACAGCTTTGCGTTAATATGGTTGCTAGCAATGTAGCCTTGAGCCTCTTCGAAGCGGTTTAAATTGTAATTTGGAGCGTAATAGTAGCACTTGTCTGACCGTGCTGTTGGAGAGCTTCGAACGGTCAAACTCATTCATTTATATAAAGTTATTGTTTCTCAAAGAGTAAAAGTTTTTTGACCATTTTCAAATAACCACCATTGGGAAAATTTTGGTGTCTTTTTCTTTGTGCCTGATCTCAATTTGATGAGTTCCGATGGAAGCGCCGAAATGAAATACAAAAAATCCGATTCTTCTCAAAATATTAATAAAGTTATTTTTTTATTATGTGCACCTTCTGATTCGATTAGAAATGAAGATGAGCGATGCACCAGCTTCTTTGATTCTCAACAAATTTCCTTTAGCATCGACTAAATAGTGCTCCCCATCCAAAAATGTTGCGCCAATAGACTGTATGGGAGGTATCGGAAGGTGAGTCGGCCACCCAGACCTGATTTTTAAAAATGATAACAGCTGCATGAGCAGCTCGGAGCTTCAAAGACCGACAATGCCAAATGCTACCTGCTGAGTGATATAGATCTGCATTGGCCAAAGAGAACACTGACTTCGAATTTGGAAATTTTTCGATGAGATCTGTTTCCAAGTCAGCAAACTGAGAGCAGATTTTGAGAATATTGCTAAATTATTTAAAATATTTCATAAATCATTTCTAAAAACAAAAACCTTTCTAGCCAATCGTTTTCCTGCCGGGATTATTGGTCTGAGTGTTCCAACCTGTATGTTGCTTGAAATTTCCTTTTAATGATACCCATTCTGATTAGATCCGAAGATTTTCACTTATTGAAATACCGGAAATCTGATGGGCCGCGCTCTCTCGGTCGAGGAAGGCGCTGAGTCGCGCTGATGGAGGAGGACAGTGCCCACCGCCAGGTGTAAACTCCTGCACGGGCTCTTCCTTGGCCCGACTCGACGCAACGCTTGTTTCAAGTTGAGCCGATGAGTTGGGGTTTCCCTAAGTTGGGTAAACGGCGATTTGAAAGAACGAAGGAAGTTCTATAGATTTTGTTTTGAGAACAGTACAACTGTTTTGGCACTCCACCTTATCTAAACTACTACGGAGTTTCCTTCAATTCTAGCTCGGATTTTATTTTTGGCTTCTACCGGCGGTACAAAATTGTAGCGGCGGTACAAATTTGTACCGTGGCCGCCCTACAGCCCAAAAATTTGCGCTATGAGCTCGTTGCCCTGATGTGCTACTATACAAGACCGGAGGAGAAGAAGAACATCGACTGTAAAAGGCAGCAACTACAATTATTATCTCTTAGTACGACGGATTAGAGAAAGGAGGGGCCATTGAAAACAGATTTTTATTTGCGAATGCGGCCCTTTTGCCCTGCACCGTACCGATTTCCTCTGCTGATTACAGTCACTTGCTCCCCTGGGCGATGATTGATAAGCCGCGTTGTGCTGAGAGAACGTTCCAGCTGTTATCATTTTTAAAAATCTGGTCTGGGTGGCCGACTCACCTTCCATTCCCCCCTGTATGGATTTATGAACTTTATTTGAAATTTAACCCGTTGCCGAGCGCGTAGCAGTTTCGCTGCTACGACACGCCCCGAGGCTCAAAATATGGCAGACTTATTGGCGGTGAAGGCATATCTACGCCTACCGCTCGGCAATGGGTTAAATTATTTTTATCATTCATAAATCATTCATAAGGGAACAGTGTCTCTTGTACATCTGTTTCGATTAAATCCGTACTCGACGTGTTACTTTGAAAACTAAAAAAAATCAGCGGTATTTTCTTAAATGGAACATGGCGATCTTCTCGTCTTTTTGCTATTAACCCGATATCCTCAATTCTCCGATCTAAATACTTTTTCATTTTCCAAATTTTGAATCAAGAAAACTTTCCTTTCGCGAACTGGGCATTATCCAAGTCCCAGACAGGGACCATAGTTTGTTCATTTTCTATTTTCTCGCATTGGTAAAATTGGCATGGACATCCTTTCAAACAATCTTTCTCAAATGGACAAATTTCTCCAGCAAAATCAAAAGATCTTGTCAATTGAAAACAGATTATTTCGCAGGGATTAAAAGACTTGATTCTTGTGGATTTCAAAAACAGAGATTGAGAGCAAAGATTGCGACAAATAAACTGATCTTTTCTCTGGTTAACCTATTACTAGGGTGGTCGATTTCGCCTACGCTTCTGCCTGTTTGTGATTGAGTGAAATTATGGATCCGGATTAGTGATTGGCTATATGTTTTCACGCGTGCAGGTTAAACCTGCACGCCACTGTTCACGGGTTAAGGGCGTCAACAACGATTTTTAGCCAATTTTTGACCCTGGTAGAGTGTCTTTACAAGCTGAATGAAAAGATATTAATTGGTTGAATCATAAGAAAGACTTTTATTCAATCGTTGTTGATACCCTTAAATCTAAGAATCATTTATGAAAATGAGGAAACCATAGCATAAAATTTGCGCTTCTTGCATCGAAATGCATTTATTTCATTTTCTTTTTCCGTGAATTCGAGTGGCGTTTCTTTCGGCTTCTCTGGAATAGTGACTTCAGCTGGTTGAGTAAAGGTTTTTGTTCCAATGCAGTCATGAAGAAGATGAGCACAGTAGTTCATATCATGAGTCAAGGTACATTTCTTGAAGCCAACTTGGCAAACATTTGTGAGATAAGTGGGTTGAATTTGAGCGGCAAGCATCGAGTAGTAATTAGCTTAAATTTCTCATTGATTCATTTTAGACAGCTATGAGTACTTATGCCGATAATTATCCCCCAAAATGCGCATCCAAAGAGCATATAGACAATAAATTGTTTTTGTGTTGCATTCCCACTAAAATTCACAGCCATGAAATTTCCTCGATATGCTTTTGGAAACTTACTGAAGAGAAAAACGCTTCCAAGACTTCCAGAAGTCTTCCTTTTCGTACTCGTCGGAGAACAAACCCGTAAATTGCTTTGGAGCAGGCGTTTTTCTGTTGTCAAGAGCTATTTTTTCGGCAAGCGTCATCCGGTTTTTATTTCTCACATTTTTCTTGCCTTTCTCGAATCTCGATCTGATCTTATTGAACTGTCTACTTGTCCTCTGAATAAAACCGCCGTTGATTTCGTCCTCTTCGCTTTCAATAGTCTGATTAAAGCCCTCTGCAAAATCCTTTGCCTGCTCAAAGGCGCTTCTCATCGTCGGTTCGACTTTTTTTAATTTCGGCAACATCCCTCCACCAAGAACTATCAGCGTCTTTTTCACCGTACTTGGCAAAAGAACGACACCTTTAGATGTGTTCATGACAGTACCAACACAGTGACATTCGAGGCATTTAACTGCTGGCATGGAGCAATTCTCTCTCTCACGATTATCATTGACGATCTCTTCGTCAGCCTTTTGCCGCATCGTAGAAAATGAATTCACTTCAATCTGAGGAACTATCGTTGCCGGTGTTACTTGCTCGAAGATTATTTTAATCCGTCAAGATCGCTTGTTGCTCTTTCAAAATGTCAGAAAGATAGAAAGTGACATTTGCAAAATTTATTCTGGGTCCACAGCTTCATTATAACCAGGGATTCTCAAGGAAACGGCGCGCGGCGGGGCCCCTCGAACCCAAAATTATCAAATCTTATTTTATCATTTCCAGCATAATTTGAGCGAAAAACATATTGAAACTATTTAAACTTGAACTTTCATTGTGTTTTATCAGTTTGAAACAAATAAAGGTGCATATTTCTTAAATTCTCTCGACGGCATAATTTTTCACAGATGTACTGGGAGTAACTGCGCTTTTGTTGTCGTTCCAGCATTTCCCTCAAGTTGATGACTTTAGCGGGTCCGCAATTTTTCGTCTACTTTAATTTATCATTTTCGAAATGGATCCGATCCTGAAAAAGCTCTTTGGGCAAAACAGTGGCGCAACAAGAGCACCAATATATACGCCAACAATTATCACTGTAGTCCCGGCTTTGATCCAAAAAGTCACTGCGTTTTCTCCTTGCCTAAAAAATTGTTAGCAATTCGAACAGATTAATGGTACTAACGCGAAATTAGCTTCAAGGTCATTTTGTGGGACGAACCAGTTTGTAATCGTCATCATTAAAAACATCGATGCTCCGATGAAAATCAAATGAAAAGCCCAGTAGGAATATGTAATCCTAGAAAGTAATTTAATCGTCGGTTGATGAAGATTTTATTACTTTTCACGGTCGTCCGGGATTATTTTTTGTCCATCAAGGCGCATTTTCTTGATTTCCGGAATCTCTGTTTCGCCGTAGCAAAAGCAGAACATCGGCGATTCCACTTTTGATTTTCCCGTTACTTCGGAAGAGTTCATCGCGGCGTAGATGGCGAGGAAGAGAGTCAAAGCAATGACGAAGTAATTGAAGATCATTGCGAGCTTGTTTTGACTAGCAGAGTTGTTGAGGTTGCATTTGGTGTTGATATCGTTTGCAATGTCTTTGATGTAGTCAGGAAAAGAAGGGAAAATGAGATGATCGGGGATAACCATGCATCGTTCGTAGCATAATCCATCGTCAGGTTGAGTGCTTACTGATTGATTAGTGGCTACTGTGACGTTACTAACGGCTGCAGTTGTTGTTTCGACTACCGGTAGTTCATACTTGATCGCAGCTTGAGCATAAACTGTGCTTTATTTGGAATCGAGAAGCAATTTTATTTCGAAGAAGATTTCGAAAAAAACCTCCGGTAAAAGAGTTGAGATCCGTTACTGAAGGTCAAGTACATTATGTAACCAATAATCAGCGCTGACTGAAGCACTCCCCTAGTCGAGTTTCTATCTGGCGCTCGGCTACCGCATGGTACTTCAAAATGTCAATAAATTTTATGTTGTCTACGTAGATTCATACATAGAGATATGAGCAGCAAGAAGATGCAGGCAAGACCACTGGCGACGATAAACCAGCGGTTGATTGAACAGTTGTTGAGGTCGATATCAAGGTCGATGCTGATATTGTCCGTATCCTGCGCTCCATTTGCTCCAGAAGGAGAATCAGTAAAGACTTGCGACATGATGTAGAAACAGAAGCCTGTGACGCCCAGAACCAGTGCGGATAGCAGCCAAATCAAAGAATACCAAGAAACTTTCCAGCAAGTACTGGAGGCATTTGTCGCTGCTTTTTCCCAGCTGCTGCTGAGTTGGGAAGCAAAATTCACGTAGACAATCATTTGCCAGAAAATGAACAGGGTCGCTAAATTGCATTTTCTAGAGCAGTTCAGATTAAATTATTTGCTCAGATGAATTCTTTTCACAATGATGAATGTCTTCAAAAGCCTTTTTGGGAAAAATAAAGAGCAAGAACCATGAAAAGACTTTTAAAATAGCAGATATAATTATGGCTTCGATATTTGAAAGTCTTTTGAAATCGACTAAAGCGCAAAAATGCTATCCGCCGAAAACGAAAACCAAAGACTGAAATCAACAAGGACTACATCCCCATTTCTCCAGTCAAAGTGACTTTGATGCGGCTGAAATACTTTGAAATCCTCCGCGAATCAAGCGAAAATCTAACAAAAGGTAGCGCCCAAAATCAGCCTATAAAATTTTTTAATAGTACCGAAAGCTCCCACAGATCGAAGGTGGACCTTTTAAAGCGCCATAAAACTTTATTTTGTACCTGTAACAACTCCAGTCCACATCCAAATTTCCAAGAATAAATCAACCGCATCCGAATTCAAATGAAAAAACATCGTGTACCCCATTCCAACAACGATTGCCACTAGAATCACGAGCTTCCAAAACCAGAAGCCATTATGAATCGATGCTCTCGATTGCGATGAGTTTTTGATCCCTATCGTTAGCAAGAGCAGGACGAAGAAAAACATTCCAAGCGATAGGAAAATAATATAGACACCTTGACATTTATATAAATCATGTAAAAGCAGGTCAACTACCTGTTGTACTAAAAATCTCATCACAGGTGATTTCAGTCGCCGTTTGATCACAAAATCCTTGTAATGCTTCATTTTCCCTGATGAGTTCGACGACTTTGGAGGAGGAGAGTACAGTCGCTAGGACTGTAAAAATAATCAGGAAAATACTGTACATCAGCTTTGTTCCCGTGCTTTCATTGATGGCTTAAAATACATTACGTAATCGTTTTCTTTCATTAAAAATTTACCTGGAAGACAACCACAGCATAATCGACAGCTCTTCGGGCCGAGTAAGCAATCGCATCCGAACGTACAACTGCATTTCTCATCATTGAAGCTTGCTTCAGAATTTGTTGAAGAAGAGTTTGAGTCTGATTCTGAGCCGCTACTGTCTCCTTCATCGTAGTGTTTTAGACGTTCGGGCTGCTTTTTGACGGCTTTAAAAAGTGTTTTGGGATCAAATTCGGGTGCTCGAAAATCGACTTTTTGCTATATTATTGAAACTCGTACCTTTCATTTCTTCCATTTTCTCAACTTTCTCCTCTCTCTCCTTTCTTTTTCGCGGCATTCGTTTTTTCGGCCTTGGACTTCTTCTTTTCTATTCTTTTTAGAAAAATTTTGGAATGACGTGCGAAGAATATCTGCTCCACCACAATGAACGACTATTAAACTCAAAAAGGCAAACAATGAACTAAGGAGCAAAGAGCCGTCCTCTGACTCGCCTTTTCTCCGACCTGTGCAGTCGACCGTAAAGTTTTTGTAGGAAAAAATAAGTTTCCTTTGAAAAAGCCGTAGGATAATTTTTGGCACCGGTCTAAGCGACACACTCTCTTCCGGTGGCACCGCTCATGATAAATTTATCATCATTTTCGATGAAAAACACGGTCTTGAGAATTTTTGTACTGAAAACATGGAATGGAATGAAAAGCAAATAATCCAATGATCAAATACAGTTGGCGATACACCTTTTTGCTGAAATAAACTTATTCCTACAGTATTTATGCGGAATATTTTACGGTAGTCAGAATTAATCATCGGTTTGTTAAAAATCTATGTTTTTAAAAGTTCTATACAGGATTTATTTTCGAAAGTTTATTGACATTTGTTTCTGCGCAAGAAGCGTCAGATTCACACGCTAGTATAAATACCACGATAGAGCTGCGTAAATCCATCGATAACTGGTCAAATGACCATGAATAGAGCAATAACGTTATTATGTCTGTCCTCGCTCTTGAGTCATTCACTGCCTAATTTATTTGCGCATGATTCCTAGAGGTTCCCTTCTTGCACATTTAGGTCATCTGATCGCCTTCAGTAATCAACCGTCACGGTGAATTTCGCCCCAGATGGTCGATCAACCCCATCTTTCGACAGTATTTAACCGCTGCAGAATCTCCAAAAGTCAGAAAAAATCAAATACAAAAATTAACAGAAAAAAACATCGAAAATGAAACTTCTCGATGTGCTCGCGAAAACAAGACTTGCTTCAGTTTCGAAACTTGAAACAGCGCTCACTGGGGACAGCATCATCGCAGAGCATCTTCAAGACAATGCCGAGTGTTCTATGAGAGGAATGTTGGATAACGGAGACACTCACCCACTCGATTCTCTTCACGCCGATAACTTGGGAGGACCTCTTCATGAAAGTAAGTATACGCTTAGTAGTTATGAAAGAAAGGACTTCATTCTTACGTAAATTCTAGTGTATGTCGTGGCGAAAACACCGAACTCCTTCATGTCCAACAGTGGCGAATGCCAAAAGATGAACTTTCGCTGGACAACGAACAAAATCGCCGAAGTGACTTCAAGCGAGGTGACAAAAAACAGCAGCGTTCGGAGAATGTTCGGCGGCAGCTCAAAAAGAACGATGGACGCAAACCGAATGTATGCACGAACAACTCACTACCCTCTCGATGAAAGCTACATCATGGACTTTTACTTCGACTCAAGCTCGATGGACGGGCTAAATGCGCGACTAAACAAACAGCTTTATGGCGAAGAAGGGGGATATCTCATTAGAGGAGTCGAAGAATACGATACCAGGAAGTATGCAGTTCTCTTACAAGGATGCCACGGTGGGAAAAAGTCAAACCTTTTCCTTTGCACGGACTGGAATTGCCCCCTTCAATCCTATTTCTCTGATTTTTCCGCGATGACTGGTGGTGTAGACGATTTTACGACTGCTTCACTCATCTACCCTGACAATCGCGATGCCAACTGCAAGCACGACAATGCTACTCCGCTCTGTTCCCCGTGCGAGGGCAAGGACAACTGCTATGAGCTGATGGACTGTGCTGACGGACAGACTATCGACACCACCAAGGTAAAATATTCTTCGTTGTCTTCAATAATCATTACTTGCCATTTCAGACATACGCGGACCTAGGAACATTGACAAACGACTTTTTGATCAGCTACGAGATGAAATTGCCAAGCGGTTACGCTGCCACTCACTTTGAAGAATTCTTCAAAATTACAACTGATCCAAGCAAGGACGAAACAGATGCTGATTTCGACCGGCATAAACACGATGCTCTCTCGACTGGTTATGCAACCAATAATAATTGGGATGAACGTTGGATTACTTTGACTATGGCATCTCACACAATTGCTGGAGTCAGGTAAGAATTCAGTTCTGAGGGTGACATTTGCTTCTCAAAATTTATCACAATCTTTCGAAATCAAATCTTCATCTTAGGGCTGTTTTTATATTCGTCGACGACACTTTTGCTCCTGCTGCGGTTGGATACGACCACACCCACTCCAACCCTTTAATTCCCGATGGCTACAATGTTCAGCCAGACTTCGTCGTTGCCGGCGGAACTGTTAGGGATGTTACTAGCGCTGGAACGCAATATGCAGTATGGACCGGCGAAGTGCGCAACGCATACGTTCAAAAAGGCTCGCTTCAGAATATTTTCCCCGACTCTAAAATCAGCCGTCCTGATATTGCAAAGGTATTTTTCAATTTGAAATCCAAATAAAAAAATTGATTCTAGGGGACAAAAGTTTGCGCAGAGTGGAGAGACATGGGCAATACTGCTGTCGATTACAACACCGCAAAAACAACCTGCGCTCAAGCTGGAGGACACCTTCCTTATTTCACTAGCAACAGTGAAATTAGCGCCTACAACGCACAACTAACTCGGACAGAATGGCTCGGAATCGAGAAACAAAATGGAAATTGGGTTGACCTTACTGGTGCACTAGTCACAACTTTTGTCTGGGACATGGGCGAGCCAAACAATGGTGGTGGTAATGAAAATTGCGTCGAGACCGACAGCTGGGGCTTTTGGAATGATGTCGATTGCGCCAGCCTGAAATTATTCTCTTGCTATTTCGAGTCAGTGGTCGCCCTCCATGACGACTGTTCTTAATTTCCTCGTCAGAATAATAGGATTTTCTTAACGCTTGCAGACGCAATAATTTATTCTGTTCCTTTCACCATATTTATTTGTGATTTTACTATTTATTCTCCTGTGTTATTTATGATAATGTATCATATTTACTGTTTAAAGTTTTTTGTGTCTGAAAATACAAATTCATTCGAATAAAATGAAAAAAAAATCTTAGAAACAGTTTCTGAAAATAAAAAGCTCAATTTCAGCTCGCAGTGTTCTTAAGAATATCAGGAAATCTTCATAATCTCGCAGAAAAAAACTCATTTTATAGGTGCGCTATCTTGGGAGCGTTTCTGAGAATCTTTACTTTGAATTATAATTAATATTATCTCTAGTCGAGAATCAAAATATAGCACACCATGATTGGTCATAAAGATGAAAATCTGCACCCGAAAAATCCAATTTGAGGACCTCTCCCCCCCATGAAGAGTTGCGAAAATTGGCCTTCTAGGGCCTAGGAGCAAGTGTTTCTTTTCTATCTTAGATACACCCTTAATTTCAATTGAAAATTTTAGATCTAACCCTTGGCTACAACCGTTTCCCTTGTCATAATCTCTTGATCAACAATTTAAGGATACACAGGCCGCTCAAGGTCATGTTGCTAGGAGCAAGCTTTTTTGGGTTTTTATTCGAGGGAAATCCTATATTTTTTCAGGAGAAAGCTAAGGCTTTGAGCTACAATCGACGAGAGCTGGATGTTCTTCATATTAGAAAGACAGATTGATCAGACAGAGATTAGTACCAAATGCGCCTGGTTGTTGGCGAAAAAGAAGCGAGTTTTATTCTTTGAGTTCAAACACCTTTCCTTGTCTTGGAGTTTCTTGCCGTCTCCTAACAATCAAATAAGCTGTTCGTTTACGCTCTCAACCGTTTTCAAACTACCAGAATGTGATAAGAAACTATATTCCCCAAATAAACTTTTGAAAAATAGTCAGGTTTCTTTTTGGAAATTCGTGGTAATGACTCATGGCTTAGTCGCTAGAACCTCCTCTTGTCCTCAATAGCAATCTAGCCTAGATTATCTAGGTCATCTTATCAGCGTCCCATTATCAACCGCCACGGTCAATTCACAACCACCTGCTGGATCAACCCCTTTTTATCTCCATATAAATGCGTGCAGAATCTGCGCAACTCAGAAGAAAATTCAAAACAAAAAAATGAAGATTTTTGATTTCCTCGCGAAATCCCGACTCGCTACATACACAAGACTTCAAGAAGCATTCACCGGTCAGAACGACATAGCAGAGCATTTGCAAGGCAATGCCGAGTGTTTTATGAGAGATATGTTGGTTTACGGAGAAACGCATCCACTTGACTCTCTTCATGCGGATAATTTGGGCGGACCTCTTCATGAAAGTAAGTTGAAAGAGCCATCTTTATATCCATTAAACGGTTCTCTTGACCTTTATTCTAGTGTTTGTCGTCGCAAAAACGCCAGACTCGTTCATGTCCGATAATGGCGAATGCCAAAAAATGAACTTTCGCTGGACAACCAACAAAATCGCCGAAGTCACGTCGACACAAGTTACTTCAAACGATAATCTGCGGAGAATGCTTGGAGGCAACGCAAGAAGAAAGATCGAAGGAAGTCGAATGTATGCCAGAACATCGTTTTACCCAAAGAGTGAAGTGCACATTTTGGATTTTTACTTTGACGAGAGCTCGATGGAGGGGCAAAATGCCCGGCTCAATAAGCATCTTTACGGGGAAACAGGAGGATATGTGATTCGAGGATCTTATGAATACGCGACTGAAAAATTTATCGTCCTTTTGCAAGGTAAAAAATAGATAGTCATGTTTGTTACTCAAAAAATCTTCAGGATGCCATGGTGGAAAAAAGACATCTGTCTTCCTTTGCTCAGAATGGGATTGCCCGCTTCAAGCTAATTTCGCTACTTTCACCACAATGGCTGGCGCTCAAGATGATTTCTCGACTCTTCCACTGATTTACCCTGACAATCGAGATGCCAACTGCAGATACGACAATGCTGATCCTTTCTGCTCACCTTGCAAGAGCAAGGAAAACTGCTTTGAGCTCATGGACTGCTCTGATGGCCAAACTATTGATTCGACTAAGGTTGGTTCTCTTCGTTGTCTTCAATCTTGATCATTTTCTATTCTAGACATATGCGAATCTAGGAAACTTAGGCAACGACTTTTTGATCAGCTTCGAAATCAAAATGCCAGCAGGCTACACTGCTACCAAGGACAACTACTTCTTTACCTTTACAACCGATCCTGGCAAACAATCATCAGATGGCGATTACGATATTCAAAAGCATAATCCCTTGCCGAGGAGTATTCAGTTCAGCAATCAATACAATGATGAGTTCTGGATGACCGTCACTATGGCATCACACACAATTGCTGGAGTCAGGTAACAATTATATCCCCAATTTCGATGACATCATTTATTTCAAGGGCTTGGTTTGCCTTCTACGACTACCCTGACAGTCCTGTTATGGTTGAATACGACCACACCGACGCAAATCCAAATCTTCCTGATGGCTATAATATTCAAGAGGACTTCTTCGTCGTGGGCGGCACTGTTTACGACGTCACAAGCATTGGAGCAACAAGAGAAGTATGGCCCAACGAAGTGCGCAACGCATACGTTCAAAAAGGCTCGCTTCAGAATATTTTCCCCGAGTCTGCGATTTCCCGTCCACATGTTTCTAAGGTACGTCCGCAACTTCTTTTGAATCTTAAAACAATTTTAGGGCTGGAAAATATGTCCCAAATTCGCTCAAATGGGCAGTACTCCAGTCGATTACAGTACAGCAAAAGCCAGCTGCAATGAAGTTGGAGGACACCTTGCTTTCTTCGATAATGCGGATCATCTCCAAACCTACAACACCATCAAAAGTACTCAGCGAGAGTGGCTCGGAATCGAGCGACAAAATGGAAACCAGTGGTTTACCGTGACTGGTGTTGAAAGCACTGTCTATAATTGGGCTGGTGGTGAGCCAAATAATGCTGGTGGCATCGAAAATTGTGCTGAAAGCTACACCTCTCTTGCTTGGAATGATATCCCTTGCGGCGAAGCAAGATTGTTCTCTTGCCGATTCGACGTAGTTGTCGCTATGGATGACAACTGTCCAGCGAGTGTTTCTTGCTCCCTGAGTACGGAACCGAAGTTGACACTTACTGCAAAGACACGAAATCAGGGTGGTGGTGATCCTTCAGATGGAACTATTTCTTTCCGGTAAGTTTTTTCACGAATGTTTTTATTCCGAAAAATCAATCAAAAATTTCACCAGAAAGTAAAATTATCCATTTTAGAATACCAAAGACTGGCTGCGACACGTGGTTTTCGATCGACAGTACCGGCCCTCTCTTGAACGCTGGAAGTACAGACGAGTTCGACTGGGATACGTCTGCTCTCTCGAATTCTTGTTTCGAAAATATTGATGAAATTGAAATCAAAGAAGAGAGTAACGATGGATGGATGCCAGAATGGATTACTCTCGATATTGTCGACTTTGTCAATTGTCAGACTACCACTTATACATACCCGGTAAGATCAAGTGATTTGACTTGCCTAAAAATGGATTTTTAAGGGTGCTTGGGTTGATGCTTCGACAATTACGTTATCAAGAAGTTCGACGGAAGTTGCGAGTGGACTTTAATTTATTGCCAAAAAACCCCGAGAAAATATTTATCAATGACAAATATTATCGACGCGAATTTATCATCAATCCTTTCATGCAACTGAATTTATATGATAATATTTCATATACTGAACAAAGTTCATTATGACTGTAAATACAAACTCATACGATCAATATCAAAATAAATTATTCATCGAAAATGGCATTTGATTAATTTCCCAAAGATAAGCAAGATTGATGAAAAAATGCTAAATTTAGGCGTTAATCTGATCACTGATTCGGCATGGCTCTGTCAGTTGCGTCTTTCCGCCCCAGGCGTGAGCTCGCTATCATTTTTTTGGCATTTTAAGAGAGTAGCAGGAAGAAAAGATAATTTTGCGAAGAGATGCCAGGTTCGAACTCATTCTTCATTTCGTTTATTGAAAATAATGAAAAATTCTTTCAGTGAAAAAATTCTCATTCAAAGATGCGGATAGACAGGATACAACAAAACCAGCCGGTCTTCCGAAAAAAAAGAAGGTCAGCTCGAAATTCGGAGCAAAAGAAGAAGCTTCTCCAGCTCCAACTCCTAAATTAGGTCTGAAGAAAAAGAAAGACGCGAAGGCAGAAGAAGCTGCAGGTAGATCAAATTTACTGTCAAAGATAACTAAACTTCGATAAGCTAAAATCGAAGACAAGAAGATCCACCCAATCAAGAAAGACGAGCCCAAAGCCGAGGAAAAACCCGTGGCTCCTCCAAAACCACCAACGCCTGAGCCAGCAGAACCCGTCATCGAAATCGAAAAGGGTGATCCGGAAATAAACGAAACTGTTGTTTTGGGTTTCAAGCACGATTTCACTGAATTTGAGCACCATTATTTTCAAGCACTTTCTTTTTTGAAGAGCACCAAATTTTAATTTCATTCTTTTTCAAACCCATTCGTTAGACCCAGAAGATCCAGAAGCTCGAGACCCTGACGGAAAATGGTGGATCATCAAGAAGGCAGCTGATGTTCGCTCCTCTGAGGGAGAATCAGTTTCGATCACCATCGAAGTCGGCAAGGGCGATCCTCTCCATCCCCCTCGAGTTCAATGGGTGAAGGGAAAGTGGAACGAAATCACCGCGGGCGACCGTTATCAAATGTCAAACGAGAAGAACTCCTACACTTTAACATTCACCAAGCCGAAAATGTCCGACTCTGGAATCTACACGATCAAAGTTACTTCTGCCGCTGGTCAACTGGATTCCAAGACTTTCGAGTTGAAAGTCGGGCCCGAAAAATCCGCGAGCTCTGGAATCGTCGTTGTTCGAGGAAAGTTGCCAAAGAATGTCCAAGAAGAAGATTTGGACTTCCGAGGAAAGCTGAAAAAGGTCCAGAAACAGGTTGCCAAGGACAAAGAAGGCGAAAAAGTGGATATTTGGTCAATCCTCCGCGACGCCAACCCTCGAGACTATGACAAGATCAGCTTCAAGCACGGTCTGAAAGACTACCGCGGAATGCTCAAGCGAATGGCCGCCAATAGAAAAGCTAACAAGCGATCAAACGCGTACGAAACCAAACTTCCCGATACCGAATGCGTCGCCAACAACGGTCGATTGGTTTTCGAAGCCGAAGTCGCCAACGAAGCTTTGGGCACAAAATGGTATCGAAATGGGCAAGAAATCACCGCGCAGAACACTCATTTCAAGATCGAGCAGCGAGGGAAGTTCAGAAAGCTAATTATCGAAAATGCTAATTTGATGGACGATGGACTCTTTGAAATCCGAGCTGGAGAGGAGAAGAGCTCCTGTGAAGTCCATGTTTTGGAGGTGAGTCTTTGTTGATATCATTTTTTCGACTCCCAATTTCATGTTCAAAAACACATAAAAAAAGTAGCGCAACACTAAGTAGCACCTCAGACGTGTCATTTTTGCACCCGTCAGACTTGATCTTCGCTATTTTTTCTTCCGTTGATGAATTATCTCTAACCCTGCTTTTTTCAGGCGCCTACTGCTGTCGATAAGGGCTTCGAAGATTTGCAGCTTGTCGAGGGCGAGGATGCGAAATTCACCGCGACCTTGAGCACCGCGCACGGCAGATTCAAGATTCTCAAAGATGGAATTGAAATTGGATTGAACGACAATCATTCGATTTCTCGAGACGGCGCTGTGGTCAACTTTGAAATCAAGAAAATCACCAAGAGCGATGCTGGTTTTTATGAAATTCAAACAAATGGCGCAAAATCCTTTGGAGAGCTTATTGTCGACGCGAAGCCAGCTACGTTCAAATCTCGATTTTCCGATGTCAACGTCAACGTCAATGAACCAGCTGAGTTCTCATGCATTGTCGCCGACGCTGAAGTCGCTGGCAAATGGATATTTAACGGCAAACCCTTGGAGGAATCTGAAAATGTTCAAATCGTTTCTGAAGGAACCGACCGAAAACTCGTTCTCAAAGAAGTCGGAAAGAAAAATGAGGGCGAATATCAGTTCCTCGTTGATTCTAAGGATCATAAACAGCCTACTGGAATCACTGCGACTCTGAAGACCTACGCAGTCACTATTGAAAAGCCTCAAGGTTTCATATAATGAGTTTTTCATCATCTTATAAATGATTTTAGTTCCTCCAAAAATCTGCCTCTCCCTCGCCGCAGAGAAAGAAATCGTCGTCAAAGCCGGTCAAAAATTCACTTTGGATATTCCAATTTCTGGAGATCCGGCTCCTGAAGTGTCTTGGTTCATCGGAGAAAAGGCAAAAATGCTCTCAAACTTTTCTTCAATCATTTTTAGGAATTGACTTGCGAAAAGACTCAAACTGGCGAGTTCACTAACCCCTTAGATCGACCATTTGACAAGCCTTTCGGAAAACCCACCGACCCAACTCAACGAGCTCAGATCAAAAATTCTGCCGAGCGAAGCCGTCTTCATATCCCAGCTGTTCACAAAGGTATTCTCAAATATTTTTTTTTTGAAAAAAAAACCATCGTTTTCAGCTGATTCCGGCGTCTACACTTTGAAACTCAAGTCTGAAGCAGGAACTGACAGTATCGACTTCAAACTGCTAGTTATTCACAAACCAGGAGCGCCAGGAATCCCAATTATCTCCGAGCTCAACAATGAGTGCTGCAGAGTTGACTGGACTCCCCCAGTTGAACTTGGTGGATGCGAAGTTCAGGAAGGGGTTGAAATTCTGATTATTTTATCAAATCTTCGAAATCCAATTTTTAACCGTCGAAACAGGGCTATATTGTCGAGCGAAAAAAGACAGCATCTTCCCGATGGATTCGCCTGAACTCTCAGCTGATTACTTTCCACAACCACCTCGCCCGTCGAATGGTCGAAGGAACCGCTTATCAAGTCCGGGTGACAGCTGTCAACGAAGTTGGAGTCGGAGAGCCTTCGCCAGTCTCCGAGTCGTTCACCCCAATGGCGCCTACTTCCGAGATTCCTTCGATCAGAAAGGGTCTTACTACCGACGAAAGCATCGAGCTCAAATGGGCTGCGCCAGAGGACCAGGGTGCTTTGGGCATGAAGGGCTATTTGATCCAGCTACAGGTCATCAATCAGTTTTCTTCTTATTTTGAATCATTTCTAGGTCTTGAAGAATCCATCCTCTGAAAATCCCTTGATGGAACTTGAAGATGATGCATGGGAAGACTGGAAAAAGACAAAGGTCGCTCCAGATGCAAACTCTCAAGTTCTTGACGGCCTTGAGACTGGAAAGACTTACATGTTCCGAATGGCCGCGGAGAATCCAGCCGGCCGATCAAAGTGGACTACCTTCGGCCCGATCGTCTGCGCAGAAGCTATGGAAGATCCAAGGATCAACCTTCCGAGACCTCTGACAAGATTGGTCAAAATTCGATGCGGCGAGAAACTTCACTTCCAGGTCCCCTTTGTTGGCCGACCAAAGCCCCTTGTCTCCTGGACGAAGGTAGACTCTTTGCCCGAAGAAGGAGTAAGCACACTCCCAGAAGGGTTGGAAGAAAATCCTCTTGGCGACCACGTCACTGTTCGAGAGAGCCCCGGCCTGGCTGTCCTCCATATCAGGAACACAGATCGATCTGACACTGGCTGCTACAAAATGCGCCTGGCTGTTGGCGATAAAGAAGCGATCGCAGTTATCAGAGTGGCAATCGTTGAACCGCCATCGAAGCCAAGAGCGCTCAAGATTGTTGAAACTATTGGTAAGCAATTTTTTTTCTCGAATGGTCGATCATTTCATTTAGGAACCTCCGTTCAATTGGAGTGGGAGGCACCAAAGGACGATGGAAACTCAGAAATCTTCGCCTACTCTGTTGAGAAGCGAGACAAACGATCAGGCCCCGATGGACAATGGTTCATCGTCTACGAAAAGATCAGACACTGCAAGTGCTCGATTGATGACGTCATCGTCGGAAACGAGTTCCAGTTCCGCGTCAGAGCACAAAACGAAGTCGGAATCTCCGAAGGAATCGCCACCAAAGAATTCGCAAAGATCGAGAAGGAAACTCTCACCTACACCAAACCCGAGTACAAGTCCCGTGATATCAGCCAGCCACCAAGCTTTACTCTTCCTCTGAACAACAGAAAATTAACCGTCGGCTACACTGGCACCATCTCCTGCTCTGTTCGCGGACATCCTAAGCCGAAAATCAGATGGTTCAAAAACAAAAGTGCGAGTTTTTCTTCCCGGTATAAAAACTAATCAAATTCAGTCGAGATTATTGACAATCCAAAGTACAAAACAACCGCTTCAATGGGAGTCGTTCAGCTTGAAATTCGACGTCCAAGAGCTCAAGATCAAGGAATGGCTCAAACAGATCCCTAGAATTGTCAATCCCTAGAATGCACAAAATCTGAGCCACTTAAAAAGGCACCTACACTTGCTTAGCATACAACGAACACGGTGAAGTCAGCTGCGATGCCCAAGTTATGGTCCGGGAGCCGAAATAAATGGACATCCTCTCCATTGCTTCAAATCTTCTAGCTTTTCTTTTCACACTTAGTCAAGGACTTTTCGAACTGCACATACATAAATAAAACTAATACATGTTAACTTTTGACATTTTTCATGATTTTTATTCAAGAGGCAGTGAACTTTCTTTATACAAAATAATAAACAAAAGGTTTTTCAGTTTCGATCCTCACTCACTTTATATTTGATTGTATTTTCGTCGTCAAGCCATGTCTTTTGATAGAAACTGAGACCTGATTACAAATCTTGATTGATACCTGTAGCTCATTTGACCAGACCATGTAATAAATCCAATAACAGAGGCAGAAGGCGGTAAAAATGAACGGAAAAAGCACCCTGCTTTCTTTTTCGATTTTCTTCGACAAATGCCTTTTTTTTTTGCTTCAGAAGTTATAGTATATTACAAATATTCAAAGAATAATTAATGCTTTTGCTTTCATTTTGCAAATGAAAAGAGCTGAAACTGAACCTATAGTACAGTGCGTCAGCCAACTCATCATCTTCGTCTTCCGCTCTACTTGCTACGCGACTTTTATCGGTGAAAGTGAATGAAACCCCTACCCGTAGAATTTTTAGGAACTTGGTGATGAAGATCGAAGTGACTGTGATCCTGACTGTGAATGTTCGCATTTCCGTTCAATTTCGTGTTGAAATACGAAGGCGAATCGTAATGCGCCGAGTAGTTCGCACAGTATACTGATCCGTTCATACTTCCGTTGATTTTTGGAGCGCTTCCGTTGGTGTATTCTTTCTTTGTGGCTTTTCGTTTTCGAAGAGTTCTATTTCCGAAATCGAAAAAAGGATGTTGAAATCAAGGAAGAGAAGATCAACATTGTTTTTGAGTCGGATTCCGTTCCTGCAGTTTTTGAGATATTTCGAGACCAGATTGCAATGTCCCTTTTTCAATCGCCTAAAATATGGTTAGTAATAACTTTCTGCATCTGCCTATTAATCAAATAATATAAGTATATTGATATTTTGTTCCTACCTAGAGTTGCGGGCCAAGATGCCATCTGACTGCCGATAAAGATAATTGGCGATCGCATATTCCAACACCGCGGCGAAAACCAATACCATGCAAAATGATAACCAAATATCGATAGCCTAAGAAAAAAGTCGTCACTAAAAATATCGGAAAAGTGGCCGCCCTCCCTCGTCATCGGTCATGGGATTGATTGGAAAGAGTCTCTTTCAAAAGGGCGTTTCTGACAGGTTATTGATGATCGCGAGTCTGATTTTTCTTCTTGCGAACTTACTTTGATATAAGAAACTTTTGGCAGTGACATCGCAGCGCCATTTCGCATTGAAGAAATTGTCAGAACAGTCGTAATTCCCAACGAAATTCGAGCGGGCGTTGCTTCGATTGAGATCCAAAAAGAAACCCAAGATAAAATTACGAGCAGGAAGGATGGGACGTAGATTTGAATCAAATAGTATCCGATTTCCCTCTTTTCAATAGGTTTTCACAGTAATAATTTCGCTAGAAAAAGCGCTGAATAAACCCCTGCCTTTAGAATGAACTTGGCTTCGATGCAAGTGTATGTGCCACTTGTGTAAACTTTGTCGCAAACTGCGGTTTGGTGACCGACTAACTTGAACTGCGGCATTTGGAGATCGTCCTAATTCAGCAGTAATGTACAGTTAAAAATACAGTCTAAAATACCTGCAAATCTAACGGCGGCGTTTGTGTGTCTGGAGTTGGATTAGACTTCCATATTTGAAATAATCGAATTTGATTGGTTGCTTGTCTATTTTAAAGCTTTTGATTGGCTAAAGGTCATATGTCAAACAAAGAATTATTCAAATTTCAAAAGAAGATATCGACCTCATTTTCAGTGATTTCAAATGACAGTCAAAAGCTTGTGTTAATATTGATAAGTTATGGAAGGAAAACACGAATAGTCAAATCCTCTTTCCTGTCCAGTGAAATTGAACATCATTCGTGTTGTAGCCAAAGCTCTCGGCGCGGAGGTTACAGACTAATAAGTAGTTGTCGATTATTAATTAACCTTGCGTTTAAGACATCTTCACACAATTGATTAATTCATTCCACGGCCTCCCTTTTTAAAAAATGAAATCAACACTTAGGCCCTTGTCACTGAGAAAAGATTGAAAAAGGATTCAGCTTGTCTCAATAGAAAAAAACAACATGTAGGGGCAAATTGACCGCAGAATGCCAATCTGCGGTTTTAAAATCTTATTTCAGATCTTTTAATATATATTTTTGGTCTTTTTTGGCCTTTTTTCAGTCACCTGATAAGAGTGCCTTCCATTTTAAAGTTAGGGTGGGGAAACTTGTCAAACTTCGTAGGCAAAACGAAGAAGAGCCAATCAGATTGCAGTATTTTCAGATTAAGCCAATCAAAGGTGAGCAAACACATCTCCTCAACCCCCAAAAATCGATATTGCTCGCATTTGATTGGCTAAATCTAAAAATACTGCAATTTTATTGGCTCTTCTCCGTTTTGCCTACTTATTTTGAGAATTTCTCGCATCCTAGCTATAAAAAAGAAGGCATTTTTAAAAGGCTGGCAATTCCGGAACATGTATTTGCTGAATTGTTACCTTGAACATCCATAGGAAAATGATTGAGGTACATTCTGCAAGCTGCTACCACTGTCAAGCGTATGGAAACGTAGACGAGTCCGTCCTCTCTGAATACAATCTTAGTTTTCATAATCAATTAATCATCGAATCTTGCGGCGGTTTCACGTTCAAGCTCTTAGCATAAATTTTTAAGCAATTTCCAATTAAATTTCAGCCATTCATATTCAAGCAGATTCAAGAAGCAAAAGGAGAAAATAAACATAAGGGAAGTAGAAGCACTCGAGTACAAAAGTAACCAAATGCATATTCAAAATTATTTCGATGATCTCGATGATCTGCTGTACAACATGCCAAATACAGTGGCTCGAAAATCTGGAGTTACCTGATGCGGATGAGCGCGTTTTCGGTGATTATCTTGTGGGGCGAGCCTTCTTTCTCGTTCGAAAAGAACAAATCTGGCTTCCAAATTGCTTTGAGCACGTCTGAGTGCACTAAAATCACAGGAATACAACAGTGAAGCCCTTAAATCAGCCAATTTTCTTGTCAAAGTTCATTTTCCCGACAGATTTTGAACTGGGAATGTCTGTGGAATTTACAGTAAAAATCCGATTTCGCCCGTGATTTGACAGTCACGTGGATTATTCCCGAAAGGTGCTAAATGTCTTTTTTGGCTGACCTGTGAGTTGCTCCATTTTGACATCGGAGGAGCAATTAGCCTTGGTGAGACAGTCCTCTTTGGGGATGAAAAATGTGAGTCTTTGTGAATTGTTCGATTCCCTTTTTTCAAACAGTACTTTAAATGTTATTTTTATTCTTCTCGACCTTCGAGAGCAATAATGAATGATTTAAACTACAGTAAGGAAAAGAGCCGATGTTTTTAAAAGAGACTTTAAATCTTAATCGAATCGGGAAACAAGAAGATTTGGATCCTTTACCAATAATCTCATCATAAATTTGAAATTGACCTTATTTTTGAATCTAGTTAAAAATTGAACAATTCCTTGGGTCCACCCAAAACATCCGCAAAAACATGGTCAATCTATAATCCATTGTCGATTCTTGGAGAGAGTCGAATGACTGCATTTTAGATTTCAACCTGTCGATTTATTTCATTGGGATAATTTGAGAATTGGTCAGTCGTTTTAATCTTTTTCCTGAATGTAGAAACTTACGTTGACTTCTGCGGCTTTAATCTTTTAAAAAGCTCAAAAAGATATTATATATTACTAATTATAAAGAAAGGCATTTATTTTATACCCTCAGACAAATCTGAATAAGGGTATATCGCCCGCTAAAATGAGAACGCCAATTTTATTTTCGATTACAATCTTAAGTATATAGCCTATGAAATTGAACTTAGGCGCGTTGAAAGCTCAATTTCATAGGCTATATCCTTAAAAATTATTCCGGATTCCATAGAAAATTTCCTTCATTTTTGAGCTTTTCCTTATCATGAGGCCTCAATTTCTTATCATACAGTTGAGGATTGTTAATTGTGTTGTACAAATTCGCCAGCTAGAATTTTCATTTTGAATCTCTGATAAAAAAGTTTATTCAAAAGTTTCTCTTTTTTCACCTGATCGGCTAGAATGATTTTAATAAGAGAGAATTGAATAAGTTTCAAAATCATTTTAAAATAATTCAAAATTTTTGATGATAAAGAAAAATGATGAACTTCTTTCTTTTTGCTTGAAGACAAAAATGACAGGGCTGAAGGGGAGGGTTTTTGACGACTCGGGGGCGCCACTCTCGATTATTAGAGGAACTCAATTCTCGGACAATACTTATTGGCACCTCTTTCTTTCCAGAACTTTAGCGAAGCCCTTAATTAATTGTTAGAGCAAGGAAATAAATAAAGTGCCTAAACAAGTTGTTTTATCGACCATAATTGAACATTTTTATGAACGTGTCTTGTCGACAAAAACAACGTGCCTTTTCAAATCAAAAGCCATTGCAAATTAATCGGTTGTCGAACAAGCCCAGCTGTTATTTGATAACACGTCGGTCGCCACATAAAAACGAGCACTAGAATTTGAGCAATCCATTCCGAGTTTCGCAACCGGATCAAAAACCACTTTCTTACTTTTCTTTCTATATTTTTTTTTTCTCGAGAGTTTCTGAAAGATGAAACTTTTTGGAGCTGTTCTTTGTGCTTTTGCTTCGGCGGCTGTGACTGATAGACAAGAAGAAGATATTTCAGGAACAGTGAGAAAAAATAAGAAAAAATTGAAATTTTCTTCCTTGATTTTGACTTTTATTATCATCAATTATTTGGGCATTTTTTTCACTTTCGCGACAGGATACATCGAAACCTTCAAAAAGTTCGAAATGCGCTTGAGCCCTTCTCTCAAAGCCGAAATCGACGGCTGGATCACCGAAGCTGCAATGATCATCTCGACGCCCGGCATGATCCGAGCCCAAATCGTGCAAGAAATGCTCGCTGCTGGAAAAATTCTGCTCTTCCAAGTCTCCGAAAACCTCAACTCTCCTTCATCCCTTTTGAGAAAAAAGAACGACGACGATCAGGATTGGAAATTTAGGGACTACGGTTGCTACTGTCATCCGACGCAGAAACTGATCAAGGATGCTAACTGGGCGATTCCAATGGGACATCCGGTTGATGAAATCGACTCTGAGTGCAGGTTTGTTCTTAAAATCATCCGCATTTGGCGCCAGAGAGGGCGAATTTACGCGCCAAATTCAAATTCAACGTTCTTTTTCAGACAACTTTACCACGCCCATCAATGCCTAAAAGTCGACCACGGCATCGAATGCGAATCAACCAATCACTACTCCTGGGACATTGTCGATGGTCGCCCCTTCTGTGCCGATGCCGAGGGAACATGCGCGGGAGATCTTTGCCGACTCGACTTGGAATTCACAAGAAAGCTCATCGAGCTCGCCTCCGGCTGGGACTCCCAATATCACAAGAACTTCGGCTTCGATCGCCGAGAAAACTGTCGACATACGTCTGCCCGCCCGGGTAGCGCCGGCTCTGGATCCTCATCTGATGGCCGTGGCTTCCTTTCGAGTGTAATGAACGACTCCAGCGGTGGCGTTGCCCTTCATCCCGAAGCTTCGAAGCTCCAGTGCTGTGGAATCGGACTGAAACGTCACGTGTTCCATATCGATAGACAGCAATGTTGCGGATTTGAGACACGAGATATTGGAGAGTGTCTTTGAAACATGTAAAGACACGAATCTTCTTTTTTTTAATTGACATGTTGCGAATAAAAGTTCAAAACAACAATTTTCTGAGTTTCTTATTTTTGCGCAGTGACTTCGACAGGTTCATTAGAAATGAGCTCTAATTGTCTTGAAGATGGCTGTCGAGAGAGGAAATCGGCGATTTCGTTGTTGTTGATGAAGCCTGGTTGAACAAGCCGCCGGCAGATCTTGAAAAATAAACAGAATATTCAATATTGTTTTCAAATGAAACGAACCTTGTTGATTCCCCAAATCGAGAGGAGAATCCTGATTGGGATCAAATAAAGAACAAAGGTTATGATGAAGACAGCAGTCGAAAGCGTAGCGCTAGAAAATCCGATTTCCCAGTTCCAAGTGTTTTGAATCTTTTCGAGTACTTCTGCGATTCCTTCCAGGGTATCTTGAGCATTCCGCAGCGCTAGAAAAACATCGAAATAGAACATAAAATAGGAAAAAAGTACCATCTTTTGAGTCTTGAAGCAGCTTGAAGTCCTTGGCAGCGGAGGATTTTTTCTTGTCGATTGAAAGAAGATCCGACTCTTCAGACCTTTTCTTGTGCGCGAATCTTTGCGAAATCAGGGCAGTAGCAAGAGCAAATGGGATCATCCAAAGCTCGAAGCAATTGACGAAGATCAACCAGCCAATCAAAGTTGAGACGGACACTAGAGGGCGCTTCCAGTGTAGGATGTCGTCGATGTTTTGTTTGATTGCTTCCATATCAGGAGTGACGATGAAAGACTGAAAATCCAGCTCTTATTTTCGAAGAATAATGTTACCTTGATTCTAGTGACCAGTTTCGCCATTCTAACCAAGCTCACATCCTCTTTTGGATGCTCCCAAATCTTCGTTCTTTTCGGCATAAACATTTTCAAACCAGAAATGAAAGGGTTGAATTTGAAGTCGATCTCGAATTCCAATGTACCGTCAGTCAGCCTTCCCTTGGCATCTTTCAGGTAGTAGTGGTAAGAGACTTTTGGTTTGAGCTTGTGAAGAGAGAGAAATAATTGGCCGAGAGATTCCTTCTTTCGACTGTCGATGAGCGATATTTCCACGAGATCGTGAGGATCATAAATATCCACGACAAATCGATCGCCCCAAATTGCCACTGAAATTTCGATAACTGGCTTATTCTTGGGCCGTTTGATTACCTCCGCCAGAATCCTTGCTCGGAGTTGTCTCAAGCCGTTCATTTCCAAATCTTATTGATGCAATTACATCTCGCGAAGTTTTGAGCTTCGTCGCGCAAATGAGCATGATCGTCAATTTCCCGGTTTTCTGTGAATCTTTCATGATTTCAAATTGCTCCTGTTCAGATTTCTTTGCGCCAGTTTTTGAGATTGCGAGTTTCAATTCGCCAACTTTCGTCAGAGAACCTGCCCAAGTTCCTTAAATTAGGAGAATATGTTTTCAGGGAAAAGCTGACAACACAAAATTTAAAACCTGAAAGAATCGATGCAGTCTTCATGTCAATATTCTTTGAGTTCACCTTATCCGACTGAATTTCCGTCAAACTCAACGAGCCTCTCGCCAAAACCGTCTTTCCATCAAGCAAAACCATCAGCAACTCATCCCCGTCTTCTTTGTAATGATTGATGTCTACATCCGTGCGAATCTCTCCAATGGGTCCGTGAAACTTCACTGTTTTGGTTTTCACAGTTTGATTCTCTCCGTTTGAAATTTTGAGCGTCGCAGATTTTGGCTGTTTCTCTCCATTGTAAGAAATGGTTTCTAGGCGGATGTGAATGATGGAGTCGAAGTTGGTGGAGGTTCTTTGACGTGGCTTTGGTGCTGGTTTCGTAGGATTGGTGTTGAAGGAGGTTCCTTTGATGACTTTTTCCTCGCAGCTGTCCATACTAAAATTGGCTTGAGTGGATGTAAAAAGAGACAAAAAAGCTACCTGGACATGCTCTCAGATTTTTGAACAACAATTTGAGCGAGAATCGAGCACTCGAGGGTGAACTCAGCTGAGCTGAGCGTGAGCGCAGTGGGAGCCAAACTCGCAGCGGGACTCGCCAGCGGCAATTTGAAACGGCAAAGCTCCTTATCTTTCACGAGCTTTTTCTGCTCAAAGAGAGTTAGGGTCAATTCCACCACATGGTCTGGGATTTCAAGCGTCGTAGGAGGTAGTTGAAGGTCGCTCGCGGATTTGTTCTTATGAAGGAATATTTTTAGGAAATCAAGGAAAAGTACCTTGAAAGATTTTGTATTTCCATAGTCGGTAAATGGGCTTTCAATCGATAAATATAAAATATCAGGCAGTGTTTTCTTCGATTTCAACGACACCAGATGCAAGTTGACTCTGTACTTCATCTTCTCTTCTCTTTGTCAATATCAATATTATCTTCTTAGATTTATTATCCTGCTGCTCGTAAAGTGCGCTGAAACACTTGAATAGGCGCGTAGGTGGCGCTTTTTATAAAAATTCTCTTTGAAACGTCAGAACTCCGGAATATCACTTTTCAAATTATTCCAAAAAAAGGAGGAGGGGCAGTTGAGATTATTTTTGCAGAGGTTTGAATAATTGACACCCAATGATCCCTTTAGGCTACTAGAAAAGTGCACACTCACCCTGAATCATACTATTTTAGCGAAGCTCATTCTTTATTAACAGAAACATCAACTATAAGAAATCGACAGATAGTGCGCCTCAGTTATTTGTACAGCATCTCTTGGGAGCATCTCCGGTGTTTGATAAGCGACATTATCGCCCATGTAGTTCGCAAACATTTTCTTCACGCTTCCGTTAACCACATCTGAATATTTTTAAAGAGAGAACATTTCAGAAAGAGTTACCTAATTGCTCTCGAATTCTGTTGTCAACAAATTTCATGTATCGTTCCCCTCTTTGTGGCTAAAAGAGTAAAGTCTGTTGTTGGAGAGATGAATTTTATTCACCTGATTTTGATTTATTCCAAGACGTTTTTCAAGCTCCAAATGCAAATCGCGCAGCAAATGCACATCGCAAGAAGTATCCATTGTTTGTCGAATGTCCTGTTCCGTCATGTTTTGGAATTGACTCTAAAACGAATGGCTACGTTATGGCTTTTTAGCTTCAAACTGACGTTTGGCTCAAAAACAGTCTTGTAGTAGGTATTTTGAAGATCCTTTGGTCCCGCTCGGTTCTTGTCCTGTCGGATGGTCTTCATTGATTCGGTCAGATTTGAAAGCTGCTCGTTGAGATCGTTCACTTCGCTCGGATGGATAGACTGAACAAAAAAATTCTTAAAAGTAGTTGTGATAATTATTTAACTAACGTAAAGTTCTTGTGTGAGTTCTAGCTGTTGTTTCTCGAGCACTTCGATGTTCTTCTTGATTTCACGACCTTCGTCATTCCAGTTGTTAATCCTGTTGGTTAAGTCGACTCGCTGTCTTTTTTAAATTGAAAAAGTCAGAAATTTCAGAATTTTCAAAAATCGTCTTAGTATTTTGAAATTTTCCTGTTAACTTCGATGATAAGCTGTCTTCTCTTCTGGAAATCACAGAAACGAGTGTAATCAGAAGGGCCAAGTTTGACTGTTGTTGTCGGTCCAAAAGCTTGAGTTGCCACGAGACCTTCGTTTATCGCTAAAATTGGTTGAATTGATGAAAGAGAAAACGCCTTATTACCTCTGTTGATTATCCTGCTTTCTTCGTTCATCTGAGTGATAATTCGATTTGCGAACTCTACTTCTTGTTGGCGTTCTTTCTTCAATTTCTGGTATTGGACTTGATCTTCATCTATTCTTGCGCCGTCAGTCTTGTGAGCGGCTTTTCGATTTTGAAGGCGAGTTAGATCTCGTTCAATAGTCAGGAGTTTCTGCCGAATTGCTCTTGCCCTTTCTATTTCAGAAGGTCTTCTTTCTAGCGGTGGTCTGTTGGGTGCTGGACCAGTATTTCCAGGCTCTCCTGGTTGTCGGTATGTTCCTGGTGCTGGCTGCATTGTAACTGTAACTCGCTCAGGAGAAATACCCTGGCGTAGCTGCTCGTAAATTGGAAAGACGACTGGATGATTGAGCAAATCGCTAGCTGTTGGTCGAAAATGGAGATGGCTTTGATTAGGCATCATGTTTTCCTTCTGACGATCCTTGAAGCAGCTCTGGATGATCTGTGCAGCATGAGGACTACCTTGGATGGGCTGATAGATTCTGTTTTTGATCTTGTAATAGATCTGCATCATATTTGGATCCATAAAGGGGCTCTTCAGCATGATCATTTCGTAGAGCAAAACTCCAAGCGACCAGATATCGCAATCGACTCCGTATCGCTCTCCCATGCAAATTTCTGGCGGAAAATAAAGAGGAGTTCCAACCCCTAAAAAAGAAATTTCTCTATGACTAAATGATTGCCGTCACGGCGTCACCTGAAAATGTTGATTGAACATCATCATTGAAACATCGCACAATGCCGAAATCTCCGAGCTTGCAAGTTTTTAGCCCTCTCATAAAGAAAATGTTAAGAGGCTTGATATCTCGGTGAGCAATTTTCATTCCGTGGATGTATTCAATTGCCATTACAATTTGCGAAAACCAGACAAAAATATCTTCCTCTTTAAATCGGCGCCCTACGAAGTTTAATTTTGAAATCAAGGAAGAGAATCACCTTGGACACGAGTACTTTCGATCGCGTTTTGCAAGTCTCCGCCGTCGCAAAACTCCATGACGATTCTTACTTCTTTCGTTGTCCCTCCCCAGCCAGCGTTTTTAGATTCATATTCGTCAATGTAACGGACAATGAATTGATGACTTAGCGACTTTAATATCTTTGCTTCTTCCCGTGCTAGCTGTACATCTTGGTCGTTTTTTGTTTTTATCAGTTTTATCACGCATTGCAAGTTATCTATAAATCATTGAAAACGAATAAAGAAGGGAAAGTACCGTGTTTTCGTTGCGCTAAAACAGCCTTTCCAAATGCTCCTTTTCCAAGTTCTTTGATCTTTTTATACTTTTGAGAAAATTCCGACGTAAAAACTGGAGTCTGAAATCCCATGCTTGCTACGTTAAATTTCTCTGCAATGTGGAAACCAGGGCCATTTCAGCGCCAACGCGCCTCAGGCTAATATTTACAAAAGAAGGGAAAGCGAAGTCGTAATTTTCCCAATTGTAAATATGAGGAGTTCAGACTGTAAGATGACTAACGGACGCAAAAGATTGAACTACTCTTTTTATTAAAATTCGAAATCAGAATAGGCAGCAACAGGTTTCTTGAGCATGGAAATTTCGTTTTGATAGTTTATCTTTGGGCTGTTTCTCAAGGATCGTGATTTGACGATCATATAAATCAAGTCGCAAACGATCAGAACAACGGAAATAACTTGCATGGCCAGGCAGTAGTGGAGAAAGATCGTCTTTTCATAGGCACGAGGGACGAAACACTTGACTATCGGATCTTGAGAGCATGCCGAGAAGGGTTCTTGACCAACAGTACACAGCCAGCTTGAGGAAGATGAAGAATTATTAGTTTGCATAACAGAAAAACCTACGTTCTTGGAATGTGCCAGACTTCAGAAAAGGTCAGCTGCGCTTGTTCTTCCATTTCAAAGCCTATTTTTAAATCCGCATTGGTCGTGATTCGTTGCAGGATGTAAATATTGTAGATGAAGAACACTTCCAGACCGAGTTTGATTACTGAACTTTCTGACGATCATGTTCCTTTGAAAGCCTTACCAGAGAAAATATAATAACAGCTGATTACAATAGGATTCCAAATGACTTCCTCACTGTCACCTGTTATGTAATTGAATTGCTAGAAAAATAGAAAAATGCTTCGGAAAATCTTTTAGGACTTACAGAGACAGAGACATATCCGCTCAATTCTTCCTTTCTTTTACGGTAGTAATCATTCGAGAGGTATCTCCTATTCTTTCCAATCTCCAGTTCTACTTCGGCGATTTCGCGTTTGATCTTCGAGTTTTTCTCTTGTACGCTGAGAGTAATCCCCAAAAACAAAAAGACTAAAACAACTCGTCAAAATCAAAAAAGAAACTTTGAAAACTAACTTGGAATCGAAATGAACAAAATCTGCATTTCCCAAAGACGACTGTGCGAAATCGGATGAAATCTATTGAAGCACTAGGAAAAAAGAAATCATTATCAGGTTATGAGTACGATTCTTACGATAGGTCGACAACCAGGTTGTTCTGTAATGCACTTGAAATCTTGAGCGTCATTTTCAGTCGTATAACCATCGTAAATTGGTTCTCCGATCGCTTCTACTGCCAGCAATCGGAAGATGAACAACACGATCAACCTTAAAATCTTCTAAGGCAAGAGACTTCCTGAGGTTTTCCGGCATAATTCATGCCGAGTCAGAGTAGAGGAAAGATGTATTTCAAAAATGCCCGGAATTACTTTTTGCTTTATTATTGTCTCAGACATTTTTTTGACATTTGTCTGTTAGAGAAAATTTGTCGTCCATACTAGTAGGCACTCATAAAAATGGTGACACCATGAATATCTTCAAGAAAAACTCTATTACTAACCCTAACCCAACGAATAAGATTGCTGTATTTTGCCTACCGGCCAATCAAAATCCTGTTCCATAAAATTACTTCCATAAATTGTTTCAACCCTATTTTTATAATTTCTATTTAAAATTTATCATTTTCTTTTTCAATTTACCATGCATATCCAAAAGGGGTAGTGTACTTGATGATCTTTTCCGTTGCATCTGTCAGTAATTCCGCCGTTCCAGCAAAACCCATTTCAAATTCTCTCCTTCTTTCGAACTCGTTTTTTGTTAGTTTTCTAGTAGAGGAAAGTTTTGTATTTTCAAGCAACGATTTCAATGGGCACGGATTTGCTTCGTTTGAGATAAAAAGCGCGCAGATTTTTAAGCTTTCGATTGTTAATCGACAATTGTCGTATTTTTTCCTTCTCGAGCGTGAATTTATTGACGATGAATACGATTGAGCGGATTCAGAAAAGAAAAATGCACCGACATAAGAGGTCCTTCTTGAGTGTCTGAGACTCAACGACCGACCTTGAGAAAACAAACGATGATTTTTTGAAAAAGAAATTTATCAATTTAAAAATTCAGCCAGAGTAAAAAGTTGGAAATGACAGGATATCTTCGAAGGTCGACTCTTCTGATATTTGGTTGTAGCCAAGAATCTCCATATTTGCAGAGCAAAAAGTCTGAAGCTCTTGAATTGAATCACTGTCGACTTCGTCAATCCAAGCAAGAGCCGTTTTCTTTGAGTCGCGACTTGTTTCAAAAGCACCTTAAAAAGTTATAAAAATTCCTCCTCAAAAACAAACCAGAGCTTGTGTCTTTTTCCCGAGTATTTTCTTTAATCCAGTTTTTGACCTTTTCTGTCAGTTCGAAGCCGGCAAAATGAAGAATTCTCTGGCTCTGACCCAATGGGCCCATAGCTACGTCCTCGTATCTGACTATCATGCTCCTTTCTTTCAGCCAGCTCGAAGAATTTCTTTCTGCCAAAAACTCGCTTGTATGAGTGCATACTTGTTTCGTAAGAGACTTGTGCAGTTTGGACAATTTTTCCTTGTCTTGCACCTCTGTTTTGTACATTTTCATCCTGCTTCCATAAATGCCTCTTGGATCGCGAGCCAGAAAGATGATCTTCAAATCAATGTTGTTGTCCTCCGCCATTTGTTGAAGCCGCCCGACTTCGATGAATCGGATGCTTTTGATTACAGGAATGAGGGACTTGCATACTTTCGAGGCCAATTGAGCATCTACCAGGCCACAAACACTGTTGCACTGTGAAAGCTCTGTATCTCGAAAACAAAAGGGTTGAGCACAAAGCCTACGATGCTTCGATCGGAAGACGAAATTGCCTTGAGTGTCCAACTTGTCGTGAAGGTCCAAATCTTCGCTGAAGACATCGTAGGGAATGCTGAGGTCGTAGAGATCTGTGAAGTTGCATTTGAGATTTTTCGTTAGCAAGTCTAGCCGTAAATCGATAGTTCTTGGGGAAAAACCGGATTCGGAATATTCATGGAGCGGTTCGAAAATGTAGAAGGCATCGTCGTTGTTGTTGAATAATTCGCCGAGGAAGGTTGACCCGGATCGCATGAAGGTAAGGATCTAGGCATAAAAAAAATGAGTCTTGGAAAAAATACAAAAATAAGGAACATGAAAGGATCATTCAAAGTGCGATCTTAGCTTCAGAAACAACTTCTAATGATAACCTACAGTTTCTCTTAGGTAGTACCAAATCCCGTCTATCATGTCCGAGTAGCCTCTTATCATGTCCTTGTTAGCAATTCACATGCCTTATCAGCGATTTCAATGCTTATCAGCTTCGAGTATTTTTGCCAATAAATTATTAGAGAATAATTTTAATTATTTGTTATATAATATAACTTATATTTGTGAATGCCCATTTCACCAACCACCACCGCATGATTTTGTTCTTCCTTCAAATTTTTCTATAAAAAATCGAACCTACCAAAATAGCTTTTTCTGGCTCTTTTTTGACTTCTTCATCAATTTTTTTCCTCTCAAGTTGTTTATTTGCCTCTTGAATCTTTTCGTTTTCAATATATGTTTCTTCAACCAGATTATCTTGCATAAAACGGTATCTACCGGTATTCATGTCTCTTAGCGTTCGTATCAGCATGAAAAATGACAGACACAAGATTGACAATAGAATACCGTAAAATATTTCCATCTTTCCAGGTTTTTTCTTGACTACAATTTCTCTCATTGTTTTAATAAAAAAGGTCTGTCAATTGATAAAAGGGGGCAGTGCACGGGGAACATGGACTTCTTTATTCCCTCAAGCAATTTCGACCACAAATATCAGGGAAAAGATCTTGTAGCAAAGAACTGCCTCAAGGAAAGCATCGCGTCAACCGCAATTTATAAATTTGACATGGTACGATGATAAATACAGCTGAGTTGATTTTTTGAATAGTTTACTTTATTAAAATATTATTATTAAATACTGTTGAACATTTTTTGGTTGAAGAAGGAAAATGGTGCAGAGCTAGTTTTTGAGATAGTATTAGTGGCAGCATGCGGCATGCACGTTTGCATAAATAGATACTTAATGATAAGCGATATTCACAGTACAGTGGGTAGAATGTACAGTAAGGATTGGTGGCAGAAGAAGTGTCAAAGATATAATGCATTTTCGTCTAATTTTCAATTTCAAATTGGATATTTTTTCAATTGGGAGGTAGGCATTACTGTAACTGTTGATCATTTCGAGGCCAGCCTACGTAATTGACAATTAGCGTAGGCGGTTGTCAGACTGCACTTCTGACGAGAGAAGCGATGCATAGGCGGATAATAGGGCCGTCCATTGGGGATACAGATAGTCTTTATAAATTCGGAAGTCGGCTTCCCAGTCGGAGGTGAAGGAGTCCGTGGTGGCCATTTCGTCGAAAGCTCGCGAGTCTTGAAAAGATTTTTGATTGGCTGGAATAATGAAAGCGTTCTTTTGATCGGTCGAAAATGCTCCAACTGTAATATGATTGGCAATTAGCTTAGCTTACCAAATTCAGGAGCTTGGTCGCACAAGTTAAATGTGCAGCCATTAAGATCCTTCCACGTGACCAAGTTTGACTTGCAGGGAATATTCTCTCTCAGCGCTGGGCAAGTAAGATTCCTCGGTCGGGTCCAGAAGTTTTTCTTCCTAGCAACGCGGGCGTAAGAATCGAACATTTTGCTCCACTGATTGAAGGAGAAATATCTAAAACGAAAATTATCGAAGTCGGGGGAAAGAGTTGCTTACCTCCATTTGTACCATTTTTCCATCCAGTCCCGATCTTCCTCGAGTGTCTTGACCCGGATCGAGACAGGAGCTGATTGCAGATTATCGGAAATAGAAGCGACAGAGATTTCGTACTCCGTAGCAGTTTTCAAACTGTAGAAACAGATCTAAAACAATATTGAAGAAGATTACTTGGGCGAAGCTTCTTTACCCGTTGATCAGTAATTGGCACTCGTTGAGGTTGTACGATGAAATCTGCGTCGGAGACTTCATTCAGCGTGATTTTATAAGCATCGACTGAGGCAATCATCTTGTTGAAGACGAGGCAAAGGGTGTTGCTCAACTTTTCGACGGTCAGATTGTTTCGGTCGACTTCGGTTATTGAATTGTCCTGAAAGATAATGAGTTTATAACTATCTTGAATTCAATTGAAAAAGAAGGCTCGGGCATTATTAGTTTTCATGCATAAATCATTCAGAAGTGTCTAACAGACATTTAACATGCAGACAGGCATTCAAACGGAAGCATTCCTCTTTGGGAACCTGTTTTACTGATGTTCTGTTGCGGTCGACTTCATTGAAAAAATCTCCAGCAGTCGTTAGCTCGTTGAAAAAGCTCGGAGAGGGGGTCGTGAATCCGAAAAGTGAGAAGGGAAGGTCCCCGCTTGTCGTTCCAAAAAGAAAAGGATCGATGGTGAAATCGTCCATGTTCAAAAACGGGGAGTTAGGGGTTGAGCCGAAAGATAGAATCGGAGAAGCGGTGGTGCCAAATCCATCGAAGGGAAAAGGGCTGGTGGGACCGTTGGGGTTGAAAAAGACGGAATCGGTGGTCTGAGAGTTCGGGGTCGGATTCGGGTTGAAAATGAAGGAGTCGGTAGTGAAATCAAAGAGGATCATGTTTTGGGTCGCATCATTTCCGAAAATAGGAAAAGCGGTGGTAAATCCATTTGGTCGAAAAATCTCGTCAAGGCTTAGATCGGAATTTACCATTGAGCTTGTTGAAACCATCCGTTGAAATGACACTGGCGTGTTTCGCAGGACAGAATCAGCAGTTGCTGTTTCGAAGAAAACATCGACATTCGAGATGTATTGAGTTTCGGATTCGAGGTTGCCAACGGTGACGGCGACGTTGTTTCGGTCTTGGAGCTCGGCATCGTCGAAGGTGGCGGTGGTGCCTTTGATGACTTCGTTTGTCGAAGGGTTGAGGAGTTTTATCACGTATCGGGAGGCGTTTGGAACGCGATTGAAACGAAGCTGAATGGCATAGAAATGGATAGTGAAAAATTGCTTACGTTGAGAGTAGAGGGAGAAGAAGTGACAACAATGGATTCTTCGAGTTGTTGTTTGATTTTCTCGCGGACATTGTTGGCGGAGTCGCATTGCTCGAGTTTGACACATCGCTCGCCGTTCCAAATTGGCGCAAGTGGATCTGGGCAAACGCAGGCAGGCTGAAAATGGATGAAAAGGAGATCAAAAGGTACTTTGGTAGACATAAGATTTTCACTTCTTGACTTTCGCTTTTCAAAAATTTCTGCTTTAGAAGAAAGTTTTACGACCTCTTTAGTTTCCTACCTTTGTCAGACTTTATTATATACAATTAGTCATATCGTATCGTTAGTTGACGAGAGTTCAATTACATTTCATTTATTTAGCATAAGCTTTTCGCCAATTTCGGCTTCTTCAGTGCTTTTGAGATGCAAAGACAGAACTCTTATTATTATACAGAACTCAGAAGTCATATTTGTTTATATTACCTGTCCTTCATTACAGACACAGGAGGGGTCATCACAGCTCGGCACACAGCCACAATCGCGCTTCACCAATCCTCGCCGCTCGCAATCTGAAAAATTAGGTCAAGAGATATCCAGCCATTTTCGGAACTATCTCATTTCACGCTCCGGTGCGTGCCCTCATGCGGATCAACTGCTGATCTCCCGCGGCGATCAATATTTGAGACTGCTCAGAGACACTCTTTGTCTTACTCGCGAAAAACAAATTTTCAAACGAAGAAATACGAAAAAAACCAAACCAGAGAGAAACGCTCAAAAACAGAGTTGAAAATGGAAGTTTGGGGGCAAAAAATATTTGTATGTTTGTTGTTTTTGATATTTCCGATGATCTTTGGAATCGCTCTGCCGTATTTCTCCATGAGAAAGCATCTGAGAAACAGAAGCTTGCCCAGTTGGTATGGACCGGTTAATGCCATGTCTATTGGGTTGCTTTTTGGAGTGATGATTCTACACTTGATTCCAGGTAAATTTTTATATTGAAATTTTTTAACCCTTCCGCGCACGATTGATATAAAAAGGCCTCTAATTCTGTCTCAGACACATATTGGTCAAAATGCGCAAAGGGGTTAAAAAGCCTATATTCACGAAAAAATATATTTATTTATCTATTTCTATCATAAAAGATGCCTTCGAGGACACAAACGCCGCCCTGGAATCCCTCGGCTTGAGCACTGTCTATCCCCTTCCCAGCCTTTTGATTGGCTCGGGTTTCTTCCTCGTGACCTTGGTCGAAGTCATGGTCTCGTTTCATAATGGAGAGCTTCACGACTGCGATAATATGTTCGAACATTCGACAAGTGTCAATGGAATTTATACGATGGTTTTTGGGCTTTCTGCGCACTCGCTTTTTGAAGGACTTGCGGTTGGATTGCAAAGTAGCGCTGCAGGTACGAAATTTGACGGGCGTTTTTATCGAAAAATTCATGATGAATTTAAGATGTTTGGCTTTTGACGGCCGTAATAATGATCCACAAATGCCTCTTCGCCCTGATCATGGGAATATCGGCCCTGCGCACCTTAACCGTCACCCAATCCGCCATTTGCCTTTTCGTGTTTTCAATAAGGTAATGACCAAAAACATACCGAGCGAGGAGAAACTCTCTAAACTTGGAAATGTCTGAAACGCAAACTCAGGCATCATTGTCGTTTGCGGGAAAAATACGTTATCATCAACAAACGAGAAACTCGGCGTTGTGAAAACATCGAAGTAGTCGAACGAAAAGCCTGTTGTGAAATCACTCATTTCTCTTTCTCTCGCTCGTGTTTGATTAATGTAGAAATAGAAAAAAAAAGAAGCTGATGGTGTTCCGCTTTTTAGCTCGAGCGTTGGCGTCGCAATTGGCACAATTATCGAGGCAATTTCAGAAGAGTCGCCGAAAATGGACTTGACAGGAAAAATTTGCAAAATTTCAAAAAGACGATTTCAATTTTTCGAATCAGCGATTTTAAACATTTGCAAATCTTTAAAAAAAAGTCGGGGTTTTGGAGAGCATTTCAACTGGGACCTTCGTCTTTGTCGTTTTCATGGAACTGGTGCCTAAGGGAATGGACCTTCATGCTCAAGATGCGTTGAAAACAGTCGTGTTAGTCATGATCGGTTTCGGAATTATGGCGGCTTTTCAAGCACTAGATCTGATTTCTGGCTAAACATGCAAGCATTTTTTTTACCGAAAAAATTTCTTCATCCAATTCATCAATTCTCAAAAACTGAAAATAAAAACCGAAAAAGTCAAAAGTCAAAACTTACTCATCGTGAAAACTTCGGCGAAAAAGCCAGCATCTTCGACAGCATTGTCGGATTCGAATTCCAAGATGATGTTGCTGTCGAAAGTTAGGGTTTGGAGACCGCGGAGACCGCAAAGTTCGTGAAGAACTTCACGCTTTTCGAAGTTTTCCGTCGCTGAGGTAATTCGGACGACGTCATGGCAGGTGTTTTCTTTTGGCTTCTCCAAGCTTAAAAATGATAAATGAGAGCCATAAGAGTGTTCTTAATCTTCTGAATATAACTTTTTTGAGCATATATCCTTGGACTTATTAGGCTTAAACGCTCTATCCCCATCAGAATAAATGACATGATTGGCCTTACATTTATAAATAAATAATTACCTGAAAGCTTTGAAATGAACATTGAGAACATCCCCGTTCGTCTTATCAAATTTGATCCTGTAGGCGCACTTTGTCATGGGCGGGTACATATTCGGAAAGTCTTTGCTCGCAATGTATTGCTTCTTCGGCCCGACCATCATCAAACTGTTGCATCTATCCTTCCCTTCGACATTGGATTTTGGAACAACGGAGAGCTCAAAGTCCATTCCTCCGGTGTTTTCTGGGTCTTCATCTGGCCCTTCTGGGTAGATGATAGTCATGTGCAACGAGTTCGAATAGAAAGCGGGCAAAACTGAGTCGTTGCAAATCATCGTCGTCGGCATATTTGGCATTGCAGTATCGCCGGTATAAGGGCCAAAAACGGTCATGACCTTGGCGCCGCTGCAATCGTCCCGGGCATTCGGAAGGTCAAGGTTTTTGAATTTGACATACAAACTCGTCGTCAAGTCTGGTGTTTGAATAATGTAGTGACGCTTCGATGTTTTAACATAATTTCCGTTCTGATCGCGAGGAAGGGCGATGAATTGAGGCTTGCTCCCTCGCGCCTCAGCTAGAATTACTTCTGGTTGAATAAAGGCGCTTCCGAAGCCGTCTGTTATTGGTGAAAAAGTCGTAGTGACAGTGGGCTGAATTGGAGGAATCTGGTTGGTCGTAGTAGATGGAGGGGAAGTAGTCGTGGTAGGCAGGACGAACTCCGTTGTTGTCTCAGGAAGGGAAGGAAACGTGGAAGTCTCAAGTCCATCAGGGAAGAAAGGAGTTGTCGAAGGAATGGAAAAGACGGTGCTCTCAGGGAATATAGGAGTAGTTGTGAAGCCATCGAGATTCAATGATGTCGTGGTTGGAATGGCGGTTGTGCTCGTGAAATCAGTGTTGATGGTCGTTGTTGTCGTGGTTGTCTCAGGTGTCGAGTCAGTTGTTGTTGATTCTTCCGTTATCTCGTCAATCTTTGGTTCGATTTCTGTTTCGTTAATTTCTTGGGACTCAGATGCGACACTGGTTGAAGAAGTGGTTGCTGAGCTGGGAGAAACAGTTGATGATGCTTCTGTTGATGTTGTTGTTGTTGTTGATTTTGTTGAGCTCGAAGCTGCAGAAGGTTCTGATGCTGATGCTGCGGTTGTTGTTGTTGCTGTTGTTGTTGGCATTTCAGTGGTAGACGCGTCAAAATTGAAAGTCGAAGAAATTTCGGGAAAGCTGACCGTTGTCGAAGGTGGGAAAGTCATCAATGTTGTCGATTCAAGATCAAATTCATCGAATTTAAAAGTTGTTGTTGTAATCGTAGGGTTCGTCTCTCCTTCTGTGATTCCTTCCAGAACAAGTGGAGTCGTTAAATCAGCTTCAAACGGATCCAGCGGGCTGTCGGCGTCGATAGTTTCAAATGGATCGTTCATTGAAGTGCTGGTGAAGCGGATTGTTGTATCCACAGTTGTTGTCAATGATCCAAGAGGAAGGAGGGTGTCTCCTTCAACTGGCTCCGTTGTTGTTGAACTCGTGGTGGTGGTAGCGGTTGTTGATGTTTCGAGATTTGGAAATGTACTCGAGACAGTTGCGAGGTCTAACATGCGGGTTAATTTTCATGCAATTAGTTGATGCAAAAAGAAACAAGCAAAAACAGTCTCTTACCGTCGAAAAAGCTACTTTCAGTCGCAAAAAAGTCCAAAAACGGTGCCGTCGTCGCCATCCCAAAGAGCTCGTTAAAAAGAGGAGATTGACTTGTTTGGTCGAAAATGAAGAATCCCTCTGTCGTGAAGTCATTGAAAAACAAGTCTGGAGCTGCACTTGTCATCATGTCTACCGAGCAGCTAGCTTCGTCGCGGCCAGAGGGACAGTCTGGCATCCCGTCGCAAACTTGGCTCCATCGCAAGCAGGGAGAGGGAACGGTAGCGTCGCAGGTGTATTCTTCGTTCGGGCAAAGAGCTGCACAGCGCGCCTGAATGTTTGATCGGGGTCAAGCTTGGTTAAATTTCATAGCTTATCGCGTCTTTTTCGTTTATAAGAGGCCCTCGAAGACTCTGGGACTAAGATTCCTTCTATAGTTTTGAAGCCAAATCGCGTTATAAGAAATAATAAAAAGAAAAGAAGGAACAGCTTAATTTAATTCCGCCGTAATTTAATCTGTTCCGCCGGCGCTAGAAACCCTCACGCGAGCCCTTAATTTGACAGAATCCTTTTCAACACGCTTTTCGAGGTTATAATTCTTGTAAAAACATAATTACCTTATGTAGCCGGACGTCGTCGAGTGCGATTTCTCCCTTTTCTCCGGGCCCGACCATGCCGATAAAGGTCAAATCCCTTCTTTCACCTGATATGAATTTGTTTGTTTCAAAGTTGATGTCTTGGACGACGCGTTTCCAGCTGGTGCCTTGATCTTCTTTGATCCGTAGCACGAAGTCTTCCTTTGTCTTGGCTCGTTCGATGTCGTCTGGAGTACCGAGCATGACAACCAATCCGCTGACGTCTTTTCCGTTCGCATGATAGTAGAACTCCAGGCAGTATTCATCACCCTCGTTCATTTCAAAAGCAGGGGAGGTTACGATGCCCATATCTTCTTCTCTCTGCCCTTGCGTGATGAGATACATGTACTGCCCTTGACCAATCACAGAGGAATGGTCTTTCGATGGACCCGTGCCAATGTTGGGACTTTTACCGATTCCTAGCGTCCATTCGGAAAAATTATCGCTCTCTTTTTCGCTCTTCAAAGACCACCCAGCGCAGAAGCCAAAGTCAAAGTTACAGTCGATCCACCTGTCGCCCAATTTCACGACGATGAATTGCCCGGAGAAGCCTCGTTTCCCTGCATTTTCATCGCTGACGAATTTTAACTTCACATTTGCTTGTTGAATCGAAACTGCTTCCGGAAGATCTGAGCCGCAGAAAGGCTTGTCTTTTAGAGAATTGGTTTTTCCAACGTCATCGACGAACATTTGCAAGTAATCGAAGGTACAGTCGTTTGACTGTTCTATCTCCATGTCTGCAAAGACGATCCTCAGCTCGTACCCATCGGCTACAGTAATGTCCCAAGTACAGTCGGAATTGTCGGGATAAACCGCGCTTTCATCCGTCCGACTGTATCCCGGCGACTGAAAGGGAATCGTCTTTTCCTCGTTTGCCATGATAAAAAACCCGCCATTGCAAGGATCTGAAGAAAGCTTGTTAGTTTATTTTCTAACACAGGTTTCAGATACTACCACAGAGTTGAGCTCTTTTGGGAGAAAGCCCCCGGCCCCCTTCCCAGTTCCCCGCGCAGATCACTCTCACCCAGCGTCTCGGGGAAGTCTAGAAATTTCCCCTCGCTCGTGTTGGGCGCTTCGGAAGAGTCAGACAATTCTGAAGAAAGTAGTTTCGAGATTTTGAGGCGGTTGGCCAATAAGAGAGCAGGCAAGGGTCCTCGCCTGAATTGCGCGCGCTCAGAGACCACGTTAGAAAATCAAAGCCGCTTTTTCTAACGCTCAGATTCTCCTATCTCCCTAAAGAGCTCAACTCCATGGTAGTTCCCATGTCTTAAAATGATGTAAGTAGTGTTTCTTAACATTTTAAAACGGCGTCGACATGGCGCGTGAATTTTGCGTTCAAATTTGAATCGAAAACAAAAGAGGCACTTTAGCAGGTTTTAACCCTTTTCTCCTCATTGACCAAAAATCTGGCAATAATGGACGATAAAGCAGGGTCAAATGAAAATCTTAAAATTGATTTAAAAAAGAAAATTTTTAAATAAAACAATTTTTCTTATCAAAAACGCGAAAAAGGAAATAACTTGAGAGGGTTTAAAATATTAATCATTTCCCTAATTATAAAGACGTTGGCAAAGGAAAAAAAAACGGTGCGCAAGTGAAAGTCAAATTAATTCTTTCCTAATTAGGCCGTCCTTGAAAGATTTAATTATTCTCCTCCTCAGTCGCTCAAAAAAGTCCTACCCAATTTTCAAAGCTTTTCTCCACAAGTGAAGTGTCATTTTCTCTGCACAAACGAGTGGATGGATTTTGATTCTGAGCGAGAAAAAGAGGAGGAGAGAAATTTAAATTTGATTAAAAATAAGCCGCTAAACTCGGATGACTTAGGAGAACACGACCACTTTCTCATCATTTTCTGGTAAAGAGCCATTTTTGGATGAAAAAATAATCTGCTTTAGGATTTCATTGTGCACTTTTCTCGTTGTTGCCTGGTTGATCAACGACTATTGGTACAAGGAAAGCTTTAAAATCTTCAGTTTTGAATTTATGATAAAGGAATAAATCTGAGCTTGCGAATAAGAGACACCATGATCGGGTAGTGACCATGAGTCGCATGCCTAGCGCGAAATTACTAGCTGCCACTAGAATGTACAAAAATGGAATGATCGGCAGAGCAACGTATGACACGATGGTTTCTGAGCAAAATTTTAGGCTTTCAACAATGGTAAGTCTTGATTTTTATACCAAAAAAAGGAGCTTTTTTAGATAAAGAAAACTGTGAATCCAATCGTGACTTCTGTCGTCAACGAAAGTTGTGAAAGGTAGCCAATTTTTGACCGTCTTTAAGAGCTCTAGAACGGTCATTTTTAGGGAATCATATAACGAAGCTATTCAAGAAGTTCTATAAACAGTCTATTTCTTACTATTTATTTCTGTCTTCCTGATCATTTTCATGTAAAAAAAACAAAACTGAAGCTTCTTTTGAAACTCAATCGCGCCGGTTTTATGTACACTTCAAAGAAGGAGTACCCCCTCAGGAGATTAATCTTCCTCTCAAAACACAACCGGTGTTTATCAACAAGCTCCGCCAGGTGCTCAAACTCAGAAGCGACCATTTGCTCTCTAAATTAAAGCGAAGAAAACTGCTCGTAACAGTTCCAAACATCTCAAGCAGTGAACACCTTTTTGCGGTCTGAGAAAGTGGCTTCTGCGTTCCCTCCCGCGGCTTCCTTGGTGAATCAAAGCAACAAGAGTTCAAGTCAAAATTTTTTTCATTTCACGTTTTCAATTTTTTTTTGCATTATAGAATTGAAAATTCAAGAAAAAAAACTCTTTCTTTTTACAAAAAAAAGTAGCAAAAAAGAGCCTCCCAAATTTCCATCGTAAAGAAAACTCTTACCTCCTTGAGCAAAAACGACTGAAATCAGTCCCCATATCACGAAGGTATTCATAATTTTCTCTCGCTTCTATTTCCTCCTTGCTCTTTTTCTTCAAAAAGGGTTGAAAATTGAAATTAACTCTAACATTTATCCTATAACAAAAATATTATTCATCCCCCGTTTTTCCTTTTTGGAGCAATTTCGCCGCCAATTTTCTATAATGTCTTCGTATTAAAATAATCTCTCATATTTTTTTCTTTGTTTTTTTTCTCTCTTTCTTTCTCTTATTTGACTGTTTTGAGGGATTATATACTTTTTTGGGAATTCTAGCACCGGGAAAATTACTTTCCAATTTCGATACGAAAACCGCACGGTGGTGGCATAGCGCCAAAAAATGATTAACCCGTCTTCGTGAAGTTAACCGTGACACGAACGCACGCGCAGATTTTAACCTAATTTGTGTTCGCCCAACCTTGATTGAGTCGTTTATCATTTTCCTCTTGGTTACATAATCCCTCTCCTTGAATCTCTCCAAGTGTGAAGAGAGAAGTGCGTGTGTGTTTAGTGTTTTGCGCGGAGCGGCGGTGGGTGCGTGCGAGTGGGTTAAGGTGCCGCCGTAGTCGAAATTGTCGCAATTGAAGGGGACGCGGAGCAGGCCCGGGCCGCGGCACACCAACACTGCACCTGATTGGCCCCGCCCTGCACAAGCACCACCACCGCGGGCGGTGCGCCAAGCCACATTCTTCAGCATAGAATAAGAACTGCGCGCTAGAATCGTTCTGAGCGCGGACACTGGCTTTGCATAAATACTACCGCTGCAAAGGAGCTACTTCAAATGAACAATGAATCTTGAAGCAAGACATTTGGGCGATATATCGTTTATTGATAAATAGTATAATAAGAAGTAAGTAAGGTATATAATAAGTTCTCCCAGAATATGATTGTTCGTAAATGTTTTTTTTTTTGATTATGGTGAGAGGAAAAAGAAAACGTGAACTCAACAGTTGAAGGGCTTTGAATCATAGGGATAATTTCAATGATAGGTAATTTCCTTGAACCGGAAGTCAAACAAGGAAAATATTTTCATGGAGTCATTGTCTGGTGAAAATGACATTCTTGATCAGGTAGGTAGATCCAATACCGTAGCCGCTTCCGGGAAAGTCAGGCCATCCGTTACCAGCCCAAACCTGAAGTTCTTCTCCATCACCGATTGTGTCACTCTAGAAATTTTATCAATCTATTGAATTTATAATAAAAAAACACCTTTGGACCGGCTCTCGTCGCAATAAGAACATCATCTTTGAAAAGTTCGGCCACACTGATTGAAACATCTGCATCATCAGCTCTGACGACGAGTTTCCAATGGTTATATTGGCCGGCGTCACACGCAGTCACCGCGATGGCACCTCTTGTTTTTCCGATGGGATTTGCGAAATAGAGAAGGTTGCTGCCCGAGCTTCTCCACACTGTGAAGACTCGACTTCCAAGTTCACCGTAATCAGTTCCAGATGTAACGTGCAAGATAGACTTGTAGCCGAACAAGCCTCCGTCGAGTGGCAAACTGTCAGAAGCGCAGAAAATCTCCATTTCTGCGGTGTAATAGGCAGATGAAGTTACTGTTGCGATCATTGTGTCTTCCGCTGGAGCAATTGGTTCATTGTTGACAAGGACAATTCGATTCTTAAATAGATGATAAGCATCTTATATTTCTTATAATAATCTTTTACATACCGGAAACGTCTCACGAATATAGAAATTCTTGATGGTGCCAGGCCAACGCTGCCAAGAGTCGCTGCCTCGAGCAAGAAGCGAAACAGTGAGATCTCCTTCATACGGGGTAAATTCGTTTTCGGGGTACACCTTTGTTTCTTTCAACTCTCCATTGAAATAAAAATTTTGAGTGTATGTCCCTGCTTCTTCATCAAAATTTTGAGTATACTTCATTGTATTGAACGTTTCTCCGTCGCAATATCCGAGATTGTAGAAAAAAGCATATCCGGAAGAAGTTGTCCCTCCGTTAAATCTGAAATATTATTTCAACTTATATTTTCTATTTTTAAAGTGATCATTGAGTCAAAAATATTTACTACCATCACGTATTCCTGCAGTGCGCCTGAAAATACAACGCTCTGATTCGTCGAGTGTGCAGCGCCCATCTTTCCCTTTTGCCTCTGAAGCGGCCAAAAGAAAGCGCGCTGATGGCACAGCGGATGAGTCAGCGCACTCAAGGGATCCCTTATGGTAGATTTACTTACCCAACTGACGTGATGGGTGAGTCTTCTCCGTTTGCATTAGTCCAGCTAACATACCAAAATTGAACTGATCCAGCGGACCTTGCTTCCCTTTTCTTTTTTCCCTTCTCGGTTGGCTTCGTCGGATCATCAGCTTCATTGAATGATCTAGGAAACTCCCCTGTTGCATAAATATGAGGGCCTATGTAAGTAGAAGATGCTTCAATAGCTCCACAGTTGAATTCATAGCTAAGCTCGAAGTTTCGAGTGGCAGTGAATTCTCCGATAACTCCATCTTCGGGAACGAAAAATGACTGGGCATCTTCACAAATGAAGTCAATGCATGAATCAAACTCTTCACAAGGACATGACTCTGGTGCACATTCGTATCCAGTCGAAGTACAAGTACATCTTCCTTCAACTGTGCCAAGCTCAACATAACTACCGTCGTTGTTGATGCAACCGCATGAGCTTTCGAGAACGCACACTCCATCTTCGAACAGGAACCCGTCAGGACATCCGCACATGCCTTCGACTCTATTCGCAGTAGCAGCACATCGTGTCTCTTTGCTGATTCCTCTGGCAACATCTTCGCACGTCTGCTGCTCGAAGCATGCATTTGTACAGCCTTTGAAAACTTGAGCAGTTATTTCTTTCTTTGAGAGCCTCTCGATCTTCAAATTTCTCATTAGGTCGCTTCTCTCTTCTCGACCAAGAATTGTACTGTATCCTGTGAGTGTTCTTGATTTGGAAGATCGGTTGTTATTCTGTAACGATCTTCGCTATTTACTGTAAGCGTTTTCACCCATTTATTATCAGACTCTTGGTATTCTTGAGTCAAAATGACCGAATTCCAAGTTCCGGCGGTGCACGGAAAGACATATGTTGGGTTGCGACCCGCTATCCACCATTGAGAACCCTCATCCGAGATCAACTCCCAGCCTGTTCCCTCTTCAAAGTCTGGATTTTCCCTAATAAAAAATTTAAAAAAATGTTTGGTTTACTTTTACTCACATCCAGAAAAAAAGATTTGGATAGTCTGTGACACCGCCGACGCCGAAGTAATAATGATTATCGAAACTTCCATCCTTGCGTGAAAAAGATGCCATTCCCGTCATCGCATCGGATGGTTCTCCAGAGCAGTAAACATCCAGACTGATTTTGAAGGGATCTTCTGCTCTTATTGGGCTCTCACCAAGACCGCTCTTAATTTTTAATAAAAATCATTTTCTGCTTGGTGATTCATTACCTCTATTTGTGGACATTCTTGAGCACAGCCAGTAACAGAAGCCCAGTCGCAAATTCTTTGATAGTCAGCTGACCCAGCAATTTTTTTAGTCAAACATTGAGATGCGTAGTCTTCGATGATTCCGCAGTGCAACTCAGGGTCCAGACAACTGTGGAAGAGGCAAGCTTCATAAGTTGGCAGTCTACTTCCAAGGAACTCGCATCCATTGAAAAAATTCTGGTTGGAATAAGGGCTGACAATCTCACATCGATCTTCAGCAGCATCGTAAGCCACTTGACCAGACTCTTCTAGAAGATCTTCGCAAGGCTTAAGAAGCTCGCCGTGTGTGCAAGTATCATCACTGTCAGTTTGGAATCGGTCTCCAACAGTCTGGCTATCATCATCATATTCAGTAGAAAGGAGACGCTCATCGGAGTTATTGTCGTTGTAATTTCCGCAAAGACCGGTCATAATGTTCTTGTAGCAGCTGTTGACGTTCACGTAAGCAGACCAATATTTTCCACTGAATTTAACGGAAATTCCATTTGCTATTCGAATTTCAACTGTGTGATAATAGTATGAAGAATACCAATGCGTTCTTGTTACAGTAATTTCGTAGTCTGATGTTTTAAAAGAGCTCGGAGAGGATTCTAAGCCAAACCATGCGATCAAGTTACCAGATGGAACTGCGTCGAGGATATTTTGCCCTGTACGATGGTCAGTTAGCGTTATTTCAAAATGCGCGTTTTGAGAGTAACCGGATGTATCCATATTTTTAATAAATAGAGTGTATGGTTTTGGATCCCCAAAAACGTAGTCAATTCCATGGAAATCAAACCAAAGCTGATCAGTCACGGTTGCAGTTGTTGAAGAATAAAGCTTTCTATTCTTGGAATTTACGTTGAATCCCGGCAGTTCGGGAGTGTCCGGGGCGCTTGCAAGATTATATCGACAGTTGCCATGAAAGAAATACTCATAATGATCAAATGTGTAGATGTATGGATCGTTGTGGGATTTGCAATAAGCAGTTGGTCGGCTCCCGCAGGGTATCGGTGCACAGACTATTCCGTCAGCGGTACATTCGCAACTTTCATCATTATTAGAGAAGCTTTGGCCTCGTGCGTAATACTGGTTGTTGAAGTCCCAAGTACAGCCGCAGTTTTCTTCTAAGACACATCCTTCGTCGTCAAGAATATAGCCTGGATCACAGACGCACATACTTTCAATATTATTGATTGATGATCCACATCGTTCTTCACTCGACAAATGTCGATTTCTGCACGTTCGTTGGGCATCACATGTGTTTGCACAGCCAAGGTAGCTGCTATTCTCTCCGCATTCAAGCTCACAATCAGTTTCAGCGGCCCATGAGCAGATATGAGCTTGAAGATTAGAAGGGATTGTGCTCAAGCATTGTCTTGCGTAGTTTTGGAGCGTATTGCATCGAGCGTCACGCGAGATACAGGTGTCAATCATACAGGACATATGAGCAGCATCTTTAGGAGCAGTGCACTCATGGAAAACGCCACCAGGAATATTCTTATCAAGTTCGGCGCATAGATCTGTGACTTCACCGATGTCATCGCATTCAAAGTCGTGAACTTCTCGGCATCTTGGATCGGGCTCAGCAAAATCATTTGCCCATTCAACAAGATCTTTTTGATGAGCTCGCCATGATTCCGATCGCCAAATTTCGTGACTTTCATGGAATTGATCAAATGGGACTCCATTCCAATTGCCGCAAAGACCATCCACGTGATTCATGTAGCAATCTGGTAGCGTCACTCGTACCGTGGCATAAGTTCCCCATACCGAGCCCCCGTCATGAGGTAGATAGTTAGCTTTTGCTCCAAACCAGGTTGTCACTCTAGCCGAATTACCGATTTTTTCGAATCTTACGTCATCATTAGTAAAACCATTCTCATAAGACTGCCCATTAAGACGATCTTCGAAAACAAATGAAAAACCATCGATTGTTAAAAAGTATCTCGGAGTCTCCGATCGAAGTTGGTTCTTTCCAGGAAACTCGAAGGTCATTCCACGAATACACGAAACAGCCCTATAATCTTCTCCACATCGTCTTTGATCAACGTCAACGGAAAATGCTGGCATGTTACTGAATTCGTCGTCGCCAGCTGATTTCACAAAACTGTACTTGCAAGCACCCTGGAAATGATGGGTGTCGCCATCAAACATGTCGTAGTGGGGATCACCAGCTGCTTCGCAATAGCTTGTTCCCGTTGAAATGCAATCACGGGGACAAGCATCCTCGTTGATGCATTCTCCATTGTGCATGACTTGTCCATCTGGACAACCGCACATAGGATCGATAGAACGCTCTGATCCACATCGATCAGCATCTGAGATTCCGTTGACAACATCATCGCATGTACGTTCTTCTTTACAAGCATTTGTGCATCCTTTGAAGATCTGTCCTCCTGAGCATTCTTGAGAGCAGCTTGTCACTTGAGGCCAGTTACAGATTTCATAAAAATCTGCAGTGCCTTCGGTTTTTCTGAGAAGACAGTCATGAGCAAAACTTTGAATAGATCCGCAAGCAAGATCAAGACAGCTGTTCCAGAGACAGATATCGTAGTATCCCTGCTTATCACTAACAAAATTACATGTTTTAAAAACCTCGGCTTGTGCGGTCCCGTCTTCAAGAGAATCGCATCTTCGAATCGCTGAAGTAAACTCGGCTGGTGTAAGATCTTCACAAGGTTCGAAAAAGCGACCATGACTGCATTCATCGGAAATTCTCGAAGTCAAAAATCGTTCGCCGAATTCATCGGGATTGTTCTCATAATCTTGAGCCAACGATACGTCTCCGTTGCCGTCCCAATCACCACAAAGACCAGAAACTGACTCTTTGTAACAGCCTGGGACATACACATCCATCCACCAGTACCAAGCCTTGAACTTGACTTGAAGACCATTCCAGTGGAAATGGAGATCAAACCCAGTTGCAACAGAATTTTGGAAGGTTATTTTCAAGCTGACATCATCATTGGAGAAATCGGCATTGAAATATGTCTGCCCAGTGAGGCGATCGAAAAGAGTGATATCTAATTCGGTGTTTGAATAATATGCTGAGTTGTCTCTATTGTTGAAGTGGAAATAGTATCTTTTTTGATCTCCGAAAACGTAGTTGCTTGAATGCGCTTCTAACCAAATTTGGTCGACGACAGTTCCCGATCTTCCGGACGTGTCTTCCCATCTGCTACTGCCTCTGTTACTGATTTCAATCGAAAACCCAGCTCGATCTTCGGTGTCTTCAGCTCTCACAAGATTGTATCTGCAGCTACCGTGAAATGCGTATTTTGTATTGTCAAAAGTTGTAATCCAAGGGTCACTGTGAACTTTGCAAGACCCTCTCTCCATTTGATCGCATGGGATCGGCGTACAGACGATTCCCGAAGTTGTACATTCGCAATTCTCTTCTGGGTTATACACAGGCTTCTGAAACGTACTACCGAGCGAATAATAGTAGCCATTCTCAGTGCAACCGCAATTCTCTTCAGGGATACAGTCATCTCCATCAAGAATGAATCCAGGCTGGCAGACGCACATACTGTCGATCTCAGTATTTGCATCGCATCGCTCAATGTCAGTCTGATGACGATTTCTGCACGTTCTTCTAGCAGCGCATGTGTCAGCACATCCTTCGAAGACAGCATTAGCCCCACAAGCTGTAGAACAGCCCAAACCAGTAGCCCAATCGCAAACTGGTCCTCTTTCTTCCGGCCCCAAGTCATTAATGCACTCTTTAGCAAAAGACGCAAATGCTGGGCACTCATCTGATTGATCACATTTTTCTGTCACGCAGCTAAGGAAGGCATTGCTTTTGTCACCATTGCAAGGAGCAAAAACAGAATCAGTATTGTCAGGGTCGAGTGCGATGCAAGCAGTAATTGCGTGATTGATATCTACCGCACAGTTTAGACCAAAGATGTGATGGCACTGCTCGTCGGGAAGTTCAAATTGCTCAGCCCATTCGTAAAGGTTCTCCTGAGTCGTTTGCCAATTGTCAATATCGTTAGTGAGAGAACCAGAGGTTCCAGGGGTAAATTCGACGTATTGTTGACCGTCGAAATTTCCGCAAAGTCCATCGATATTATGAGCATAGCAATCAGGAACCTTGATCTCAAGTTTTAAGTTTCGGACGTCGGCAGCCCCCCAAGCTGTATATTTTATGTAGACGTCAAACCAAGTTTCTATTTCAACTGTTGTTGGTGTAATAGTCAAATCAAAATCATCAACGAGGAACGATGAATCGTATGAATTGCCGGTTAAACGATCTTCGAGGGTGCTTCTTCGAATTCCAGACGTTCCACTTTGGTCTCTAAGATCTTCTCTTTCAACAGAAATGACGTATCTCGGAACTTCATCTGGCGATTGATCCTGTCCGGGAAATTCAAACGTAAAACCTTGCGTGTAGGTTAACGATGAGCCTGGCTCAAGAGGAGCAAAGTCACCGATGATCTTGAACGCTGGCATGTTCGAATACTCAGCAGCGTCGACTTTAGCCATGACATATTCGCATTGGGGTTGGAGATGGTGAAATTCTCCGTCAAAAGTCGTGAAGTGAGGATCTCCCCAAGCTATGCACCACTTGAACTCATCTGGAATGCACTTAAAATTTCTCTTAAAAAATTGGAACCGTACTTTCATTATTATAATTAAATTGTCACGTTTCATTAAAAATATTTAATTTCGCAATACAAGTAGCCAAATTTAACGCTTCATGAAAATAATGAATACCGTTGGCTGGGATGGTTCTGTAGTTGGTTGAACAGTTGTTGTCTCAGAGCAGGTCGGTACCTAAAAATACTGTCGAAGATGAAAATTCGACTGACTTACCGTGATCCCCTTCCTAATTGTCCATATATTTTTTTTGTTTTTACAACGGACCACGAAGTCGCCAGAATCACCTCCATTGAGGCACTTGACTTTGCAGCTGCTTCCGACATTGTGTCTCTTGCAAACAAAGGTATGAGCGCCAGCGGGTTTGAAACGGGACGGAATCGCATCAGCCAAACATTTGACCACAGTTGCGGTGCACGAAGGCGCTGAGCCACGGAAGACCGTCCAGGTGTTCGAGTTGTTCTTGTTGACGCAGGCGATCGTGTAGGTTTGCTTTTTACCAGCGTCACCAACGCATTTAGGCTTGCATTTTCGCTTCCCGTTCTTGATTTTCGTGCATTTCCACTCAAATCGCCCGCCTGAAGGATTTAGACCTTCTGGTATCGATGAGACTTTGCAAGGAGGTTCCGAGGTCGCGAAGACCTTAAAAGTTAATCAGCATAGCCTTTGCTGAAAAGGGCCCTTTTAAACTGGTCAAGCCAAACACGTTTTGTCACAGCTCGAAAAGAATGAGTCAAAAACTAGTCTGAAGAATGATTTTTCAAAAAATCTATTTGAAATCGAGAGCTTAAGACTATTATACAGAAAAACTAACAATAAAATAATGATTTCAAGCGATTTATATAACTTCGAAATGTACGAGTGAAATAATGTCGAGATAGTAGAAAAATTAAATTTGAATTATTGTAATTAAATTTTTGAATTTCGGACAAACTTTTCACGACAATAATTACCTGTTCAAGAATCAAGCCCTGCAGAAGCAACCGGCTTAGAAGCCTCATTTTCCGAGCAGACGAAAGTCAACTTTTTGACAAATCGTCGTAGAATTATTCTCTTACTGAATAATAAAAAAAAGGATTCTCTTTATCTTAGGATTAGAAAATTCTAAAACGCATGGAGAACCAAAAACTGAGTGACGCCCAAATGCGACACTCCCGAGTTTTTATGGAGTGGCCGTTTATTTTTGGTACAAGGATTAAAATTAGGCGATCCGAAGAAATGCGAAAGTACCAAGTTATTAATAACTCGAGCCATGTTTTAGTAAAAAAAAACAAAATACGGAAATCGTTAACTTCTCAATACACGGGCGCGCGACTAAGCGCTCAAAACACGGGGTCGGGTGAGGGGACCACAATGCATTATTCAGCCCCGCGCGGCGCGCAAAATTCGGAGTGTGATAAAGAGCGCTCAAGACTTTTAGCTCTAACTTGCGTTTCCGTCAAGCAAAAAAGTTACTTTACATATCGCTGGAAAGCTTGAACACTCGCCTATAAAGATTTACAATTAATTTTGGAAAACAATTTTTTGATTTACAGCTTCGGAGTGAAAGATAAATCCGGTGAAAAACGCCACCACTTTTGAGAAAACTTTCAAAATTTCACAAAGTGGTTCGTTTTAGTCATCTTAGCTCACATTTCGAAAATCAGGTCAAATGGATTATCAGAAGAGAAGTTACGGCGGCTCAAAGTCGCCGTGGTCGGTTCAACCGACCACGTGTATTGAGAAGTTAACCTGCAGTAGTAACTCAATCAAATTAATTGGTGAAATTTATTTGTGAATAATTAATTCGGAGGGATGACAGAAGTTGGAAGAGGTAAACAAGCGGCTGGGCTGTACACAGAAAAGTCGAAAGTCGTTGATACCGTGGAGGGAACCTGTTTGGCACAGAAATAAGTTACTTTTTTTTCTCGATTTTTTTTTTATATTTTATATAAAAAGAAGTTGTGTCTGATGAGTTGGTTATTGATTGTACTCTGCGTCGATCTCGCAAATGAGATCCATGATCTTGGGCATCAGCGATGGAAGTTGATCGTAGGAGTCGATGTTGAAAACGTACTTTAGAAAATCGATCATTTCCGGTTCAAAGAGAAAACTGTTTACCTGTGGATTGCCCGAAACTGATGCCATTTCGGTTTTTGAAGCTTCACCGACGCCGATGGTAATGTAGCGCGTTGTTTTGTCAGTTCGAATTCGTCGGACAACAGCGTCCAACGCAGATGCGGAATAAGTTTTCTTTGCTAAAATCAGCCGTCAAGGATTGCGAAAATAAAACTGAACGTACAGGCTGTGAGGATGGCGATGCCAGGCTTGTCAGGTCTTCGACCCATTGCCTCAAGGAAGGAGAAATTGACGAGGAATGCGAGAGCTCGCTCGATTCGCAAGTCTCGGCCGCTGAAGTTGATGCTGTCGACTTTTGAGAGAAGAGTTGGCTTCGGACTTGTGGCGGAATCAAGGAGGAAAACTGACGGTGACACTTTTTCTCCTGAATAACCAGCAACGGTGACCTAGAAAAGTGTTAAAACTCCATTTTATGGCGAAAAACTGTACCTTTGCACTGGAAGCGCCAACTTCGAAAGAATCAATCATCTCCTTCGCAAATGCTTTTGTGGCTGCAAGACCGGAATCACCAATATCAACGTTTGTATCGAGCAACAGCGCCAAATCAAAGGTACCAATCGGGGGACATTTCACTGAATAAGGGTTCTCTTCCTTGATTTCAGAAAAAAAATTACCTCCAACACAGCTGAAGCTTCCCTTGGTGTCTTCGCATTTCTCAGAAGCGGCGCAGGTATGAGCACCAGTCGCGCACTCGTCAATATCTAAGTAGAAAATTTAATAAATGAAGGATTATTTAACGATCTTACTCATGCAAAGCATTCCATTGCCCTTGTATCCGTCCTTGCAGGCGCATTCGAAGCTTCCAACAAGATTAGTGCACGTAGCGTCAGGATGGCAAGCTTGGGACGCGCACTCGTTGATATCCTCGCAACCATTTCCACGGTCTTCGTAGCCGTTGGCACAGGCGCATTTGAATGATCCGATCGTATTGGTGCACATGCTCGCAGACTCGCAAGTATGTCGCCCGTTAACGCATTCGTTTTCATCCTGACAAGCTCCTGGATTTCCTTGGAAACCAGTTTTGCAAGTGCAGACGTAGGCGCCAACAGTGTTTGTACAATCAGAATCGGCAGCGCAAGGAGACGAGACTTGGCATTCGTTGACATCGGAGCATTGGAATCCGTTACCGGCGAAACCAGCTTTACAAGAACACGTGTACGCCTGGAAGGTATCCGAACAGACAGCGTTGACATTGCACTTATGAGTTCCTTGAGCACATTCATTGACTGCCACGGGTCCTCTTTCTGCAATTGTCGTTGTGGAAGTCGCGTAGCTGGTTGTTGTCGTATCGTACTCGGTAGTCTCCTGCGCAGCCATCCAACTGTTCATTGTTGTTCGCGAAGTAGGTCGAGTTGTAACTGGTCGATTGGTAGCAACAGCAACAATTGGCTTCATTGGTGGCATCCATCTTAGTGGAGTTGTAGCTGGTTGTGTTCTTTGAGTCGTTCTCTGAGTAGTTGGTGCTCGAGTAGTGACAGGTCTGCGAGTAGTGATTGGTTTTCGAGTTGTTCGAGGGACGAAAGCAGGCTTGGCAGTGGGCTTCTGGAAACTTGGCTTGGCCGGACTGTTGGAATTGAAGAAGCTTCGAGACCAAGTACTTGTTCCTGGCTTCTTCGGAGCAACAGATTGCGCTCTTCCTGGCAGGAACGCTTGATACTGTGGTCCTGCTGGTTTTCCAAAAGATCCTGGTGATTTTTGCTCTTGCTGAGTTATTATTGGAGCTGTTGCTGCTTTTGGAACACAGTAGCCAGTCGGTGTCATTGTCTCGTACATTCCACAGATGCACTCGAATTCTGTATTCGACAGTCGAGAGCATTGCTGAGTGGAAAAACAAGGGCTCGACTCACATGGGTCGATTTCTTCGCCATCTTCATCGGCCGATCCAGTGGCGCTGGAGAACTGCATCGCCTCATTTCGAGCTTCTTCGATTCGTTGAGCGCGGACCTCGGCCGTGTTGAAGCATTCTTTGCCGTCTCCTTCGTAGCTGTCAAGACAAGAGCACTCATACGAGCCAGGGGTGTTGGTGCACTTCGCAGCGACGTGACAATCGTGAATATCAAAGGCGCATTCGTTGATATCAGCGCAAATATTTTCGCCATCGCCTTCGAATCCTTCCAAGCACTCACACTTTGCCTCGTGTTTCTTCCATCCCGAGATGACCTTGCACTCAGCGTTTTTGTGACATTTCTCGTGGCGGCAAACGTCATTTACACATTCGTCTTTTTGATTCTTTGCGTAGCCATCAGCGCAGACGCATTCGTAGCTGCCTGGGGTGTTGCTGCAGACTGTTTTAGGAATATCGGAACAAAGGAGAGATTTTTCGAAGCATTCATCGATGTCCTCACATTTTTCAAAGCCGTTGCCCTTGAATCCGTCTTTGCAAGAGCATTGGATTGTCGCTTCGTCTTTCGGAACGCAATCAGCATTCTCAGCGCAAGTGGAGTTACCCATTTCTGGGCAAAGATCCTTGACGCAGTTGATTCCATCGCCAAAGTATCCCTCTTCACACTCGCAGGTAAAGTCGCCAGGTGTATTTGTACACTTTGCGTTTGGCGAGCAATTGTGCTTTCTGGTCGAGCACTCGTTGATATCGATGCATTCAAAACCGTCGCCGTAATATCCAGAAGGACACTGGCAGGAGTAACCGCCGCCGAAGTTGTGACAAGTGGCAATGGCTGCGCAATCGTGTTGAAGAGAGTAGCACTCGTCGACGTCGACACAGGTGCGTCCGTCGCCCTTGAAGCCGGACTTGCACTTGCATTGGAAGCTGCCGACGCGGTTGATGCAGAAGGCCCCTTCGCCGCAGTTGTGAGTGCCGAGAGCGCACTCGTCAGCATCTTCGCAGACAATGCCGTCTCCTTCGTATCCTTCTTCACAAGTGCACTGGTATGATCCGACTGTATTCTGACAAGTGGCCAGCGAGCTGCATCGGTTGTTTTCTGCCTTGAGACATTCATTACGGTCGGTGCAGCTGTAGCCATTGCCCCAGAAGCCGTCCTTGCAAGTGCATTCAGAAGTAGTGGGCGACGTGGCCTTGCAATCGGCATTCACGTGACAAGACGCATTGTCGCATGCTTTCGAGGGTTGGCAGTCGAATCCGTCGCCGATCATTTCAGGCGGGCAGCTACACTCGTATGCGCCAGGAGTATTGACGCACGTGGCGTTGCCGTGGCACTCGTGCATTTCCAATCCGCACTCGTCCAAATCCTCGCAATAGAAACCGTTCCCGCGGAAGCCAGCATTACATACGCATGAAGCATCGTTTCCGATTCCCATGCAGAAGGCGTCTGGGTGACAGTTTTTAGTTGCACAGATTCCGGGAGATTTTGCGGGCAAGCAGCTGTCGCCGTTTTGTTGGAAACCGTCTTCGCAAGTGCACTTGTAGGAGCCAAAGGTGTTGGTGCAGCGCATATTCGGCTCTAGATTTTTATGAAGGGTCGAAAGAGCATATAAAACTTACGGCTGCAAAGCGTGGTATCACGGCATTCGTTATCATCAACGCAGGTTTGTCCAGAGCCAAAGAATCCCTCCTTGCAAGTGCAAATGAATCCACCTTCTGTATTGGCGCATTCTGCCTGTTCATCACAATTGTGACCTCCCTCGATGCACTCGTCGATTTCAATGCAAGTCTTGCCGTCTCCCTAAATTCCTCGTTAGACTCGAAGATTCCTAGCGGTTTCCGCGGACAGATGGAATGTGAACTCCCGTTCGGTGGCATTTTTATAATGGAAGAATGGGACTTTACCTTGAATCCTTCGGGACAGGAGCATTCGTACGAGCCACGAGTGTTGCGACAAACACCGTATCGAAGATCGCACTCGGCCGTGCCTTCAGCGCATTCGTCGACGTCTTAAAATAAATTCATATTAAGGGCAAGACACCGAATTTTCAATCTTATTTCTGCTCGAATTTAACAAGCAAACACCCTTGTTCTTGCGCTCAAAATTATTTTTAGAGCACTTTCTTGTTCCCTTCTTCCTCAAGAATTGGGGTCTTTGATGACCTGATAACATATATTTTCGACAGAAAACACTTACCATCGCACTTGAGCTGGTCGGAACTCGAGGCCCATTTCCCACGCCAGTCGCATTTGCGCGAAGTTTCGCCGGAAACGCGGCGGAAGCCCTCAGTGCAAGCCATTCTGAAATCGAGTTTTAGTATGTTCCACGCCCTGTCCACGTGTCCTTCAATTAAAATCTGAGATTTCAAGAATAGAAGCCAGGCAGTCTCGTGTTTTGGGTACTTACTCGCACTCGGTCGAGGTACAGGAAGTAATGTCAATGACAGGAATGTCGCGGAGGGCGGAGCACTTCGATTTGACACACTGCTCTCCACTGCCGAGGTAGCCAGCAGCGCAGATGCACTAAAACGATCAAAAACTGTCTTAAAAAACAGGGTCAAACCTTGAAGGAGCCAGCAGTATTGACGCATTTTTGACCAACAGACTTGCAATTATGGCTGCCATTATCGCATTCATTGATGTCAACGCATTTTCCTTTAATAGAAAATTAAGCAAACATTGCCTTAAAAGATCAGAACTGTAGAAAGCTGAGCTCGGCAATCTGTGCAGAAAACCTGAGTCAGGGTCTAAAAGAGCTGAAATGAAAAGCCGCGCAGAGGCTCTTTTTAAAACGAAGCCGCGAAGCGGCTTGGCTAGAATTCTTTATAGATTGTAATGGTATTATTCGCTGTGCGGCTTTTCATTTCATCTCTTTCAGACCCTGACACAGGTTTTCTACACAGGTTGCCGAGCCCAGGTAGAGAGAATACAAACCTGCAGAGACTTTGAAGCCATCCTTGCATTTGCACTTGTAACTGCCAACAGTATTGACGCACTCGGCACCAGGACAAGCTGATCGAAGTGAAATTGTTTTTCCTAAAAAAAAGTTTTAAGCCGAATAAAGAGGGATGGAAAATTTCTAATGACGTCGAAGAATGGCTTTTGCACCAAGACTGGGTCCGATAATGGTCATTATCAGGAGGACTTAGATGGATTCAGAAGCGAATCATCCAAAACAGAATAAGATAAAAATTGAATTAAATTGATAAAATGAAGCGGTTTAAAATAATTGAGTGTTGCAATCCAACAACTCCATTTTCTGGAAATGGCATGCAAATTTCGACCTAAACGTCTTGATTTCTTACCGCTATCTGAATTTCGATTAGCTCCAAATTGATCGACGTTTTTCGTGATTTTGCTATTGGGCCAAAATAATGAAAAGAAGGGGGAGGGATTAAATTCAATATTCAAGAATATTTTTGTGGCGCATCTGGTGAGTTCGGAAAAGAATCAACCAAATAATAGTTAAATTTTAGGAGATAAAATGAGTGTTGTCAAGCAGCAGCTCAAAATCATCATGAAAGTCATCTTGATGCTCAGAATTGACTGTAATGAAGTATCTTACCGCTACTTGACAAATCATAGAGTAGTAGAAACGTGTCGTTGCTGTCCAACTCTTTAGAAATATAATAAAAAAGAAAAGTTAAAAAATTATTGCAAAAGGCAACACAACCTGGGCGCGATGGCGAGTTATTAAAACAAACATTACATCAAATTCTTTATTTTCTAAAACGGCGGCACGCCATTTGAGCTCAATTACATAGTTGTAAAAAAATATTATCTATCTTTGTTTTGGAAAATGTGGCGGCGTACTAATTTAATTTATCATTATTACATGTTATTAAATACAAATAAGATAACATCGTTTATTCAATAACCCAGCTTAAAGTTAGAGTCTCTAGCCCAATAATTCTTTAGATAACCCCTAAGAGTAAGAAACAACTCGCTTATGTCAAGAATGAAGCGTCGTTTGTGAATTCTAGCACGCTCTTAGGCAAGAAGCTGCTGGATAATCGCATTCCGGAAATCTATTTTCTGACGCTGCTGATTCTCAACAGGATGTGCCCCTGGCTGACCGAAATCGACACGGGCAAACGAGAACAATCCGCGCTGCCTTGATATCCTTCTTCATCCCCCGGAGGGTTAACCCTCTAACGCGGCTTTTTTGGCATTATACATTTTACAACTCAGACAAAATTGCATCATCAAATCTGATTAGTATCGTGCTGACGACATGGAAAAATAAAAAAGATGAAAAATTTCGCGTCGATTTCACGCACAAGCCAATTTTTTTATCATCGAGTTGTGGTGCAATTATCTAAGCACGTAAATTGGCCGATTACTCGCGCCGCACATGCTGTGGCCGCTGCATTCTTCAGCTTTAAAACTCAGAGACCATCGGACAGATTTGCTTTTTTACCTTTCTTAGGAGTGACCATTTCGCGCAGGACTCCTACAATGCACTCGTCAACGTCTTCGCAAGTTTTTCCGTCGCCGGAGTAGCCATCTTTGCAGCGGCATTTGAAGCCTTTTCCGGTGTTCTGAAGGGATTTTAAGCAAATGACACCCTTATTTTCAGAATTATTCAGGGAAATCCTGACTGACTTACAGTAATTTCACTTTAATTACTAGCATTCTTACAATCTACTCAATTAACTCCTACAAAGTATCGCTCTAATCGTGCATTTCATTATCTACTGCCCTAGTACTGTCAGTTGTTCACTGAAGCATCCAATGAACGAGAAAATGCGCACACTTACCAAGCAACTAGCATTGACGTCGCAATCGTGAAGCCCAAGAGCACACTCGTCTCTTTCCCTGCAGACGCCACCGGAGCGGAAGTGTCCTTCTTGACATTGGCAGGTGAAACCGCCATCGCGATTTTCGCACTTTTCGCCTGCGTTACTGATTCAAGGGTTTTCGCTTTCATTCAATATCAGAATTTCTCCCCGAAAATTCTAGGAAGGGTCCTTAGGCTTTTTTGAGAAGTAGAAACCCTTAACAATTGTGCGTGCCCATGGTGCACTCGTCGATATCAACGCAAGTATCCGGAGCATTTTTCGGAGCAAAGAAACCTCCATCGCAAGCACATTCGTGTCCTCCCTTTTTGAGCGGAATACAGACTTTCGGGAATCTACAGTTGTGTTCTCCAGCGAGACAAGCATCGACCATTTCACACGTGAGTCCGTCGCCAATGAAACCTAAAATGAAGCTTGAGAAGCTGGCGCTTTGATTGAGTTCGTATGAGTGAAAAGAGACGTTTCTAATCTGCAATTAAGACGATCAATCAGACAGGTATGTTGTAAATTTTTTGTAATATTTTTCATTATTTATGATATAAAAACGACATAAGATCAGATGGAAAAGCCGCAGCTTATTTCAAGATCCATCTGTTTTTTTTCGGATTACAATATCAATTATTAATTGACAATTAAGTCCCAGACGAAGAATATGAAACCAGTTGATTGATATGTTTTTTTCTTGAATCCATCAAGGTGCCTCCTTATATAATCGTTTGACGACAAAGTTCAGCTGTAGGCAGATTTAATCTCAACTCCCAAATCAATTTCAATAGTGTCTTATTGAGAACCAGCTGATTTCCGTCATCGTTTATATAAAAAAAACATAATAGAGAGGTCAAATGAATCAAGCCGTCAATCGAACTTTGGCAATGATATGTTACCATGTACAGTTTCTTACTGTACTTGAAATGAAATGAGAGAAACACGTTTTTACCTAATTAAGGATTTATCAAATGCCCGTTTTACAAGTGTGATAAAAAAAGAATCCGCTTACGAAATCAAACACGTCGGCCAACACGCTTTAGCTGTGTTCCGAAATTTAGGGAAATCGAAAAACGATTAATTACCAGGTTTGCAGGTGCACTCGTGCCCGCCAATAACGTTCTTGCATTTGGCGTTTCTGTCGCAATCGCTGCCCATCGAACTGGCGCATTCGTCAATGTCGGAGCAGTCGCGCCCGTTTCCTTCGTATCCGGACTAGTGAGGGCTGAGGGCTACCTGCCACTTAGCAGAGAGAGTGGGAGGGGCGCTTGAATTTGGTAACGCCGTAGTTTGACGATAACCGTTCGTTTTCTAACAGGCTTCATTTTAGTCGTTTTTATCGATTTCAAAAGAATAATATGAATAAATGCTGAGTTATGGCCTCTTATATCATCTTCAATTCATTCAAAAATTTAAGAATATTAAAAAGCAATTATAGATTCAAAGCTTAGATTTTCCATAATTTGAGATTGCGACACTGAAATTACATCCGGATTAAATTATTTTAAATTGCGGTTGCCAATTAAGAAAGAATAATTTAAGGATATTTTCTTCAAAATCTTACATAAACCTTGGTAACTTATCAATGCCAATTTTCTCTAAGAATATTTTCTATTTCGCCTTTTTTTCCGAAAAATCACGGGCGGACAGATTATCCTCAGCCGTTCCTTGCATTTGCATTGGAAGCTGCCCTCGTTGTCGATGCAAATCGCGTGCTCGTGGCATCCTGCGAGTCCCTCGGCGCATTCATCGACGTTGACGCATCCGACGCCGGCGCGCGACTTGAATCCATCCGGACAAGCGCACACGAACGTTCCGTGCTGATTTTTGCACTCAGCGCCTGGCGGACAAGGATTTGGAGAGCAACGATCGGGCTCTTCGCAAGTGACGCCGTCCTTAGTGAATCCAGCGGGGCAAGCGCAATCGTATCCGCCTTCAAAGTTGACGCAGACGGCGTTGGTTCCACAAGAGTGTTCGTTGTTTTCACATTCGTCGATGTCGGTGCAGCTGAAGCCGTCGCCGGTAAAGCCAGTTGGACAGGAGCAGTCGTAGCTGCCAACAGTGTTGGTGCATTTAGCAGAAGCGTGACAGGTATGAGATCCATCTTCGCATTCGTTGATGTCTACGAAGAAATTTTTATCGAAAGAAAAATGACTTTTGTCACGAAAAAAGACTTTTTTTTCAATAAAAATGACTTTTGTAACGAAAAAAACACTTTTGTCACGAAAAAAGATTTTTGTCACGAAAAATGACTTTTGTCACGAAAAATGATTTTTGTCACGAAAAAAGATTTTTGTCACGAAAAATGACTTTTGTCACGAAAAATGATTTTTGTCACGAAACAAGACTTTTGTCACGAAAAAAGACTTTTGTCACGAAAAAACACATTTGTCATGAAAAAAGACTTTTTTCAGGAAAAAACTTTTGATAATACGCTCCGGGGCGCTGATCTTTTTGAATTTGGCCAATTTTCGGCAGTAAAAATAGTAAGCTGTTCCAACAAAGGGCGCTGAATAAAATGCTAATCGATCTGATTTGGATCGCTCCTCCGCCACCGCCGGAGTCAGCAGGGCCCCATCTAACGACGTGTGTTTTGCGTCACGATTTTGATTCCAGCTAAACAACTCTAACCGCCCGTCAGCGTCAATTTATATCTTCTTGCGGTGAACTTGCCAAAAACAAAAACCAACGCATTTTTTCCCAACTTGAATGCAAAATGGTACGTGAAGCAAAAGATGGCTTACCGTTGCAGGAAGCGCCATCGCCTTCAAATCCCGGGGCACAGTTGCACTTGTAGCTGCCTAAAATGTTGACGCAGGAAGAGTCTTTTGGACAAGTTGCGACTCCGTTTTTGCACTCGTTGACATCTTAAAATATATGAATAGAAATAGGTAATTAAGAAGTCAATTAGCCGTCAATTTATCTGAAGGAGGTACCATCTTAATCTTATGAAAACATCAAAATCACTGATTTAAAATCTTGATTTCGACCAATTAAAACATTATTTTAAATAAAATAGCAGCTAAAATTAACGATATCTTGATGAATGGATTGACTATCTTGATGGAATTTAACTCTCTTAATTGACTCCTTTATTTTAATTTCTAAGTTCTCGAATATATCAACGGCTTTTCTTACGCTCTTTTTGAATAAGTTTTTCTCTTACCGTAGCATCCAGTTTTCGGATTTCCACTGTATCCAGGCGCGCACTGGCACTCGAACGAGCCGGGCTTGTTGACGCATCTGGTTCCCTTGGCGTTGCAGTTGTGGTTGCCAGTGGCGCATTCGTTGATGTCCTCGCAGGCGAGGCCGTCTCCTTTGAAGCCAGCTCGGCAGGCGCACTTGTGGGAGCCGAGTGTATTTGTGCAAATCGCATAAGGAGAGCATTGATGAGTTCCAGCAATGCATTCGTCCTGGTCTAAAGGGAATTCGTTAGTTTGACCAATCAAAAGGCTCGATGGCAGATTTTCGCTATCACAAGACATCGATGTAGCGCCAAGTTATTACTCGGCGTGGCTTTTCTATCTTATCAATTATTAGCTTTCCGCTTTGGGTCGAGAAACGCGATAAGGTGCCTTTCTAAAGTTGTTCTTTCCCAATCCATCTGGCTATTCACATGCGATAAGTCCGATTCCTGCCGAGTCGGATGAACCGGCGAACGTGAGTGCTCTCTTATCAGAAAATTGGATTGTTTTATTTTTTATTTAGAAATATTTTTTCTGTATTCTATTTTTAAGAATGCCCATTAAAATAAATCGATAATCAGTATTTATTAATTTTTTTATATTTATTATTTAATTTATTAAAAATAACTATTTAATTTAATATTTTGATTAAAAATGAATATTTATAAAATTACTCTCTTTGGTCCTTTTGAGCCTTTCTTTTATGGAGAAAGTAGACCATCGAAATTTTTGCGTCGCGGAAAGAGTAATTTAACGACACTTAGTTTTGGTGGAACGCTACTTGTTGAGGTACTGGTGGTGCTGGTGCAGCCAGCAGGCGGTGTGGCTGCTTTGGTGCCGAGGGGGCCACTCGTGAAAACTCGCGGCGGGCAGCTTACGAGCGCCCTCGTTCAGCGCGTGACGAATCGTTTTCCCGGGCTTAGGGCCACCCACCGCTCTCTTGCAAAGCTAACATCTCGATTTAAAAAAATGGAAAACTAAGAAAAGACGATGAAAAGCAGAGATTTCCTGACCAACTCGAAGAGGAAGAAGTTATAAAACAAAGAGAAATCATCGAAGAAAAGAAAAACTAAAACTCGAGCTTGAAATTTCAAAAAATAAAAAGAAAATTATGGGCGATTTTTTCACAATTGTGCTGATTGGCATGGCCATCAGCGTGGCAGTTTTTGCTTTTGGATTGATTCAGGTAAGATCTTCCGTTTCTTTTCGACCCTTTTTTCCCTTTTTTTTGTCCCAAAATCGATTATTGAAATTATTTCAGAAATAGTTCCTTTGACCTTGATTTAGTTAAAGACTATTTAAAATGCATACAGTACATTTTTCGACCTCCGTCTCTTTTGATCCAGATATGTAATCGACTTTGCATGTTTTGAGAAATAATACGCGGCATTTACGGTAAAAATAGACTGGCGGGTGCATGTGATGCTTTGAATCGCAAATACGCGAAAAACTTGCTTATCATTGCGCAACAGTCTTCTTACTTTGTGTCCATATTTTGGACACTCATAACTTGCTTTTTATAAATAAAAAATAAACTTGAGCATTTCTAGTTAAAACCTAAAAGCAGTCTTTCCCTTAAGTTTACTGTAGCAAAATCGCTTATTCACCCAAATTTTTCTAGCAGCCCCGAAGACGCCAGCTGACAACGACCCAAAAAACCGCTGCCGAGATCAGAAATCGGCACGCCGTGCTGACCCCTGCACGCATTTGCACAGGAGTGACTACCCAACCGCGGGCTGAGCTCACAAACATCTAAACCCCAAAACCAGTAGCTCTCTTTGTATATTTTTCCTACTTCGAAAAGACGTCTATCTCCATCCCACCCGTATTTCTTACAATTTTTTATTACCCATAACTAAGGAATAAAAAAAAACGAGGACCATGAATGTCATGAAACAACGAAAATTAACCCTGTTTGAGTTTCAATCTAATGCAAGAAACAAGGTGACTTTTAGACCCCCACCCCCCTTTACTCCCCCCTAAACCCCCCTTCAAAATTCAGACTCGATTTTCGCCGATTTGGGCTGTTTTGATTGGATCCCGGTACTGGCAACTGCGGGTCCCACGTGACGATTCAAATTTTCGACGCAAAATCGACTCGAAAGCCAATTTTTCGACACGGAAAGAACGAAGAAAAGATTTTTCAAAAAAGCCTGTGTCAAAAAACTGAAACTGAACTGCATGTCGTAGAAATTGCACAGTTAATAAATGTGCAGATTTGTACATAACAAAACTCAATTTGTATTTTTTACCTCTGCATCCTTTTCGAAGATCACCAATCATGCCCTCCTTGCATTTGCATCTGTAGCCTCCTGGAACATTGATGCATTGAATATTCGGCTTTCCAGTGCACTGATTTTTGACAGCGCACTCGTCAATGTCCTCGCATTCGCCTCGGAAAGCACTTCCAAGATCTTTGAAGCCTTTCTTGCATTTGCATCGATGAGTTCCGACGTAGTTCTTGCAGGACGCATTGGAATCGCACTAGAAAGTAGGTCAATTTCGAAGTTTTTAGAAAAAGAAGAAAAAATGCTAGTCTTCAAGAAATTCATTCACTCATTCATTCATTCATTGAGAGTCAGATACCTTGTGCATTCCAGCTGCGCACTCGTCCATGTCAACGCAAAGTTTGACCCCGTCGCCTCGGTATCCTGTTTTGCACTGTTTTAAGGGTCACGACTTTCATCCATCACGTAGAGAGGGGTTATCATTCGAGCCTATAATTCGAGCCATCCAATATCTCTAGAATCTGGGCTAGTGGTTAGGGTAAGGGACTGGAAACTCTTAACGGGGGTTCAAAGACCCCCGGTTTAGGCCTTAGGTAGGGGGTCCCGGGGGGGGGGCGTACCCCCCTGGGTTCGGTTTAGCGTTAGGGGCAGCTCGATTGATAACCCCCTACTACCATCCATCATCATACAAAGAAGAAGTCTTTTTCGACCCTTTCCTTGCATCTGTATCCCCCAGGTTCGTTGAAGCACTCAGCTCGCTCGTGACAAACATCATCCTTTTCGCACTCATTGATGTCCTCGCACTTCCACCCGTTGCCCTTAAAACCATCGATGCACATGCAACCGTAGCCGCCCGGTTTGTTCCAGCACTTGCCACCGAGAGGCGTGCAGTTGTGATCGCCAGTTTCGCACTCGTTGATATCCTGCGCCAGGTTACGCCACGGTCGGTCGATTTAAAAAACCGCATCGTGGCTGTAACCTCCGCCTTGCACGTAAAGCCGTCGCCCTCGAAGCCCTTTTTGCACTCGCAGGTTACGCTGCCCACGGTGTTGGTGCAGATCGCATTGTCCGAGCAGGGGTTGTCTTGAACGCATTCGTCCACATCTTGAACATTTTAATTAGCTTGAACTCAAAAAATAAAAATGACAATTAGAAAATTTTTCAAAAAAAAAACACATCTCTTAAAAAAACACACACTTCGGAGGGATGGTGTCTGGAACCGAGAAAAAAAATTTCGACAAATTTTGCGTGGGCGGCTACTCGGTTGCTGATTGGCCGATTTTTCGAATTCAGGCTTCTGATTGGTCGAAAATCTCCACGTAAAATTTGTCGAAATGTTTTTGTCGGTTCCAGACACCTCCCCGCATCGAAGAATTTCTATTGCATAAAAACATGCATGATTCTCTGCACTTGGCGTTCAGACATCTCTTTTTAGAAGGTCTCGATTGCTAAGTGCGATAAACTGGCGCTCGGGTCGCACGCGGCCGACATGGTGTCGGTGGCGTTGGTGTCGCAGGTGCTGCAGGTGCGAGCGCCTTTTCTGGGACTTCTTCTAGGCTTATTTGGACTGAGCTTGTGGAGCCGTCACAAAATATTCGCCCAGTCCAAATAACCATCACGCAGGCGCAAAAATAAACCCCGCGCCGCTCCTTCTACTGTTTCCCCGACCGCACATTACGTAAGCAGCGAGCTAGAGGCACAGTGAGTCGCGGGCAGCCGCCAATCTCGCCACAAAGTGCGGTAATTATAAAACTTATTTCTTCCGGGTAAAAAAGTTTTTTCCCTCATCCGGAAAATTTCAATAAAAAAAACGGATAAAAAAGTGATCGTTTCCAGGATTTTTTTCAAGAGGGATTTCCAAACTCCTGCTCCTGGCCTTACTCCGACAATTATTCACATCTGATAAGCTCTAACTCTGTGCTGGAAATGCAAATCTGAAAAGAAGGTTGTTAATGAAGCTTGACTCAGATGCAGTGCATCTAAAATAACCTCGGTGTTTCTTTTTGTTTCGTTGCTTTTGATAGGGTTAACGTGCTTGCATAGGCTTATTTCCCGGGTGGTTGCTAAATCCGCTAGGAAGGGGGCCACGGAAGCTTTTAAAATCCGTCCTGGGCGGAGCAAACTCGGCCCAACCCGCCAAAATTGACGAAAAATACCGTAATTTAAAAAAGGGAGTATCCGTCAATGGAGGTTTGAAATCATAATTGCTCGTTTCTTGTTTGAAAATTTAGGAAGAAAGGATCGTCACGTCAGGAAAGACACGTTCAACGAGCAAATCAGATAACGCCTGACGGCTGATAAAAATTGGCGACGCTGAAAGGGCAACAAGGACTGACGCCGCTTCCTGGAAAGCTCGAGATCGAGTCAGTCTTGATTTCTGCTTGGGATATTCTCAAATGAAATTTGTGAAATTTAATGTGATAAAGATGAGCTACATGTAGCCATAAACTCGATCAGATAATTACTAGCTCCTGACAAACGGTCCTTGATTATCCACCCCATAATCTCTTGCCTATCCATCCGATCCATCCGACGCTCAAGCCGTTCTTGAGCACCCTAGCCTGTTTTCAACTCGATTGATGACGACGCTCCTTCGAACGTCGTCTCAAGCCTTTTGCGTGCTTCATATACTTCTTTTTCAGCAAGCCAGTCGTCATATAATTGAATTTGCTTCTGACGCAACGCGATAAGTTCCGATTTACGGGACTTGAAAGCTTTCCAGTTTATCTTTTTTCTTTTATCTCCTCGCTCGTCATCTAAAACAAAAAAAAATAATAAAAATATTCTCATTGCAATAATTATCAAAGAAATTTTTCAAAAAAAAACTTCTAACGATAGGAAGTCTGGCCGGTAATTAATTCATTTTTCTATTCTATTGACTCACACAATATTCGTTTCAGCTCGTCATCATCCTCATCCTTCTCCGCGACAATGGTACTCCATGGACGCAAAGTTGCCCTTGGAGTTGTCGTTCTCGTTGTTGCTGTTGTTTTTGTTGTTGTTGGCACTTTTGAAGTGTTTGCCATTTGTCTTCGTCGGAGTATCTGATCGAGCAGGCTTCTTCTGTCAAAAGTCGAAGAAGGAGCTTTGAAAGACGTCGTCGTTGTCATCGTTGTTGTACTAATTGTTGTAGTTGTCGTTGAGCTTGACTGAATCATTTGCCGATGCCGCATGAGTCGCTGAAGAAGACTATCTCGTCCATCGGGAATTTGTTCTGGTTGAAGTATTTCTGGCATCGTTAGTGTTGTTGTGGATTTTGTCGTCGTTGTTGATTTTGTTGTTGTCGAAATTTTTGCGGCTGCTGTTTTTCGCCTCTGAAGCATGAGTTTCTGAAGAAAACTAGCTCTTCTGTCGACGGATTCTTCCGTAGTCGCGATCTCAGAGTATGAAGTTGAAGGCGGAATCGTTGTTCTCATTTGTTGTAATCTATTCATCCTCATTCTCTCCAATAATTCTTTTCGTTTGTCAATGTATTTCGTCGATTGGGAAAATACAGGCTTCGGAGTTGAAATAATTTCGTCCTTGTCCGGAGCAATTAATTCACTTCGAAGCGTCATTATATCTCTCACAGAGAATGTTTTTCCGCCCTTCGCGAGCTCTTTTAGTCTCTCTTTCATCCTCATTACTTCTTGAATCGACATTCTTGACGGCGGAGCTCCTGCTGGTCGAAATTCGGGAGGAAGAACTCGCACTTTACTGTTTTCTTCCATTTCAAGTCGGGCGCGAATCGAGCTTTTATGCGCCAACCCGTGCCCAAGTTTCAACTCGATGGTTGGTTGTGTCGTCGGGATCGTTGTTGTTTTCACAGTTGTAGTTGTAGTGACTGTAGTCGTCGTCCTCGTAGTGGTCGTCCACCAGGAAGTTCTCGGAGGGCCAACATTGATATCAAGGAGGAAATCGCCTCCGCCAGAGGCTTTTTCATAAGCAGCAAGAACTCTTTGATCCCAAAAAACAGTCGCGTTTCCTATTTATTGAACTTTCAAGAAACGATCTTTTAGTAATAAAAACCCGGAAGAAATAGTTTTGTCCATATTCCTCAAATTTAAAAAAAAACAAATTTCCAGATTTTCCATATTCTGGTCGATAAAATTGCCCTGTTTTGACATAATTTTGTAAAAAAAAAATGATTTACCGGCGCAGCTTGAAGTTCCATCGCCATAATAGCCTGGGAGACATTCGCAAGCGTATGTTCCTGGATAATTGACGCAATGGCCCAAGCTGTGGCATCGTGGTCGGATGGTATCGCACTCGTTGACATCGTCACATCGAGTTCCGTCGCCATTGAAGTCGATGAAACCGTTGGGGCAAGTGCACACGTGGCTACCAATGGTGTTTGTACAGGAAGCGTGTTCATCGCAATCGGATTTGCCAGTGAGACACTCGTTTACGTCAGAGCAGGAGAAGCCGTCGCCAGTGTAGCCCTTTTTGCACTCGCATTTGCCCATGTTGGCGTAGTTTACACATTCACCCATGGGACCGCATTTTGTTCCTGTTTTGGGTTAGGCTTTACGCTTTAAAATACTAGAAAGAAAGTCTCTAACCCTGAGTCCTTTGAGCAAGCACCAATCAGTGCCAGTCGAAGCCTGAGCAAATGCACCGTCAGAATAGACATTGTAAGTTTCAGCGGCAACAACGAAGAAGTAGTCTGTGTTTCCATCAAGTCCTTCGATAATCACTTCGTTGAGGATTCCATCAACGAGAGCTGGCGATTCTGGGTACGCGTTTGGAGCATGGGGAAAGAAAGAGATTCGGTAGTGTTCTCGATTACCGCCCGAGTGATTCCAAGTGAGCTTGACTTTATTGGCAGAAATGCTTTCTGCTTCGACGTTGTGGGGATCTTCAGGAATGGTAGCAAAAAGCATTCGCTGGGGAACAGATTCTTTCTGCCCGACCATTGAGTAAAGATTGGCTTCGTAGCGGGTTCCAGGAAGAAGATCGTCAAGTTGGAATTTGTTACTTTGACCGGAAACGATTTCCATTTTTGCTTCGAGTTGAGTTCCGAATTTGAGTTGAATCGGCGAATCAGGATCAGCTACCGGCTTTATGAGGATTACGATCAACAGAATGTTCTTGAAAAAGTATTACACTAAAGAGCGTCAAGCGAATTCAACAGAGCATGAACAACAATCTTCTGTATTTATCGGCATTCCGGCATCTATACTACGTATGTACAGAGGCAAAAGTTTGAGCCTTTGAAATGTTACAATCTCTTACGATGGGCCAAGGACCATGGTCGATGGCTCTATCTTGTAATCAAATTATTTTCGAATCCTGTAGAAAATTCTACTGTATTATTTTTTTTTGTTTTTGAATATTCATAGCCAGATAGTATGGATCGAAATTTATCCTTGATTCAAAAATAATTTGCCAGTAAGAAGAAGTATTAGGGCCACCGTAAAAGATTGTAACAATTTGAAAGACTCATACTTTTATCTTGTGTACATAGTCTTTGCTCTACAACTATCAGCTATAGAATGTATACTTTGTTACTCTGGTATATTGTCAGAAAACATGCTTTAACAAATTAGATATTTCTGTCGCACTCCCTAAAGGTTATCAGGATAGTGTACCAGAATAAGCTATAATTTAAGGTAGTTTATACTCAATATATGAAAATACAAGATGTGCTATGTAATTTAAGAATAGAGGATAAAAATCCCTCCCTTGTATTCAATCTTGTATCGCTCTCGTTTGCCGGCTGGATGTTGCCAGAACAATTCAGCCGATGTAGCATCCATGTTTCTTGTTTCAAACTTAACCGGGATCGAGGATGAGGGCAAGGATGAGCTGGCCATTCCCGTGCTTGTCAATCCTCCTCCGCCGGCAGCGTTGAAGCCGAACATATTTCTATTCTGCATCGTATTCTGCTGTTGTCGCGCGTCAACAAGGCCATTTTCAATTTGGAAGGCAAGTTTGGCAGCTTGTCTTTCTGCTTCACGCATTTTTTCTTCCTTTGCTTCAGCGTCGTATCGTTTGGCCCAAGTAGCGATGGAAGCTTGCTGATATTGCGTGAGTTGTCCGTCCGAAACGCGGTCAGAGTAGTAAATTGGTCGTTCGCCGGGATTCGTTGTCGCTGCGCCAGCTCCTCCAGCGAAAGGATCAGTACCGAGCCGAGAAGTCATTTGGCCGGACAAGCTTGTCGTGAGAGCTGCACCATCTCGAAGCTGGACTTCGTAAGACGAATATGGAAGAGCTTCACCAAGGGCTTGAGGGCAATTATCAGCGTAATCATTGTAGTATCCATTCCACGAAATTCCAACTTGAGGGTCAAGAGATCGATCATCAAGAGTCAATGTGTAGAGACTCGCGTCTTTGCAACTCGCTGGAATGTCGCTTGAATATTGAGAAGGCTGGAAATCAACTGAGAAGCCAATGTATCCATGTTCTTCCTGCCAGCCTATCTGCTCGAGCTCAAAGTAACCACTGTTGATATTGGAGTTGGCGAGGACGACACAAGCGTGCCAAAAGTTGATACGCTGGATGTTGCAGCCGGCTGGAACTTGAACTTGGAGACCAAACGGAGCAAGCGGCTTTGGATTCGGAAGGAAAAAGTGGCCATTCGCGCCTTGAGTCCAGGAGAGAGGACCGGAAAGAAATTCCATCGATGGTGTTGTCGATTCAGGAACGTAAACGGCTCCGGAATCGCCAAGCAGAGCAAGCTGCGTGTCTCGATCTGGGTACATAATTTCACAGGTATCGAGAAGTGCGGAAGCATCAATGGGATCGTTCCATTCGTAAAGTGAGAAAATGTAAGCATTGGCGTCCAGGCAGCTCATTTGATCAGCCTGAGGAAATTTGATTCGCAAGCCGATGAATTCCGTTCCCAAGTCGGTTCCGTTCTGGTAGAGAAGGAGATTGGCGACATTGTCGCCATAAACAGCTGTGGCGTTTCCGTCATTGTTGAGATCGGAGTTGACAGTGTTGATGCAAGCTTGATAAGTGAGAACTGTTTGAACATTGCATCCTTCAGGGAAGGCGATCTGCAATTGCCACGGGTTCTCCGCTGGTGGCATGGCGTCCGGAAGCCAGATTCGCATCCAACCGACTTCTTCACCGACAGAGACCCATTCGACCTCGAGATCGCCGGAAGTATGACCCGGTCCATCGTAATTATTGACCATCAGATCGAGGAAAGCTTGATCGATGACTTCATCGCCGCCGAGAATAATGTTCTCTGGATAAGCTGGATCTGTGCTAGGAGGAGTCCACGGAAGCTCGCCAGGGCACTTGTCTGGATCAGTTGACCACTGGAGAGTCATTCCATCGATGTTATCCGAAGCGTGGCTGCCTCGAGCGACAAGGGTGAGTGAGTAGGCAGTTTCATCGAAGCAAGCAGCCGAGCCGCCCCAGTAATTATTCTGATCAAAGCTCTGATCAGCTTCAAAGACAATTCCAATGTTTTGATGATCATGGTGCCATCCAACTTGGTAGACATAAAAAGTACTGTTCGACAAGCTAGAAGCGTAGGGGTCCATACAACCGTGCCAGATGTCTAGAGATTGGAGCTGACAGCCAGGAGGGAATTCGAGAAGGACTTGCCAGGCTCCAAGAGGTCGTTCGCTTGGAAGGTTGAGTTTGATCTCGCCTCCATGCCCCCACTGTCGGATAAAGTCGACAACTGGCTCCGTGATTGTATCACATCGAGTACCAAAATAGCCGTCTTGGCAGTCGCATGTAAAGGTGTAATTGGTGTAGTCGGAAATGCAGATTCCATCGTTAGCGCAAGTCTTATCGTTGCAGTAGTCGACGACATTTGTTCCGGGTGGAAACGGCCAGGAAGAGAAAAATTCAGAGAAATCCTCCGTGGGAAGAGAGATTCCGCTTGGGTACTCGTCGTAGAGTTCTCGTTCCCGAATTCCGGCAACAGTCGCTTGGAAAAGAGCATTGGCAACGAGGGAGGGTTCATTGCGCGTGTAATCCTTTCGGTTGTCCTCCCAAAAGCCAGAAGTAGCATCTGGGCCGCCCATAATAGCTCCTTCGAGTGTGAATTCATTTGGGGTGTATTTGTCCTCAAACATGCCCCAACCACAATCTTTCCCAATAGGACACGCCGAGTCTCTGTGATGCGGTCTCGTCGGTGGGTTGTGCCCGTAGCCGACCATGTAGCTCCGCTCACCAGCGCCAAGGACGTCGATAACGAGTTGTTTAGCAAAGTTGACGAAGTCAGTTTCAGTCTGGCCCGACACGACGTGATTGGCAGCGTAGAGGCAGATATAGGCGACACCAGAAGTTGCGCCAAAGTTGTGCCAGTCGGTCATTCGGAGAAAACCGTCGGCATTGTATTGGGTCTGGTAGTTAGTGCAGAAGTCGATGATCATTTGTACTCCAGGAGCGCTTGTATCAGAAGTCAGCAAAGCGTGGTAAACCATCACGGCAATGGTTTTATCATCAGTGGAAAATTCTAAATTATTTTTTAAAAATTTCAAATTCTTGATTCATTTTTCAATTCCGAGTTCCAAATTCCGAATGCAATTAAAAGTGAACAAGGCGTGAGAGCATCGGAACACCCGTGCAAAAGGGCAAGAATGGAAATCACATTTTGCGGCGCAGATTTATTAATTTTTCGCCCCGCGATGCGCTTTTTTTTTGTCTTACCTGATGGTGCGGACAAATCCAGGCCGAATTCTGCGATGTAGTCTTCGGCTCTGGTGAGGTACTGGTTATTGCCTGTCGCATAATATAGCCAAAGAGCAGCCCAAGCAAGCTCATCACCAAACTCCGACGATGGATGAAATTGTCGCGCAGAAGCAAAAGCCTCGTTTTCATCATATTCGCCACGGTAAAGCTCAGCAAATTCGAACAAGTCCATCGCATGGGAAAGACATAGATTCGAGTAGTCAGTATCGTCTTTAAACAAGACTGCGGCTGCGGCCAAAGCTGCGGCTGTTTCTGCGGCAACGTCTGATCCAGGAGTTTCTTCTTCAATCGCGAGGGCTGGACGATCCATGGTCATGTACTCTGAGCGCACCCATTCGGCGTGGTCGAGTTCGGAGAGACCAACTTGGGCGTAGAATACGTATTTCTCAGGGTGCGCTTTGATGAAATAGTCGGTAGCCCATTTGACTTGCTTGAAGAGATCGAGTTTCATTCCCATCTCAGCGTACGCGTTGCCAAATTCGATGCCAGACCAAGCAATCATCGTCGTCGCAAAAGCCATCGGGAAGCCCCATTTAACATGATCACCTCCAGTGTAATATCCTCCCACAAGATCTAGATACGCATCTCCTCCGTCTCCTAGAGCTGAATCTCCGCGCCACTCAACATCAAGCTGATCTGGCGGAAGCTTGCCACTTCTTTGCGCAACGAAAAACTTGACGCAGAGATCGAGGATCTGTCGCATATTGTGAGTCACTTGTCCCGGTCCGCCGATGCCCCCGTATCCGTCAGTGTTCATAAAGCTCATTTGCCATTGAGGAACTTCAACGTTAGCAAATGGCGGTTCTCCGATCGTCGCTCCCATCAAATCGAACTGGAGGAGTTGGCCTTCTTGTAGGAATCCATTGTGCTCCTGGTTGATGATCGCGTAGTCGGTTAAATTCTGGCTCCAGTCGACAATGATCACCGTCCACATTGTCAAGTCAGCGACCGGCTTGGAAAAGTGCAGGACAAGTTGCCACTGGCCATTTGTCGTTTCAATTACAGGAATGGTCACTAGGGCCTTGAAGCCCGTCATCGTCTCGCCAGAGACATCGTCGACTTCTTCCCAGGAGTCGGTGACGCGCCAGACGACCTCGTCCCAGGTTGAAGCGGGCGCGGCGGTGGTGACAGGCGCGAACGAACCGCCAAAGCCACCGGTGCCCCGCGCACCACTGTCCAGATCATACCCATTGTACGTGTATCCGAGTTGGGCTGAAACTGAGATCCAGAGATTGACGAGCGAGATGAGCCCACAGCCACGCGCTCCGATCATGAAAATTCCTAAAGAAAAAAAAAATAACTATCATTCAAACTTTTTCAATTGTTGAAAATTTGAGTTCGAAAGATGCTCTATCAAAGATATGAAAAGAAGTTTTCAAAAAGTTCACGATAACAACTCAACCGAAAAATTTCGCTTTATTTGAAAATACCAGATTAAATGATTTCTAAGACGCAAATTGCGGCTCTATTATAGAGAAAATATTAATTAAACCACATGGTTTTGAAAACGTCAGAAAATAAGTGAAGCTTGAAAATCTGGGGAACCATCAACACATGCGTTCCATTTTCCTTTATATAACGAAGACGTCATTTCAGAAAGAACATCTGAAATAGTATTTATTCCATGAATACCCCAGTCAATCAAATATTGATCAAAGAATAAGTGACGCTATTGATGGTACTTTTAATTTGATAGTATGACGCAAATTATATTGCCAAGGTCCCATGGTTCAATGGTCGAAATACAACATAATGCGGCTTAAATTGCTAGATGTGCTGAAAAATGAACTCAAAAGAAGCAAAAGAAGCAATTTAGGCTGGCTTGGGGGTTGTTTAACCCCTGGCTGGTTGTTTAACCCTTGTGGCCGGCTAAGCCAAATAAGGTGCCCCCGGAGTTCCACAAAACGTGCGATAATCCTACTTAGTTTCTAGTAGAAGCCAAGCTGGAAAAATACACACAGCCTGAATTTCTGAATTCTCGAATATTTGGTTTTCAGACTTTGAAAAAGACCTTCGTAAAGTCGTAATAATTCGTGATAGGCCGCCATTTGAAAACGCTAAGGGCAAGATCTGAGAATGTAAATTTATCAGCAATGTAAATCATGCTCAATCAGGGATGAGCTGGACATGCCTTCAGCCTTTTTGTTAAAAGACAGATTCTTAAATCATGTAAAAATCATGTCTTTGGAACAAAATTTAGATGAAGTGATATCTTTTAAAAGTCTGTTTCATACTTAATTTATACGTAAAATACCATTTTAGCACAATAAACGATAGTGTATCAACGATAGAGAACTATCTTTTCACACGTCGAAATTTGATTAAGATAAAAAAGTAATAAAAATTGCAGTGATATGATCACTTTATCTCTTTCTCAGTCTCTCTCTGAAATTTTCATTCGAAAATATTTCGAAAATTCGAAAATAAGGGTATCACTATGTTAAGTCGAAAATCGAATTTTTTTAAGAAAAAAATGACGAAATTGATGTTGACAGCCTTAAGAAACAAATTCTTTTTTTTTTCTTGAAAGAAGTGATAGTTACAGTAACTTACTGTTTGATTTCTGATTCGGGGCGGCCAGAAGGTCTCTCGGCTTCTAACTAAGTGTCTCTGAAATTTCGTTTGTTTTTTCCGAAGAAAATCAGTTCTATCTGGACATTAGAGAAAGTCTGTTTCTATTTTTCGTATTCGTTGAAAAAATTGAAAAACACAAATGTTACTCCATTACGGATTTACGCGGAGGCGCGCGTTTCGCTCTCCACCACCGCTCTGGCGCCATCGTCCTTTTTTTCTCATCTTTGCAAGCACCACTTTCGATCTCTTTTGCAGCTCCTGAGACTAGCAATTTCGCGCATTTTCCCGATCAAGCACCAGAATGCACCAGCAACTTGTCATTATCGCGTAACGTGCGCGACACCCGGTTAACGAAAAAATGAGCTTAGAAAATTTCCCAGCCACGTTCTTTAGGATCTACCCAGTGAAATTGAAATAACGAGTCATAGATACTGAAATGAGGGGGAATTTATCGCCGATGCCGCATTCGACAGAAGCTTTTCGGGCGGATTTTTTTCGACTAAAAATGGTGACATCCTTATTTAGCCTGCTATAAACACTTTAACGGATTAAATTCATCCCGAAAAGGATGCCAATTTAACGGATTTTCGAGCTTCTCGAAAAGAGTTCGAAATCTGAAAGGAAAGTGCCAGTGGCAGCTGTCAATTGACTGCCAAAAGCTGCCGATTCCGACACTATATATAAAAATTTAAAGTCAAACTAAGTTCAAAACAGTCTTAACAACAAGTTAAACATATAAAAGAGACGTTATTCGAAATATAAACGTCTCTTTTGATAAGTAAAATGGAATAAAATAGATCTCGGAAAATCTCCAATAACGAATTTTGATGTTTTTGACGTCAAATTTTGAAAACTGAAAATAAATAATAACTATTATTTCTTCTGAGAAAAAACCATCTTGGCTGGGTCAACTTAATTTTGTTAGTTAGTGATAACACGAAGAATGTATCGTGTGTTTTAGGAAGCTCAACTAAGCAAATTGCCGGGCTATGACAAAGCTGGGGAGAACATGTTCTTAGTAAATTATTGATTGAACGCGAATTTATGTTGAAAACATAGCGCGAGTCACGATTTACGTAACTGCTAATAGAAAGGTTATTCGGTAAGTTGGTGAAGTCTCTGTCGATTTTTTATTGAGCTTTGATCGTGACTGATACCTTTTGACAACTTTTGACTGTTTTTCCCGTCTGACACAAATGAACTCTCAATATTCCGAAAGTAATGGACCATTACTAATAGTGCTTAAAAACGGTGAGCGATTTATAAAAATGACTAGCTCAAGAAATTCTCATGAGTATAATATTTTCGTCCGACGATGACTGCCTTGGAAATTCTATTTTGAAATTGTGTTTTTGACTGACTCACCATCACGTCGAAAACGGAGATGAAATTTAATCAATCAATCGGCAGTTTCCTTGTCCGCTAATAATGACGTATTACAAGAATGAGGAAATTCTCCGAGAAAACGCTTCACCCAAAAGCTTTAATTGAAATGATCTTTGTTTTCCTCGAAAAAGATAATTGATCAAGATACTTCAGCAATAAATATAAGGCATTAGCTCAAAGGATAGTTGATGTTTTCTTTAAAAATTCAAACATATTGTACCTGTTCTTACGCTAGACGAAAGGTTGTTAAAGAAACCTGTGAGAAGTAAAGTCACAATGAAGTTTCTGACACTTTGACATTTGGAAGTTGTGATTCAGACCAAGACCTGACAGGTCGTTTGATTTGGCAGTTCAGAAATAGTCTCAAAATGACCTGAATAATATACCGTCGGAAAATTTGCATATCGACCCATTTTTGGTTGAGGGGCCGTAGACACGTTTTGAAAATGATGATTTCTGAAGGCATACCGGTATTTAAGCGCCTTACTCAAAAATGGCTCGATGTTCCGGCGTTAATAATGACGAGGAATAATTTATAATATAATTTGTTTTTCCGTGAGAATCCCTAATCATAACCATGAATGATTCTCTGATGCTTAGCTTCAATTTTCTCCCTCTAAAATGCTAATATCCAGATGTGCCGAATGACGACGACGTGACGACGTGATGACGATTCAAGGGTAGTAGGGGGTTATCATTCGGGCTTCCTCTAATCCTAAACCTAACCAAGGGGGCTACGCCCCCCGGGACCCCCCCCCAAGGCATAAACCAGGGGGCTTTGCCCCCTGGCCCCCCTTAAGAGTTCCCAGTCCCTAACCCTAACCATTAGCTCAGATTCTAGAGATATTGGATGGCTCGAATCATAGGCCCGAATGATAACCCCTCTCTTCGGATTCAAGAGCTCAAAAAAGTCGGTAAAACTCAATTTTCATTTCTTCTTTCATGTCAATTAGAAAAATAACCTTTCAACCAATAAATTGGACGGTATGCGTTCCGGCGTTAGATAATTTATTCAACATGATTAGAAGGAAAAAATCCGATTCGATCGTCAAGAATACCTCTCCACCAGCCACTTGGGTCTCTTTGAAGCACGAAGATGACCTGACCCTCTTTGATGGTCAATTCGTCGTCTTCTTTCGCTTCGTAATCGTGAAGAGCGACAACTTTTAAAGTCTATATTAACTACGATCTTTTCACGCTGGGTTACCTGTGTCCGAAAGAAGCTGGTGAATTTGTTGCCGTTGACGTTTTTCTTGCTCTTTCTGCCGTTTTCGTTTATTTCTGGAGTCCACACAACGACAAATGGCAATCAGAACCATTATCACTGTTACAACAATCCAAATTATCATGCTCAAATCATCATCGCCCGGCTCTATACTAATAGATCCTCTTCTACCCATCTCTGATTCTTTTCCGGCCAATACCTAACTCATGAAGCATGTTTGGTTAGTGATTCCAATACGCCAACCGTCATCCTGAATAAATATGTCGTTTTGACGTAGACGAGGATTTTTTGTACTTCAATATTAGCACTTGAAGCAAACACAATTTCCATATAAGGAACTTCTTGTTGAGAATCTATGTTATTAATACCAGAAAAATACATATGAAATATAACTAGAAAACGCTAGAAACGACGAGAACTCATGCTTGCCACTCATGACCACATAGGCAAAACCACTTGAAAGAGAACCTAAGCCACCGGTAAAGTCGGGCTCGGTCACCACAAAAAAAACGCGCTGACTGGATGTAACTCGACCTTTTCTTTTTTGTCAGCCCTTTTAATTCAATTAGATCTAACGAGTTTATACTGAATTGAGAGCAATAGCATTTTATCTTTTTGATAGTTCAATTTTTCATTACTTTCATTCGTAGTTCATCTTCGATTGATCAAAAGCTGATTAAGCTCTCTGGCCCACTCTCTTCTTCTCCCGGGTATAGCGCCGCATCTGGCGCCCTCACGTGTCGAAATAAACGCCCTCATGACATGAAAAGCATGCACGTAGTTTAATGGCCCTTCGTATATAAGGCGCACTCCTCGACTTTCTCCTCATCAAATCCAACCAACAAAACCAACCAAAAACAAAAAGCTGAAATGAACTTCTTCAAAATCTTCATCCTCTTCGCCATTGCTTCCGCTACTCTCCAGCAGCAATATGTAAACCGATTCGGCAACACCATCAAAATCATGAACAGAAACCGCGACCGCGTGGTGAATCAGGAAGCTTCAGCGATTCAACAAATCTACGAGTACGAACTCAACCAGGCCCAAACACTCGAGGACAAATACCGAGTCATGAAGCAGTTCTCTTCTCTCGCTAGAACTTCGCCAAACAACCCTCGGGCCAGACGAAGCTTCGCTCGACGACATTACTTGTCCAACATGCAATGATTCTGATTCAACCTCCTGTTTCATTTGAATAATTATCTTTTATTAATAAAATATTTATAAAAAATCCTATCTTTTTTCGACTTAATGAATTCAATTGTATCGCGCTTATTTGCGGGTGGTCGTAATTACGCTTATACACATAGTCTGGATATAAAACTTTTATTTTAAAAATCTACAGTTCCTCCCAAATCTGCTGAGCCTAAAATCATGATAAAAATGAGATTTAGGGGGTGAAATTAAGAAAATTGTAAAAAAATTGACCATTTTTGGCTTATTTTCGCGAAAATGGCCCTACTTTGACGGGATTTCTGACCGACTTTATCTGGCCAAATTTTTCAACTTCTCGCCGATAGATTTTTTCAACCCTTTTCTACTCACGACTTAATTCATATTTTACCTATCAAATCAGCTTTTCCCGGATTTTTGGTTAGAAAAATCCCGATTCTCGTCGACCCCCCCCCTAAAAATAAAAAAAAGATGACCCTGCCTGACCCTGAGGGCTGCTATATAATATATATAATATAATATATAATGTATAATATAATATACAGTCAGGTCTTGCAATTACGCGGTTTTTATTTTCGGGATTTTCGCCAAAAACCACGTAATTGCACGCCCTAAAATGCACTAAATAGTGCAAATTGTGTATCGGATTTTCCCAAAAAAAAACGCGCAATTGCAGGTCGCGCAATTGCAAGACCTGACTGTACATAATATAGCCTATATTTCGTATAAACGAGGCACATAAGAGCTCAAAATTTGCACGTGAGACATGAAATTATGCCTTGTTACTCTGAAATTTTGATAACAAAAATATAATGCAAACTTTAGGTTGTCAAGTTATTTGTGAGTCTCTTTAATGCCATCTCGACAGTTTGACAAGCTGAAAAATGTAAAAATAGAAAGAAAATGTCGCTCAAAAACTTAGCATTTTGAAATGTCTACTTCCGACAGACAGAAGCCTCAGTAACATTTGGCACTGTCATGAATCATGATTCACTTGGTCAAAAGAGTCCCTCAATCGGTTTCTACGTGGATAACCTCAGTCTGAAGTCCTCAGACACCATGTTTCTTAAGAACACAATTGCTAAAAGTTAAATTTCTCCAGTATTTATGAAGATCAGAGATGAAATTTCTTGCACAAAGGTTTTAACGGTGTTTAATTAAACTATAAATGGCTCTCGAACAAAGATGACGACAAATTGTTACTAAATTATGTTTAATTCATGTTAAAATGATCGCAATTATGTTTAAAATTATCCCAAACTCAGCCCAAAAGTATTTCTTCCAAAACACCAATTTATGAATTTAGCCTTTGTATTCCTTTACAAATGAAAGCTTAAACATGAAGTATAATTCCAATAAATTAAAAGTATGCACATCAATCATTGAGAAAATGATAGAAAATACTCAATAGGAAGAGCGCCATCTAAAGTTATTTCTAGCTCCACCATCATGTGGTCAATTCAATTCCTATAAAAAGAGAGTTTGTCCTTTCCAAAGTCATCACTTCGTAAAACCATCAAAAAAAAAAAAAATAAAAAAACGCTCATCATGCAACTCATCAATGCTCTCCTTCTTTCTTTGGCATCTGCCTCCCTTAAGGGTATCCTGATCAACAAGACTACCAACCATTTGATTGACCATAACACCAATCGAAATCGTGCCAGTGAAGTACCATCCGTTCAGGCGCAGATCTGTCAATTTTGGCTGGATCAAGCGACTTCCGCCGAGGCAAAACTCGCTGCTTATGAAAAATGCTCAACTCTTACCGGACGAAATCGACCATCTAGCCGACCAAAACCGGCTGTCCGAAGAAACAACTACCGCCGTCGAATGCCCCAGTAGCCTAACTGTAAACAACTCCTTTCTTCCCTTGTTTTTGATTTCTCTTCCTTGATTGCAAGATAAAATAATAAAATCCAGCAGAAAAGAAAACCGTGTTTTACTAAAGAAGTATCGTTTGGCAAGATTTATTAATCCAGTGATAAGTTTTCTACGAAGGCCGAAAAATTTATCGCTAGCAGTAAAAGTAGGACTCTTCATCGTCTCTCAGGAGATAAGTAGTTTTATCACTTGAATTAAACGCGAATTAGCCCACGAAACTAGAAGAGATATTTGTACGGGCATTTTAAATAAATTACAGTCTGTGAAACTTTACAGGTAAATTTTACACAATCTTAGTTAGCTTTAAAAGAGTTGTAAGAGCTCTGAAAGAAATCTCATAACGGAGTAATTAACTCGCAACACTACAGGATAATGAACTACGTCTCTGATCCCGAACTACTGCCTTCCGAGGCAGATGCGCCGCTGAATCTGTGCTCGACTTTGGAGGGGGAATCCCTGTCCCAAGCTGTGGAACCGGTTTGGGCTGGTTCTGTCAATAATATACTCTAGCAGCGTCCAACTTCTTAGTACACATTTTATTCCAATTATCAAAAGCAAGCAACACTGTGTCTTACACAACATAATTTGATTAATTAATTCAAATAAGAATAGATGCAGATCTCAAAATGAGCCATAAATTACGGCCAAAAAAGGCCTCAATTCTTGTTTTATCGTAGATTGAAAAGTTATGTCACATTGTGTAACCTAATCCTCAGTGCTAGTAACGGGCTGTTCCAGGCAGTGCATTTATTCGACCTTTTTCATTTTTTTCGTGAGCAGTGAACTTTTCAAATGGTTTTCGCAAAGGCAGCTTCGTTTTTTATCCTTCTCAAGTATTGCTCCGCCTGTTCTGCGTCCAGTAACGATATTCCAAGCTGGGCACTTCTGGGAAAAGGCTGAGCCATTTGACGTAGAAACTTCTTTGACAGGGCAATTGAGTCTTCAATTGACAAGCTCAACGAGCCCTAAAACATGCGGTGATTCGGGATTTATAGTCAATGAATCATATCTATAAATTATAGAAAATTCGAGTTGCAAATTGCACAAATTGTTATCCTCCATCCTTTAGTCGACCGTGTTCGTTTTCTCGTTACATTTTCGAAAAGAACATTATACCGGTATGTTGACATGCACGTGGAAAATGTGAATCCGAAATTGAGCCTTACTGACCTGTGACAACGAGTCCGTGAGCCACTTCGGCAGTTTTGTATATTTTCCAGGGGTTCCAAATCGTACATCAGCAAGCAACATGATTCCATAGTCCGATTTTGCTCTAATCGCTCTCCCAAGACACTAATAAAATCATTAAATTAATTAGTGTCTTTGATGCCTGATATCAGTGTGAAAAGTATGATACCTGAGCAGTCTGTCTCATAGCATCAAAGACGAGAAACTCCTGCTCCCTCACTTGAATCTTTGTCCTCAGAAAATCCAGCCTTGCTCTCAGAATTCGCGACTGAGTGAAAATGAACGGGATTCCGAGTACAAGGACGGCTCTTCCGTAATGTCCAGAGAAATCGATTCCTTCTGATACTTTTCCTCGGGCCACGGAAAGAAGAACTGCTCCTCTTCCTTCGTCACATGCTTCGCGATATCTACCTGAAATAAATTTATCGAGGGGTTTCTCTGGTCCCCTTACTCAAGGCCTGCGAAGTTTCTGTTATATCAGAGCTTTCGCAAAATATGATTTTATTCTTCTGTATTCCTTCAATGATTCCAGTCTCGTTCCACATCGATACAACATTTTCAAGGTAGCTGTAAGAAGTGAAGAAAACAACGACTCCATCTGGTACAACGCCGCAGATTTCAACCAGTAGATTTCCGTAATTTCGAAGCACACTGGGATCCTCTCTTTCGTCAAATTTGGAGCTCAAAGAAACTAAAAATAAGAGACAAATCCCCCCTTGAATTTTACCTTGATCATTTCCTCTTGCAACAATCATCGGGCAAATCGCCCCTCGTGCCATTGAAAGCGACAAAGAAGTCATCACAACCGGTTGAAAGTCCAACAGCCTCGGGTACATCTCGATAGGACTCAAAGTTCCACTGGTGATGAGGACGGACTGGTATTTTCGGAAGATAGGGCGCATGACAAGAGAAGCATCGAGGCAAGCAAGCTGTATTCGAGGATCTGGAATGCCTCGTTCGTCGATCGCTAGAAGGAAATTGGAAACCTTCGAAGAGCTGTTGAAATATTACCTTCGAATAGAATCGCGAATCCTTCCGTATAAGTCGCCGCCAACGCAGCCATGTTGATAATATCATTGACCTCTTTCAACCCAGTCAAATCCACCATCTCCAGCGTTATGATCAAATTCTGCAGTCGCTCTCCCGCAATTCTCAATGATCTTCTATCGATGCAAACTCGTTCTTCAATATCTCGCAGGAAACTCAAAGGACTTTCCTGAATCGCTTGCTGAATTCGCAGCCGATGGCCGCAGTACTCTAATAATCGCTTGACCCATTTGCAAAATATCGGCGCTTTTCTGATGCTGCCAGGAATCGCCGTCGTCAAAACATCTTCAGGAAGCACTGGCGGTCCGCCAAGGCCCGAATCTTCATTTTGCCTCGCTTCTCGAAGTCCTCTCACAAGTCGGTCGTACTCATCTTCGAGCTCTTCTTTCTTGGACATTGAAAATTCATCGACTCTGGCGGTCAGTTTTTCGAGTCCATCAGCAGCTCGTTCGATTGTTCGCTTGGTAATTTTTACGCTCAAGGATTTGATACACACTTTTTCAGGAGAATAAAAATTAGACTAATACAGCATTGGAAAGTTGTATTCAGAAAGGAATCTGTTATCGAAGGGTTACTCAAACTATCTGCAAAGACAATTACGAGTTTCGATCGGATAAAGATCGACTAAAGATGGTTTAATTGGGAACTTCCTCAGTTTTCTTCTATGTTGATTGAGTATTTTCGAATTCAGAATAATCATCTTCGTATTCTCCTTTCCTGAGTCAATATTGTGCGCCTCATCAAAAACCACGATTGAGTTTCTCGGCAAGCTCTTTGAAACAACAGAAGAAATCTTCGGATCCAAAAGGTAGTTGTAAGAGTAGATGACGATATCAGCAAGGTTGATCGCTTCCCGCGCCATGAAATAGGGACACAGTGTTTCTTCCTGAAATTTGTTGATAGACCCTTTTTCGGAAACTTTTATTGACACTTAGAGGCCTCAATTTACCTTTCCGAATTCCTTGATATCCTCTAAATTATAAATCCCTCTCGGCAGTTTCGCGCTCAGAGTCGAATTCTCCAAGTTTTCAAAATAGCTACAAGAAGGATTTTCCCCGCCAGGACTCATTTTCGCATTCCTCCTTGCAAAAGTGGCTGTTCTTCTTCGACACTCTGTGTCCACTTCAATTCTACCACCGCAGCTCATTACTTCTGGGTTGACGCAAAGATTCTGTCTTGAACTCAAGGACATGGAAAGAAGGTCCAAGTGCTGACCATTGTCGGCATAGTACTGGACAAGATCGCGCAGTTCCTCCACCACTTTTGTCAGCTCAGGCACAGTTCGAGTGCAGTAGATGATTTTCTCCAGCGAAGCAGGGTGTGCCTTTTTGTAAGCGATCAGGAAACTCAGTATAGTTACTGTCTTCCCGGTTCCACAGGGCATTTCGATCAGCGCATGACCTGAAAATAGACGTTCCAATTTAAACTCCAAATTATATTAAATTGGTTTGTTATATTATATTGTATAAGAAATTGATCGAAAAGATCTTAAAGTTCGATCCATAATTTATTATAATTTGAAGTTATTTGCAAAAATAAGTAATAATGAAGCTTGTGTAAGGGCTGGTAAATTAGACAATTATAGACAATTATAGTATAATTAGTATTATACTCTCCTTGATAGGAGTTCTGATGCCTCAGATATTTTGAAATTTGAAAATAGGCTATTTAAATAGCACTTGAGTACATTTGAATTAAAGACGATCATTCAAAATGATTGACGAGTCTTATATTATATAATAAGTTATAATATAACTTATATTATATAAGTTATATGATATAATGTTACAAAAATATTACATAAAATTCGTCGGTTAAGGACCCCCCCGTCAACAATTTTCGAAAAATCTTTTTTCGGAATTTTAAAATTTTGACCCCGGAAATGGATTCTACGGGTCAAAAAACGATTTTGAGGCTTTTTTGGGGGTCTATCTCGACTCTAACACCCTTAAAATCGCCTTTGAAAAATGGACTTTTTGACGAAAAATGACTAAAAAGTCCCAATTTTGGATTTTTATTGGTCGAAAAGTGCTCCGAACAAGTTTTTATGATAAATTTAACTTTCAGGCACACTCAGAAGCCAAAATATGGCTGTTTTGCGATTTTCGATTTTTTGAGGAAACTTGTTGACGGGGGGGAACCTGTAATTTAACGTTTATTATTAAATGCGGCATTAAAAACGTTAAATTGGTGACACCAAATTGGTCTTATTCATGACTTAATCATGAATTATTGTATTAAAAAGAACGCACCTCTGTTTTCAATTGAGTACTTGAGCTCTCGCATGTACGCCAATTGTTCTGGATAAACATAATCGAATGGAAATAAAACTGGAATTCCCTCAATGTCCAAATGCATCCTCTTCTATTTCTGTCTTCTCCAAGCTTGAATCCTTCTCCTCCTCTCAGCCTCTCTTCGAAAAAAACGTTTGAAAAGATAAAACTGGAGTTTTCAAGTTTATGAATTCTGAATTCTTCAGAAGCGAAAAACAGCAGCGCCATTGGCCAAGACTAGGCGCGCTTTCCAAATCGATGAGTAAGAAAGTCACTTTCAGAAATTCATTGAATGAATGACATTCAGATCTAATATTCAGGTGGAATGTACAGTAACATAGTAAGGGGCTCTGAACGATTTTCTGTAAATAAGCAATACTCCATTTTCCCAAGCACTGAAACCATCAGTGCCGACGACGAGTTAGACCTGGGCTCCGATTCTGGCTGAGCGACATCTGAGCGAGAGCGAGCGACGAGCGAGCGATCGCTCACACTCCGCTTTTTCGCTCGAGCGTCGCTCAATTGTCGCTCAGAAATTATTCGTCGATGATTTGGAGTCTTCCGACTGGCTAATCGATCATATCATTGTTCATGAAATTTCATTAAACAATTTTGATCAGCGAAAACATGAGCGACATCTCACGCTCCGCTTTTTCGCTCGAGCGCCGCTCAAATGTCGCTCAGGTCTCGCTTAAATGTCGCTCGCTCAGTCGCTCCGCTCGCTCAGCCGATTTTTCTCAGTGACATCCTTGAGATATTGAAAATGAAGAAAAGAGGGCCGCAGATGTTGGGAATTAGCGAGCAGTTATCTAAAAGGCAATAAATCCCAGCGCGGACAATAATCAGCGCGAGTGTTTTAAAAATCTAAAATCGCCGAAACAATGCTTTACGGAAAAAAAGTAAAAACTAAGTTTTTACGAGCACGCGCGCGGGGCACAGGGGCAAAACACAGGACATCTCCTCCGTTAATCACTCCCTCGGTGGAAAAAAAATGGGACTTTTAACCCTCTATTTTGACATAACGGAAGAACTGTACGATGATCTCAATGCAGAGAATATTGGCGTGACGCTGGGAAAGGAGAGATTTGAGAATTGCAAATTTGGATACCGCGATTTTATTTTGTCGACAAGTGTTGATCTCAAAAATGAAGATTTTAACACGATTAAAATTGACAGAGAAAATGCAGTTGAAAGAAGATCCCAAATTGAAGTCGCTGCCATTTTTGTTGCAAAGGAAAAAGTTTAGATCTAAATTGACGGGCCTTCTGGTTTGTGAAATAGCTTTAAAATCGATAATTATTAATGAAAAACTTTGAAAAGAAAAACCAGCACTGGCGAAAATTCGTGCCAAAGGAAGAAAACGGCGTCCCCTTTTATTCCGAAGTGCATACTTACGAGCTCGAATTCGTCACTGCTTCGTCTCAAAACCCTTCTCGTGCAAAAGCTCTAGCCATGGCGCTGTACAACTCGTCCGGAGAACCCTCCAATCTTATCCATCTTGGCCGAGACGTCGAGCTCAGGGATGTACATTTTCTAAAATTTTCAACTGCGGTGCGGTGCGAACTGCGATTTTTTTTTGACGATTTTCTGCGGTGCGAACTGCGAGATTAAAAATTTTCTCTTCGCAGTGCGGCGCAGACTGCGATTTTCTGCGATCTTCGGAAAAAATTGAAAAATGCGGTAAATTCTGCGATTTTCTGCGAAACTGCGGAAAATAAGCTGAAACTGCGCTTAATTCTGCGATTTTTTGTGAAAAAATGCGAAATTTTCTGCGAAATGCGATCCGAGTGAAAAGAGTGGTCATTATTATGACGGGCAGAGTTGCATTTTTGAAAATTTTTTCTAAGATGAATTTAAAAAACTTTTTGCAGGCAAAATTCTAACTTTGCCTGTTTTCATACCTAGCAGAAAGCCCGTAAAATTTCGAGTCGCCTGGACTAGATTTGGGCCAAAACCGTCAGACGATGACGTCATAAATGACGTATAAAGTTGGCAAAAATGGCGATTTTGGCCAAACTTTGAGTCAGTTTTTAGGGGCTTTTTTAAAGAAATTTTTCGGTGTTTTATAGCTCAAATTGATCCTTGTGAAAAACTGAACTAAGGTTTTCAAGATTTTTTTATTTGGTTGAAAATTTTTTTTCGGGAAATTCTAGAGCCCAGTTTTCAAAAATTTTTAAAAACCCTTAAAAACCTTAGTTCAGTTTTAAATAAGCTTTCATTTGAGCTAGAGAACACTCCTTAATTCCATCGGGAAGGCAATTAAAATTTGACTCAAAGTTTCGCCTATTTGGGACCTTCTGACGTCATTTGTGACGTCATTCTCTAGAAAATTTCAAAAACGATTTGGTCAAATCGACTCAAAATTTAAAGCTAAGCAAGAGGGCCGTCTCAGCCCCGTTCCATGATTTTTAAGTTTAAGGGGCTTGACGGCCCTTCGGGCCGTCTCAGCCCCGTTTCATGATTTTTAAGTTTAAGGGGCTTGACGGCCCTTCGGGTCGTCTCAGCCCCGTTCCATGATTTTTAAGTTTAAGGGGCTTGACAAAGGCTTTGAACTATGAGTTGATCAATCTCAGTTCTGTCCCCGACCCCTCCCTCACCCATTATTTAAAAAATTAAAATTATCACTGTTTTTAGCTCAATTATGGTTTTGATTTAAAGTTTGATCAAGTTGGGCGAACGGCCACTTGGACAAACGGAGACCATTCTTACGACGCCCTATTTTTCGTATATTTCCAGTAACACACAAGAGAAAAACTTGAAAAAATTGCTGGAAAATGACCGCAGAATCCGCAGTCTGCGAACTGCGAGATTAATCAAAAACTGCGGAAAATGACTGTGGAAAAATCGCAGTTTTCGAAAATTCTGCGAAAACTGCGGACTGCGGTGCGATGTGCATACGTGTGCTATGACTGCGCTGCGAAGTGCGAATTTCCGCAGTTCGCAGGTCGCACTGCGAAGGTTTCTGCGATTTCCCCACTGCGAATGTACATCCCTGGTCGAGCTCATTTCTTCCCGGCAACAAGAGCAGCGCTATCTTGTCGAAGTTTCGAAACCAAATGAAATTGAGTACTTGAAGTTATTCGTCGATGATTTGGAGTCTTCCGACTGGCTACTCGATCATATCATTGTTCATAAAATTTCTTTGAATAACTTTGATCAGCGAAAAACCTACCACAAAACTTTCCAATACCAGCCTAGGTAGCACTCCTTCTTATTCTCTTTTCAACCCTTTTCAGATATGTGAGGAGCAAAAAAGGACAACAGGTAATCACAATCTACGAAGATGTCATTTCTTCCACCTCCTCGTCAAAAAGCACCACTCCCGATTTCGACCGCTTGCCACCAAATGTCGACTCGAAAAAGAAGAAAAAGACGAACCAGCCGATTCGACATGATAGTTTCAACAGCTTCTCTACTCTCAATACAGAAAGAGACTACACCTTCGTCGACCTTGCTAAAATTCGCTCTGGAAAGGTCCAGGAGTATCCAATTTCTACTGACGATGTTTCGATTATTCATCTCGATCCAGATTACGTTTCTGAAGCTGGCGATCCTCCTTCGTGTACGACTTCTGTTTGCTCTGAGCCTCAAGTTCTCCCTCTAAGAAGTCCGGAAAGAAATGTCAAGACAAACTTTTCTACTGTCGTTCTTCCGACTAATTTTGGCAGAAGTGGCTGCCAAGTTGCCTATCAACTGACTCTCAGAACTGGAAACAACAACAAGGAAGTCTACCTCAACCGACTCTATTTCCGAGTCCTCGGCGAGGAAGGCTGCACCAGACGAATTCTCATCCCCTTGTCGACTTCAACCTGTTTTGGTAAAAATTCCACCGCGAACTTGAGCTTCCACGGCAAAGATGTCGGCAATATCACCGGCTGCGAGCTCTGGACAAGAACAAAAGATCCCTATTCCAAGCTAGACTTTGAGCTCCTACGGGTTCAGCGACAATCGAATGCTGCGAACAGATTTGAGGTCAGAAATGCGAGCTACAGTAGGGACAGACTGCATCGAGGAGTGATGGAAGGAGAGTATGATCACTCAGATATGAGGTCAGAATATTCCTTGGCTTGGAGCGGCGCGAATATCCAGCGATCAGGAACAAGGTAGACCTGTCAAATTTTGATTCAATTTTGACCAAATTCAGATGGCGACAAGTGCCCTCCTTTTCCTCTTCATCTGAGTCAGAAGCTCCAAAGATTTCTACAATTGCCGAGAGCATCTCTTCCGAATCAACAGTGTCCTTCAACTTCCAAGAAAACAACGTCGTCAAAGCAGCACCAATAGTTCCCAAACCGAAGAGTGAAACTCCCACCATCGTCGAATCTGAAACATCGTTTTCTGATCAGGGCACCAAACCGGCAATCAGTTTTCATCAAGAGAGCTCGAAAGCGACCAAGTTTAATTGGAGAGGATTGAAGGTCGAAAGGAAAGTTTTCTTGAATACAGAAAAGGGATTCTTCTTTGAAAATTTAAAAACTCTGAAAGACAAAGGCGAGATGGCTTTGATAAGATCCCCATCCTAATTATCGTCCAAAACTACAAGGAAATCAAGCAAAACATCGAGCTTTACATGGTCGATTATCAGCAAAATAAATCGAAGACCTACCAAGGCAAGTTTCATCTCCTCTTTCAACCTATCTTCCCTTCTAGTGCCTGTATCAAAAAGCGCTTGCTACAGACTCAAGGCTCAAGAAAAACGCTTCGATCGAGTGAAACTGGCCTGCTGCCAGCCTCAAATGGCCGAGTACATTCCATGCATGCAGATTGATGATCAGCTGTTTATTCGACGCTTCAAATCAAATGTTAGTCTCAAAAGTATATTCAATTTCGAACGATTCGATTTCTAGAGCTCGCTTTCGATGCCAGCTCTTTACTCCCCGGGAACGATTTACAGAGTCCAAGCTGCAAATACTGACTCAATGAATAAAATTTCAAAAGATGGGGCGCTAGAAACTGATCATGGAGCGCTCAAATACTGGAAGAATGATCCTGTCTCTCGAAGAGTACGAAAATAACTTCATTCTCTATTTTACTTCCCCTTTTAGGCGTATTTTTTCGGACCGGCGGAGCTGCAAGAAAAGGACAAAATTTATTTGAAATCGGAATTTGATGATGTTATCAGCATGCGATCGTACAGAACATGCAGCAATGTCGATTCTAGTGGCAAAATGCAGTGGAGCGAAGACCACGAAATCATGCGAGTGGCGGGAACAAATGACACTTATCAGCGAAAAATCATGGCGCGGTACAAGATTGCTATCGCTTTCAATGATAGCGATCCAAACAGGTAAAAATCGACTTCGTCATTTTCTTCAATAAAATCAAAAGAAAAGCGCTGCTGAAATTCACCGGGACCAACTACGCCTTCAAATACGATCTGTCCAAGCATCACAAGGAAAATTGCCTCATCGAAATGGAGCATTTCAACATCGGCTTCATCCACAAGGTCGACATTCAAACTTTCAGCGGGGGAGTTCGAGAAGAAAAACCAGCAAATCTGATTGATTACGTGTTTATCCAGTGCAATGATCAGCCGGGGCAGTTTTTGACCTGCCCGTCTGATAACTTTGAGACGCTCATGCCTGGGTACTTGTTCAAAGTCGACTTGGAGGCGGAAAAGGATTACAAAGGAAAGATGCTGAATCTTCGACTCGTCGGGCAAGATGGAACAGACAGGTTTTCCCGACCCCTTTTTTTCTCCTAGCGACCTTTTCTTCAGATTCTTTTCTTATCCTGGCGATGCATTTTCGAAAGGAGAAACGAACCTCATCTTCGGCGGCCCGTCGCAGTTCCGAGAACTGATTCTAACAGGAGAACAAGGGCAAAAGTTCCCGGAATGCTTCGAAGAAATAACCATCAGCCAAGCAAAAACCATCACATACGAGTCCGATGAGGGACATGAGCCGGATTACAAAGTCGTTGAAGTCTTCAATGACCTCTTCAACATGAAAAAAGGATATGCTGATAAAACGAAGACCTTTTTGAACCTTTCTGGCATTCAAGTTTGATTCGAAAATAAATTTTTAACACATTTCTTACTCTTTTATTCAAGTGTCTTCTATTTCCTCAAAAACAAAAAAATCTGATCGATTTTTTGGCCATTTGTGAAAGTCTTCCATCAGCGCTGGTCTTCCAGCGCGCTCGCAATCGTGGGAAAATCCCCAGCCGCTCGAGAACGGAGAAAAATCTAGCGAGAATCGAAAAATATAAAATTGGTGTTTTTCATTTTCATTTTTTTGCTAGAGAAAGAGATAAAAGAATAAGAAGAGATGAAGATTAATAGACTTCAGGAGGAAGGGTAGAAATTAACGAAGAGAGACCCTTAGACATTTTTTACGATTCGTTCTTTTTTTTTACTTAGGAATTGGGAATAGACGGTTCAACATTCAGATTGACGCGGAGACAATAGGTCAAAGGGCTCAGCTTTTGCGACAGTCGAGTAGTTAGTCACTTTTCGCAGAATCTGTAATTCGCGTTTTCCGAGAAGCCGATTCTGCGCGGCGGCACGTGATCAGACTGAGAAATCATTCAGCTGGAAAAAGTGGAACGTACCAAACGACCCGGCAGAGCTCGATTCAAAACCTCAATAAGAGAAAATATTCGCAGAATTACGAAATGAGCTTCTTGAAGATCTGCCCTTGCAAATTCTGTATTTGTATTTGAAATACAGTAGTTTGAATAGCTAACAGAATGTTGCTGGCAAAATACAGTTTTTAACGGAACTATTGATTTTCTTACACAGCGATCGCCCTTATTCTTCTGTAAGGGTATCTGAAATAGTCTTAAAATCGTGGTGGATACCCTTAAATTACAGTTCATGATGAAAGTGGCTCTCATCTTAGAAAAATCAATGTCAGGCCATTTACTGTATTAAGGGTGTCCACGACGACTAAACAGCTCTTCCAGATACCCTTATTAGAAGAACAAGATTGCTCTAAGGGTATCAACGGTCCTAAAATCGCTGCTGAAAGTTCATATTACTTTCAAAACAGAAGCTTTTTGCACCCAAAATAATTGTGGTCTGGCCACAGTCTCCACTTCAAAGAGCGAAAGTTCAAACAGAAAAATATCAAATTTAACTCGTGCCCGAGTGACTCATCCTCGGTGAGACTCTGTTACGGAGGATTAGTATTTTTTTGTAGTACTCGTTGCGCGTAAATCGTAAAAGTGAATATTAGCGAGCCGTATTCCAATTGGCCGAACTTGACAAAGATCCAACTTTCGCGCTTTCCGCGAAAAAATGTCAAACCAGAAAACTCCTGTTTGAATGAAAAACAAGCAGTTATATTTTTTATTTGACAAAAGAGAAAGAGTTTCAGTGAAAACATCGAAAAAAGGAGAGAGGCGATTTTCTGGCAGTTAGACTTTCTGGCAGTTAGACTTTCTGGCAAAGGCGATTTTCTGGCACTGCCAGAAAATATAATATGCCAGAAAATCTAATTTCCAGAAAATCGCCTCTTTTGATTTTGAATCTACAGTTAGTGATCCTGGAAGGTAAAAAGTACGACAGTACCACCAATTTTTTCTTACATGTTTTATAAAAATTCATTGACAAAAGCCATTTTTGACCCATTTATTCAAGATAATTGGCTGTAGCAAACATAAATCAGCTTCTTCCGGGAATTTTTGTGTTAACCCGTTAACAGGGTGGTCGATTTTGCCTACGCTTTTGCCTGTCTGTGATTGAGTGAAATCATGGATCCGGGCATATGATTGGCTACTCATTTCCACGCGTGGCCGTGAGACAGCACCCACTGAGATAATGGCGCACGCTCATGCTTTTTAAAACTGAACTTTTTATAAAACTCTCCTGAAAATTCTTTCTCAGAAGGTGGTGGAATCGCTGTCATTTTCAATATTTTTCTATACGATTTTTCTTCCTTTTTCTTCTCCATTTTCTCAAAAAAATCAAAATCTAACTTTTCAGCTGCCTGTGAACCCGTTTGTCACTCCGAAAACAGCTAGAACGAACTGCGGATGCTACCCTCATTCTATTTTTAGCGCAGAAATTTCAATTCCCAATTCGTAGTCTTTTTTAGCGCCCTGAATAGTCGGCTTTTAGATCAAACGCTCGCGTCGAAAGGTGCAAACTCCTGCTGAAACTGCTCCGAAATGAAATTTGTGTGATAATCACCAGTTTTTCGAATTTATATAATGATTATTATTAAGAGTTTCTTGCAGAATTTCAAATAATATCCATCCTATAAAGGCGATTTCACCACCTAAGGAAGAATTTTCTGGAGAGCTTTATAACAAGTTCAGTTTCAAAAAGCATTAGCGTGCGCCATTATCTCAGTGGGTGCCCACTGTGACCAAGTACTCGAAATCAGATGCAAATAACACCTGGTGTTTAACACAAAAATTCCCGGAAGAAGCTGATTTATGTTTGCTACAGCCAATAATCTTGAATAAATGGGTCAAAAGTGGCTTTTGTCAATGAATTTTAAAAAAAACGTGTAAGAAAAAATTGGTGGTACTGTCGAAAACCCTCTCCGTTTTTTTACCTTCCAGGATCATTAACTGTAGATTCAAAATCAAAAGAGGCGATTTTCTGGCAGTTAGACTTTCTGGCAGTTAGACTTTCTGGCAAAGGCGATTTTCTGGAAGTTAGATTTTCTGGCAGTGCCAGAAAATCGCCTTTGCCAGAAAGTCTAACTGCCAGAAAATCTAACTGCCAGAAAATCGCCTCTCTCCGAAAAAAGAGGGTAAATACGAGTTGATTAATCATCTATTTCTCAGTATCAACATTAACAATCTCGATTTTTCTCCAACAGTAGTCATTATGATACAACAAAACCCTTTTACCCTCTTACCCCTAACCCTAACCCCTTTAATCATCTAAATAAGTCTTCAGAATAAGGGTGTCTCTATGTTAAATTTTGAGGAAAAGTCGATTATGATAGAAGGTGATTTTCAAGTTGAATTTTCAGCTAGAAGTAATAGGGTGATACCCTTATTTTTATTAAGGGTGTAGCGCGTTCTATCTAAAGCCCTAAATTAGGTCTACCTCCTTAGAAAAAGGTCATTTATTTCAATGCATAGCTTACATAAGACTTTTTTTTCAGAGTTTTCCAGGGAAAAAGTAAAACATAAACAGCTGCTGATTTTGAATAGACCGCGAATTGCGTTTTCTATTTTCCATTTTCGCGAATTTTTAGAGATTTCGCGGTTCTTCTAAAACTGCTTATTACGTAAGCATCTGAAAAACCGGCTCCGGGAATATTTCTTTCTTTTATTTTTATATATTCAAGTTCGTTTCAAATTTCCCTTTGAAAAATGAGAAAATTGGAAGCTTCCGGAAGCCAACAGTTTTCAACCTTTTTCTAACAATTCTAGAGGACCCCTTTTTCGACCTCGAGAGTCACATGAGTTGTCCCAACCCTAAAATGTAAATTCATCGAAAAGAAATCGCCTGACTCATGAATTTATTAACTACGGGATTAGCTCTCTCCTTTTTTTTTGACGAAAAATGAAGAGAAAAGGGAGAAAGATGTCGCCTTTCCTTTTTTAATTTTCACAGAAATTAAAAGAGAGAATTCTTTGAACTGAAAATTTTGCTTTCAAGTTTAAACTTATGCGCTTTCATTAGAACTAGTAAGTAGTATCTGGCCCCTGTACTTTCGTATCTGGCAGTGGTGGTAAATAATTGATCTCCGAAAAGAAAAAAAAAATAAGTCGAGATCCAGTTCGATCCAGGCGCTCTTTTTTGCCTCGTGAGCAAGATAATTGCCTTTACGAGCTCAGACACGAGAAGAATTAAAAATCTTTCTGTTTGAGCTTTTCAAAATTTTCCGAAGAAAATATTCTTTTATGAAGAAACAAGGAAAATCGGGCAAAATAAGCTAGATTTTATGCGCTAAAAATAGGTCAGGATTAACAATATAGGACTAAATGGTAGGAATAATCACTAAATATGATAATTAAAATGTAAAAAATCGGCGAACAAAAATTGTTGAAAAAGTCGTAAATAATAGATCCAGAATTGCGAGTTGTGAGTTGAATCGATGGTTGAGAAGATAGGGCGCTCCCTCAAATATAAATATTCAAGTTATCCGGAGAAAAAGAACAAACCAAAAAATGCTTCTTTTCCCCATTTTTTCCCAAAATTTTTTTTCCCTAAAATCTAAAATTTCTTTGATTTTCTGCGGTAATATGTAAAATAGGCTATTTTCAGGAATCAAAAATTTATCTCTTTTTTCTTAAATTTTTTTCTTTTATAAATCATATATAATCTTGAGGAGGATTGAGCCTTAGCTTTTAGAGAATCCGACAAAACCCAAAAAAGGTGAAAAAGCCAGGAGTTGGGTGACAAAATCAAGGAAGAATTTGGGATGAGAAAAATCGATCGCCGAGAAAAAGAGAAAGAAATCGCCTTTTTTCATACTGGATAATAAGAGGAAAGAAAGAAGACTTCGATTTTTTAAAATTTAAATTCGCCGGAATTCGCGAAAAATACAACAATAGCCTCGCTTTTTGACAAATTGTTTCCAAAATGTTGATTTATTTTATGAGCCCATTAAAAATCGGCCGATTCTGATTTCCTTTTTTTATTTTCATTTTCTTCGAGTTGAGATATTTATTAATTTATCATCACAGGAAAAGAAATTTATTTTCTTTCAAAATGTTTAATTAAAAAGTGTTATTTTTTGAAGAGAAAAAACTACCATTGGAATAATCTTCTGATTAAAAATTTTGGAGCAAACATTAGCCGCATTTTGCGCGGCTTAAAGATACTCAAAGCCGCAAGCGGCTTCTCGCCATAAATTTTAGAAAAAAAATGCAAAACCAGTACTTCTTAATATTGTTATCAGAGGTGGGAATTTATATTTGAGCAGTGCGGTGAGCGTGCTCTAGATTTGGCGATTTTTTGGTGTTTTGGTGGCGCAAAAGAGCTGCTTGGAAAAGGGAGCAGTGGCGGTGGTGCTCTGTGTCCAACCTGACTGGTTCTGGATTGATTGGGCGGGCGGGGAAGGACCAATGAGCGGCGCGTACCGACTCCGCCAAGGTGGTTCGGTCCAAGAGACACCCTCCGCCACCAGAATCCATTATCCTTATAGTTCAGAATACAACATTTCAGCTTTTAAAAAGAACCAGCTCTTGTTACTCAAACTCAATAGAGATCAGAGCAGCTGAAACGCCCACGCACATGTTCCCTACCGGTCGTTCCTGGTCATTTTATTAAAAAAGAATAACTTATTCTTAAGTCTTTTAATCAAAATAATAAGGGGAGTTCAACGTTAATAAGAATAACGACGTAAAATCGATGTTCGAATTCAGATTTCTTCCTTGATTTTTAGGAGCAAATTGTTCAAAATAATTACGCCTTAAAATGTTTTACAATAAACAAATTTCACTTCAACTCATCAAGGGCCTCCCTTGTTAGAGGTGTCCTTGGGTTCTGAGAAGAGATTTTCATCTACAAAATAAAATCCTTGAAAATGGCGTTTTCGAAAGACAAATACGACCTCCGTCTGAACTGGTTCATCTTGCCCCGCCGCGGGAAAATTATTTAACTAAACCACAAGTCAAAATTTGCCAAATTTTCCATCCTCAAGTCGTTATATTTTCACAAAGAGAAAATGTCTTCATTCAAAAATCTTTCTAAATTTGAAAAATCAGAAAAAAAAAGAAGCCATTTTTTAATTATAAAAACGTATTTTTGTAATGAAAAAACACCCATTTTTTATTACGAAAACAGATCAGACAGAGCGAAAAAATACTCCTGGAAAAGAAGACTTGTAAAAAAAAGAAGTGTGCTGGTATTTATCAGCTTGTCTAAACATTATCCGCGCTTATTTTGATTACCCACGCCAGCCCAACTTTTTAAACCAAAGAGACACTTTTTTTTCGAAGATTTTGATCTTTCAACCAGCCTTAGATTGTGGCCCAAAGGCCTTTCAATTGATTTTTCCTAGAATCTTAAGGGAGTCACTATAGAAACAGTCATTTTTACTTTTTATATTTCCAGATCAAACTTTTTCTTTTCCCTTTTGCATTTATTGTCCATTCAGCTCATATAAAAAACTTGAAAATCTAACGTTTCGTTTCATTTCAGATTGTCGTTTTCGGCCGTTCTGGGAGCCGTGAGTGCGTTGTTCTGGGATTCAATCCCCGCGCGCGGATGACTTCCAGACACCGTCCCCGCCAACGTCCCCAAGGCGTCCCAGCTGATGAAGAACCCCAAAGGAACCGCGCGAAATTAATTGATATTAATAGATATTTTGGCTAAGGATAAAAACTGAAAAAATAGACAAACAAAATTTGACTCTTTTTTGAAAATGGAGTCAGCGGTGGGATTATTTTTAATCTCCCCAGAACCTAACTCGCCAACGAAAGAAAAAAGAACTACGAACACGTGACACGAATATTACACGAATCGTAGGATAAGGATGGGAGAGCCTTAGGTTAGTGTTAGCTCTTAAAGGTATTGGAAAACTCCGAGAATTGCTATCTGATTGAGGCCCCTTAATATATCGTGTCTTGAGGGTATATAGGGCGATCTTAACAAACTGTAATCGCCCTATACTCCCTTAGGACATCGCATGGTGTTATGGGGACTCGCGAGATAAAAATTATTTGAGATTTGAAAGAGCTCTAAAAGTTTAACCTAGATTAAGGCTCCCTCATCATTATTCCCCGTAATTAGCAATTGATAGAATGACCAGTTAATTCTAGCAATTACTGGATGGGTGCGCCTTAATCTCGCCCCCAGGCGCGTGGCCGAAATGTGTATTTGTCTAGCGAATGTCGAAATTTAAACCAATCAAGTGTCGCGCGTCGCCTCGGGCGTGTGAGAAAGAAATAACGAAACGCGATAATCTTATATTAGTGTTTTCTAGAAGGACTTTTGAGTATTAAAAATACTTTTGTTTGTTTTTTAGTTATTTTTTTGAATGTGATGAGTGATGAGCGCGGGGAAAGGCGACTGCCGGATTTCCGAGTTGGGAAGTTTGATTCTTCCTCTGAACCGAATGAAATTCACGATCTTCTTCTCGACAGCGTCGGCGACTGGGATTCCTTCTCAAAGACTGTTCCCAGCATTCACAATCAAGAATTTCGTCCCAACTCCTCCTCTCTTCTAGGTACACTCCCTTCTCCAGTTGATAAGGGCCCCCTAATCAAAAGAGACCCCCCTAACGTGAGGCTAACAGATGTTTTTCAGGCGTTGTAAGAATGGACTCAGTCCCTTCCCACCGCTCTTCCGATAGAGCTTCTAACAGAAAACCTAACGACAGGAAATATAGGCAAAATCCAACAAGGAACGGACTCCGAAAAAAGCCACCATATTTCCGAATTCTATAAAAGGAAGATCTTGCTTTTTGAGTTCGACTGAAAGTTCATCAAGTTCACCACATTCTTCTTCGTCTGGAGTAGCCAGCTGTGCCAGTGTGGAGCAGCTCTTTCGCCAAATGAAATTACCGGATCTTTCTATGTCGCCGTTTCGCGAGCCGCGAAAACCGCCATCGCGAAGCATTACTCATCACCCCTCGAAACACGCCGCAGGCCAGGCCAGCCTAATAAAGGAACGGTGCCCAATTGAAAATTTCGACAATGACGAAAATTTTCAATTTTTCGCGAGCTAATCCAAAAATCTTTCATTCTTCAAAGAAATAGAGAATGAAGGAACGGTGAAAACTTTGAAAAACCCTTGATTTTTATTCATAAACTTTTGTTCTCTGAAAATCCTCTTCGATAAACGCCGTTTTCGTTAATTTACTGATAAAAGCTTATCAGCGCCTTCGTCCGGCTGAACGAGCTCACCGGCAAGTTTGACTTTAACATTTTCCACGAGGAATTCTATTTAGGTCAATTTATGGTTGTACCCAGCGGGACCTTCACTAGATTTTCTTGAGAGACCAAGTGCTTCCCTTGATCTAAGAGCTCCCTATTTACTGCTACGAAAATCGACGGGAAATCCTTCAAATTTGCAATTATGAAAAGACTGACTTGTTTGGGTTATTTACAAACAAGAATGTCCCCGCTAGATAATCATCTTTTTTCCGCCATTTTGGAATTGGCCCTTGGGCAAATTTCATCGGCTTTGATCCATGAAAAATCGTTGGGAAGAAATTAAGGATGGTGACTTTTTCAGTTCAACTGAGAAAAGCGCGGTATATTTTGGAAACTATTCTTTTCGAAATTCCTTTTTTACGATTGATTTAGCACCATGTGTAACGCTCTCTGCGCGCGGAGAAATGCGCTCCCCCTTTTTCCAAAATAGACAATTAGAGAAAATAACCAAAGGATTTTGCGATGCCGAAATTCTGGAACTTGAACTCCAGTTTCGAAATTGTGCACCTCGGAAAGAAGCCCAAGCCAGAGACGATCATTGCCTCGCCAGATGCGATGATCGCTGAGCCTGTGAGACCAAGAACGGACTCGAGAAACAACGACGGAAGATCCAAAAGGCCCCAGAAGATTGTAGTCCATCAAAAAGCTGAAGTCCGCCCAGTTCCCAAGGTACAACCCTTTTTTTCCTTCTAGACCTTTTTTCGTATCCTGTCCGTCATGGCATTGTTTCTTTCTAGATGAAATTAAAATTTTTTTTTTCATTTCAATAATTATTTGAAAACCACACCCTCTGTTGTCTGACTTATTTCTCAGAGATGTTTTTATTTGAAACAACGGTAAATTGGCTAAGTGACTACATCCTTATTTTCAAAGAAATGTTGCGAAACTCTGGGCAAATTGGTAGAACTTCTTGGTTCTTCTCCTTTTTTTATTCATGGAATTATCATTTTTGCTTCCTTAAAAACTTGTTTAGGAGACTCCTTCTTGGGTGAAAATCGGATACAAACGCCTCAGCACTCTAAAAAGCTCTGGTCGCAATGCATCGAACCCGCTTACGATGCCCGATTCCTTGAAGAGGAAGATCAAGAGCTACGCAAAAGCCGAGGGCGGAAAACGACCAAAGATTGAGAAGAAAGCAGCGAAGACAAAGCCTTCGACAAAATCGGTTGAATCGAAGATTGAACCAGAGACGCCGCCTAGACAGAATAGAGCACAAGTGGCGCAGCCCGCGGCCAAACCAGGCAACGGTTCAGCTTTTTAAGCTTGTTTTCTTTCTCCGGACAGAATGAACTTTTGACGAAAATGCCAAACGCGAAAAAAGTAAACGCGGCCAACTCAAAGGCAAATTTATTTACTCCGTTTTCGTCTTTCATGACTGCTTATTCATTTCTATAGAGGGTCGTTTCTATTGAAAAAACCTATCTAGACCAAATTTCGAACCGTCTTTCCAGAGCCCCCGAAAGCTCCGATTCCCGCTCCGAATGTCATCTGTCCAGCAGACTCTACATCTACGTCGAGTTCATCTCTTCTTCCTTCCAAAAATTACATCCAAGAAGCCGAAAGGATCAAGGAGCAGGCTATCGAGTACATGAACAATGGCGACGCCATTCTCGGCTACCTTGCTTTCACCGACGCAGCTGCTAAGTTCCTAATAGGCAGGGGTACACCCTTAACTTTGACATTTGCGCAATCGTTAATTGCAAAATTGCAATCGGAAGCGTCGCTGAAATGATCGGAAAATTCAAATTTTGGGGTAAAAGCATAATGGCCCGACCAACATCCGCAAGAGGGCGCGCGGAAAAGAGGTGGAAGAGCGGGAAAGAGGTTGAAGAGCGCTCTGAGCATGGCGCCGGAGGAGAGTGCGCAGAGGAGCGCAGAGGGAGAACCTCCATGAATTACTCAGCGGGTGGGCAAGGAAGGAAGGGAGCGGGAAGCCGCCTAATCCTAGCGTGAAGTGTGTCAATCTCTGTTCAAACACCGCCATCATTTCTGATTGCGTAGTACCCCCCGTAGTAGCCAAATTTCGCTAGACTGATTTTTCGCGCACATTTTTATGAAGCTATTTATAAACTAGAAAAACTTTTCTAGAGTGAAATTTTGCGCTGAATCTAAATAAAGAGTCAAAAACACTTACTTTTGATGATAACATTTATTTTCAAGATATTTTTGCACAGATAAAGTAGGGAAACAGTGAAAAATTAGTGGGAAATAACAGGAAAAGAAAAGGAGGAGAAAGTGCGATGTTTTTTGTAAGGCTTGGACGGATCTGGAGGAGAAAGAATGTCTCCAATCTTGAGTGCGATCTCAAGACAGTTCGACTTTACGAAGTCGAGGCCAAAGAGAGAGAGCTCGTAGTTGAATGCCTGGAGATTGACATGTTTTTCAACACATCGCTTTCCTCGGGCATTAAACTCGCCATTTCTGAGTGCAAGGCGATTATCTTCCTTGAACTCATAAATGACCTTGCAGGTCTTAGCAACAGTGTTTTTGCCCAGACCTGAAAGCTCGCCGATGGTGTGATGATAGCTCTCAATGGCATTATTGGTGAAAGTTGTCTCATATCTCGACAACTGACCATGAAGACTCCAGCCCGAAAAACTAGCTTTCTCAAGATAGTTTTTCACAAAATATTCTCGAAAGAATTTCTTGATTTTGGGCTGAAATCGCTTGGGGTATCCGGGAATTTTCTGAGCGTGGAATTGGTCAATCGCCTCTCTGACCAAATCCGGCTGCAGAAAAACCAAGCCTTTCAAAAAAATCATAAGCTGTGGCAGTTATAACTTTATAAGAGGTTTCTTTCATGATGTCCGGGTGCTCGTGGTTGATCGTGTAGTACGGCCTTAGCTTCGGGTTCTTCACTCCTTGCGTCACAAACTTGCAGTTGAGCATCTTCTTTGGATCAAGGACTTGAAGTTTAACTCTTCCTTTACATCTAGTGCCCTTGTTTCTTGAATGATTGCACTCGAGAATGCAGCCCTCGGAGTTCGCTTGCCTTATTCGCATCCGGAACCTTTGGTATTTTCCATCAATCTTCTCTCCGTACTGCAGATAGAAAGCGTAGCTTTCTGGTTTTGCTCCTGGGCCGATGTGAAAAATGATAGGTTTATCTTTGGTTCCCGCATCTTCAGGTATACGATCAACTTTGTCTTTTAATTCCGTAAAATCCATGTTCTGTGTGCGAAGAGCTTTCTTCTGATATATATACGTCCCATAGAAACAACGCCATCACTCTTACTCGCCTCTAGAATTGATACAAAAGTTGATACTAGCATGGGTAGAACAAAAATATCCCGTCCGCCCCCGCTGCGCTCACTCCCAGGTGTTACGCTCGCTTAGCGTATTTAGGGTTTATCGCCAACTCATCAGTTCTCCCTGGACTCGCCAAGTTCGGAGGATTCAGAGTCCTCCGCGCACCTGTCGCCCTCATGCGGGAGTAGGTCGGGCCATTGTGCTCGACATCCCAAATTTTGACGTTTCGAATTGCCAATTTGTGGTAGACCCCGCTTTCTAGCGCTACACATTCTCTTCGACGAATATGAAGAGCACAAGAAACGAAATAAGGGTAGAACCGACGAAAAACACAGAAGCATTCTTCACTACACAAATGCGGCGCTAGAAATGTGCTACAAAATAAGAGATAACAAGTGAGTTTCTCTTTTCCAACTCATTACTCTAACCTGCATTTTCAGCGCTTTCACAAATCTTGGAGCGTCAAAATCTACCTTCGAGAAGCTGTCCGCTTTGGGCTACAAGTGCGAAGCCAGATTGAGCCTGCTCTACTACAAAATGAACCAGGGCCAACACGACTACATGCGCCTCCACAAGGATCTGACCGACGTCCTCCAACAAAAGGTACCCCCGTCGGTAGAATCAAACAAAAATTGATCATCCTCATCAGTCGGCACGGTTCACCCCAACAAGTCCGGTCCGCTCCGAATTGAGGGAGCACACTCTTTCGGAGAAAGAATTCCGAAGCTTGAAAACGTATCTATCTGGCAACCAGTGGCTCCTGAAGGCGCACGAAAAGTGGGACAGAGGAACAAATCTAGCAACAAAGGTAAACAACGCATCCCTTTTCCCACTGTTGGAAGAAAGAAGGCTTTGGTATTCATCGTTGATTTCAGAACCCAGGTTTCTTCGACGTAATAGGGCGCCTCACGGAGATCCGGCACCTGCACTTGATGTGCTCGCTTAAGGACCTCTCGACGTTTCAGAGCGCCGCTGTTAAGGAGCTCCGACACAGGGAGCTACATTTGGGAACAAGCGATGCCAGTCCGCTCAGCTGACCGCCCTCGACAATTTATTTATGAAAAAGGAAAGCGCTCCAAATTTCATTGAGAAATTAAGGATCTACACATCGATATATTATTGAACCAAGTTTTGAGCGTTATTTTAGCGACCTTTCGCTTAAGGGTGTCCACCGTGTTTGTATTTTCGCCCGTGACTACTTTTGGCTGCACTAGTTTCATTTTTATTCTCTTCCTTGATTTTCTTTTGCGAAGGGAAGGTCCCTTAGGGCGACACAATTCATTTCTATCCTCTTTCTTCAACAACACAAGAACAGTTAAGGGTCTCCCTTGGCATTTACATCCTTTGGCAGTTCTTTTCTCTTTCACCCTTTCCCCAGATCGCCCTTTACTTATTGACTCGAAACTTTATCACTTCGTTACCGTTTATTTAAATTTACTCTTTCGGGTCTTTGATTTAAGGCGCTACCTCGCGATAAATCAAACTTTTCCGCTTTATTCAACCCGCTTTTTTCATCGTTCAAAGTCAAGAAAAATAATCAAAGTCTCGAAGTTTGAATATCGCGCGGTAGACCCTTAATCAGTAAGTAAATTATTTAATACTGACTTACATTTTACCCGGTTTCAAAACTCACTCGCCCGGGGCACTTTCTAAAAGAGAATTTTGCCCTAAGGGTACATACGGCAAAATTCCTTTTCATCTTCTATAAAAAATCTTTCTTCGAGACATGTGACGCTTAGCCTCGGGCGAGAGCTTATTGTACCCAAAAATCAACACCAGACAGGCTGGCCTGTAAATAATTCTTTCACTTGCTCTGTGCCCAAAATTATATAAAAAAAGTTTTTTGTGAAACACAATTTTTTCTTCGGGTTTAGTCACGAATTTTAACCAAAAATGGCGAATGTTTAAAAAAAGTATTTAGCAGCAATATTATAAGTTTGAAAATATACTATAATATTGCTCTGTAAATAGACACAATTATTATTATTATGATACTATGATAAATAAAAGAAAAAACACGCCGAATGCCGAAATCACCCACCGGGCTTCAAAAAAAATTTCCGAAAAAAGGCGAAATATCTCGAGCCGCGAAATATATTTTCAAAAAAATAAAATTTAAAAAAATATAGCCGAATCACCATTACATAAAACTGTAAATTTAACCTTTTTCTTCTCCTACTGCAGTTTACTGTACTTGAGATAACTACAGAGTCAAGATCTCTCTTCTGGTTTCGAGTCGAAGCTGTTTCTCTTTTTCGAAATTCTATTTTGTGGAATTCTCACCTGGTGCCCTAATTCAAACATAAATAAATTATTTCTACAGTTCAATTTTCTTTCTCTATTTCTTCCATCAGTTGTTTTCAAGCAGGAAAAGTCTTCCACGATAACTTTCGATGATTCCCTTGTTTCTTATTGGTTGAGAGAGTAAGAGCAGTTTTGGCTTCTGTAATTTCTTTCAGAATATATGCAATAAACTTAGCATGCAGGCTAAACTTTTAAATCAGAGTTATTTTTATTCAGAATCCATTGTAATAATGTTGGTCATTTTAGACTGAGAATGCCGAAAAACAGAAATTACGTGCCAAAGCGTCATGGGTACGTTCCTTAAGCATCTGTAAGTAATGATTCTGTAGCGCCCCGGCAGAGCTTGAATTCAACCCTCCGCTAGTAATGTGGGACTTTGGACAATGCGATCCAAAGAGATGCACAGGTCGTCGACTGGAAAGATTCAAGAAGTTAAAAGTAATCAAGCAACAACAGAAATGCCACGGAATTTCGCTAACTCCGATTGCCACTGAAGTAGGGTAAATTTTTCATCGACAAGTGCCGAATGTTCGTCTTTAGTTTATTTCAAAGAAAGATGCAGAACTTGTCGCTTCAAAGGGACTTGGCGTTGTCGACTGTAGCTGGGCGAAGTTGGAAGAAACGCCGCTTAAGAAGCTGAAAAGCGGTGGAAACAGAATCTTACCGATGCTGATTGCGGGCAACCCAGTCAACTATGGAAAACCGAACCGGCTCACTTGCGTTGAGGCTTTTTCAGGCACGAGTTAGACAGAATCTTCCGAATGGCGAGCAAAGTTCTGAGCTGCAGCTTGTCTAATTCATTTTACGGGGCTTTGTACATTTGTGGTTTGGAAGAAGAAGCAGCAGAAGTGATGGAAGGCTTCAAATGGGGCCACAACTTTCTTGAAATGAACGAAGAATACCTCGATCGATATCAAGAAGCAGAGAACTCGGAGGAAATGAGACAGATTGAAGAAGAAATCAAGAAAGAGATCGCCGAAGGAACAGAAGACAATGGTCAAGGAAATCGAGACATGCCTCCGTCAGAAAGTGAGGAAGACGAGAGTGAAGACGATGACGATCTGTTACCGCCAAATCCTAATCGAGATCTGCCACCGTCGTCGTCAGAAGAAGATGAGGAGGAATAGCTTTATTCTGTTTCCCCAATAAAATAATAAAGTATAATTAATTTCAAATAAAATGAGTTTGCAAATACTTTGTTAAGATACAACTGTATCTGTAGGATTGAAGCTCTTGCATCTCTTGAAACTCAGAAAGAGAGACAAACATTTTTTCAACACAAACATGTTCACTAACGACTTTTTGAACTAATTGTACTTTTGCTTATTCTTCTTCGGCTTTGAGTAAGCTTGAACCCAGAAATCAGCGAATAGGTAGAGAAAGAGGATTCCATAGAGTGTGATCGTCAATTTGAATGGACCTGGGTAGCTGCAATTCGGAAAGCGGACCATGATGTTTGCGATGTGAATGAGAATGATGGCGAATTGGCTCTGATAGAGGTTTAACACTTTGTAAGAAAGCTACCATGGAGTTGAACGCTTTAGGGAGAAGGCCTCCGATCCGCTTCCCCGTTTCCCGCGCAGATCACTCTCGGGGAAGTCTAGAAATTTTCCTTAGCGCCTGGTTTGCGCTTGAGGAGAATCTCGAGATTCTGAAGATGTCAATCTCGAGATTTTCTGATGTTTTGGCCAATCAGAGAGCCGACAAGGGTTTTTGCAATGACTAGGTGCTCTTGCCGCGAAATTGCGCGCGCTCCAGATCGAGCGACGCTCAGGGCCAGCGTCGCTCAGATTCTCCAATCTCCCTTTAGAGCTCAACTCCATGGTAACTCTTTTTACCATTTGGAGAGTAGTGACGTACTTCTTCCACCAAAGATACTTTTTGTACTCTGCTCCCAACGCACTCAACCCGTAATAAGAGTACATGATATCATGCACAAAGCAGTTGATCCAAGCGTGGAAAGTACCAAGCAGGGCGGTCTAATTTGCATTCTTGTAAATAATCTCGAAAATTTGCGAGATTAATCTTCTTTGGAAAAAGATTCTGAGATTAGTCAAGACTGGACTAGTTTCGAGATTAATCTTTTTAGCGAGGGTCGCGTGGCTCGGGGGAAAAATTTGGGTGGCGCTGGCGAGCTGTGAGCAGTGCGAGGCGGCGCGGACAAAATTTCAAGCTGCGCTCCAAGCATGTTTGAGTTTCATTTTTCTCTCGCGCCGTCGGCCATTGGTCCACCAATCACAGCGCGCGTTTCAAGATTATTTGAAATAATCTCGGAACTATTTCGAAAATTTCCCGAGTTAATCTTTTTTATTCAAACAGACTAATCTCGCGTCGAGATTAATCTTATAAGAATAAATGAATAGTCTTCGGAAAAAAGACTATTTACAAGAATGCAAATTAGACCGCCCTGGTACCAAGTCCGCCAGGTGAAATTTTCACTCCCCACCACCACTGCGCCATCGAAAAATGATGCACTACATGCAGGGTCGATACTTGATTCCATTTTTTCTTCAAAATGCAAAAATACTTAAAAAGTTATCGTCAAATTTCGGAAGATCAATGCTTTGCAGGTACCGTATCCAAAAATTCTATATGCTTGGAAATCCAGAAAACCCAACAGACTCTCATCATCCTCTCATTACCAGGTGCATCTCTACTGTACTCCTCGCATTCGAAAGAATAGCCATTCCACCAACCAGCCGCGCCAAACTAGAAATTATAAAGAAAAAATTTATCAAATTTCTCACTTCATAAAACATCCATCCAGATAGTGCAACTAGGGCAGGGCGGTCTTATTTGCATAATGCATGAAAATAATCTTTTTTCCGAAGACTATTCATTTATTCTTCTTAGATTAATCTCGAGGCGAGATTAGTCTAAATGAATAAAAAAGATTAATTTTGGGAATTTTCGGAAAAATTCCGAGATTATTTCAAATAATCTCGAAGCGCGGCTGTGACTGGTCGACCAATGGCCGATGGCGCTGATTTTAAACATGCTTGGAGCGCAGCCCAGGGCTGTTGATTCCGAGTCCTTTCAGATAACCCGCGACTAAAAAAGCCATTTAGGTGTATATTAATCTCACAAAAATATTTTAACCTATTAAAAGGCAGTCCGAGTAATTATTGTAAAGCGTAAAAACGCGTAAAAACTTGCGGGTTACACGGAAAAAAGTCGCGGGTAATTTGAAAGGACTCGAAATCGACAGCCCTGGCGCAGCCTAAAAAGAAACTAGTCCATTCCTGAATAATCTCACAATCTTTTTCCAAAAAAGATTTTCGTAAATTTTCGAGATTATTTTCAAGAATGCAAATAAGACCGCCCTGAACTAGGGCCATATTGTACAGAAAAAGTATTTTTCGAAGTTCGAAGGGCTTTCTGTTCTTCATAAACGATGGACCGGCATAATACACGATAAAGAGATACAGTAACGCCGACATTGTATTCCAAAACGGGTTATCCATCAGGGGGTAGTTTTGTACTCGCGGGTCTAACAAATACGATTCACTGGATATTTTAATGACTATACCTGCGTGTGAGAGTGCCTCTTCATACTTCGATTTCAAAAAGTCGATCATGCTCTTGCATCAATATTAAACCCTTTTATTATGTAAAGCCCTTTACCTAAGGCACGAGCGTTTCCTGTTCAGAAAAAGAAACAAAATATCGCAGCCTGAAATTACTGAACTTCCACTGGACCGTAGTCAAGGACCTTGACTCAAGGTGCCTAAAGAGACAAGAACGTATCATTTGTTTAGAATAATGAAAAAGTGATATCTCGAACTTTCTTCAGGCAGCGCCACCGATATCGTCACTGATTTATCAAAAATTGCGCCTCTTTGGGCTCAGGCGCGCTATTATTTTCAAACTTAGATCACACTGAAGTAATCAAGTCGTGCTATAAAAAGGCCCCAGATCTCGTCTAACATCATCGGTCCCAACGAACAAGCAATTCTCAAGCATAAAAAATGAAAATCATCGTTGCTCTCACACTCTTCTTTTCTTTCGCATCAGCGACACTCAAAGGCATTTTGATCAACAAGACAACTAACCACCTGATGGACCACAACACCAATCGACACCGTTCCAGCGGCGTCCCATCCCATCTCGACCAAATCTGTCAATTCTGGCTGGACCAAGCAACTTCCAACCGAGCAAAACTCGCTGCCTACGAAAAATGCGCAAAACTCGTCCAAAGTCCGAAACTCCAAAAGCCACAAGCTAGCTTCAGACGAAACATCTACCGACGCAGAATGCTTCAATAAAGACCTTTATCCTGATAAATCATTATCAAAGTTTCTGTTCTCCCTGGCTTTCTGCCCTGGCTCTTCCTTGATTGCAATAAAATACAAAAATCACAAAATTCAGGAGTAGACAGAAGACTGCACTGTAGCTAACAGTTTCCTTCCCAGAGACAAATTTTGATAATATAAATAAATTTATTCATTTGCAGAGAAGGAATTGGATACTTTGTGAATTGGAAGATTGAGCGGCTTTTGAAGAATATGAATTTTAATAATCGTGAAAAGATACAATAGCATAACACTAGTAACTGATAGTAACTGCACAGTAAAATAGTCTAAACCGGAAAAGGAGAAGGTCGTGAAGAATAATTTGCGAAGTGTTTAAGATATGTCTTCATTCTTGAGTCATTTTTTCAAACATACAGTGATAACCCATTTTAAGGCCGGCCCTTTTAAGGCCACTTTTTCGGAAAATCCCCAAAATCTGTCATCCTCAAAAAATCCATTTTAAGGCCACTTTCTTTCGATTTTTATTCGAAATCCGAAAATTGCAGTATTACTGAAAAAGGCTTTTTTTATCTTCGACTGCGTGATGCCTCGTGGTTTTAGCTTTATTTTTCTTGTTTGGTACTCTTCGACGATTTTTTCTCGAATTTTTCAATTGACGATGATTTCTTACGGTCCTGTTTGAATTTACACTAAGATTTTGAGTCCAATAGTTTCAATCTATCACTATATAGGCGTGCAAAAATACGCAGAGGAATGTCTTTCGAAAAATCTCAGTGATTGTCTTCACAACACTATTCTTTGACGTCTTCATTCGAATCTCTTTACATCTTTTTTTCTAAGCATTTGTCATGTTGATCCTTTTTCAGACGTGTTTTTAGAATGGTCGAGAAAAATATAATTTTCACCAAAATTTCCAAACTTATTTTTTTGTTTTCTCTATACTCTAGATGTGTTCTAGAGGTCCTAAAACCCCCCTTTCGCCAGAAAAAACCACGTGAAGCAAAGAAAAAAAATCGATTTTTTCGACTCGAAAACTCGAAAATCGGAAATTTTCACCAGCCCATTACTCATCGTTATCGATGAGTAAGCATGATGAATCATACCTCATTGGATAGCTCAGAGTCTGAACTTGTACGGACCGTCGAGAAACCGGTGCGGACTTCAACCGGTTGGTCACACGGTAAGGCTGAAAGTTGGTCAATTTTTCGAAATTTCGAAAAATGCCCATCTTCAAGCGATGATTACTCATACTTCCTGATGACTAATTTTGGCCAGTATATAGCCACTTATGGTCAACTTTGGTCAAGTTCGGCCGGAGGACCCCGGAGGACCTCCCTGGTGGAAGACCATCCGCTGGAAGACCAATATTTAGAATTTCAATATATGGCTGTGCTCGGCCAATTTATGGCCACATATGGTCAACATTGGTCTAGTCAGGCCGGAGGTCCCCCGGAGGACCTCTATGGTGGAAGACAATCTGCAGGAAGACCAATGTTTAGAATTTCAATAGATTGCTGTGCTCGGGCAATTTATGGCCACCTATAGTCAATATTGGTCTAGTCAGGCTGTATTTTCAAAAGGTTAACTGATAAGAAGCTTAATATCTGTTCTTTCTAGAAAAAATACTAAACCGGTGCGGCAATAAATCGGTCGGTCGCAAGTGCCTGCGAAAAAAGTGTTGATACTTCAAATTTCTGCAGAACAGACCACATTCAAATTAAGAAAATTTGCATTTATGAATTTTAATGCCTTGACCATGACCATTTATTGAAACAAAGGAAGCCAAAGCCATAGAATACAAAAAAAAAATTTCAAGCTTCAGTTCGTGAAAACCAAAAATGAGCAGTTGTGAAGACGATTTTTATAATTATTCGCATCCTGAATCCATTTCATCCGACGATGAGCTCAATGAGAGAAATGATAGTAGACTTCATTCAATAGCCGCGGCTCGGAAGTTATTATTTTTGATATAATGAAAGAAAGAATCACTTTGAATTCAATTCAAAGGACACATTTGGGAAAAGGCCACGATTCAAACAATTTTCGGGCAAAAGAAATATGCGATAATTCTATGAACCCTCATTCATCATTTTTTATCCCAAGAAAGGAAAAAATTTGTTGTCATCCGACTCGAGACAAAAAATATCCATTTTAAGGCCACTTTCGAAATTCGCTTTCATCCAAAAATCGGCCTTAAAATGGGTTTTCACTGTAACTGTAGTAGAAAAATTCTAGATAGGCGTAAAAGTGAAGGAGGAATGAGAAAAGGTGAAAAGGATAAGATTCAATTGGTCTAAAAACATTCTTGAAAAGGTGCTAAAGGGGAGTGATAAAGATAAGTGTTCTAGTTGCTCTTTGGCTTGATACTCTTGGGCTTGGAATAAGCTTGGACCCAGAAGCCAGCAAAGAGGTAGAAAAATAGGATTCCGTAGAGCGCGATGATCATCTTGAACGGACCTGGATAGCTGCAACTTGGGAAGCGGATCATGATGTTTGCCATGTGACCGACGACGATGACGAATTGGGTCTGAATGAAGTTCACGTTGGGTATTGATTACTGCTCTTACCATTTGAAAGGTAGTGAGGTACTTCTTCCACCAAAGATATTTTCTGTATTCTGGTCCCAACGCACTCATTCCGTAATAGAAGTACATGACAAAATGCACCAGGCAGTTGACCCAAGCGTGGAAGGTACCCAATCCGCCGGGTGAAATTTTAACTCCCCACCACCAAGTGTAAGCCATCAAAGTGTGGTGCACCACGTGAAGGGTTGATACTTGATTCCATTTTTGCTTCAAAATGAAAAAATACTAAAACGAAATAAATGATGTGAGTCAACATTGGTCATGGTACCGTGTCGAAGAATTCGATGTGTTTGGAAATCCAAAAGACCCAAGAAACTCGGATCATCCTCTCGTTTACTGGGTCTTCCTTACTGTACTCTTCGCATTCGAAAGAATAGCCGTTCCACCAACCAGCAGCGCCGAACTAGAATTTTTCATCACTTAACTTCATAATTATTAATTATTTGATCTACCTCGTAAAACATCCATCCGGAAAGCGCAACAAGAGCCATGTTGTAAAGAAAAAGAAATCTGCGAAATTCGAAGGGCTTTCTGTTCTTCATGAACGATGGGCCGCCATAATACACGATATAAAGATACAGTAACACCGACACTGTATTCCACAAGGGGTTATCCATCAGCGGGTATTTTGCAACTCGCGGATCTGAAATTTTTTGAGCACGAAAAAATTTTTTATGAAAATTTGCCTCAAGTGAAGTTTTTTAATTTCATCTTATAAAAATATCGAAAGAAAGGTGAGTTTACCTGCGTGCGAAAGTGCCTCTTCATATTTGGACCTCAAAAAGTCGATCATCTTCTCGACTCAATTCGATTTCAATTCTGAAGTAGCTTCGAGTTAGTCATCGTCTGTAGGAATTTACAAGCAGTAATTCACTAATTGTTTTTGGCATGTCGCCTTAGTTACACGAATTTGCGAAAATAACTAGTCATTCTTGCAATCATAGAAGATATTTTTTCAAGAAAAGCATATTTCTATAAGTTCTACTGGTAGTTTCGCTCTGTATAATTTTCTCTATTATTTCCTCTGAAAACATCGAAAAAAAAGTAAAACGCCCTGGCCTCAATTGACAATAGCCGCTGCTTAATCATCTCAATTAGATTTTTTTATTGCTCCTCTTTTGTCTCTCTGAAAATTCGTAAAAACGCGCGCCGCAACTTTACGAAAATATAAAAAAAATCGTACGAGCTCATTTCAAAAATTCAACAACGAGTCAAATATTGAGCAACGGCATTTCCAACCAGAAATGACTCACGATTTAAACAAACGACCAAAAGTCATGCTCCCTACTTCGCTTTTTCTAACAGTGCAAACAAAGTTTTTATCTGCGAAGGAAGTTAGGTTTAATACCATTGTAATTGATCATAATAAGGAGTTTATGGCATCCTAAGATAAGCTATTCGAGAAAGATTACGAGTTGTTATGAAAATTTACCGGTTTTTGAGACTACTTCCATCAATTCTCGTCAGAAAACCGGGCATATGTTCACATAACAGAGCGTAAGCGCAAATGTGTTTTGATGAGGGAAATCGTATGCGATTCTCAGCTGTATTCTAAGAGCAAATGGCTCTTTACGCAGGCTCGATAATTGAGCTTTTCAATCAAATAGAAACTTGTTTGTTTTCATAAGGTATGGTAAGAGTAACGCTGTTCCAACTGAATGCAACGAGAAAATGACGGCGAAACGAACTGAACTTTTAATCAAATAGGCTATTTGAAATAGCTCATCTCCGATTGATTCTGAATCATGTAAGACCAAGTAAGAGACTAATTGTTTTCTATTTTCAAAGTGGCCTAAGAGTTTAATTAATTCAGTGGTTTGACAAAAGACTATTCAATTTCACACCTGAGTTCTGATAAATACCAAGCTGCTCCCGACAAAACTCACCGGCTTTCTGATTATTGATAATACATAATCTTGGATAAGAAATCAAAATAATTGAAGATAAACTTTTCAATCAACTTAAGTAAGTTCACTATTGATGCGAATAAAAGAACATTGATTTCTCCCGGATAAATAACAGTTTATTAATCGATTACTCATCATCAGGGTTACATACATCAGCTACAGTGCTAGTACCAGCGCCATTGCCTTCTTCCGTTCTGTTGTCTTTCGAAAAATGTTCTCCAATCGACATTCCAAGCAGCGGTCTAAGAGTCTTCTTTAGCGAGTGGAATAGATGCGGGTGGAGAATCTCCTGCTGCGCTAGAAGCTGCTTCATTCGGTTTCGCTCTTTTGGCTCAGAGAAACAAGCAGGGCAGTTTTCTGGAATCACAGGCAGCTAAAGATAAAAGTTCTCATCCTTGATTCCAATTTTGGTTAATCAAACCTTGTTGCTCTCGGCAAAGGCCCTTGTTTCCGTTTCACGAACAAATGCAAGCGGCCTTATGACGCGCAAATCCCCGGCTTTTACTGTATAATTCGCTTTCATCGTGAATAACTGAGAGTTGTGAAATGCCGACATAAGAAAGCTCTCCGCACAATCGTCCAAATGTTGTCTAAAGACAGTGTAATCTTTATATTATAAAGTTTATAATGTCTCTAATCTATGAGAATCAGAACTAATTTCTGTCAGATAAATTATTGTGGACCCGTTATCTTGCGACTTAATTGTTAGATAGACATCATTCTACCTTTTTTAGACTCGTTAATTTGTTTTGCTCGAAAGTAATTGCGCGATAAATCTGATCAAATACGTTGATATTTCTATGATTATCGCAATTAAAACTTATGTAAAAAAGCATGAGAATAAAAGACTCACCCAAGCGCTAGAACATTCCATTTGCCTTCCCTCATCGCCGAGTACATGATTCCTCTTTTCATTCGACTACAGTAGCTGCAGATCGATCTCAAATCCGGCAGCTTCTGTGCGTTTGCAAAAATTGGCTCTTCTTTGTAAATGTATTCTACTCCCAATTCTTCCATATATTCAATCAGCGAGGAAGGATCGTAAGATGCCACTTGTGGGTCTACTGTCAACGCACCAACGGTAAAGTCCATCTTCCTAAAAAAATACGCGTCACGGACTTCTACAAATACACGGTCTAATGCTTTCTTTGAAAAATATATTGAGAATCTCAATTTGAAATCGATAAGTATCTATCTGGATTATATCAAAAAATAAGTGAGACGAATAGAGAAAACGTGATGAAATACGACATTCAAAGAATAGACTCCTCTAATTCACGCCTCAGTGTATTTTTAATAAAAAGTCAAATTAAAATATTCAAAACTCACAACGTATGTCTCGCGATATGACGATATTGCAACAACGCGTGAATCAGCGTCATCGAGTCTTTTCCCCCCGAGAGTCCGACAATAACTCGGTCTCCGTTTTTGATCATTTCGAATTCTTCGATCGCGTCACCGACTTTTCGCATCAGCACTTTTGGCGGATGAATCGGTCGCCGCTTCTTTCGTTTTTCGCCATTTGACGCGCCATTTTCTACTTTTTCAGAGTTCAACACTGCTCAGAAATATAACTCAAAGAAAATCGAACCTTTTAACCCTTTCCTTTAGCTTTCTTCTTCCTGGGCAGCAAGCAAGGAACACAGACATCATCTGTGCATTCTTGCTCTTCAACTTTTTCATTCTTTCGCTTCTCCGCATTTTTAGTCTTTTCCTTCTTTAGCTCATTTTTCTTCTCCGGCTCGGCTTTTATCACCGACTTCGACCAGCTGGACACTTTTTTCAATTTTTCCACCAACTTGGAGTCGAGCTCATATGACTCGTAATTATTCTAAATCATCAAATGATCAGAGATTTTAAGGCCTTTTACCTTTGGAATAGATTTTCGGACAACAAATGGCGATTTCTTCAAGTTATCAAAAAGTTTATTCTTCCTCAGCAAGTCCCGCGCCTCTGAAGGCAACAAAAACCACCTGAGCTCATGCGCCTCTCCTTGGAAACCAGTGCTTTGGTCCGATTGACCAGCTTTTGGTCGGTTTTTCTGAGCAATCTTCTCCGCTGCTTCGAGCGCTTCTTTGAGCGTCTTGCAATCTGTTCCGTTTATTTTATTCGCGTCAGTAGGTTCTTTCACTTCCACACCGCTTTTCGAGAAGCGGATGTCGCCGAGCCAGCGACGATCGGAGTACGAGAGGTTCAGGGAGTGTTTCCATTCGCCGGTTTCGCAGTCGAAGACGTAGTGGCTCAGTAGCTTCCAGCCGTGTTCTGCAACCCATTTTATGGACTAAAGATTGGTTAGGGCAATCATTCAAGTTTAAAACCGGGAAGGTTAGTGATGGCTGTAGAAGTGTACCTGTAAAACTTCATCAACAAGTGAGTCTTCAAAGAAATACGGCAACGAAAATCTGACGAATCCTGGCCGAAGAATTTCAAACTCTGACGATTCCCTTGCCCTTCTTAAATGAATTCTGTCCAGCCGCGAGTCCTCCAAGAGAATCTTTTCAAATCTCTGCACCAAAGACGAGTCTTTCTCCGTTCTCATGCCGATCAGTTCCATTCCATAAGGGCCAGCGCAAACGCAGCCGCCGCGCACTTGAATTCCGAACAAGTCGTTTAGGAGGGCGGAGACGTAGTTGTAATGCAAGTACAGGTCGCTATCGGGGACGCGAATCATGAAGGAAAAGATTGGTAGGCGATCGGCGATCTCTCCAGCGAGAACTTCCAAGTTCGGGATAGAATTCAGGACGGAAAGGGCTTTCTTTGCAATTTCTTCTTCTCGCGAGAAAATAACATCAGAACTAAAAGGATGATAATTATTGTTATTTCTCACTGCTCACCTGATTGATTCCTTGAGTTGCATGATCATGCCGCACCTGATTGATCCTACCAGATCTTCAGAGTGGATCAAAAGAACTCATCCTACGAGAAAGCGATCGAAAATTATAAAACAATAAATATTCGTCAGTGCAGATAGCCAATAAAATTCAATTATGGGCTGCTGCAGCCTTGTACCGTGTTTCTTTTCTTATTACAATAAAAATGAGCATTCTTTGATCCTGTCCTGGAGTGCCTGGTTCTTCCCGCTCTTCAGCCTCTGCCAGAAAACGATGGTTCTCTTGAGAGACCCAAAAGACAGTTCCGCCACCGCCGCCCCCGTGAGGAACTTTGTTTTTGAAAAGCTTTTTGGCTGCCACTAGAATTCCAGGAGTGTTCACGCCGCCGGGGAACTTGTGTGGGGAGAAGAAAATTGCGTCTTTTGAAAGGGATGATAGGATTTCAAAGAATAATTATATTTTTTGACTATTTAACTTTCTGGCACCCTCTTTATGACAGAAAAAAGTTTGAGCCTATATCTCGGTCTCCTAATTGCTAGAAAAATGAACATCCCTCGCCTTTGGAAGAGTTTGGCTCTTTCGGGTGCATGTCAATTTTAACATAGGGCGCAGCTGTTGCATAATCGAAAATCGCCAATCCATCGTATTTGTGCATGATTTGCGCGAGCTTGATTGTGTCCGACAAAATACCAGTAACATTGCTCGCCGCCGAAAAGCAACCGATCAAGGGAAGGCCAGTCGAGGACCATTTCTGAAGTTTGAAATCAAGCTCGTCGTAATCTGGCTGACCGAGCTGATTTTCGCGAATTCGCTCGACGTGGCAATTCGCGTTGAGCCACGGCAACTCGGCGGAATGGTGCTCCGATGGGCCGACGAAAACGACCGGCGGAGTTGATAGACCCATCGCGGAAATTAAAAGTTGAATGCCACCAGTTGAACCGCTCCCGGTGAAAATAACGGCGTCGTTTTCTGATGCTTTGAGAGCATTTCGAACAATTGTTCTTGCTTCGTGGCGGTAAAGGGTTGACTGCAAACCGGTGATCGAAGAAGTCGTGTGAGTGTTGGCATATGTTGGCAGAACCTGAAGATTTTTAAGTTGCATTGACTGCTCTTGCTAATCAAATCGAAATGAAGTCCGAGTAGGCTAGATCTAGTCTAGATTACCTGTTGACTGATGAAATTTTCAATAAATTCTAGCGGCCTTCCTGAAGCAGTATGATCACAGTAGACGATGCTTCTTTTTCCGAACGCTGTAACGAAAGAATGATCCTTTCCGATTTCGTTTTCTCTGACGAGTTCGATGAGTTCTTCGGGAGTGGCGGAAGAATTCAGCGGCGGACGGGCCGAGTGATCGCGTTTCGGAAGAGTGTAAAAGTTACGATTCCCAAGCGACTCAGAATCCATCTATTTTTTGCTTCTTTTTAGTTAAAAATAGAGGAGAGAGCTTTTCAAAATTGCACCGAGAGAGGGAATTATACAGGAAATTATTCAGAACGTTTTTGGGGAGCAGAAATAATAACAAGTTTGAAATTAAAGAGCGGAAATAAAAAAGCAACTGAACAGTGAATTTCACGACTAAACTTAAAAATACCCTGAAGAAAATTATTCAGACGAAAAATTGGATTTAAGGATCGATGGTAATATGCTTCTGAAGAATGATAAGGTAGTAGTACAAAAACGCGGGCACGCAAATCACCACAACGACGCCGCATAGTCCTGAAAATCAACTGTATATCGACTTTGAGATTCCTAGCGAATCGTCTTACCTAAGTAACACCATTCAGTGCTTTCGGAGTTTTGCTCGTATCGGCCGAATTTGGGAAGAACAGCGACGGGTGGGAGATTTCCCAAAAACTCGTTCAATCTATTTTCTGATTGCTGGCGAATTTCGGCTTCGGTTAGAGGGTGGCGGATTCCGATTGAGGAGACTTTGTGAACTGCTTCTTGGTTTGACTTGTCTGGATAAACATGAGTGAAATAAAGGTGAATTCTAGTTCTACCTATTCTATCGAAAATTGCATCCGTAGCTGCAGTAGCATCGCCAATGGAGGAGGACGTTTCAGAGTCTTGGATTTGATCTTCAATATTCTAAATTTTCAAATAGAACTGATTATCCGCTGCGCCAAGATTACCACAAGAAGATCAGTCGGAACAGCGGTTAATCTTCTGTCTGGAATGAGAATTTCTTTCTTTGTAATCAAATCCGAATCGGTGAATAAATTGTTCAGACGTTTCAATTCTTCCTTTGATACTGCGAATCTCAGCGCAATCGACTAGTTTCTTGTAATGTTTTTGAAAAAGGGGCTTTTTCTATACCTCGAGTGTTTCGTCCGCCTGAACTTTGTATCTGATCGTCTCTACCGTCTCTAGTTTCGGCGTTTTCCTAACTCGGGACCTTCTTTCTGATATTTCCGACGCTTCAAGAAGAGGAATTTCGTCTTCATCCTTTTTTCCCATTTCACAATTTTACGAGCACCTTTTCTACTTCATAAACGAATTGTATCTGAATGATTTCAATGGGTTAATTTCAATTCTCTTTTCCGCTCATTTCAGGCTCATCTCTTTCGTTAGATAATCGGAAAATGAGTCATGATTCTGGAAAGCGCGAGCCCTCTAGTCCAATCGCCTCGCTGCGTGAATCCTCGATTTTTGATTTCCGAAATTCATAGATCTCAAGATCCAAGATTCTTATCATGAGATCTGAGATTCTTACTCAAGAAGATGGCCAGTTCAAGTTTACAGAAAACATTCTTTCAATATGAATGGCGAGATGAGTCGATTTATATTTTTCATTGAAAGGGACTTTTAACGATCTGCGTCGTAAATACGCCGGAGACGAAAGATGAAATACTCCTCCAGTTATCAAAAAACCTTCATTTTGTTTTCAAGATGGAAACAAGAGTGCTAAAAATCAACGAGAATATCGAGAAGCTAATTGCTCTTCTTGGCGGCGAATCTTCGAAAGGAATGGAAAAAGGTTAGCTAATCTTGATGCAGAGATCTAGTGATTGAACAATTCTAGCTCCTGAGTTCGTCAAGGAAGACATTTCAATGCCCGAAGAAGAAAAGCCCGAACATGAGCACCTTCCAAAACAGACCTTGCCTTCGGTTACGGAAGAGGAACCTCAGGAAGAAATCGTTGCTGAGAAAACTGCAGAGCAAAAAGAAGACAACGAGGAGGACTGTAAGATTTTTTCTATATAACAAAGAGATGATTTGTGTTTAGATGAGACTGCGGAAGACATATTTAAAAAAGCTGCTCAAGTCGGCCTTTCTGTTCGTCAATAATTCTCGTAAAACAAACATTATTTTTCTCTCGCTCGACTTTATTTTTCAAAGCATGCAGAAGCCGTCAGGCACTAGAATAGCAAAAGGATCATCGTAGTCGTCAGTTTGTGGTAAATGGTCGAGGTCTTCTCCTTCGATCGAAGTAAAATCGTCGTTGAAAGTGAATTTCGTGAATTTTCGAGGTCCATCGCCACCGACAACCATCACCTACAACAGTTTTCAGTTAATTTGAAAGGTAAGGTATTTGACCTCATTATTTGGGAAAAGCAGGGCTCTCGCATAATACCTTCGTGGGGTCCTAAAAATTTCTAAAAAAAGAAAAGCTTCATGTATCAAACCATTCAGGAGTTCCAATTTGGGTCCATTCATCATTGTACAGGCGCCATATATATTGAACTGTCCTATGAAGAAACAGTGTTATCAAATTTTGAACAGATAAACATACTGAGAGTCTCCTGGAAAGATGACGACGCCAAAATCGCCCCAAACAGAAGAGTAACTTTCAATATACGACTCTGGAAAAAGTATCCTGTAGTCGTTGATCCAGCCATCATTTTCACTTAAAATCATCGTTTTCGGCTTCGGTTAGCGGGTGGCGGATTCCGATTGAGGAGACTTTGTGAACTGCTTCTTGGTTTGACTTGTCTGGATAAACATGAGTGAAATAAAGGTGAATTCTAGTTCTACCTATTCTATCGAAAATTGCATCCGTAGCTGCAGTAGCATCGCCAATGGAGGAGGACGTTTCAGAGTCTTGGATTTGATCTTCAATATTCTAAATTTTCAAATAGAACTGATTATCCGCTGCGCCAAGATTACCACAAGAAGATCAGTCGGAACAGCGGTTAATCTTCTGTCTGGAATGAGAATTTCTTTCTTTGTAATCAAATCCGAATCGGTGAATAAATTGTTCAGACGTTTCAATTCTTCCTTTGATACTGCGAATCTCAGCGCAATCGACTAGTTTCTTGTAATGTTTTTTGAAAAAGGGGCTTTTTCTATACCTCGAGTGTTTCGTCCGCCTGAACTTTGTATCTGATCGTCTCTACCGTCTCTAGTTTCGGCGTTTTCCTAACTCGGGACCTTCTTTCTGATATTTCCGACGCTTCAAGAAGAGGAATTTCGTCTTCATCCTTTTTTCCCATTTCACAATTTTACGAGCACCTTTTCTACTTCATAAACGAATTGTATCTGAATGATTTCAATGGGTTAATTTCAATTCTCTTTTCCGCTCATTTCAGGCTCATCTCTTTCGTTAGATAATCGGAAAATGAGTCATGATTCTGGAAAGCGCGAGCCCTCTAGTCCAATCGCCTCGCTGCGTGAATCCTCGATTTTTGATTTCCGAAATTCATAGATCTCAAGATCCAAGATTCTTATCATGAGATCTGAGATTCTTACTCAAGAAGATGGCCAGTTCAAGTTTACAGAAAACATTCTTTCAATATGAATGGCGAGATGAGTCGATTTATATTTTTCATTGAAAGGGACTTTTAACGATCTGCGTCGTAAATACGCCGGAGACGAAAGATGAAATACTCCTCCAGTTATCAAAAAACCTTCATTTTGTTTTCAAGATGGAAACAAGAGTGCTAAAAATCAACGAGAATATCGAGAAGCTAATTGCTCTTCTTGGCGGCGAATCTTCGAAAGGAATGGAAAAAGGTTAGCTAATCTTGATGCAGAGATCTAGTGATTGAACAATTCTAGCTCCTGAGTTCGTCAAGGAAGACATTTCAATGCCCGAAGAAGAAAAGCCCGAACATGAGCACCTTCCAAAACAGACCTTGCCTTCGGTTACGGAAGAGGAACCTCAGGAAGAAATCGTTGCTGAGAAAACTGCAGAGCAAAAAGAAGACAACGAGGAGGACTGTAAGATTTTTTCTATATAACAAAGAGATGATTTGTGTTTAGATGAGACTGCGGAAGACATATTTAAAAAAGCTGCTCAAGTCGGCCTTTCTGTTCGTCAATAATTCTCGTAAAACAAACATTATTTTTCTCTCGCTCGACTTTATTTTTCAAAGCATGCAGAAGCCGTCAGGCACTAGAATAGCAAAAGGATCATCGTAGTCGTCAGTTTGTGGTAAATGGTCGAGGTCTTCTCCTTCGATCGAAGTAAAATCGTCGTTGAAAGTGAATTTCGTGAATTTTCGAGGTCCATCGCCACCGACAACCATCACCTACAACAGTTTTCAGTTAATTTGAAAGGTAAGGTATTTGACCTCATTATTTGGGAAAAGCAGGGCTCTCGCATAATACCTTCGTGGGGTCCTAAAAATTTCTAAAAAAAGAAAAGCTTCATGTATCAAACCATTCAGGAGTTCCAATTTGGGTCCATTCATCATTGTACAGGCGCCATATATATTGAACTGTCCTATGAAGAAACAGTGTTATCAAATTTTGAACAGATAAACATACTGAGAGTCTCCTGGAAAGATGACGACGCCAAAATCGCCCCAAACAGAAGAGTAACTTTCAATATACGACTCTGGAAAAAGTATCCTGTAGTCGTTGATCCAGCCATCATTTTCACTTAAAATCATCGTTTTCGTCAAGATGTCTGAAAGTACAAACCTGTATTGCTCGACAGATCTGGTGTATCTCTGGGCATACTGATCGTATCCAGCAATGAGAATCGGATTTCCTTTATAAGTTGGAATATGTCCTCCGATTGCAACGTGAGATTCATCAGGCACAGCCAAGCTTGCCTCCACAATCTTTGATCCATCATAGCTACAGTAAGATGTAACAAGAACATTTTTATTCAACAATTACCTTTGAACTTTCCCATATCCGTTGTAGAGCAAAATATGACCTTCAGGATCATCCTGGCTTGGCAAGTATCCTACAGATCCTTCGAAACAATCGAATTGAAAAGAAACACCTTCAGCTTTTTCAATATCGCAACCATTGAGAATATGCGGTCCATACTCTCGTTCACCTCCAATTACAAACCAACCACCGAAGAGGTAGTTTGTTCCCTTGTATAAAACTGAGCATCCTTCTTTACTGAAAAATTCAAGATTATCGGGACCATTGTTGAACCAAGAAATTTCCAAATCATCAATGTAGCTTTCAAAATTCACCAATGCAGTTGTATCCCGATGGTTATAGTGCATCAATAAAACAGAATTCAGCTCCTTTGATGGATCGTAGCAATCGTAATTCGGGCAAGGGCAACCATTTGGACAGCCTTCTTCGCAAGGGCAGCTCAGAATATCCTCTGAGTACTGTAATGTACAGAGAGTTAAGCAGCTGGAGTTTCCTCCGCACTTTCCAATGCAGTCGAATAGCTCTTGCTCAAGATCCGCCAAGCACTTCACGTGATCCTCATTCTCTTCAGGAAAAGCGCAAACATCGCAAATTTCAGCCGGGCAATCCTCGCATCCTCCAGGACAATCAATGTGACAAGGACATCCATCAATACAGTCGAATCCTTCACGAACACAAGCGTTCTCGCAAGAAGCATCGCCCGAGTTACAGTTGCTCAAGCATTGTAAAAGATCCTCGCTGCAGTTTGTTGAACAGAGTTCACCGAGATCAAGGTCGGTGCAAGTTTCATTTAGTCTCGGAAAAGGGTCGAAGAAATCTTCTCTCGGAAAATCCTGTAATAATGCTGAGTTCATTTTGGCAATTGATTCTTTCTCGTAGTGCCGCATCGAGAAGCAGATGAGAATTTCTCAGAAAATCAAATAAAGAGCATTTTTAAACACAGTAGTTTGTGGATACTTCCAAAAGAACAGGGTAAGAGGTTTGAACAGAAGTTCCGATGACTTCTGAGTTGATCAATTGATCTCCTTCGAAATCGAGTCGCTCGATGTTAAATGGGTCCCAGCTGCCGGAAACGATGAAAATTGACTTTTCTACTCTGATAGCAGATATAGGCGAGTCAGCCTGGAAATAAGAGTAAAATTTGGGAATGAATCTGAAACTTAGTACGTTTTGAAGATCTCCAATTTTCTCCCAAATGTCGTTTTGAAGAAGCCAAATGGCTGTTTGTGCTCGGTAACCGTAATCATCCGAATCATGATTGAATACTTGTCCCCCCGCAAGTAAGAGATTTCCAGTCGGTAAACCAATAAGAGCGTGAAGAATAATAGCACTAAACATTTACTACTATCTTGAACCTTTCAAATACCTTGGAAAATCATTGAAGTGCGACCAGCCAGAAGAAGAGAGAATCTCAACCTCTTTACCACCTTCCAAATTACCAACCTGATGCCCAACTGCTGTCGGTTGGCCTTTGTAGAGCCCAATATTGCCACTTTTATGTTTAAAATTCGTTCTCTGTGTCGAAGAAACTGTCGTTCCATCAAAAATTTCACATGCTCTGTAAAAATCGGGCTCTGTGTCAACGATTGAAGGAAAGCAGATCAATGCTTCTCCGCCATTTTCGATCGTAAGAGCTGCTCGCGGTGACTCGTAAATTAATTTTGAAGGCTGTTCTATCCATTCGCAACCGTTTAGTTTCGCGATCTAAAAGCAAATGAATCTTATTTTTTTTCCATTTTTACTCCTGCTCCTACGTTTCTAGTATCTCCTGCTCGATCATGGGCATCATCTTCAGTGTTCCGAGACCAAAAGCTTGCGCCAAAAACAAAGAGCTCACCATTCACAAGAGCATGAGCAGTGCCTTGAAGATAACGAAGTGAAGGTGCTTTAATTTTCGCAGGTGTCTTTCTTGAGCCATCAAGTGAAATGGAAAATGCTTGAGGCAATCTTTCACCCATCACCAAGATATGCTGATTAAAAGAATATCAATTTTTGATTAATGAAATAGTTGGTTTTTACTGGCTCATTTGGATAGACAGTTGTTGCAATCGTCGTTGTTATCATCGAAGTCGTTGTTTCCGTCTAAAGATAACAACAAAAATCCTTCATTCTGCTTACTGGACAAAGAGGAGAATCGCAGCCAACGCATCCTTGCTCACAGTTAGCACCACATGGACAATTATCAAGGCAGCCTGAGTACTCCCTGTCACAAATCGACAGACAGTATTCCGTCTCGCAGAGAAGACGACATTTGTTAAAATCAGCACGACAGAGTCCATTACATTCTGCTTGCAATTCTTCATCCCTGAATTTTTCATCGTCGTTTTGGGTATTAAATGAGTTCTACTCACGGACAATTGTCAAAAATCTCTGCCACAGGGTTTGCAATGGTTGATTCAAAAAATTGAAAAATGAGAAAAATTGAATATCTTTTCATTTTCATTAAAAATGAAGTTAACTATGTATGAGGAAGATCTGTTTTAACAGAGTTTTTTCTAGGTCAAAGAACGACTAAATAAATGTCAAACATGTATTTTTACACTACGACATCGAGTTCCTGATATTTACTCAGAATATGAAATTTACTTCGACGACTTTTACTGGTTCTATGCCACAAGTAGTTACGCAACTGAAGCATTCAGTTTGAAGGAAAAAATGAAATCTTCCTTGATTTCAGTGATATGATATCACGAACGACGGCATGCATTACATGTATTGCAATCATAAAAAAACAATGCATCGTCCTTTCTTCATCTGTATCAATTTTGAACTCTGAACAAAGGTCAGAACCTCGAAACAAAAATATCGTTTGTCCAACAGGATCACTCAAAGGTAGTCAACTCATAAAAGTTGACATAATCAGCAGACTCTGATCTCCATATTTGAGCAGCTCAAACAGTAGGCAGGCCTCTGAAAGACGTTCTTAGAGGTGTCGGTCAACGGATAAAGTTGCGTAGGCAATAAGTCTTGCCTCCCAAGCAGAAGCCAACGGCAATTAAGCCGTAGTAATTTCAGGTTGTACTGATAAACAAACGAAGTAGAGATTAACAGCAGCTCATCAGAGAGTAAGGGAGCATGCTGGTGACTTTTGTACTCAACGATGATGTCATTGAACATGAAGTTCTTCCCGGAGATGAAGAAAGGTTAGTCTTAGATGATTCCAGCGCAAGTTGTGATGTAATCATGGATCAGGGGGATCAGCTCATTAATTTAGCTTGCTGAGTTATATCCGCCGATATGGGAATACAGAAACGAAGCAAATGTGCGAAGAAGGCGGCTGTGGAGCTTGCTCAATCATTGAAATCATCGACGATGGTGCTCAAAAAACAAGGCTTGTTTTATTTTACCAAATCAAGATAGAACTCAGTTCTAAAATAAACATTTGCCAAGCCAGATTCTAGACGCGCTCTCTCAGCTTGTTTGATCACCCTTCCAAAGGCGGATGGAAGAAAGTTCGTCACGTCAAGCCAGATTTCTAAATCTGCTACAGGAAAGGCGATTCAAAAAAGCTTCGCGGAAAATTTTGCCTCGCAATGTGGCTACTGTACTCCTGGATTTGTCGTAGGAGCAACTTCCTGCACTTCACATGAAGAGCGAGAAGTTGAAATGAACGGTCATATCTGCCGATGTACCGGCTATTTTCCGATCAAAAACGCGAATAAGGATGCTCCTTTCATGGATATAGAAGACTTGGCAGAGCTGTGCGCAAGTTGCCCAAGCAGAAAAGTCGTTCAGAATCAATCGCAGCACTACTTCACCCCAACTTCTCTTGCTGATCTTCAAGTTTTGATGGAAATGCATTCATCTCACGAACTTATTGCAGGCCATACATCAAAACACGTTTCGAAATACTACAGAAACACAAGCAACGAAAAAGCACCAGTAACAATTGACATCACGAAGGTTGCTGAAATGACTGCAGTTTCTATTGTTGGATCAAAAATCACGATTGGTGCAGTAGCTACACTTGAAGATTTGCGAAGCCTTTTCAACAAATCATCTCTGAAGGTTCTCAACCAAGCAGGTCAATTCTTGACCAAGGTTGGTTCAATTTCCATGCGTCACCAAGCCACTTGGGCTGGATCTCTTGCTCTTCAGCGATCTGTTCCAGAGTTCGCCTCTGACATTTCAGTTATGCTCGCAGCTCTTGGTTTGAGGCTTGAAGTCCTCGACGAAACGAATACAAGAAAGTCCATCTCAGTCAGTGAATTCGTCAATGACTCGGCAAGCAATTTGGTCATCAATGGAACAATCGATACAACGGGCTTTGAGAGCGTAGTCGATTCTGTCACGTTCGGTAAAGTTATGGATCGGCCCACAATGGCAGCTGGTAAACTCACATTTGGCTTCTTCTCGACTGCAAGACTTTTCTGTTCTTCTACCGCTGGATTCAGACAGATCGAGTCTCCATCGACTTCTTCCACCGATGATTTGAACAAATCACTCGCTGGAGAATCTGACTTGCTTACCCGAGCTGAGTTGCTCAGACATTATTCAAAGCTAAGCGGAACCACTATCGCACCAGTCTCCCACGCTCAAGAATCTTACTCTATTGACGATTCTGCACAGCCAGACATCGCTAAAGGAGTCCCACAAAAACATGCTGAGCAACTTGCTGCTGGAACAGCCGAATTCCCCTCAGACTTTGAGCCAGCTGTGAATCAGCTCTATGCAAAATTTGTCAGTGCTGGTAAAATTGGAAATGTTGGAAGCATTAGTTTCGAGAAATGCCGAGATGTCAAGGGATTTGTTCGAGGAATTACTGCTGAAGACATTGTCAACGCCGGTTTCAATAATACCTTTTGCTATCCAGCTGGGCTTGAACCAGATGAAATCAACGAAGAGAGAGTTCTTGCCTATCCAAATATCGAGTACCACGCTCAACCCGTGGCCATCGTTGTTGCGAAGAGTCAGCAAGCTGCTGATAAAGTAGCTAAGCTAGTGGAAATTGAAGTGACTGGGTGGGCCCATGAAACACTTCAATCACCGGTTCAACTGTCGGAAGCCATCGAAAAGAAAGATTTCTTCCCTTCAGGATTCATGTCTTCTCGTGACCGTGGGGACGTTGAAGAAGAATTGGCGAATCCAACGAATCATCGAATCGAAGGGAAACTTCGTCTGCCAGGCCAGTATCACATGTTCATGGAAACCCACTTTGCGCGCGCAAATTTGCGAGACGAACAAGTCTTCATTGATCTGGGTTCGCAAGCTGTTGATAAGGTGCAGCGTAATGTTGGACATTGTCTTAACATGAACCACTCGGCAATCACTGTTACTTGTCGAAGAATGGGTGGCGGATTCGGCGGAAAAGCTACTCGAAGTCAATGGACTGCTTGTGCAGTCGCTATTGCAGCGAAATTGACGAAAAAGCCAGTCGCTCTCCATTTATCCCTTGAAGACTGTATCACCATCATGGGTGGTCGATCAATTTACGAAGTCGAGTATCGAGCGTCGTTTGAGAAGAAGACAGGAAAATGCACCGCCGTTGACTGCAAACTCTACTGCGAAGCTGGAGCAAACTACAACGACTCCGCTTTCAATGGAATGCTGACTGCGATGCACATGGAATCGAACTTGGGAATTCCAAACCTGCGTTTCGAATGTTTCGCTGTTCGAACAGCTTCGCCAGCTGTCACTTGGCTTAGAGCGCCTGGAATGCTTCAAGCGTCTTCTGTTCTCGCTCTCATTGTTGATGAAGGTGTTTCTGGTGTTCTTCCGGATTATCTTGAATCTTACAAATCTTGTTTGATGCCCAAAGGTTTTATGAACCTCATGGGTTCTGTTGAATCGACCGATCGAAACGTTACCATTATCGATGACATTTGCAACAAGGTCAACGTCGAGGCTTTAGAGAAAGAAGTCGATGCATTCAACTCTGCTAACAAGTGGAAGAAGAAAGCCTTGGCTGTCACAGGAATGAAATATCCAATGGATCCTGCCTTCCATGTCAACTCTTGCTTGGTCAATATTTGTAGACAAGATGCAACCGTGCAAATTCATGTCGGAGCCAGCGATATGGGTCAGGAATAGTTCAAGAGTACTTTTCTTTTTTCAAAGTTTATCATAATAAACTGTTTATGATTAAATAGACACAGTATTTTCTGAACTAAAACAGGCAACTGCAACTAGATCAGCTCAAACGGCGGCGAGAACTCTCGGCATCCCTCTAGAAATGGTGAATGTTCAGCCGACAAGTTCTGCAGTAACTGCCAACGGAGCACCTACTGGAGGAACTGTTTCTACTCAAGTCGCTTGCTACCTTATTTCTGAAGCTTGCAAGGTTTCATGAAAAATAAGAATATTTTTTCTTCATCCATTTAAAGATTCTGAATGCTTCTTTGGATCCTTACCGACCAGTGGCTCCTCATCGCGATTCTCTAGACATTTGGCGCGAGACTGTCAAAGATGCCGCCGCAAAAGGAGTTGATCTTCAAGCTCGTTTCCGAGGATCAATCCCTAACGGAGCCTACGCCTGTTACGGATCAGCAGTTGCTGTCGTTGAAGTTGACTGTCTCAACGGAGAGCATACCATTGAAAAGTTTGACTGCATCTATGACGCAGGAGAAATGCTCAACGTCGGCACAGAATTGGGTCAAGTCGAAGGAGGGTTGATGATGGGACTTGGCTGGCTCAAGATGGAGGATCTCAAATGGGATCAAGTTTCTGGCGCAAAGGTGTTATTTTCTGGCGTGAAAATCTTTACTATTTTCTAGCAACGGGGAACATGGGAATACAAAGTCCCGATGCATCTCGACATTCCAAAAAAATTCTCTTGCGAGCTGACAAACAAGTTCTTGGAAGCTGAAGAAAAACGACCCTTCCCAATCGGATCCAAACAAGCTGGAGAAGCTGCGATGCTTCTCAGCTTCGGTAAGCTGCTTTTAATCAAGCCAGACTTATCCATCAATTATTAAGCCTATCGAAACGCCCTTCAACGAGCCGTCCGCAAGTTCAACCCTCATGCAAAGATGATCGAGCTTCCAGCAAAAACTGATCATGTCCGAGAAGCAATTAATGTACAAGCTGATGCTCTTGTTCTCTGAGTTCAAATCATTCAACATATTCAATATAATTTTCATTCTTTTCTTGTCTATTTGAATTATTTGCAGCGTATACGACACATTTGAGTGAGTTCCTTTATTTCCGGTTGGATTCTTAACTCACAAATCTTGTCAATCATTATCGAGTCTAAAAAGAGCATGTCTACAAATCTTCGTCAAAAGCGAGTCTCTTTCGAAAAATGGATTCAAAATGCATGCAAAATGAAGGATAAGCCTGAGGAAGTTAGTAAAATGAGCAGACCTGATTCGAAAGTAATACAAGCTGGACAGCTCGCATGTCTGAAAGCGCACAATAACAAAAGAGCTCTTCATAAAAATACACCACCGATGAAGGTAATTTTTTCATTGATTCGATTTTTGAACAATTAATTCTAAAGATATGTGAAAAGTTGTGTGAAGAAGCTCAAAATGTTGCAGCAAACTTGGCAAGGCGCAACGGAATACGGTAAAAACTTACGAGATTACAGGCTTCATCATATTTTACAGATATTCATCTGGGGAAAACATTTACGTTTGCACAAGAACTAAATCACTTTCGAGTACATCTGCGATCAGGGAATGCTGTTTCAAAGCAGTTGACTCGTGGTATCGCGAAATTGAAAATTATTCTTTCGAAACGAGTAAAAAACTGAAGAAAAACCAGACGATTGCGCATTTCCAGCAAATGGTTTGGAGAGACTCCGTTCGCCTCGGCTTCGGAATAGCACAGCGAAGAGACGGAAATATCATAAGTAAAGTAGAATTATTAGTACTGCTCCGAAAAAGATTTAGTCATCTGTCGATACAGTCCACGAGCAAATGTTTTTCGCTCGAAGATCAATGCAAAGCAAATTATGCCTGTACAAACTCAATAAAAAGAATCATAAGCGCTCAGTGCGAAAGAGAATTTCGTCTCTAGTTTTTCAATACATGTATTATGGAATATTGAATTATCATATGAAAGGAAAGGAAAATGAAATTACTTCCGGTTTCGTTATCCAAAAAATTGACACAAGAATCGCCTCAAGAAATACAATAAAGCATCTAAGCTCTGAAAAAGTAATATAGCGGGTACTCAGGAGGAGGGAGATTAAGAGTTTGTTTTGTTTATTGGCACGAATAAGAAGTTTTCTAATTGACAGTTGTAATGGGAGACGAGAATCTGTTTTAGCAACTAATGAGATGTTGACGTGCCATTGACTTTATTTATCGAGCGGCGCCGCCGCCGCCGCGGCTTTCGCTATTGCCGTCAGCAGCGGCCTCGTTGTCGACCTTGAGCAGGTTGCAGATGAAGGCCATCGATTTGATGAATTCGTCGAAGCTGATCTTCCCGTCGAAATCCTTATCGATATGGGCAACTAGCTCATTCACCCTTGCCTCGGAAGAAAACACCTCAGGGAGTTCTTGAAATTAGTAAAAGAAGTTAGTTTTATGATGATTACCTTGTCCCATCATTGCCTTCAACTCTTCCTTGTCAAGCAAGTTGTCCTCACCGGCATGCTCGTTGAAGATTCCAATGATGGATCGCATCAAGTCGACGATTTTGGTCATGGCTTCAAAATATCACTACTTTATTTGATATGCGACTACTGACAGGAAATCCTCGATTATATTTGCAATTTACTTCCGTTTTTTGAAGCTGAATAAACAATTAGCCGCTGTGTTTAAAAATTGACGATTTTAACAAAGTTATAAGATATGAAATTATAAGTTGTAACATCCCTTTTAAAGCTGCTTTCTGAGTTCCTCTCTCAAATTCAAACTCAATTCGATTTATTTTTTCCTGCGATTTATCATTGATATAAAATAAGAGACAAAAATCAGACAGTGTATCTATCTGCCTGAAGTTTCATAAAAAGGAGAATTTACAAGACAAGAGTTTATTTTTCATTTTTTTTTTCCAAAAATCAATTTACTGGCAGCTTTAGAATCAAAATTGGAAAGTCATTTTTTTCGCCGAGTTGGAGCTATTTTGAGCTGTTTGGCGCGAGATGCCGCGCATTATACCTAAAGTTAACTGATTAAACGCAGCTAGAGTGAGATTAGATCCGACCTGGCCTGGCTGGGATTGGCAGTCATGTCCGAGTCGCCGATTCCGCAAGTGCCCACTCCGACCATTCCTTTGTTTCCAGCCGGAGTCTGGAAAATCGAGTTTTTCGTCTGAAATACTTTTCAAACACGATTTTTCGGAAAAGTAATCTCACCACTCCAGTTTTCTTCTTTTTGACCATTTTGTTGGCGAAGGACTGCCAACTCTTTTTCTGCCGCTCGCCGGCCGCGTCCATCGCCGCCAGTCGCTCCTTTTTCTTTTGCGCCTTTTTGCGCCGCTTTTCGATTTCGATTCTGAATTTCAAAAATATAAACTTAATTTCCGAATTCCTTGTTCGCACCTCTGTTTCTCCCTGGCTGCGTTTTTGTTGATTCCGTCCCCGACCATCACATTTCCGGCCATTTTGTCCATGTGAGTGCTCGGCAGCGGCGCTCGGGCCATCTCACTTTCGTCCTGCCACCTCGAGCCGCGGACGCTGCGTTTTCCGTCGAACTTGTTCAGCTGCGAAATAAGCACTGTCTCGCTGTTTCCGTACTACAAGACTAGGTTGGTTATCCCACCAACGACTGTCATTCTTACTTGCGCAAAGGTAACTTTCGCTGTTCCGGCGTTTTCGTCGATTTGGTTAATAATCGCCTCGTAAAGCTTCCCGTCGTCGGAATAGGGCGCCTGAACAGTCATGCCAATGCGCCAGTTGGCCGTTTTCTTGTGATCATTAATGATCTGGTTCGTCATTTCGATGATCTCGTCCAGGTCCTTTTTCAGATCGATCATTTCTTGGTTCTCTGGGTCTGCGGTCAAAGCAGCCTCAACCTGGCCCAGCTGCAGTTTGTAATTTGCTAGTTGCGAAATCGGATCATCCATTTTCAAGTTTTCTGAGAATTTTTCAATAATTAGTTTTTGCGAAAGAAGATTTTAAAGGGTCAATGCACTGCTGGAAACACTCTCCCACTGAGACTCTAGCTCCTGGGAATAAAAGACAACAATTCTAGTTTTTAGCTGCTGCTTCTACTTTATTCGAGAGACAACTGACCAGTCGAGACTGGCACTGCGCGCGCAACGTCCCACTGATCAGTATCAAAGTTCAACGGGTTCGCCCAGAATGCGCTAACCCTTTACCTCCCCTTGATACAGAACAGTGCGACAATAAGTAAAGTACAGGTAGAATGTCCCTTTCGGGCTCGAAGGAACATCGGTAGAATTGGGACAGTCGGCGGCAGATTTTTGAAGAGGGTTTTGTACGGTGATGAAGCAGCAAACATCTTGATCCTAAGCAGTAGACAACTTCCAATCCCCAAAAAGCATCAGAAAGCCCAATTGCCAACACTAGCCTTCGTACTTTTTCTTCGTAGGGTCCAGCGAGAGACGAGATGGACGGAGAATATTCCGCTTGGGGCTAGGAGAAGACGGGTTGGAAGTAGACCTTTGGGGTTGTGACGAAGCCAGGATCAGGAGCGAAGATGGGATCAGAGATGTTGACTCCGTCGCCGAGCCAGATTTTGGAGCTTCGAATAGAGGCTTTGGCGGAGCGATCGGAGAGAGAGAAGATGGAATCTTTTCGGGCGGTTTGGGCTTGCGTGACCGAGATTGTGACTCGATACCCTTACCTCCCCTAGTCACATGATCGTTCTGCTTTATTTTCGACTTGAAGTTTTTGATCAAGTGTGGCCATTCGGTCAAGTCCAGATTTTGATCATAGTCATCAAGGAAAGGAACTATTTCCTCGATCGCGGCGACATGGGAACGGTGAATGAGGTCGACGGTGCTGTTTGCATCTTCGACGAGGCAGACCTGCTGGTTGGTGGATCTGAGGGTGGAGGGGCCACTCCATTTTGCATTGGAGTTTTTGGCGTCTCCGGCGAGTGGGCGTAGCTTGACAACTTGGGGTTTTAGTTTCGAAGCTTCGGTGAACTCGAACTTGACGTTTCCAAGTAAATTGTTTATCGAGTAGGAAGAGATATTGCTGTTGCGCAAATAATCTCGTCCTAAGAGTGCTGGGCGGCATTGTCCATCCATCACAGTTGCGGCGAGCTCAAACTGAGGGCCTTTGTCGAATCTAACCTTGCAGTAGAGGGTTCCCCTTGGAGTTTCAGCTACTCCGCTAATACCGGCTACATCGTGGTTTGGAGCGCTCAAATTGCGTAGCACGTTTTGGGGGATAACATGCGAAGGTAGAATTGTTGAATATGCGCCAGTATCGAATTCGATGTTGCAGTCGAACGAATCTTGTCCTGACTCAAATGTGGCGCGTAGAAAATATCCAGGGCGGGATTCGACCTTTTCGGTCAGGTGCACTGGAATTGCAGAGAAGAGGGCATGGACATCGGCGAAATTATCGGGTTCCACGTTGTAGTGGCTTTTACGCTGCATTTGATCGGGCTTTTCGGACTTCTCGTCCTTTTTCTGCGCAGAATTCTGGTCCCGATTGTGCCAAGAGCGTTTACCCTCGCCATGTTTTCCATAACCTTGCTTCTGTTTGTTGTTGGATCCGGGTTGAGTTTTGTTGACGTTGATGACATCTGAAGAAACGCGGTTTCGGCGACTGGTCTCGGCTTTGAGTGCGAGGTCGTTAAGCGTGAAGGTTTTGTCGATGGAGCTCAGAAGAGCGTTGTAAGTGTCAGGCTCCTGGTCGCGGAGGGCTCTGACAGCGAACATTGTTGCCCATGCTTCGTGGATATCTTCCACATTTGGCTCAGCATCGTTGTTAGCAGTTTTGAAGGTTTCGAGAAACGCGGCTTTTGCCTCAGCGAGTTTTGTTGCGAGCTCGGATGTGAAATGAGTCACGGGGCGCGATCGGTCGAAAACGATGTCGCTGACATCGAGCATCAGTAGAAAATGCGAGATTTTTGGGCCATAGTGCTTCTTGAGAAGCCCAATGGCGGCGTCGACGTCGTCACAGGCGCGGAGATCGTTACCGATAAATCGGGCGACGTTCGGAGCTAGCTTGCTGGTAAGAGCGTTGAGGAATATTTTTTCGTCGCCGTCGCGGCGTAGATGACTGTCTTTGAATACCCTCATCGCTGTTATAAAATCCACAAACTGGCCGGGGCTATTTCCTTTGAAGGGCTGGATTGACGCGAAGCTTTTGTAGAACAAGTTGCAGATGTGCTGCTCGCGCTGGTCGTATTCCCTGTTGGAATTTTCGGCCGGTGGATTGGCGTATTTGCGTTTTCGGACCAGGTCCTTGTAGTGCAAGAATAGCTCGCGTTCTTTTTGGAGCTGTTCTTCCTTCATCGTCTGTAGTGCTTTATCAGTCGGAGCGGATTTGAGCTTCTTGTCGAGATCAGCGATGAAGTCGGCGATTTGTTCCAGGGCGCCGTCGCATCTTTCGACGGTTTCGGGGAGATTTGGCATCTCCGAGATGTACTAGAACGGGCGAATCACTGATTTCGAGGATTTCTACCTTGACCGACCCGTTTCTCAAAGACAAGAATTGTCTAGGAGAAATTTACGGGGTTTGAAGAGCAAATGAAGATTCAATAGCGGTCGTAGCAGTTGATTGATGTCGTAACTTGGCGGGAGATGTGCGATTTATAAGAGCTGCCAGGCTAAGAAGGGCCGATTTACTGCTTTCGAGCGAAATTACCTCGACCGGTCCGACTAACTAAGACTTTTGAGGGTCAAAGTTAGATAACGGACTTGGAGAGCGCGAAATGTCGTTGAAAATAGGCGTCAGCGGCGGCGCGAGATCGAAATCGCAGCGGTTGCACAAGTTGACGTGGCAAAACGGTTGGCGCGGCGGTACTTTTCCACACGCGACGAGTACCGGAAGTGAGAACACGAGTGCTAATCCAGGTTCGTAACGGCCTTGGGCGGAGAAAAACGCTGGACAGGGTAAAAGACGATCAAACGTTGGGTAGGGCGGGTGGTCTTTGACGAATCGTAGGGTACTCAGCTGATTTTGGAGAATTTGGAGGGATGAGATGGATGTGTCGAGCGGTAGACAAGGTGGAGGGTTGAAGGTGTAAGTTCTGGGGCCGCGGGAGTTCTCTATGTCGAATTTATGAGCGAAGTCTCTGACACCACTAAAGGGTCAATGCACTGCTGGAAACACTCTCCCACTGAGACTCTAGCTCCTGGGAATAAAAGACAACAATTCTAGTTTTTAGCTGCTGCTTCTACTTTATTCGAGAGACAACTGACCAGTCGAGACTGGCACTGCGCGCGCAACGTCCCACTGATCAGTATCAAAGTTCAACGGGTTCGCCCAGAATGCGCTAACCCTTTAATTTTATTCATTTGGAACTTTCGAAGCTTGATTCAGTTTTTGAATACAGAAAATCTACTTTTTGAGTACAGAAAAGGTGGATTAGGCAGTTTTTGGTACAGAAAAGAAGAATTTAGTTTTTGATTGGCTTTTTTGCAAAATTGAGTAAATAGAGTCTTATTTATAAAATTTACAATTTTACAGTTTCTTTTTCGTTTTCAAAAGACTCGCTTTTGAATTCATATTTAGCGATTGATGGAGAAGCAGAAATTGGGTTTTGAAGGCACCGACATTTAGTTTATTTTTGAGCTTATTCTTGTAATTCTAGCGCATGGCAGTTCAGTGGCCGCCGGCGTTGGAAAGCGTCAAGTTGTAAGTGACTTGGTGGCCTCTGTCCCAGGCATAGAGCAGCCCGTCGACGGGCGAGTAGTCCACCATCGTGTTCCACTCGTACTTGTTGGTGAATGGAATGTCGATGAACTTGAACGCCTCTGAACATTTTTATTTCAATCGACTCGGCTCAGAGGGGAAATGACCTGTGTGGGTGTTGTACATGAAATTTAGGCCGGTGTATTTTTCGTCGTATTTCTTCAAAACGTACAAAACGCCGCAGACCATGAAGGCGTTTCCCGACCACTGTTTACGCCAGTTCGTCCTGAAGGTCTTCAACACGTCCAGAGTCTGAAAATTCGAGTTCAAGATAGAGCTTCTCATAAAAGTAGTCCTTGCCAAAACGAAGAATTGCTTATTGTAAAGTACCTTTGGGTCTAATTTAGAAACGACGATGTCGAGGGAGTTTTGAAGCGTCGCATAAATCACCCAAAGTCCAGTTTCATCCGCTGCGAAATCGATGTCCGTTGATCCAGCCCACTTTTTTTAGGTTTTCAACCTGCATTTTCTTTAAGTTTAATTTTTTTATCAAAAACCGTGGCTGATAAGGCGCCATATTTCCGAAGCCGGCTTCTGGGAGAGATCTTTCTGCAGCGACTTTTCGTGTTGCGAAATCGAACCTGAAAATGATGATGAAGAAGACTGTTTTTGATGTTGTCTCACCGAATAATTGATGAAGTGTTAAATTTATTGAAATAGACGGAGCCATCGTAGATCTGGTGCCCAGTACCTGCCCAATTGTATGGAACTGAAAACTTAATATTTAAAAGCCCCCTTTTCAGCCCTGTTTCGAGCAATATGGGAATTGCACTGACCTGTGTAGTTTGTAAGGGGCTGGTCTTTGATGAAATCTACCAGGCGGGCGTACTCAACCACGAGCGTGTTTCTGATTCAAGCTTCAAAAGAGCAAAACTGGAAGTAAGGGATTCGAAAGAAGAAATGAATCGAATTCTCGAGTTTTCCGAAGCGTTCCTGTAAAAATGCTCCATAATGTAAATCGAGCTGGATTCCTTTCTGAAGGCGTCTCTGCCCCAGAAGCCGAACATTCGTCCCGACTTCTTGTAAGTGACTGGTTCGCCAACTTCCGTGATTTTGCCGCATTTTCCGTCTAAGCTGGGGATTTCGTCGATTTGCTCGTCGTCCATTACCACGAAAGTTTCGTCGTCCATTACGCTAAAAAATGAAATCAAGAACAAATAAAATAGAAATCTAACCTGTAAGCAGTGTGCCTCAATTTGTTCGCCGCTTCGACCAAAACCGACTGCTTCAATTTGTAGCTCGAAAGTTCGACGACAATCGCTCTCGGAGCAGCTCGGTCTTCGCTTTTGCTTCCCACACGATTTGCTCTTTCGATATCGGATGCTTCGATTTGGTAGCCCAAGTATTCCAGCAATTCGACGATTTTTCCGGCTGTGTCTTCGTTTTCTTCCTCGGGGATTCCTGAATTTGACAATTAACACTCTTAAAATTTCCGAAATCTAATGATTCCGCCTTCCAATTGACAAAAACTGACCTTTTAGTCGAATAAACCGCGATCTCGAGTCTTCTTTCAGCTCCCGAATGTAGCCAGTATTTGTTTTCAAATCAGCCCGCAACTTTTCGTTGCTATTCTTTATTTCCGCAAAAGTAGACTCGATTTCTCTCGATCCCCTTTCAAGCTGAAAAAGACTCGCTCGGACACGAGTGAGGGCTTCGATCGACGTTTTCTGACGATCGGAAAAGACCAAACTCGCCGTCGAAAACAGCAGCGGCCAAATGACGACTCCAAGGACCATCAACAAAGAGGCCGATTTCGCGGACGATTTATCTAACCCATCTTTCATTTTCTAAAGGTTCAGCTAGAAAAGATCGGCTGCTTTAGGGGTTATCCGTAAAATAAGAATTTTCAGTGACAGAAAAAGCAGCAAGTCGTTATTTTTACTGGACAGAAGTAGAGCGCTTGAATTGCCGTGGGTCGCCGCTTTCCCAGTTGATATTCGGATCCGACAAGTCGTTGTTGGCGTTGAACTGGAGGCAGAACTCGTTCACGCGCTGGATCGAGCCGTTTTTGCTGGAAAGAGTTCAACGAGGTAGCGAGAAAAAGAACCGACCTGATGTACAAAGTGAGAACGTCTTTGAAGAGCTTGGTGTATGCCCGCTGGATTCGGAGAATGTCGCCTTCGCGCACCAGCCCGCCCAACTCGCCCCACATTGATAGGTTAACCTGATTCAACGGGTTTATTGGGAGACAATGAAAAGAAGAACTTACTCTGCCAGTTTTGTCGGCGATGATGATGTTTCTGACTTCGTTTCCGTCCGTTGTTCGGATCGCATTCGTCACGCTGGAATCATTTCTATTGATGACGACTCAATTTTTGCTTACCCGAGACAGATGACGGTCAAATTGGCAGTTTTGGTGGTCAGTTTTAAGTCTTTGATCCAATTCACGACTTCTGGAACCGATGGTTCTGGTCTTCCTTGCGCGTTTTGTGGGTTGAAACGAACCCCAGAAGTGCTTCTGTGATTGCCGTTGTGATTGTGGTTGTGGTTTCGATTTCGCGGGTCTTGGGGAACGCTCATTTTAGCGCCTTTTCGTTTTCTGAAATCAACAAGGAGTCAATTTTAATTCGCAGTGAGTCAATTTCCTTGTCCAGGCAGCAAAAAATGAGAAAATCAGATGTTGAGCGGCTTGTTGTAAAGCAGAACTTGGCGCTGCTTGAAGCCTTTTGCACTCAAAGCGGAAGTGAGGTTGATCGGATCCGAGAACCCGATCGAAGTCAAAAAGGATGTGAACTCGCAGGGCTTGAACTTAATGTTTTTGTAGTTTTCCTCGATTTCGGAAGTCAGCTTCTTCCGACGCGCATAGCTTTTCCAAGGCTGAAAAGAATTTAATTTATAATTTATTACAAAAAGCGGGAATACCTGTGGCTCGAGAAGAAAGCGGCCTCCTGGCCTTAGCTGCCGAAATATTCTTCTGAAGAATCTCTTGATTCCGTTGTCGCCATTGTTCAAATGAACCCATTTGGAAACACTGAAAGCAATGATTGTGTCGTACTCTGGCTCCTGCCGCTCCAAATATTCGTCGCAGCTGAAGACGTAGTTCCCTAAATAAAAATCAAAAAGGAACGAATGATTTTAGTACCGTTGATGAAATGGACGTTTTCGGGAAAGTCCTTTCCTTTCGAGTTGGAGAGGCCGGTGTTTACGAAAGGAGCTCGTAAAGGACCGTATAATTTTGAAAAACTGGCCGGGAATTTCTTTTCTTCCGCGCAATAATGCCTAAAAATAGAAATGAATAATAAAGAAAATGCTTTCTTTTTACCGAATATTTTTCTGTGCCATTTCGATGAGCTTTTCGTCGATGTCGATTCCCACTATTTTCCGAGGCTTCAGATCCCTTAAATCAATTTTTATGCCCGATTCTAGCGCCTGAAAATGAACCTGGCGATAAGAAGCGTCAAATGACCCGAGTTGCAGCCAATGTCGAGAACGTCGAGTCCCTCCATCCATTCTTTCTTCATCAGATCGATCCGATAGTCTGAGAATTTGTCGCTATTTCTGTAACTGAAAAACACTTTCACGAGCCTGTTAGGAGATAAAATTTGTGTACCCGTAGTACTGGATGTAGTTTCCGTGGGGAAAGGTTTGTTTCTCGCCTCTTTCACCGTTTTTCTTGCTAGACTTTTGATTCTGTTTCAGCTAGAAAGCAATTAACAAAGGCGAGTAAAAAGTAGATCACCTGTGAGCCAGATTTAGACCCTTTTCTCTGCTTCTTGGGCGCTTTTTTGCTTTCTTCATCATCGAGGCCAAGAGGATCTTTCAGATTTTCGGGTATTTTCAAATCGGTTGCTTCTGAAATCGGAAGACTGAATTCATTCTCTTCCACATCGTTGATTATTGCATCCTGACTCAAAGAATCAAGCCCTAGCGGATCGTCGACTGATCCGATCGGAAATTCTTTGTTCTCCGAATTCGAGACCTTCCTTTTTCTCGGTCGCGATTTTATCTGGCTCATTTTTCTGAAGAAGATATAAATTAATTCTTGAATTGAACGTAAAGGGCAGTTTTTGAAGCAGAGCAGGATTTGAATCATTCTTCCATATTGTTTTGGTAGTAGTGGCCGGCGATCTCGGTCAACCATTCTTGCTGAATTACTGAAACTTCGCGCATGTATTTTCCTTGCGTCACTTCTGTGTACAAAACGCATTTCGGGGGCTTTTTCATGTCTGCCAGCGCGGAATCGGGGTGCAGCTTTTTGAGGGTTTTCAAATTTGAAGATCATGGGTACAGAACTCGGCAACTTTTATGGAGCTAAAAATCAAACCCGCTCCTGAAGAACGACAGCGTCTCTGACAGTCTCATAAAGCCCATCTCCCCTCAGAATCGCCGCATTCGGAAACAAACCGGCCGTTATCGCCTTCAAAACAGGAAAAACATTTTCCCTAGCTGAGGTTTCTTCGATTTTCCATCTTTTAAGAAACTTAGAAAGCTGCGTTCGAATTTGACCGACGCGGACGAGAGCTCTTTTCTTCGGTTTTCAAAGATCTGCTTTTGCAGTCAGTCATTTTCTCGAAAATCGATGCCTGTGATTCAAAAAGCGCTTGTTAGTAAATTTTCTGTCTCTTTCGCACTCTTCGAAAGTCTCGAACGCATTCAGCATCGAAATGTGATCTCCCTCTTCGACTTGGAATCTTCTGTGCTCCCTCGAAGCTTCCTGTCTTCTCCCCGGCGGAATCTGGAAGATCGTTCTCACGCTCAGCAGAGCCACCATCGTCAGAATCTCGCGCACGCACTCGTACTCGATCGAGGCCAAAAGCATTTTCGCGAAAAAGGGATGAAGCGGCAGTTCCGCGATTCGCTCACCGATCTTTTCTGTCAACTCGCATTCTTCGTCCAAAGCTCCTTGAAATTCCGAAAGTTAGATTCAGCAGAGGCTTGGCTCAGCAGCCTGTGTAAAAACCTGACTCATAGTCTGAATGATTACTTCATGAAAGACCTTTCAGTCTCTAATTCAGGTTTTTTTGCACAGCAGGCGATTTTTACCTAAAGCGAAGAGCAGTTCCAGCGACCTGGAAAGCGCCTGAGCTGGCGGCGGCGAGGGAAAGTCGAATCTGACGACGTTGCTGATTCCCAACTGCTTCAATCGCAAAATCGTGCTCGTCAATTCCGATCGCCGCATTTCTGGAACAGTTGCTTCCATCAACTTGTCGTAGTCTTGCTGAGTGTAAAGTCGGTAGCAAGAGCCAGAGCGGACTCGACCGGCTCGACCGGCGCGTTGATTTGCGGCTGCTTGAGAAACTGGAACTGTCGTAGTTGAATCGAGCCCGTTTTTTGGGTTGTAAGCGGAAATCTTAACGAAGCCTGCGTCGATCACGTGCACGATGCCAGGAAGAGTTAACGAGGTTTCGGCGATGTTCGTAGAAACTTTTTGAAATGTCAACAACTGTTGACCACTTGAAAAATAGGGTTGAAAAAGCCAGATACTTGAGCAGTTGTTGACTCTTTCCTATAACTTTTCTGGTGTTCCTCGGCAGACTTTCAAAAACCCTCATTTGGTCTATGACCGGCAGCGATCCATAAAGCGGCAATGCCTTCATCTTCATCAGCGGAACACCAATTCCCTGCGCTTTCAAAATCACCTTTCCGACTTCGTCTCTCAAGTTGTCGCAAAGACTATCGCAGTCCTCCGCCGAAGTCACGAAAACTAAAATGTCGCCAGGCTTGTTGTCGCGGTGGATCTTCAAAACTGTTTCGAGCGATTCTTTCATGTAGTCGGGACAGGGTTTTTCCAAGTAGAATATGTCCACTGGATAAGTTCGGCCTTCCAGATGGATAATTGTCGAGGTGTCTTGTTCTGCATTGCCGGTCAGATTGTGATTGAAGAAATCTCTGAAGAACTCTGCATCAAGCGTCGCCGAAGCAACAATAATCCTCAAATCCGGCCTCACTTTCTGAATCTTCTTCAAAAGTCCGAGACACATGTCTGTCTGCAGGCTTCTCTCATGCGCCTCGTCGATCATGATCACCGAGTAGCGCCGCAAAAGAGGATCGGAGGTCATTTCTTGGAGCAAGACGCCGTCGGTGACGAATTTCACACGCGTCTGTTCTTCGTCTTGCTTCGAATCGAAGCGGACTGCGTAGCCGATGCTGGTTCCGATCATGGCTCCTTTCTCATCGGCGACGCGGGTTGCCAGGGTTACAGCAGCGACTCGACGAGGTTGAGTGACGCAGACTTGGTAGCCGCGGCTAGTCCAGCCTGCTTCGTGGAGATACTAGAAGTTGGATTTAGGAGAGAGTGATTTGAAAAGGATGGAAGCCGATTGCCGCCTTGGCTCGACAATTTGATAGGAGAATGCTCAAACCTGTGGAATCTGGGTTGACTTTCCGCATCCAGTTTCTCCAACCAAAACGAGCGTTTGAAAGTTCTCGACGGCCCAAAGGATGTGATTTCTCCACTGAAAAATGGGCAGCCTCTGTCTCTGCTGCGTTAGCGACAAGTTGCTGTTCGGATTGAAAGAGGTGATTTTCTCGCCCGATCCGGCGTCAAGCAACACTGCTTCTTCGGGCGCCGACGCTCCCGGTCGCCAAACTTTCATTTTTCTGAAAACTTTGAGATAAGGGATTTGATAATCTCTAGAATCGGGCAGAAGGGAGGAAATGTTGTTGGGAAAGAAGTCAGTTTGAATAAGAGTCAAAAAGAGAAAGGATTAAAGGTAAAAACTAGTTCTTTAGTTTCGGAATTGAATACGTTCTTTTTATAACTTTTATATTCGAGATGAACGACTGGAACCGCCGGTACGAGCTCCCCACTCGCCCTCGGCGCCAGTACGACTATGTCCAAAACGCGGAAGTGGACGAGCTGATGCGCCAGGAGCAAGAATTGCTGCAGAGCAACGAGCACGAATGTCTCTACAACGACTGGCGCAACAAGTCCAAAGACATGAACGAGCGCTTCGGCTACAAAGAGCTCGAGAACCTCGAATACGAGCAGCTCACTAGAATCAAGGTGAAATTAAAGAAAAACGGGAAACGGTAAAACTGAAAATTCTAGCGCGCGGCGATGAAAAAACGAAAAAGCGCTTTGAAATCGCTCTTGGAGTCGGAAAACGCGAAATACACCGAGGAACTAGACCAAATGCGATTGACAAAGCTGGTTTCGGAAGAATTCGTTCTCAAGACCGTCTTCCCGCCAAAACGAAACAACAAATTCTCTTTTTAAAAAAATCACAAAAAGCTCTTTTCACAATTTGAAAATTCAAAAAGCAATAAATATTTATTTTTATCCCGCTTCGTCTTCTTTCTTTTTTCCTTCTTTTGAATCTCTTTAAAAAATAGCGTTTTTGAACATGAAATCTGAAAAAAATAAAAAGTGTCCTCCGGATGCGTGGGAAACTTGCAGCAGGAGGGCTGCGGGGCGGAGGACTTTTCGGCGGGGCATCCAGAAATTCCATCTGTCATAAATGATGATCGCGGTATATAGATTTTTACGACAGCCACCCGCCAAATTTCGAAAAAATATTATGCCAAAATTTTTTGGGCGAAAGCTTACAAAAAAGAGCAGTTATCTTTCTCAAATGAAATTCATTCAATGAGTTTGTTTGAATTGAGCAAAAATTGGCTAAAAGCTGGGAAAAGCGCTGAAAAGAAAAGATACAGTCACATTCGATTCTCCTCATTGATTTCCTCTGACACGCGCTTCTCCTCGAGCTGCCAGCGTGCATTCCTCGGTGAATTCTCAACTTCCAATAAATACAGACGCGGATCAGTACTTTTCATCAAACAAATCAACTTCACTATTTAACCAAATCAAAAATGAAGCTTTCACTCGCCTTCGCAGCTGTTGCCTCAGGTTAAGACCTTCACATGTTGAAAAAAAAGACACAGTAATTCGTAGGTTCTGGCCTCTACGGTGGCTTCCGAAACCGTCGATTTGCCACTGGCCTCATCAACCCTGGCCTCGTCAAATACAAGCGCAACTACGTCGAGAGTGGCAATGTTGAGCAGTTCGACGCTCTGCTCAACGATTGCCTCGATAAAGGAAAGTTTCAAAATCTCCCTACTGCTGCTTATAATTTCTTTGTCAGCTTTGAAAACTCTCTCAGCATTCCTCGACAACGGCTTGGACGTAAACCTCGACGATTTCTTGGACTACATGAGCGCCTGCGAAAAGAAGGTTCTCGCCACCGTCGCAGGTCAAGTCAAAACCAGATCCGTGAACAAGATCTATTCCTTCTTTGGATAACGGTTCTGACTCCTGAAAAGCTTCACTCTGAAATACGACGACTTGGAGTTTCATTTTTTATTTTACTTTCTTCCTGCAATACAAAAAAAGAATCAAACAAAAATGAAGATTGAAAAGAGCAGCGAAAAAATTGTGAGTTGACCGGTTTGAATTGCGGAGCCGGGGTTGTTGGGTTTCGGAACGTATTCTGGTCCGTTACAATGGTTCGACTGGCAGATGTAGCTCGAGATGGTCTGCTGCCGGTGAAAGTGGTTTCGCTGCGTTTCTAGGGCAAATTCTTGTATCAAATATACTGGTGGATTTATTACCTGTTTGCTTGTCATCTTCAATTCCAGTTCCATTACTACAGTGACGTTTGGTAATTCGACTCAAAGGCGTGCCAGTATTGTAGTCCCAGTACTCTTCTTGGTCCACGATGCATTCACCAAAGCACTAAAAAGCTCAATGTAAGTGCATAAAACGTTGTTTGAAGTTTACATCTTTGACGTGGAATTTTGGCGGAAGTCGTTTCGGGTGTTCGATGCAATTTTTGTCCTCTTGCTTCATTACCCATTGATTCTCCTGCGAGTCAAAGTGGACGTGAGAATTGCAAACATAGCAGTCGGAAGCGTGAGGTTCTCCCTGAAGAAGATCGGAGCTTTTTGCAGCAGAATGAGGCATTGTCAAGTTTTGCAAAGGCTAGAAAGACAAGAATAAAAAGAGAAAAAAGGGAGGTTGAGTACAAAAACTGCTGATTGAATGCATTCATTGTTGTCGGACCCGCAAAGATGGTACTGTTGCTTGTGGACCATTCCTTCCGCGTGATCCTTGTAATCGTATGTTTTCGACCCTTCGAAGTTGTCGTAGTACCCGCGCTCGGTGTAGTTGTAGGTGATATACCTAGATCGAATGATCGAAAATAGGAAAGGCGGTTGAATACGGTTTTTTACTTAGAAGAGCCATCTGGTTGAATTTCTTCTTCATATCCATGTCCGAATAAATACTGGCAATCCGTCCGAATTAGACCAACCTTCCCGGTAACAGTATTGTGGTGCTCTCTGTACTTCATCTTTTCAATCACTTTTGTGCTGGAAAAATTGGTCGGTTGTTTCAAAAATTTTTTGGACTTACTAAGAATCCGGCTCGACGCAGTTGTAATCGCCAGTTTCAACTCCAAGCTCTGAAATGCTGTGCTGGCACTCGTAGCACTTGATGACTTCGTCCATGTTGGGCGCTTGCCCTCTGGCGAGAGCGAAAAAGAAAGTAGCAGCTAGCTTCATTGCCGTCTATTCTGATCTGATCTTGAGGAAATGGAAGAAGTGGAAGGTGTGAAAATCTAATGCTAATAATTAGTAGTATCATCACGAGTGAGTTATTTATTTGGCCATGTGAGTTCAACTTGACACAAGTTTTGAAGGAAAATCAATTCTTGAAATTTTGGATCAGGCTTGAAGCTTCAATGAGCCTCGAAAATAATCGATTTTAAAATTCGCCGAACTTTTTTTTTACCAAAAAACAGCGCTCGGGTCCATCGATAGATCCGTGGGCGGACGATCAAACTTGCACTCCCTCATCCCCAATCAGCTGTTCACTTTTTGCACATTTGCTAATTTGTATCAAAAAAGAAAACGACAGATAGAGAGGTCTTAAATCAAGTGAAAATATTTTGCGTCCAACCAGGCTTGAAGATTTAGAGAGATAAAGACAGTCCACCCGAGTGAGCACAAAATTGAAGAATTCAACAAATTTCCGTATACTTTTTCAAATAAGAAAAACGTCATTGTGTGCCCAACAGAACACGTCATTTGTTAGTTTTACTACTGGCTTGAGAGAGGAGGCGTAAATCAAAGTTCGAAGGTATTTTTTGATTTTTCTGGTGATTTTTTTAATGATCGATTTTCAATTTCCTGCTGGGTTCCTCTTCTGAGCCCGGAAATTGAAAATTACGCGCTCAATTTCTGATTCCGATTTCGATGATTGACAATTAGAGAATTTCTCAAAAAAAAGGATGAGCAACTAATGCACTAGCCCCTCGGCAAGATTGTACAACCCCCGCTGCAGAAAAAAGCCCCTATCGCTTCTATTTTTTATTTTATCAGCAAATAGATAGATAACACACAGAAGAGGGAATGCCTATTTTGTTAAATGCGAGATGCAGTTCTGGTAGACTCCTCGCATAAATAATTAATCAAACAGATGAGAAAAGGGCTTAGAGAAAAACTCAAGGGCAGGAAGAAAAGTTTAAATTCTTGATTTACCAACTTCTGAAAACCAGTTTTTGAAAATAAATTCTTCGATTTTTGGACAAAAGAGAGAGAAAATTAAAGGCTTCCCGCTGAGCTTGAATGGGTTTTAAAAGTTAAAAAAAGCTTTTGTTGACATTTTCTCAGAAGATTTTTTGCCCAATAAAAGAGTCAAAAAATCGAATAATTATTCAATGCACATTTTAAGGGATCCGCTTTGAATAATGAAATTTTGATCTTTACAGTAGAAGTTCTACTGTAGAACTATTGGGTCCTTGTTTTTCAGCCTGTAGGATTTATGACACCCTGAAATTAACTTTAACAACTGCTATTTGCCCAAGAACACCATTATCTCGAACACAAAGCCTGAGCAAATTTCGCATTTGAACATGTCCGGAATGAGCTTCCACATAATTCATTCGCGGCTCCATTGAGCCATGATCAGCTGTAACTCAAACAAAGATGAAATTTGCCACCCAGGACAGTAATAATGATCCACAATTCTTTCGGCTCTGGGAAAGAAAAGTGATCATAAGAAGAGAAAAAATAAGGGTCAAATATTGACTCGTAGTAAATACACTCGATTTTTATAAGAAAAATAGTTTCAATCAGGCGATTAGTTAGCGATAGACCAGCAAACATTGCCTTTTCTGACAGCGAGTTTTTATGGTGTTTGCCTATCACCACCACTGCGACTCTACTTTTGGTTACTTTTCAGTACTGGCAAGTTTTTGTTTTCAGAAGAGAAAGAGAGAGGATTCGGATTCGGAAAATATTTCAGAAGAAAAGAATTGATCAATGAGTGATGAAGAAGCGGCCCCAGATATGTGAGTAAAGAAAAAACTACCAAGAATACAAAAAAAAAGACAGTAAGTGTTCAAAAATTGAGGAAAGGGATGAAAGCTTTTTCGAGCTCGCAAAGCTAAGATCCCTGGTGACTTTATTTACTCAAAAAAAACCTTGGTGAGAATAGAACTTCGGTGTAAATTTTAAAGCATTTTTACGATTTATGGCTCTACCAGTCGAAAAAGGCTCATCCATGGTGCCCTCGCCCCGGGGTTTCAGTATTATCTTTCGATAAATTTTCAAGTAATTTTTTATTTTAGAGACTTATTTTCGCAAAAAAAAAGTTAAAACCTGTATTTTTAAAAATGAAGACAACGAAGAGTACGGAATGTAGTCTGCTTCTTAGGGAGATTTGACCTTATTTTCTGATTTCAATTTTAATTTATGGTCGTCTTTCTTATAACCGCTCTAACTCTGGCAGGAGCTGGCTGGGCTGGAAAAAAGCTAAGAGCCAAGGTTTCTTCTAAAAAATTATCAGACCGTGAAAATTGAGAAAAAAAATGTGTAACAAACCATAAACAAAGGAAAAATACTGAAACACCGCGGCAGGAGGCACCTTGGGCACCATCGCAAATCGATTGCTGCGAAGCGGCCAATCCCAAAGCCCAGAACACGCGCGCGATTTGAACAGCGCCCAAACGCGCAAAAATTTAAAAGAGAACAGAGAAGTTCCAAGGCGTTTAGAGAGGTTTATAAAGAGTGGCAGCGCCGTAAAACGTAAGAAATATAATCATATAAAATCCTAAAAAAATATATGCAAAAACCCCTCTTTTCTATCATTTTTTTACTGTAACTGCTTGATAGTAACATCCTCCCTTAGCGTGAGAGATGATCTGGCGGCCAGGCGAAATCTCGTTGCCGGATCATCCAGCGTCAAGCATTTCTTGCCCGAATGCAACAACAAAGCTTATCATGAGCGTTATCGGTAAACTTTTTTTTTATAAAAGGCTTGCTTGCTGTTTGCTCACAATTTCAATATTGTTTTTTTTCTTCTTTCCTTTAATTGCATTTTGATCATTTTTGCTCAAAAAATAGGCTTTGAATTGGAAAAAAATGGTTAAAAATAGCTTGAAAATTGAGAAAAATGATCAATCATGCTCAACGAGAAGAAAAAAAAACGATTCCGCGTTTAGTAGCACGTGTGGTAAAATAATCGTTTGACTTGTTCGTTGATTCTCGGGTGTGATTTGAAACTATAATTACAGTCATTTCAACTGTTGCACACTCTTGGCTGTTTGTAATCAGGCTCAAGAAAGCCCTCTTTGTGAAGCCTTTGTTACAAAGAGTCAAGTTTGTGAATATCCATTTTTGCTATTGAAAAAATGGACTTTTGAAACTGGAAAGAGAGAGAGAGAGAGAGTCACAAAGAGTCTTTAAAAACTGTCGCCTTTTCAGGATTACCGAGCAGCTCACGCACGAAGAACTTTCCAGGAAGAGACAAGAGCAGCAAGAAGAAGACTTTGCTATTCAAGACGTAAGTACAGAAGCAGAAATGATAAGAAACGCGTCAATTTGCGAAGAACGCATATTGCTTTGTAAGATAAGCGATGAGCTAATTTCTTCGCAAATAATTGCTTATTTCCTTCCAAAACAGTCTTTTCGTGACCCAAGTCGTATTCATTATCTGAAAATTCTAGCGCTTGGAATCTTGGAAAGAAAGACGTCGCCTGAAAAGAGAGGCTTCTCGTAAACAAATCGCCGAAATCCCTGCATACGACGACTGTCCTGTAGCAGCCCCTGCTCCCAGCCCTAGAAAAGTACGTTTACCACGGTTAAATCAATATTTTATTTTAAAGTATCATTTGTACAAATTGTTCATTATGCATCCAATCATACAAGCCATTGTGGTTTGTCTAAAAGTGCTTCGTAATTGAAAAACCTTTTTTCCCATGTTACTCATTTTTCATCTCGCCGGATTTATATTCCGATAGTTGATAATCAGAGATTCATATATTCATTGATTGATATTCTGGCTTTGCTAAAAAGCTCGGTGTTTCCCACAAGCTTCCGTTTTATTTTTCGATTTTGAAATTGAAAGATGAAATTAATTTTCATTCCTCAGCCTTCAATCAACCACGAGAAGTACGCAGCACTCGCTCGTCTCTACTCCACTGATTCTCAAGCCGAGTCCGGAGCCGTTGTTCTTGACACAGAGACTTACAGTCAGACCCACAGCGAGCCAGAGGCAGACAGTTTACAGTCAGAAGAGGAAGAAGAGGCGCCAATCAAGCCTGTAATTAAAACATCGCCGACGAAACAAGCGCCAGAAACAGCGACCATGAGAAACTCGGGAAGCTATTATCGTAAGTCATCTTTCAAGAATTGGCAGATTTGGGGGAAAGCTCTTGAGTCGAGATTTTGGGCAAATACCAAATAGTAGCGAGCTTGGATGAGCGTTTTTCCGGGAGATAATGATCATTTGATTTGATCACTTGAAAATTGTGTTGACAAATATTTACCATGGACGCGTTTCTAAGTCTTAAAAAGATAGCTGCTCGAATTACAAGCAATAAACTGTGTTATCATTTTTGTGGAAATCTGCATTTTGTCGGAAATTTGAACATGACAGGAAAAATTTAACCTATCGGCCCCTAAGTGCGCCGAAATTGACACCTGGCAGTACGCAGATTGTCGGAAATTACCGTCATGTCCGGGCCCCTTCTTTTTATTTTGACTGGTTCTAGGGAACAGAAATTCTTTTATTGACAAGCTAACCAATAACGGAAGCAGTAGATTACTGTTCACAAGGTTGCATCCTCTTTGCTCAGAGGGCGCCAAGGAGAAAACCTCAGTTTAACCGCTTCTAAGTGGACGAAAAACCAAAAATTTCACGTTGCCAACGAAAGCGACTCCTGCTTTGCTCGAGCTGAGAGCAAAATCAAAACAAATTTTGGTTAATTTTCGACTTCCGTAAAGAGGATTTACCAGTAGAGATAAAAGAAAATAAAGATTGAGAGAAAATATTGGCAGATGAAAAATGCGGACTATTTATGAAGAATATAATAAGACACAGCTAGGATTGTTTTCAGCGTACTAAAGAAAAGATTCTGCTTTATAAAATAAACTTAAAATTTTGAGTGATTTCTGGGATGTGATACCCTTAATGTCAAATTAAAATATCGTCATTTTAAAGCCTTGAAAACCATGAAAGGCCCAACAAAAGGACTCGCTCTAGTCCGTCACGATTCCCTAAAACGCGTCCAGGAAAAATACAGGACTAACTCCCTGCCCTCTATCTGCAAATACGCAAGTCTTATCACAAAATTTGCGCCCCTCCCAAACTCATGCTCGATCTCGCCCGGCTCGCACATTGCCCAGCCGATTCTAGTTTTTCCAGGTTTTTGAAAGCCTCTCTTTGAATTCTTTTCTTTGCTTGTACTATGTTTTAAATGTGATTTAGACTCAGCAGAACGCGTTACAAGCAGGACCGACGTTCCGCCCACTGCGGCGGTCAAGCCGCAACACCGCCCGGTCGAGAGCCTGGCTGCCCAGCTGCAGAGACAAAATATCGCCGCGGAGGGAGCCACAGGATATAAACAGTTCAAAAACGAGTTCCAGAATATTGACCTCAATGATACCAGATCTCCAATTCCAGAGCCCTCACAGTTCAAGGTTCGTTTTTTGCATAAAGAGGACCTCTATCTCGATAGGTTAATATTTAACTGTAGCAAGTCCGTCGCCAGGAATTTGCATCAAAGAAGGCTTTGTTCGAGGCTGTTCCATCCAACTCATCCTCCCAAAAAGTCCGGGAGTCGCTCCCTGGCCCAGGTCACATTCGCGCAACCCGCGAAGCACTCTTCAATTCCGCCGCTCAACCCTCTCAATCTTCAGCCAGGCCCACTTCTGCCGAGCGATTTCGCCGAGATATGCGCCTCGCTGCTGTTGAGGGCGCTGCTTTTCCCGATCCGCCTGTTTCTACCGTTCCAAAAGCCACCCATATCGCTTCCAAACCTGCCCCGAGTTATCAATACCAACAAGCTGCAAAGGCAACTTCTCCGATTCGAAGCCAAAGTGAAGTCGTTACACCTCTTCCTGGTCGATTTGCCGCACCTCCTCCTCCACCAATGACTCAGCATGAACCAGTCAGGACACAATCTGCGCCAGAGCAAGATATTTATACAGAAAATACGATTTGCATGAACATGGTAGGATAAAACTGCCGATCCCTTTTTAACCATCTCTAGAAACCCGGCTCGAGCAGAGGCTTCGGCTTCCAAGTCCGGGGTGGTGGAGGTCCTGGATCACCAATTGTTGTTGACAGCATCAAACCAGGTCTGATTCAACTCAAAAGCCGGTTTCTAACTGATTATTTAGGTGGAGCAGCGCATATGTGCGAGCTTTCTGTAGGAGATGAAGTATTGCAAATGAATGGAATGACTGTTGGAAAACTAAGTCAGGTAGTAAAAATCTTATGAAAAGTGCTTCAAGGTTGTTAAGGATCAAATTATCGAACTGATGGTGGAAGCAGTAAGAACTGGCTTGCTAAGATTGCGCGTGAGGAGGATCAACCAGCCGGCGCGAAAAAGTAATATTCCCGTCTGGGACTAGAACTCTCTTCTACCTATTCTTCTCCTTTTCTTCTTCTTCCTCTCTACTTCTACGTCTCTTATTCTACTTTCCTCTATGATTTCATATCCTTTATAATCAAAATTTTCAATTTTTAAAACTCTTCGTTCCCAGAAAAAGATCCAGCACCATCAATGAGCCTTTCTTCCGGCGCAAAAATGGTAGCAACAGAAGGCGGTTTCTATCAGATCATGGCGGACATCCCAAGAAAGAACTCCCTTCGTCCCCAGCCAACGCCAAGTCCAGCAGGCACACTTGATTCTGGACACGAGTCTGCCAGATCAAGTCCAACTCACAGTCCTAGAGGCAGAATGCCCGGCGAGGAGGAAAGATGGGCGCAAGATTTGAACGAGTTTGAAAGTCTGGAAAGAAGTCCGCTTGGAGGAAACGGCTTTCCTGAGGGAAGGTCGTGGAAGAATCCGTCCACCGCTCGATCAAGGGTTTGTTCATCCTTCAAAGAGGCATTTTTCTACGGTTTTTAGGAGGATGATGATTTGGCAAGCGTTCTAGCGATAGAACAAGAAGAGCTTGAACGAGAAATCGAAGACCGTGAGCGCGATAGAGAATTTAGAAGGCAAGATGAATACACTGAAGAGTCCATTCGGTAAATTTTTAATCCACTCTTTTCGATTCTAACTAACTTTACGCAGGAAAATCCGCGAAGAAATTTTTGAAAGTGGAAGGTATTGAATCGTTCTTGACGAAAATTTCTATAATTGATTGACTTAAACCGAATCATATTATGTTTTTTATTGTTTGCATGTAATCTACAGTTACAGTAGATATTCCCGAGAGAGCATAAGGTAATATTCTTTTAAGAAATCAAGGAAGACAGCAACACTGGATGCTGGAAGAAGCCGACAAACGATTACGTCATCAATATTATGTGAGGAAATAGATGTCTGTAGTTGATGTATCAAAATCACCACTGTCAATTTCAAAAGCTCAAATAGCAAAATTTGTGTAAAACAAGCTGATTTAGCTTTTGTCCTCCATTTTTTAACCAATGATGAGTCACTAACATCTTCATCTCTTGCATGTCAAAAACGCATTTTTACGTCGCTCAAGTTCGAAGCTAAAATTAAAATTATGCGAAATTCAAATAGGACATGGAGCGACTCCGAAAAGTAATGGACGATCCACGGATTCCTAAGTCGCAGATCTAATTGATGGTACAATTTTCAGTTATACTAAGCTTTGACTCTCGCTCAATTCAAAATACAACTTCTGTACAATTTTTGAAAATGCTCTCTTTCAGTTCCGAAATTTGTGAATAAATATATAATTCAAGAAAATATGAGTCAAAATGGCACCAAGGAAGTAATGCATGCCAAAACTCTCGAGGGTTTCTTTTATTGGGGGAGCATGAATTCACATTGAGAATAGAACAGAAAGAACAGAAAGGTAAAACAAGGATAGAATAAAACGAGTGAAGAAATGAGCGTTATTCGGTGTCAGAAGAAGAAAGGAGCTCGGTAAACTTTGTTCGGTTGAAGGAGGATTGCTGCGCTTTGACTGAAAGCTTCTGATGTCGCTGGTAGAGGTGATTGAAAACAGAGGGTTTTTCGATGGGTTGAATGGGCGATGACGATGGTCGGCTGAAGAAGTTGATTCCGATCTTTGGCTTGCTGAAAAATGTAAGGAAGGCGGGTGGTTTAGTCATATTTACCGAGCGTTATTGAAGTTTTTGAAGAGCTTGTCGATCTCTTGCTTTTCAAGATCTCTCGGGTTGACGGAAGGCCTTTCGTCCTTGATGCTCGTCGTGGATTTCGAGCGCTTCTGTTCCCATATTTTTGGCTTTGGCTTTTCTTCCAAGTCTTTTCCGCTGTCAATGTCCGGTGAGTGAAGAGGGGTAGAAAATGATGTACTGCGCGGAACGGGAGCGTATCCGAAGCTTGGCCACCAAGAAAATGAGGATTTGGGTTTTCTGATTTCCCCTTGTTTTTCGATGGGACTTATGTTGTTTCTTTATCGTTCGTAAAAAATGATCGACAAAAGACGGAAACAATTCCTGTTAGGAACAGACTTCTGAACTAGAGTTCCTGATCGATGTTTCTTTCTCAATGAAAAGAGATTCTTCATTGGAAAAGCGGTAATGGAGTAAATCGTCTTGAAAAAATCCTTCTCACAAATAAAGTCTTCGTTGTTTGAATTCACCATTCGCGACATGAACTGATAGAACATGTCGGTCGATTCTATAGCGATAAGGTCTTCTTCTTTTGTCTTCCAAATCGCGAGAATACCTGATTTTTGCCGTTGCTAGAATTGTGAATATTGAGCTTACCTCGGATGAGAATCTCATTTCCGTCAAGAAGAAGTCCATCCCATAGGCGATAGACAATTTTTTTTGGCAGGAAAGTCCCGAAGGCTGAAAATGTACTGTTTTCTAGTGCTAGCTGCAATTCTACCTGTGAGGAGCCATTGCATCATGTACGGACTGGCGAGAGGAGGTTCATGGCCATTTTCCCGAATCGAAGATTCCCTGTATTGAAACAATTAAAAACAAGAGAAAGAATCGGAGAAACCTGAGATTGATAAGATGAGAATTCACTTTCGGCGTGAAAGTCTTCATCAAGTCCGCCAAGACCTTCAAATCCGTTTGAATCCCCTCAAGATTGTGTGAATGATATTCTGGTGGCAAAACCGCGTGGAGCATAAAAATGAAAACTTGCAGCGTGTCCCACTCTGTTTCCATAACTTCCATTATCAAGGCCACGATGACGTTGAATCCCTGGCAGTAACCGCATTCTGGATTGTATCGAGCATAAGCAAGCAAGATTCGCTTCAAGCGTTGTTGATCGTGAGTTGAGCCGATGTTGGCAGTTCGGTGAAGATCTTTGACGATTTGGTAGTCCAGGTGCTTGTCATCGTCAGTCAAAGTAGAATTGAAAAGTGAAGGAAAGAGTTGTTTTCGATCCAGCCCGACTTCTTCGAAGTATTCTTCCGCAAGCCCCAGCCAGATCTTCTTCCTCCAAGAGTTCGGAAGCCCAACTTCCATCCTAAGCAAAGCCCTGTGCGATAAAAGCCAATCGTTGAAAGCCACTTTATCAGATACCAAAGGAGGTTCTACGGAAAACGTCGACTGAAGAGGACCTTTTGACTTTTTCGAGGAGAAAGCCTGAATAATCGCGGAAACGACTTGACAATTTTGAGCGATGTCGTCCTTGATGCCATTTTGTTTCAAAGTAAGCCTGACTAGCTTGCTTGATAGCTTCGATATATTGTCGTCAAGATCGGCTCGGAAGGAATCAAGCTCTTGGGTTTCCATTCGAAGGAGGTCAGCATGGCTGTAGTCGTCATCGATTGATATGAGCTTGCCCTCGATTACCTTGTCGCGGAGATTTCGATTGTGGCTAGTTAAAATTATGACAGAAATGGTTCGATTTTCCACATGCATGATAATATCAGCGATAAGTTATCATGCAATCAAGATATTGGGATTAAGGCCATCTGACAGAATGTCACATGACATGGAACTATCGGCTTGCATGCGAATCGCGCCCTCTTTTTCAAAATCAAGGCAATATAAAAAGAATCTTTCGACTATCACAAAAACTTAATTATAAAATGTAGATCAGAACTCGGGTCTTTATTTTCAATCGATTCAAAACGTATGTATAAATATTATTCAAAATGATTCATATTTAATCTTATCTTTTGTGATAAATCAATTTGTACACTTCCCTCAATATTAAACTAAACTTTTCAAAATGGTCTTGATGCAACATGCACACCGGAAAACATGACATACATTGACAAGACAAGACATTACATTCACGAGAAGCTACCTGTGATAGATATCCGAGAGTAAATCCTCAAGTAGCTCCTGCTCTTTTTTAGATTGTGTTGGAATTTTGTCCATGTTCCAATGGACCAAATCTATTAGAATTTCAATCTCTCAAGAAACATAAACAAATACAAGTAGGCACTTTAGTTGTGAACAGAACGGAGAGTCGACAGTAGGGAAACAAAAAGAGACAGACACAATTACAATTTTGAAGTTAAAGCGTTGAGCTAAGATGATTGATTTCAGGTGAAATTTAAATTGAACTATGTAGAATTTATAAATTAAAGGTATTATGGTAAGGAAGAGTAACTTATTCCCGGGCTCGGATGATATCGGAGAATTCGGGCTTGAGGGAAGCACCGCCAACGAGGAATCCATCGATGTCGGGCTTGGCCGCGAGTTCTAAGGAAAAAATGAAGAAAGGGATGATGTCGAGGAGCTTACCTTTGCAGTTCTTGCCGTTGACGGAACCACCGTAGAGGATTCGAACGGAATCAGCGACTTCCTGGGATACTTCAGCCTTGAGCCAGGCTCGGAGCTTCTCGTGGATGTCTTGCGCCTGCTCGGGAGTAGCGACCTTGCCGGTTCCGATAGCCCAGACTGGCTCGTAAGCGATAACGACCTTGCTCCAGTCATCGACGTTGTCCTAGATCACATTTTATCAAAGAAAGAGAATGGGTCATTTCTTGCCTTGATGAACTTCATCTGGTTGAAAACGACTTCTTCGGTCTTGCCAGCTTCTCGTTCTTCAAGCTGTTCTCCGATGCATGGAATGATGTTGAGTCCAGTGGCGAGGGCTTTCTTACACTTCTCGCCAATGAGTTCGTCGGACTCGCCGAAGACATGTCGTCGCTCGGAGTGGCCGAGGATGACCCAGTTGACTCCCAAATCCCTTAAAAGAAAACTTGTAAACAATCGATATCAAAAGAGCGCGACTTACTTCAAGAAATCAGCAGAAGTCTCTCCGGTGAAAGCACCCTTGGCTTCTTTGTAGCAGTTCTGAGCAGCAACCTGAACGCTGGCGTTGGTGATTTTCGACTGGGCATAGGTGAGGTAGACATCTGGTGCTCCACAGACGACTAAAAAAATTTATACCTTCATCGATCTTCCTTCCCTTACCTTGGACGCCTTCAGGAACCTTGGTAGCATTGAGCCCGTCGGTTATGGTATCGATGGTGGCTTTGGAGCCATTCATCTTCCAGTTGCCACCGACAAAGAAGTTTCGGGTCATCTTTTTTTTAAAGAGGTCTGAAAAACGGGGGTTAAAACTAAAACTGAAGGGTTGTTCCAATGGCGATTTGTTGTTTTCAATGAAAAATAAATATTCTAGAAAAATAGTGGCTGCATAGAATTAAGAAATAAATCAGATGTAAAAGGCAGTTTCTTTTTCAATGTATTCTGATCCAAGGCCGAGGTTGAAGTTGTACGTGGCGATTTGACCGGGACTTCCAGTTCCCGCTATGCAAAAAGTTGAGCTTGGGAAAGATTGTTGGCGTTACCGATGATAAGAAGTTTGCTAGTGACGATCATCTTGTCGACATTCAGCGGGTTTCTGTGAATTCTATCGATCAGCTTCCCGGTTTTATGATCCCAAATCGACAGGAACTTCGCATCTCCGCCCGCAAGCAAAACATCGAAATAGGGATGAATCTCCAAGCATCGAATAGCGCCAAGTTGAGCGGACCAGTTTCGAAGCTGCTGACCTTTTTCAAATTTTTAACGCACTGATTCTGTTCCATTTGATTTCGATTTCTCGATCGACAACAAATCAACGAGAAATCGACGTCAAAATTTGACGGTCAAATACAGAAAATCAAGAATTTCCTTATAAGAATACGTCAGTATTTTAAAATCTTTCCTGTCCAGCTCCAGATTCTTATTTTCCCCTCTGAACAAGCCGAAGCTGCATTTGCCTCTCCGCAGGAAACGTCCAAAATCTCATCGTACGTCTTTTGCGCCGAAAAGAGCAGCTTTCCATCTACCAGGCTCCACCTTAAATTCTTGTTGAAGACAACTGTAATTTCATTTATGGGCGTACCCTCGTACTGTGCCGGAGGCACCGCCAGTGACGAAGCGATTTCGCTTGACATCGGAGCAAATTACACCTTAAAAAATTAACTCCACGACGAACAAGAAAGTCCCTCACCTTCCGAAGAAATGGACGCACAATCGATCCAGTACTTCTTCTCCAAATCAAAGATCTTCGTCAACCCATTCCAAGCCGTGACAACGACGCGATTCCAGCCAGAGGATATCTTCAAAGATGTCACTTCGATATTTTCATCATCGGAGACTTCGAAATTGGACTTTTCCGAGCGCTGATGAATACTGTCGACGATGAGGGTATTTCCAATGATTCCGGCGTAGCTGTTCGGCTCGAAATAGATCAGATGATCCACCTGAACAATATTTTTCCGTAAGATATTCCCCAACATGTAAAAGAATACTATAAACGATCTGATAAAATATACGAGTGGAAGATTTTTATCATCCCCCGCTGTGAGACTTCTCGAGTAGCGCTCTCCTTTGGATATGAGATGACATTAAAAGAGAGAAATACTTGACGTTGGCATCACTTGAATTTATTGGGAATTATAAAATGAACATCAAGAAGCTTTCCTTCCTGTATACGCAAAACACTTTCGTTACAATGATACATACTCAGTTTTAATAAACAACAACAAATAAACATACTATATGTTACATACCGAAAGTGAGTTGTTATTCGAATCTTCAAGATAATATCTTCTATCCAAAAGTTTCCTCGTCGCCAGGTTAAAAATCAGCACGCATCCATCTTCCTCCGCTCCGACGAGCAAAAAGTTTTCCCCAGCCAGCGCTACGGAAGAAAACCTTTCCCTCTTGTTTTCAAGCGGAATGCTGATCGATTCGCACGTTTCTTCGTCATCGATGGTCAAATTTCCAAAATGGGCCAGCGCTGCTGTGCGACCATTTGCGTGGTCCAGCGCTTGAATTCGATTTCGTCTGACAGTTCTGGTGCTCACTGAAAAGATCATTAAACACCTGACCTCACAAGAGGGCACTGATTTCTTCAAAAGGATAACTATTTTCTACACTGGGCAAAGTTAACCCTTTTTCTTGAGAAAATGTGCCACACATTTATGAAGAAAAAATTCATGGTAAAAACTTGAAAAAGATTAAAGAAAAGTCTAATAAAGATAACACTTTTTCTAGGGAAAAAGGAAGCGATCAAGTGATCTAAGTTCGGACTCCAATGGTAGTTCACTAATAAAGGTGCGAAAAAAAACCGAAAACTTGAGAATTTATAATTTTGAAAAGCCAAAACGAATAAGCCCAAAGAAATTCTACCAGCTTGGGAAAGTCCTGCGCCATGGCGGCCATGAATACAGGAAATCTTCGAAATTATTAAACACTCATTTTTGATAACGCAAAATTTTGAGATTGAAAACACGACGTTTTGAAAAGTTCGTCATCGTCGAATCCACTACCGGGGAAAGTATTGGTTGGTTGAAGATCTGGAAAATCTTGCACGAACTATTTACGGGTTTACAACACTGTTTAGCGCTAGAATCAAACAAGCTTTTGAAAACTCGAAAAAGACTGTTCAGAATGCGTGACAAAAGAAAACCGTCAAAAGTTGGAAGCGACGCTCCAGGCGAGTTCCTGCCACCTTTCAAAAGTCTCTGAACACAACATTCGAAAGCTCCTTTTGGAGAACTGGCCTGACACTGATCGAATCGTGGTTGTTATGCAAGAAGCACAGTCACACCTTTTGGAGATGTTCGTTTGCTACATGGGCGAGCGCTCGTAAATTATCTCTCTGTAAATAACCCAAAGATTTTAAAAGTGGATTTTAAATAAATCTATCGCCATTTCCGTGTTTACCGAGAAATCTCAAGTATTTGTCCTAGCAACTGTTGCACTAGTACTTCATCTAAATTCTCTCCGAAGCCTCCGAAAAATTCGCTTCGATTAAAAACTCGTCAGTCTCTATTTATCGAGGGTAGTCTTCAAGGATTTCAACTGACCATTTGATCAATAAGAGGCTCAGCAAACCCTGAAGAAAACCTGCTTCAGGATCGTGAAAGCATCGCGGCTTCATTTCTCGTAGCTGCGTTTCATGAGAGATCTTTCAGTGCCCTGAGTCAGGTTTTCAACACAGGTTGCCTGAGCATAGATAAGGGGTATTTTGACTTACATTTGAACTCCCCATTCTTCCAATTTCGCTGCAGCTGATCCGCCCGATGATACAATCGTCTGTATATATTTTCACTCTGATAGTCCACTACTGTCAGATCTCCAAGAAGAGTTCTTTCGAGCGAAACCCAGTCGTTTTTCTTGCATAAGGCGCGCCATAAACTCGGCCGGAGAATCGCCCTTCGCCAATCTCTCAAAAAGGCTTTACAAAATCAAATTATTAGAATTCTAACGCTCTTCTATCTCGTTGAAGCCTTTCTCTTGATGTCAGACTAGCGTTGAGAACATCCTTGCCGCTGAGGTAGGAGAAAATCTGGTCGGTTATTTCTGGCGGAAATTGAGCGACGAAATCGTGGGCAAGATGGACTTTTGCTCTTTCTGCGAATGCTCGGATCACATTCTCTGGCAGTTGCTGGAGAAACTGGTCGACCAGCGAGTCAAGCTCGTCTCAATTCGGGCTTGAGTTTGAGGTACGCCCAGACAAGTGACAATTACGCAACTTGCCACAGAAACGATCTCGTAACAAGCCTGCATCTGAGATTGCGCTCAGTTGGGTAACCAGCTCTTTCATCCTTCACTCTCTCTCGATTTCCGAAATCAAGTCATCAAACACTCTTGTTTTCAAAAAATCTCTAAAACATGCAGTTTATTTTGGACTACTGGCAATCAATTTTGGAATTATACGGAGCTAATCAATATTTTAATAAAAAACAGTAGTTTGACGTCAAAGCTAATTTCATCCCCAAGACTCGTGTTGGAAAGTAATTTGCTCAAGAACGGATCAGAAGATCGATTCTTGAGCCTTGAAATCTCTATTTCTAATTTTCAATTATTCCTTGTTTTGAATCTTGGGCGAATAATTCATCTATCGACTCTCGGGTTGAAATTTGTCTTGATTGAAAATTGACCAATTTTGATATTTCTGAAGCGATGAGTAGAAAGAAAAGTCGGGATATGTTTTTCGATAACATTTATTTGGTTTGTTTCATTCGTTTATCATACAGCTAGAATATTCAGAATACCTTTTCGCCCTCTTTTTTTTCAAAAACTAAGAATGGCGAGTCCACTTCTTTTTAACAGATACAAATTCAGATATTTTTGTCGAAGAAAGTCAAACACAGGAGATCGGTGGGTTTGGCACACCGGCAGTTCATAAAAAGCGATTTTTTATCAGTAGTTTCTGTTTTTCAATTATGTCTTTTAAATTTTTTCAAGACTCCTTGGAAAGATATAAATAGAGAAGAGATTTAGGTGGGGGACAAAATGATGGTTGAGAAAATTATGAGTTTTGCTTCTCTTATTTTATGTTTGCTTGCGGAATTTTCGTAGAATCGGGTAGATGTTGTTGAAAGCATCGTCGATTTCTTAAAACATACGCATGAATTCATCTTTTTCTAAATACAGTACGGTACCTTTTCGTTGCTTCGCCCCTGTGAGAACAACTTTCCCCGAGACAAAGATCAAGAGCACCAGCTTCGGCTTGATCATCCGATAGACCAAGCCAGGGAACAGCTCCGGCTCAAAGGAAGTAAACTGCGCATGATTCAAAACAAGCTGCTCCAGACGAATCGCAAATTTGACATCAACGGAGCCGACCATATTCTGGATCTTGAAGTCTTTGAATTTCGCAGGAAAACCGAGTTTTTGAATCACTCGCGCGTATTTTCGCGCTGCAAGTCGGGATTTTTCCTCTGATTTTGCTCCTGAAAACGAAAGGTTATCGAAAAAATCTTCAATAGAAAAGCTTTCTATTTTTCTCTAAAAGCGGAGAAGCCGCTTGTTATTTACCTGTACAAACCATCTTCCCCGAGGAAAAGATCAGCGCAGTGGTTCTTGGTTCTCGAATTCTCATAATCACCGCGGCGAATCGTTTTGGATTGTATTCGGCGTTTCGAGCTCGCATCGCGATGCTTTTGAGGTCAAGCTTTCCACAGTCCAGATCTACTGTAGCAACTGAAGGAAGCAATAAAGATGGGGAAAGAGTCGTTTTGTTTACCGATATTTTGAATTTGTGGGCTTGAAACGCCATTGTCGAGGGCTGATCTTGGCGTGGCGGGAGGATACTCGGATTGAACGGATTGTGGACCACTCTGCTCGTTGATGACGCCCATTCTTTTGACGGAAGCGACTGCATTTGAGGGAGGGCCGCGCATGTTAGAAGCAGGACCAGGAGTGTGGCCATAGCTGATAGTAGGGCCGGGGGTAGCGGGAGCGTAACTTTGATGAGTTTTCGAACAAACGATGAAAACTACTGGAGTATTTTTCGTTGACGATTAGCACGCGTCATTTTGTATTCAAATGATCGTTTTCAGAAACCATTCCTGTAACTTGCCCCAGAATTGCCATAAATAGGTCCAGGAGTAGCTGGTGGTTGATCTCCATACATTGGTCCTGGAGTTGGAGGAATCCCATAGCCAGGAGTGGCCGGCGTTCCGGGATTGTAGCTCATCGCACTGAACGAAAATTTCTAGAGATTGAAGTCATTTCAATACGGGATCATAAATGATAAGATTCTAATTGCTTTTAGATATTTTTAGTCGTTTCTTATGATGACAGCTTAATTCAATGATACTCACCCTCTTCTGGCGTTATTGCAAGAAAATCTTATCTTTTCGAAATTTCAATCAAACAAAATTGTTATCTACGCGTACGATTACTTCCGATGATTACCTTCTCTCGAAGTTTTCAACTGGCTGGTTTCTAGTAAAATTCCTCTTCTATATTCTATCTAATCTTCGTTTTCGTCCCTTTTTTATTCGTAGTTCTGAAAGTTCGATTGAGCCGTCCGATTCAAGCAGAGCGCCGTTGCGTAATCAGCTCTTCTTGATTGGCCGCCTCTGTCCAATCGCCGCCGCGCTGGAAAAATGAATCATTTATCCTTCCCTGGGCGTATTCTCGACAGGAGAATCACAAGTTCGCGTAATTTTCGCTTGTTTTTCGCGTCTCTCCGAGAGTTATTTTCTTGTGACGGTCAAGAAGGGCCTTTGACGCCTTTCATTTTGTAAAATAAAAAATACTGTTGTTACACAATTTCCAGCTAAGATAGAGAAGTAACGAAATTCTGGGTCTAGAAAAAGGACTCAATGGGAAAATGCGTTCGTTACAGTTACTTCAGTTTCTCGTACTTGGAAGCAAGGCGGAGATAGATGTCTACAACAGGTAAGAATGATTGCAATAAGCAATTACTACTATACTAAAACAACTGTTTACTTTTGGCAAAATTTTGGCAAGTGGCTATCTTCCAAAGCAAACGATATTTGTAAATTAATCGTATTTTCGCTCAAACGATTCGTTTTTTTCGTAAATTAACAAAATAATCACATGTTAGACGGGTCGAAAAAGGTCGAGACAAAATACCACCATAATAAATATTCTTCTTGTTTGTACATAAGCATGAATGTTCTTGTCTCGTTACATAAAGGTTGATAACGTAGGAGAATTCGATCCTATATCTGCCTGTATAAAAGGTCTCCGATAGCGTTGTAGTCATTGTTCTCAGTACCTCGCTCATGAGTAACGATAGTTTCGATAATTTTCATTGAAAACGAAACGAATCACCAATATTTTATTGCTCCACAAAGGCTACGTCTCTCCCCGCTCTCAAACTTCTCAAACAGAGAAAATTTCAAAAAGAGCATGGGTTTTTCAACGATCGTTATTTACAATTCAATTCTTAGCTCGCTCGTGGTCGTCGACAAGTTTCTATCGCTCGATGCGTACTTCGGCTCCGATCTCCCAGATGACGGCCTTTTCGGTCGAATTTCTCTAGCATCTCCTATCGAAGCCTGCGATGTTCCAATCAAGCCTGCGCCTGCTCCCTACAGACTTCAAAATGAAACCGTTCTCCCCATCGCCCTCATTTCCAGAGGCACCTGCTCGTTTCTCGACAAAATTCAAGCCGCAACAGAAGCTGGTTTCGCCGCGGCAATAGTTTTTACCCTCCCAGATGATCCTCCTACGGGAATGGGGCCCACTGGCTATCCTGAGTTTATTCCTGCAGGTACGGGACAATGAGAATTAGTTATACTGTGAAAATGGCCAGAAATGAGTAGCCCTTCGATTGAAGTCAAAATCATGATCCTCGAAAAGGATTCTAGAGCTTAGAATATCAATTTTCTCATCGAGAACCCGACCTTACAACAATAATGCAATACTATGGTATCTGTATATTGTATATCTTCTGTAAGATTGAGTTTTCAATAAGAAATGAATTTTCTAAGCTCTAGAATCTTCTTCGAGGATGATGATTTTAACCATATTCGAAAGATCAGTGTTCTCTAATCGTCTTCTCTAATGATGCAAGGCCTTTTACTGTCATTTAAGATCTTCTTTGGTCCGTTTTTTTTTCCGAAAATGGCATCAAACAATAGCATAATCATCATTATCTTTTCTAGTGATGACGACATTTGACGCTGGAGAATTCCTCAAGAGCGAAAAAGACCACATCTTCGTCCGTCTTCTTCCAACAGACGATCCATTTCCTTTCCCGCAGCATCTTCTTTGGCCCTTTGCTTCTGCCGTGGGAGGTTGTCTACTAATCATGCTCGTAAGAAATGAAACAGCTGGATCCAGTTAATCATTCATGATTTCAGATTTCGACGATCGTAAAGCTCGCCCGCGAATACAAAAAAGCCCGGAAAGGAAGACTTTCCCGAAAGAAGCTCAATACGCTTCCGATCATCAAATTCAACCCGCAAGAACACGGCTCGCGATTTGAAAGCTGCGCGATCTGCATCGAAGAATTCAAAGCGGGGGAGAAGATTCGAGAGCTGCCTTGTAAGCATGGCTATCACAAGATCTGCATCGACCCTTGGCTAACATCAAACAGGTATAAATCCAATCATAGCTCCTTTTTCAACCTTTCTATTCTTCAGAAAAGTATGTCCCCTCTGCAAGCAAATCGTACTTCCAAGCTCGGATGATGAAGCTTCTGAAAACGAAGACTCCCCTTTAATCCGACCTGAAGGACCCGAGCTCCAAGATGGTAAGATCTTTCCTCCGCCTCTTCCAACCTCAACCCTGTTTTTAGACGAGGAAAGAAGCGTCGGCTGGGCCGCAGCTTTTTCCCGCAGCAGTCCTCGTGCGCGTGGTCCTTCAGTAAGCAGCTACACTTCACTAGATGGCGAAGTCAATCCCGTCTTCGCGACAGGTAAGAAGTTTGATGCGACAAGTGCCGAATCGGTTTCAGAAAACTCGACGAACACTTCAACAACATTATCCTCACAAATCGCGGTCCCAATCGACGATGAAGGCGTTCCCATTATTCGTAAGAGATTCTCCTTTCGAATCAAGTTACAGTAGCTTCAGATCTCCCCGTGGAAACAGACTCGGACGATGCCGACGACGAATCGACTCCCAGGAATGATCCAGCGACGGTATGAAGAAGACGCTCCCTCAACGCATTCCCACTCTCTTTTTGAGCTTTCCTAATTGTTCCCTTTCCAAAGTTCCCTGGTCAAATGATGGTATATTGAAAATTTCCAAATCTCTTCGGCTGAAAGTTTCTTTATGTTCTAGCCTTGTTCTTACTTCAAAAACTATTGTATAATGGCTTAAATTAAACAATAAACCAGCAAACTATTCAACAAAAAACATCGTTTTTTCATCGTTTCTAGTAGTGCATTTCGCACTCGAGAAAGACAGAACATTCAGAATCACGGGAAGAGTTTCTATTTCTTTCCTCTTGGCTCATTTCTCGCAGGCGCTTCTTGACAGGTTGATTTCCAAAGAGACGCATGTTGTAGACGAGTTTCTGCTGTTCAATTTCCATCCGGTCCCTATTATAATTACGATTAGTTTGATGAACGAGCATACCTGCATCCTTTTCTCAGGCCATAAAAGGACAAGAGCAAGCCGAATGCAGCAATTATCCACAAAATAGCAATCAACCATGTTTCTTCTAGCAATATTACACTTCCAAAACGAAGGTACATCGCTGCAATCGTACTGAAAGTTCAGTTAAAAGATGGCTTTTTTGATGAGCACCATAAAAATTATAATTTTTATTTTAGTTTATATCTAAAAAATATATACATATGTGACAACCTAAAGTGAACACTCACGTTACTGACCCGAAGAAAAAAGATAAAATTGATATTCTTCAATAATTACCATGAAATCAAAATCATTGTCAATATGAGCCCACACAAAGGTGGTCGTAGAAAGGGATCGCATAAAGAAGGGTGTTCTGGTTGCAATGGCTGAATTAGAAAATAAATTCCTATTTATTTATCAATTCCTATTATACGGTAAAAATAATTCGTTTGAATAATCTTACTCTTATCAGCTCTCCATTTGCGGAAGATATCTTTCTTGAAAATGCAGCTTCCTCTAGTCGTGACATGATACTCCTAGACCTCGTCCGTGGACTGATTTCCTTTTCTCTATTTGAATATAAACTCATTTGAAGATTTTAAGACAGGATGAAATTAGGCAGCTAGGTCTTTCAAGAAAGCTTTGTTTATTTTTCTTTTTATTCTCTCGTAAAATCTCGTGTCCTTTTTATAGAGAAAAATGGGTCTAATTGATTCACAGGATAAATTGATCGATCACTGGTACTCTCCATGTTCCGTTACGCCGCATTTTACGGGCGTTTTAAAATTTTCCTTCGTTTAATTTATTCATTATTTCAAGCTTTTTTACGTTATTTGGAAATATTCCGTGAGAATTCACCTTATGGAAAGCACTCTCAGAAAGCCAGAAAAGACTTTCTTTTCGAGTGAAGAAAAACATGGTCGCCTTGAAACTCTCATTTTTAAACCTTGTCTTTGGGGATCTCCTCTGCACAGAGAACTGCAAAACCGACCTGGGAAACTGCTACAGTGCTTGCGAAGCTGACCAGTACTGTAAATACCTGTGCACAGCCGATTTCAACCGCTGCGAAGAAGAATGCCCAGAGAGAAGCTGCGCTGATTACTGTTGCGAGCATCTCGGCTCAGGAGTTCCCGGATGTTCCTATATGGTCAAGTATTACGATGCTAAATTATGCTCAGCCTCGTGCTCTGACGAGTGCTATCTGTGCTACGATACTGTCGTCAATGATTATGAATGCTATACGTCAGCATTGAATGATGTCACTTGCGATTGCGATAGAACCCTTTGCAACTAGAATCTTGAATAAACGAATCCCACGAAAATACCAGACATGTTAAAATTAAGTGCATTGAAAGAAAAAACCCCGGGTTCAATAAAATAATCGGATGAGATGATCGATTACAGTATGTTCGCTGCTGTCTCGTGCTAATAATTCCAGTTTCTCACTGAAATCCAGGGCGAAAAGCGATTGGTGACGGCTTTTCAGTCCCTGGAGAAATCAATTTCTTGCGTTTGGAAAAGATACTACAAAAGAGAATCTGACGTAGAACATGAAGGTCTCATGACATGATAAATGAAATCAGCAGTGTGTAAGCAGAGAGAAATTAGTGATGCAAGAAATCGTGAATAAATAAAGGTAAACTTTAGTTTAATTCAATTCTTAGTGGTCTCTTTGAAGCCAAAACTGCGTTGTTTGATTAAAAATAGTTTATCAACTGGTTAATTATTTTTAAATATAAAAATAAATTCAGAGTAGTAGGATTATGGTTCTCGCAAAATGAGAGTTTTATTATCTGTCTCCAAACCCATCTAAAAGACAATAGAACTAGGGGATAGAAGAAAATCTGTCATTAATCTTGAGAATTTCTTTACCGCAGAAAGAGAATCTAGTAAAACCCCTCTTATCCCCAATTTCTACTTTCTCGCGCCCTCGCGTGCAAACAACGAAGAGAATCCACTCATCAAGAGCTGATCGTATCCCGGGCAATTCTAATTGACCACAAACAAATCCGTGTCGTTGAGAAAGTTGTTCTTTCGATAAGTTCCACAAAAGACAAAGGCGCCGAGCAAACCCGCCTCCGTGAGTAAATTCTTTTGAAATTTTATTTTCAATGCCTCCTGTTGAACAAAAAACTTCCTAAAGCCAAGTGTAGAGGAGATTACAGAGATTAACCAGAAAATTATGCGAGAACCATAATCAAGCGAAGATTTTTAGAGACAAAAATTTTTATCAAATTTTGACGACGGATTCCATTGAAAATAATCATCGAAATTGTCATTTAAAATAGGAGGTGGCCTAAAACGTCATGAAGTTGCCCTCAAAAATGTCTAAAATCCGTTCTTTCTCGGCCTTCAATTTTGGAACATGTCATTTTCTTGTTGTAGAAACAAAAAGAAATCTTTATTTACTCAGAAAATGTCATTTGTTTAACTCCAACAGTCATTTTTTGATCTTTTGGTATTCGAAAGAAAAGAGAGACTTGTGGGAAGTGAAAGAAGTAGGAGCGAAAAAAGTTGTTTTCTGATTTAAATTGTTAAATATTTAGTCCCTGCAAGTATTTGTTCAGAAAGCAACCGATGAGTCTCTCTGTCAGCAAATCTCCGCTCAGAGGTCAGAACTCAAAGGGAACTTAGAGATATTTGAATAATGAAGAACCAAGATATTTTCGTGAAAACCATAATAATCATATTTTCAAGAGGGTATTTATATATCCGGAAAATCGAAGTATTTTGATCAGATCAAGCAATTTTCAAAATCGTCATGTAGTTATTAAATATTATTGATATTAGTGCAGAACGAATCCTATGAAGCTAACCCATGGTTAGGGTCCAAAAAGCTGCGTTGAGAGCATAAAAATCGCCTGACGCCGGGGAAAAGATGATAACGCCAATTTTAGGAGTGCTTGTTCAAATAATTCTATTTACCCAACTATCTTGTCTCTAGTATTCTACCGAGAAAATATCCTACCCTATCCTAATAGACAATTGCGGCCTACCGCCTTTTGGCTTGGTGACCACTAGTCAACTTGGTCATTGATCAAGTGCACTTGAGTTTTACTGGAGTGGTGTTCATCTTGACACATTTTTAATTTTGTAGAATGTGATGACAGACGAGCCAGAAGAAGACAATTCGACTCAAATCTCAAAATGGCTTGTGGGTCAGATTCTGGAAGAAGTTGTTCCAGACTCTCATGGCCCTACAGAAGGCTGGGTCGGCGAACCAGAGGAAGAACCCGAGGAAGATCAAGAACCAGAAGAAGTCGAGCAAGAAATTGAGGGACCAGCAAATGCAGAAAATGACAAGAATGATGGAAAATCTGAAAGGGAGTCACCTATTAATATTTACTCCTTGTCAAACGCAGCCGACTTGATGGTTGATTCTGTTTTGGTAAGCGCTTTCGCCAATATCAACAATCAGACTATTCATCTACTAAAATTTTCATTAGAGCCATGTCGCGCAGAATCTCAATAATAACAGGGCGATTTCTCCGTTTCCAAATGTCACAGGAAGGGTCTATTGCTTTCTTGTTCTTTTCGCCTTTATTTCGTAAAAATAAGCCCATAAAAAGTCGAGGATAGCGGCTCATCTCGCCCAACCACCGGAAAACGAACACCAGTTCCTACAGTCCTCAAACAGGAATCAACAAGCAGTGAGGAAATTTCCTACCAAAGTCAAGGTATTAAGGCTTAGTCTTTCTTTCTCTAGAATCATAAAAATAGATTACCATTCATAACAAAGTAACTTTTTTTAAACAAACATTATGAAAAGCCCCTTTAAAAAATCTTACTCAGTCCCAAATACAGGTAAAATGAAGAAGATCTAACAAATTTTATCACTAGAAAATGGCGAAGAAATCAATGTCGGAGACTCTCTCGATCTGCAAGAAACGGATGTCACAGAAGTCGATACATCAGATTCGGAAATTCTCCCAAATGTCTCCGGTGCGATGGACAAAAATAAAAGGCGAATGAGCACTGTTATCTCACTCGACAAAATCGAGGAGAATTTGGAAAATGACGACGGAATCGAAGATATTCTAAGCGATGAAACAGACGATGGAACAGGAAAGGTTGAAAACGATCTCCGTTGAAGACGAGTTTTGTTGTTTTTCAACCTAAGAAAAGACAGCGATTCTAGCGTGGAAATGAGAAAGCCTCTCAACCGACCGCGCTCAGCATCTTTGGCGAAGCTTCGAGATGAGTCCATGGCAAAAATCGACCCGATAAGAGGATCTCCTCCTGGTGACAAGCCGCCGGAACCGCTCTCTGATCGGGATTTGTCACAACATCTTGGGCCAGGCAGAAATCTGAATGTCTGGATTGGAACTTGGAATTTAGGACTTTCTACAGGTTTGCTTGATTTTCGGAACCAAGAAGGATGTTTTGATTTTAGATGTCGATCTGGTGCAACTTCAAAACTTTTTAAATGTCCAGAGTTCCACTCGCAAAGATGTTTACATATTCGGCTGTCAGGAAATCAACTCCGAGTCTGTCTACACATGGGAAGTGCAGCTTCAGAAGTGCGTCGGCAAAAAGTACATACTCCTCCATGCCGTCAGATTCGGCACCATTCATCTGTCCATATTTGTTCGGCACGAGCTTCAGACCAAGGTGGGACACTAATTTCGATGACGATTTCTCGAAGAATTGACTTTCTCTTTTTTTTAAGATTATTTGTTTGAACGGAACAAATCTTTCGATTTTCGCACTTCATTCATGTGAATTTTAGTGTTCGACAATTGATTGGGGAGTGCTTTCAGTTCGCGCGATGAGTCAAATCAAGACGAAGGGAGTTGCTGCTTGTGCGCTGCAAATCTTCGGCACCAAGTTCTTATTTATGAACAGCCATTTTAAGGTGACCCCTCTCAAATCGTTTATCTTCAAACAGGACTTTCTAGGCAGGAGAAACGCAGAACAGCTTGGAAGGAAGGGTCAGAAACTATCGGACGATCCGAAGCAAGTTGAGATTAAGGCGCTCTAGAACTCAATTAAAAGGTACTGATCCATTTTTGGGCAAATTTTAAGAAAGATTTAGGTCCAAATAATGCTTTAACAATTGTGCAAGAAAAGTATGATGTAAATTTTGACGACTACGACTGTATATTTTGGTTTGGCGATCTCAACTTCAGGTGAGAATGGTTTATGGAGATACATATTTATAACATTGAAATCAAGGAGGAACCCAGAATCGGGAGAAGATGAGCTCCGTGCTTGTATAAAACGCTCGCTTTGCTTCGAAGATTTCCTCGAACAGCCGATTCAATTCGACCCGACTTACAAGTTCCAGCCAAATACTCAGATCTACGACCTCAGTAGGTCGCTTCGCTGCCCTAGCCATACAGTAAGAGATACAGTATTCAAGCAATCAATTCATCCAAACCCTAGGATCGAATCTTGTATCTAAATCGTGTGCCGATCTCTCCCGTCTACTACAACAGCTATCCAGAACTAAACCACTCGGACCATCGACCAGTGGCTGCAATTTTCCAAGTTCAAGTTTCGCCAGTTACGCCTAAAAACGCACCGTTGTCCGTGAACAACGGCGAATTCGTGGTCAGCGTCTTCAAAGCCGCTTTTTATACGCCGCAGATGGATAATTTGAAATCTTCAACTACCTCCGGCACTGCCTCCAAACTCGGTGGTCCTTCCAAAGTCTGTACCATACTCTGAGATCTACTGAGAAAAACACACTTTATATTTTCTTATCAACACGCTCCATTTTCATACAAAAATGTGAATATATTTAATAAAAAAGAAAGATAAAATCGGTTAATCTTTCACTTTGTTTGGAATAAAATAATATTTTTATAACAAGCTTGTGGAACGATTCAAAATGAATACAATTTGTCGAAAATACCAATTTTCTTTCACAAGTGGTTGTAGTGGAGTCACGCAACAACATTATGCAAGTTAGCGTCTGGGCAAGTTAGCGTCAAAGTTGCCGGTTATAAAAAATAATTTTTTTTCTCGAAATTTTTATATCGAACACTGAATACAGTTTTCAGAAAGTAAAGGTGCCATTATTTCAAAGTTATTTTGACAGAGGTTTGAGAATTCAGGCATTTTTTGGGATTAATGTTCTAATAAACTTTGAAATCGACTGTCAAAATGAGTGTACTCTCGGAGTACAAAAATATAATTTCAAAACGTTAAACAAAATTTGCTCGAAAGAAATGGAAAATATGACCGCTTTTCACACGGAAAGGTCGAGGTTAGATTCTAAGAGGGGACTGACTGTCTACCAGACTAAGACATGCTGAAAGAGCCATTCAACGCTCCACGGATCGCCCACCCACTTTAGACGCTAACTTGCCCAAGACGCTAACTTTCCCAAAACGCTAATTTGCACAATCTTGGGGAAGTTAGCGACTGGGGAAGTTAGCGTGACTCGGTTGGAGTGGGTTTCATTTCGAGATTTCGATCAACGCGCATTCCTTTGACGGGGATAGGCTGATATCTTACCTTTTCTTTTTTGATTTCCCTTTTTATTTTCAAAATCGACATTTCGAGAATTTCTCTTGCATAAGTTGCAGCAATCTTCCATCTAAGAGAAAATGTCAAAAATTAGTTTTACGAACCTGCAAACGAAAAATACCACGAAATATGCCGGCTATGATTCAGTCTTCCGCCAAAAATACTATGGGTGCAAGAATTGCTATTATCTCACCGAGAATATGCACAAGCTTGAGAATGGCGAATTTAAATGTACCAACTGGAAGGGCCTTAAATATAAATTGAGAGACTCTAAATATATGATACGTTCTGAACTTGACAAGATTATAATTAATTTTTCTGGTTTATTTGTTAACTACCGGTTTCGGATAAAATCCTACATCAGGCTTAACAGACAATAAACAATTATTCCTATTATAAATTATAAAATATAGATATTAATTATTAACAATATAAAAGCCTTCTGAAGCCATGAATCGGGGAAATATGAGCTTGCTCCATGTGATGCAGAGTTCAACTGCCCAGCCGGGAAATGTGGTGCCACGAATCTCTCTTTCAGGGAGTTCATGCTCGGAAAATGTTGTGATGCAGCAAAGGTCAAACAAAATGGAGAAGGAAGTGGTTTTTATAGATTTTTCCCAAAGTCATGAAAGTAGTTGATTAAGAAAATATAGACCATCACAGACAAAAACAAGTACGTGAAACTGGTCATGGAAAGCTTGGATCGGGCCAAAAATGACGAATGCGAAGCTGAAAATAAGCTTCAAAAGCAGGGGTCTGATAATCATTCGAAAATAGAAATAATAAAAAAATGCCGGCGATTTTGCCTTATGTCGATCCAGACCCCGGATCACAGGCAAAAAAGGCCGTTGAGGATGCTGAAAAGCATGTTGAATGGGCAAAAAAGGATCGAGAGAGCATGGAAGCCACCTTGAAAATCGCATTTGGCAGTGCTTTGCGACAGATGGGAGTTTCAGGTACTTTTGCATTTATTAATCGTGACTTAATTTCCATTTTAAGAGCCAAAAGAAGACGAGGGACCCGCTTGCAACGTTTGCTTGGAAGGCTACAACAAAGAAGATCGTCACGAGTGTACTCTTCACTGTGGTCATCGATCCTGCCACAAGTGCTTGACCGGTCTTCCTGAGAAGCTTTGCCCAATCTGCCGCAAGGAATTCACAAATGAGCAGATCATCAAGCTTTTCTGAAGAAAAACTTTCTTCCTGTCTGTTTTCTCCGAGTTAGACATCGTCGAGAATAAAGTAAAATTAAAAATGATTCTTTTGTTTTCATTCGATCAAGCAAGCAAAAAGGATGAAAGACAAAGCACGGCAAAAATACCAGTTGTTACAACTGAGTTGTAGCAGTTATTCGATTTTGTCTCCAGGAAAAATTTCAAGACATTTTGACTCAGAATACGTCTTATTTCGCCCATTATCAAGAATCTGCGATGGGCGGATGAGCCGGGCGTTCCCGCCGGCGAGCGCAATAAATTGGACCGATCATCAAGTGAGATAAGTACTTTCAATATTCTGATTACTTCTGACAATTAAACTCTATTTTAAACTTTTCTTTCTTCATAAATAACAGAGAATAAAGTTTTTAGAAGCTATGGCCGAGCCAAAGATTTTCGCCGCCGAGGAGGACTGCCGATCCAACTGGACCGACTCCATGGCCGACTACAACGAGGCCGACACTCATCTCGCCATCGAGGGAAAGCCCGTCATGGAGCGATGGGAGACTCCATTCATGAACAAACTCGCTGACATTGCCGCTTCCAACGGTGGAAAATGCCTTGAAGTTGGCTTCGGAATGGCCATTTCTGCCACTCAATTCCAGAAAAACGACATCACTGGTAAGATTGACCTTCAAATAATAGACTGGGCCAAAGCCATTAAAAAGACATCATAAGTAGCACTTATAAAAAAAGTTTTTATTGCTCAATAAGTTCATTTTTAGATCACTACATCATCGAGTGCAACGACGGTGTCCTCAAGCGACTCGAAAACTGGAAGAAAGAGCAGCCCCACAACGTCCACCCCTGCCCTGGTTTCTGGGAAGATGCCGCGCCTAAGCTCGAAGGTAAATAATCGCTCGATTCAATTCGCGTTCTCATCGTTGATTTCAGATGGTATGTTTGACGGAATCATGTACGATACCTACCCTCTTTCCGAAGAAACCTGGCACACACATCAATTCGATTTCATCAAGGTACAATCTCTTCTTTCTCAACCCTTTTAAAAAAATCCTCTCCAAGAAACACGCTTTTCGACTTCTTCGAAAAGGAGGTGTTCTTTCTTTCTGCAACTTGACTAGCTTCGGTGAACTCATGAAGGTAAAACAACTCAATTTTCGCATCACCAACAATATCTTTTCAGACAACTTACCCCAAGACAAAACAAGGCATCGAAATGCTCTTCATCGAGACCCAACTCCCCCACCTCCTGGAAGCCGGATTCAAGCGACAAAACATCTCCTGGGAAGTCATCTCCAACCAGCCACCAGCTGATTGCAAGTACTACGACACTGAATGGATGCTCGCACCAACTTGCATCAAAGAATAGATCTTCTTTGAACATCCTACATGTAGCCTTTTTCAAAATCTCTGTCCTTCGAAATAAATAACTCCCATAAACAAACACTGTATTTGACGGTCGATGGAATGAATTTAATCAACTAAGTAAAAAAAGAACACCAGGAATAACTTTTCGCGGCTGCGATCATTAAGATAATTGGGAGATATTGGCGGTCCCATTTTGGTCAGCCGCACATCCTAATAACACTTTTTAAATTATTCATTACTTCTTTCCCACTTTTCTTTAACCGCACTTTCTCTTAACAAATATGATGCAAGATGCATTTTCTGATAGTGCTTCTACTCATCATATAAAATATATTTGGAGACGGAAATAGGAAGAATGCGCTGTGGACAGATAATGCAATTTGTATATTTTGAGAATAAAAGTCGGATCATCCGCCACAAACATTCGGATACTGAAGGCAGATTATGGTCGCCGTTTATTTCCCATTTTAGAGAAATGACATTTTCAAAGAATGATAAAATTCATTTCAATCTATGCTTCTTATTTGATCAGAGTACACGATAGTACAAGTTCTTCACGTTGTAGTCAAAAGCACTTGGGTACCAAGGATTCGACAGATAGACAGAGATTTGTTTATTCGTCAATTCGTTCGCCTTTGACGTGGCCATTTGAAAAGAAGATATTTCTTTTCCATCTTTCTTTACAGATAAAGCTTGAAAAGAGGTGAATATAGTGAATGACTTTTGTGAATTTACCAACTGATGATGTGAAACTCGAAACTTGTTTTTGTGTAAATGTATAGGTACTCCATTTTCCATCCTGACACTGTGAAAAAGGGCCTCTTTCCCATTTGCCGTTGCGTCCCGGGGAATCATTATTATAAAGTATTGCCACATCTCCAGAACCGAACTCAGATTGCCAAATAGTGAAGAATCTATTGCCAAAACTACCGTGAATACCACCCGTAGTGAGATGTAGTATGTTTAGCCATGAGCCACGTCCATGTCTGGTTGAGCACTCAACATCAATGGATATCTCAAAATTTAATGCAGCCGTGAAATGTCTTTTTGAAAGTCAAGAAAACTAAAGAAAGTGATGTAAAGAAAAGATATCCTACTGGTAATATAACTAGCATTCGAAACTTTTCCCAAGTAGTTGTCCTCTTTTAGGTTTTATCGGAGAATTTCGGACAAATGATTTACAATTATCTTTCCCTTCACATGGATCTTTTGCAAGTATCTTTCTATTTATCTTTTCGATCAGAGCTGGCTTTTCCATGACCAATTTTTCTAAAGTTTCATCGCCAATAAGCGAGTGTGCGCATGGGTTTACAACTTCATTGCCATAACATTCTCTGATGAAATCAGAAGACGAAATATTCTTCTCAATAGCATCGTGCCGACATAAAACGTATTTTGTCTGAAGGGAAATTATGAACCTTTGAAGCATAATGCTTTCTATTACGTAAAGCGGCTCAGAAACTTGAAAATCATCAAAAACTTGATGAAACTCTTTCGAGTCACATGCCTCCTCGATGCACTCTCTTTCCAAATCTCCTCTTTTCCACATCTCTTCATAACCTTCATTTGCTCTTTTCCTGCGTAAAAACGCGCTGGCTTTTTCTTTTGATAAAGTGTTTTCACCAAAGACAGATGCAAAAATGAGGATAAAAATCCTCATAATGATCTTTTAGAAAACTCAGCGTTTATGAACAAAGTCTGTTTTTTCATCCATCTTCCGGCGTATTTATTTGAACAATCTCGAGAAAGCAAATATTTTGTATCTAGTTTGTTCTCCTTCTTGTGCATGGATAATTAATTACCCGTTGAGTGGTTTTGCTGTCTGGAAGTTGTCAAATTACGAAAGGACGCTCTCGTTGCGCTAGAATCCATCTATCACTTGGGCACGCGAGGCGGTTCCTCTTGCGACGGCTGATCGATCATTTTTGCGTTTTCCTGCGCCACGAAAATGATGCTGGATAGCGTTTAATTAAAGTATAATATGGCAAGGAAGTGGATCGGCAATTACCCAAGCCTCCTAATCACCGCTAGGGCCCTCAAGAAAGCGAGCAAGCGAGCAAGTTTCTGAAAAAACGAGTTAAGCTGCAACCGCAATTTGGAAATTAATTTGAAAATTGTGTCGGAGTTATTTGTTAGGTGGCTTTTTATGTTTAGGCGGCGGGAGAAAAGGCGCCGCCGTGTACCCAGGTAAACACCACAAAGAACACCACCAAAAGGACTGATTTTGTTTCTAATCCGCAGATGCAAGTTGCAACATGTTTACAACAGAAGCCCAACGATTCATTATGGAATGGAGCAGACTTTTTGTTTACGAAAAATTCTGGATTCGATAACCGAATTACGATGAAGTTTTCTTCCAAGAATTTTCTTTTTTACGGTGTATCTCTAGAATCTTGGCTAGTGGTTAGGGTTAGGGACTGGGAACACTTAACGGGGGTTTGGGGGGGCGTAGCCCCCTGGTTTAGGATTTAGGGGGGGTCCCGGGGGGCTTAGCCCCCAGGGTTAGGTTTAGGGTTAGGGGCAGCTCTAATGATAACCCCCTACTACCTTTTACAGTCGTGGAATTTGCCATTACGAACTTCTCACTCATTTCATGATTAAATTAGCTGGGATTACAGACTCGGCGGAATGGAGAATTAGTGGCCTTGTCGAATTGTCTTTACAGCGGCTAAACCGGGCCCATTTTCATTCTCTACTTACACGGCGTTATGGTCGCTGCCCGCGCTGGGAAAAACCCACACTCGGTAATATTTATAAAGAATTTCAATTTTGACTCCTTTACGCGCCAAAAAGTACAACCCAGAACAAGCGGCTACGGTACTTGTTTTTCGATGTCGCTTTATTTGTTCATTATTTACAGTGAAAAATTACAGTCACAAAAAATTACAGCGAGGATGAAAATGAATGAGAGGCAGCGAAGAATAATGTTTAAAAACGAGCAGATAGCATTTTTACTATTTTTTTTAAAGTCGATGGAACTGAAGAAAATCTGGCGGCCGGGCAGAACTTTTTGCTCAAGAACGAAATGAAGCTCAGCTGGTGATGGAATCGTCCATATCTTCAACGGGAGAGTCGACTTCGTTCATTTCGACGGCTTCGCCGGATTCCATCTTTTCTCGCTTGTACTTTGTTCGGCGGTTTTGGAACCAGACTTTGACCTGAAAAAAATGAGCGTTAGAAAAGTGACTGTAAAGAGCTTTTCGGTAAAAATAGCCGCATGCGGCTTCAGAGCTTCTTTTCGAAGCCGCGAAGGGCTTCATCGCAAAAGTGACAATTGTGGAAATTGCTGTCAAATGTACTAAAATTGGTATTAGAGATGCTTCAACCACATTTTGGCAGCTTTATTTTCCCCGTGCTTGAAATTCATTTAGTTATCAGCCGCCTGCCAGTGCTCGACATAAAAGGGGTTAATATTATATTTTCGCACCTCTCGCTCTCGATTAAAAAAATCTACACATTTGGCGGCTTATCCAAATGCAGTGCGGCGGGATCAAACGCCCGAGCGCTTCCTGTCTAGAGTTCCGAGTACCAAGTTCCAATTTTGTTGTTTTTAAAAAGGTTGATAAGAAGCGTGAAGAGGCGCCGACACTGTCAGTCACACCACGCGTTGGAGGGTTAGACAGGTTAAGAAAAGAACATTGGGGCGAAATTGACATCCATCTGACAGTAAAAAAAAACGATTTTGAGCCAAAATTTCAACGATTTTAAAATTCGAATTTGACGAAAAAATGGCTCGTTTTTGATAAAGCTTATCAGCTTGTGAATGTTTCTAGAGTAAACTGAGGGTACTTTCATCAGCGAGTGGTTAACCCATCAGCCTCATTTTTGCCAATTAAAGTGGCTTTCCAAACATAATAAATGATAACCCGTCATAACTAGCGAAAACGCTGAATTTTTCAATAAGAAAAAGTTGTTTTCTCAAATTTAAGACTCGCTGGAAAATCGCGTAATCGGATCACTTTCAAAGTGGCCCTGTTTTGCCTTCAATTAGCAAGTACTCATCTGCGTTTACATTTCATTTTCGCGAAATTACGATCTTAGTGGGATTCATGAAAGGCGCCTCAGTTTATCCGAGGCGACCACAAGATTAAACTTATTACTTTTCGGGCGGCGGCTATTTGTGCAGTGGCTCACCGAGGTGGACCACGAGCCACGGTAAAAGCGGAGATGATGTTTAACTTTTAAGGGGGTAACCCGCCTTGTTGTCTTTGGAAGCATTTTACTGCCAAATTATCTTTTTTAATCGTCTGGTAATCGTTTTTCCAAGAATTAATGTAGTGACACCCTTATTTCAGAGCTCATTTTTCAAATGCCAAAATAAGGGTATCACTCTAAAAACTCTTGATGAAATTTCTTTTCCAAGAATTAATAAAGTGAAACCCTTATTTCAGACCTTCTTTTAACTGATGAAATAAGGGTATCAATCTACAAACTTTTGATGATTTTTTTCTCGAAAAAGGTCTACCCCCTTAAATTTTCTTTACAAAGGATGAACTTAATCCCAATGAAATCGGTTTCTTTATGATTTGGGCCCGATTCTAGCGCCCATTTTCTAAAGCGGAAGCTGCTCGTCTTCGGGGGTTCTAAGGAACACAACCTGGGCCAAAGAAAACAGCGATTTCCGCAAGGTGTAGGCACTTGGGCAAGTTAATGAGTCGGATTAGCACGCGTCGAAATCCGAGCTGCAATTTTCATCTCTTATCAGGACTAATTGCAGCGCACAAAGAGGGCTTGCTTTTCCGGTGCTTTATTTCGCGGCCGCAAATGGGGATGGACAATTATGACATTATCGCGAGAATACTATCCCCTTCAACTATTTGCAACAAATAGCAGATTATCGCGCGAGCCTGATATGCATTTTAAAACCAATTTACCAGCAATCAGGTTCATTTTTTCGAGTACTAAATTAGCGATCCAATTATGCTAACTTCTTTACAGAAAATGATTTTTTTTCAGAAAATCATAAATAATCTATTTTAAAGTTTCTTTTATATTTTTAGCTCTTAGAAATACTGGTACACAATTTAGAACAGTTATAGATTTACATCATGCAGTACCATGGTGGCTAGATAGACTAGAATTTTTTGAGATTGAGTCACGTGCGTAGAGTGTCCCTAATTTGAGAATTAGAACACCTCGGCGGCGGATGAAAGTCGCCTGACAAATCGCCCATTTAGAAACAATAATTTTTATTAAAAGGGTGTTTGTGACGGGATTTCAAGCTCTGCCGATCCGGAAAATTTTTCCCCCTCAATTTCGGCAATCTTATAAATTTGAAATATCCGCCTTTTATAAAATCCAAATCAAAAAGAAAGTAGCAACCATAAAAATTCAAAAATTCATGTGCGTCAATCATGTGATTCATGTCATGTCAAAAGAGAGAGAGTTGCTATTCGGAAGTGCTAAAACGCTCCGAGTTAGAAAATAACACAAATTCCAGTTGTCACTTTTGCGGTCACTTTTTTTGGGGGCTCTTGCTTGAAAGTTACCTGTGTCTCGGTTAGGCCAAGGTTCTTTGCCAGGGTTTTTCGCTCGGCTCCGACGACATATCTACAAATTCGCGGTTAATTCTTGCCCCAAAAACAGCAATATAAAATTCATCTATTGACTTACTGGTTCTTTTTGAATTCTTGTTCGAGTCTCATCAGCTGTGCGGGAGTGAAAGCAGTTCTGATCCTCTTCGGCTTCCTGAGAAACGGATTGTTCATGAAGGGGTTGAGCGGGGACATGGTCGGATACGGAGCTAGAAAAAAGGATGAGGAAAGTCGTGGTACACGGTTAATTCAATTTTCGCCGCTTGTTTTACTTTTAGCGCGCTAAATGCCCATCATTTCCCTGCGCCGCCAATTTCTCGCATATTTCATAATAGCCTGTTCAATAGTTCCCGCGGTGGTGGTGTTGGTTTTACACAGAAATTACTATAATTATGCCCACCCTGCGCAGCGTATGACGCCTTGCCGCCAATTTGGCTTGCAAAGGAATTGGTGAGAAGTACACCAGGGCAGAAATTTATGTAGCACGCATTGCAAATTGATCAATCCCAAAAATGCGAAAATCGATGCTCAACTTACAAACCCCTCTTATTATAAGAAGAGTAATCTTATGATTTTCTCATTTCTTGTGCCGATCCAGGTGAGTCTGAGACCTGGGCTCGGCAACCTGTGTAGAAATCCTGAGTCAGGGTCTGAGAGAACTGAAATGAAAAGCCGCGCAGCGGCTTTTTAAAAATGAAGCCGCAAAGCGGCTTCAAAAATATTACCATTTCAATCTATTAAAGATTCTGGCGAAGCCGCTTAGCGGCTTCGTTTGAAAAAAAAGCCGCTGCGCGGCTTTTCATTTAAGTTTTTTCAGACCCTGACTCAGGCTTTCTACACAGGTTGCCGAGTTCAGTCTGAGACTCAACATCGATCTCGTATAATGAGCTGATTAGAGCTAATTAGTGAGTGTTATTGAACGATAATTTTACGATCTTAAAAACAACCCACTCAGAAAAAAAATAGCAGATTCAGAAGATTGTCATTCTATTCAGCTTCCTCCTGGACGCCATTTGTGCTCATCTGCTTCCTTTCTTGATCCTTTTAATCCTCGAAGGGATCCAAAATTACCCCCGGGTCAAAATTACAGCTGGGGTCACCTCTTCCGGACACCAAGTCGCGCCTCTGGATTAATCTAATTCTACAGTGTTTTCCGCGAAAAAGACTCATTCATTTCAAATTGCTTTGTCCTTGGTCTTTGAGTCAGTATTCTCATTAATTGACAGATCGAGAGTTTCTCTCACACCCGCTATAAATTGATTTAGGCCTCATTTAGCAGCTAAGTCATGATCAATGGGAGATATTACGCCCGGGCAACACTAAAACCCGCGACGTCGCGACGGCTCGCGAAAACATTCTTCGCGTCAGTTCTATTAGCGCTAGAATTGGCGCCAGTTCTTTGATAAAGCCCCTGTACTTACAAGCTCGCGCGAACATTCCCATTGGCACGCCGTAGCCGACCGGGCCGCGCAGGGGTCCAGGGGCAGCTTCCGAGGATGCTGAAACTGCAGGAAACGTAGGATGCTGAGTCGCTGCTGCGGCTGCTGCTGCGGCTTGGGCGGCTTGAGCAGCCTGAGCTTGAGCGGCTTGAGCTTGTGCTTGGATGTGAGCTTGGATTTGAGCAGTTTGGGCGTGCAGTTGTGCTTGTTGCTTTTGCTGCAAAAGGAGTAGTTCTGCCAGTGCATTGTGCGTGGGCATCAGGGGGTTGGAGAGGCCAGAGATGGCGGAGAGCCCACTCGGCGCAGAAACGACTGGGGTTGGGATCGAAACCGGGGTGGGGATCGAAGTTGGTACTGCAGAAGCTGCTGGAGGAGGGCTCGGCGCGGGCGACTCTGATTTTGGACTGGGTGGGAGAGGAGTATCTTCAGGCAGACGGGTGAGCGTCGAAAGGCCGGGGATGCCTGGCTGAGCGGCGGTTCCGGCAGTTCCAGTTCCGGCAGTAGCAGTTGCCCCGGCAGCGAGTTGAGAGAATAGACCACCTTGGGTCAGTCGAAGAAGAGCTGCTTGTTGTGCTGCGAGGAGTTCCATGACTGATGCGGGGAGACCAGTTGCTGCTGGTTCAGCTGGCTTCGGAATTTCCTAAAGAGGGTTAGCAAGGGTTTCTTTTTGTGGGGAATTTCTCACCTCTATTTTTGCTTCTGGAGTGGCTGGCGAGCTTTGCTCATTGTTAGGGATGATTTCGACTGGAGAAGGGCTTCGTTCGAGATGTTTGGAGGTCTCGGGATCCGAGTTCGAGCCAGAGTTGGAGCTGGAATTGGAACTGGTGTTGGAGATCACGGGACTCTGAGGTTCCCGAGCAGCAGCAGCGAGAATGCTTGTTATGTCGAACTTTTTCTTGCTTTCCAGCAGCACTTGAGGAATCGTCAGCGCTGTGTTCTGCGCCATTGTACTCATCCTCTTTTCTGTTGTGGTTGATGATCTCTTTTTTGGAGGAGAAAGAATGCAGTCTCTGGATTTTTCTATTCTTTTCTGACGTCTTCAAAATTGACTTCGAGGAAAATGTGAATGTGTGAGGAAATTAATATCAATATCGGAATATTTTGGAGTGTTTATCGTTAGTAGCAGGCTGACGAGCGCGCTGGAAAATGGTGAGGACGCGTGGCGCTAGAGGAAGCAAGCTGAGATACGTTCGAGCGCTCCGCAGCGCCCGAAAAAGGGAGCGAGCAGATTCGCGGGTTTCCCTTCTTTTTTTCTCTGGATACGTTTACGTATGGTGTGAAATTGTGCTGTTGTGGACCAAAAATATTGTTCTCTGATGAAAAATTTCTTGATTTATATTTCAAAATTTAAATTAAATAAACGATTCTAAATAGAAAACTTTCAACTAAAATTAAACTTTATTTTTATAGAAGAAGGATACTGTAATCTTGGAATATTACAGTTTGATGCTTTTTTTAAGAAAGTTGTTATTAATATGACCAAATTTTGTACTTTTGGGGTACCTTTATTGGAATCTTTCTGACTTTTGATAATTTCGAAATCATTAGTTTCTTGTTTCTAGTGATTATTAATTAGCAATAGGAGGAAGTAGAAGACCAGATGTAAGACACTCCCGTGGTATTAATGTTGACTGATCGGTCTATTAATATTGCCTTCGTAAGTTTCACAGACTAATGGGAGAATTATCGAGGTTGATGATTCGAATCGTAAATGACCTTGAATAAGGCAATAATGCTTAATTATTGCCTTGTTAATCACAATTTAGTAAGAGCAATATCCTCTGACTTCCTACCAGTGAATCCTCTTTTCCTTCAAAATCAACCTTGCTTTTTCTTATCAAAAGCGGCGCCGCCAGTTTGGTACATTAGCGGTCATCACCATAAAAAGTGTTCTGACCTGGTTACTTCTTTAGCGAACAAATTGCGGGATTACATGCAGCCTCCAATTATCGTTTATTGGCGGAGCAAGCCGCCAAATTCAAAAAAGTTTCGCCCGCGCCTAAACAAGCGTAACTAGGCCAAAATCGTAATGTCGCCATATTTGCCGATTAATCGAGCGAATAACCATTAACTCAATTACACTATCAATGAATGAAAGGCTATTTTAGTAGGGAAATCCCCCTTTTAAAAAGCACAGCTTCCAAAACCTGCTTGTTCAAACGTCTTTTGAGCGGCCGCGAGTACTTCCAGCGCCGGAATTTATGAATCGGCTCAGCGCTAGGAAAACATTTGCTTTTCCTCGACTTTTCAGAATCTATTACGCGCTCACTCCAGGGATCTGGATTTTGCCCGAAAGTGAAAAGCGAAAGCGAAGCGAAGGCGAAAATTTTTTAAAAAATTTTAGCGAAAGCGAAGCGAAGCGAAAATTTTCTTTCAAAAGCGAAAAAAAGCGAATTTTTTTTATCATTTTTTGGATGAATAAAATTCTTTTTTTCTTTATACTCAGGGCTAAAAAAGATAAACAAGGTAGATTTTACTCATTCGGAGGTTTAAGAATCCCACATTTTAGGTGACAGAAGATTTTTGGACTGCTTTCTTCAGCCTTCAACTAAAACATAAATCGGAAAATGACCAAGAATTCGTCTAGGGACTTGACACGATTCAATACTAGTGATCAAAATGTAGCAGATGAGCTCAATTCTCACAGATGTCTTGTACACTTGTGCTACTTCCGACTCAAATTGAAACTTCTGCTCATGTTTATGATTTTTCTTAATCCTAGTGGCTGAATATGACCAAAAATGATGGTTTTAGGGGTTTCGAGAAGAAAGCTTTGGATTTATTTGAAAAGATTTTAACATTTTAATTATCAAATTATAGCTAATCGAAATTTTTTGAAAAGTGAAAGCGAAGCGAAGCGAATTGAAATTTTCAAAAGCGAAAGCGAAGCGAAGCGAATTCGCTTCGCCTCGCTTCGCTTCGCTATATGGCGATTTCGCAAAGCGAATCCAGACCCCTGCTCACTCAACAAGGTGATTAGAGGTGAATGCCATTGATCAGAGTTATTATATGACGATACTCCAAGTTTTTAGTGAATACTTTGGGCCCTCTGAGTCAGTATTTTTAATTCAACATTTTTGAATTTTGTCTAATGTTGTGATCAAAAAGTTTTATAAATACTTACCTAATGGATCAAATTATTGATACTGATTTTAGAATTTCGATACCCAAGATTTTAAATAATCTATAAAAAGTAACTGTCAAGAAAAATTGTGGTTTCCACATAGAAAAACTAGAAAATAAAATCATTGATTTATTTAAAAATGTCCAGATTTATTTTAGATTTCAGCAATTTATAATTATTAAAGTTTTATTATAATAATCAGAAACCAACTTTTTTAAGGAAAAAAAGCTTATTTTTATAAGCAAAGACATATGAAGATTTCCTGATGAGCGTTATAAACTGTATCCAAAACAACTAAAACAGCGAAATCGTCAACTCCGCTGGTTTCTAGTCTTCTCCATTTGCTGCAGGTGTCCCTGGAGACGGGAACCGTCAACAACCGAGGAATGTTTCAGGTCTCGCGAAAACAGGTTCTGCTTGTTCGAGCGCGCAAAATAAATCTACCCACTTGTTGGTAAATTAATGCGGGTCACGAAATGAAGATGACCCGATATTTATTGGCGGCGGCGGGCTTCGAACATGATTTTCTGTGATTTTATCGACAATGGCTTTATTTGGGGACGAGTTTAGAGGTGATAAGTTTTGGGCGATTCCCAGCGATACCCTTAATCTATTTGCTCAAATTAAAGAGCGTTTAGTATCATCCTTTATTTGGAACTTAAAAAACTCCCCTTTTCTTTAGCGTGGTGATACCCTTATTTATTCAGCAATGAATATGGATAAATTAGAAGGATAGAGTAGGGAAGCCCTTATTTTATTCGTGGCTCGGTTGAGAAGAAAGTCTGAAATCAGCCCTTTTTTCTACGAGTACAGGAAGAATCAACTGAAAGCATTTAGTGAGGGCAGGTGAGAGGAAGCGAATAAGGAAGTGGTTTTAGCAAATTGTATGTAATTCAGTCTGGCGCGAATATTTTCATCCGGAAGATTTGAAACGCCTTTTGGGATACAATCAAAACACTTCGCCAATTGCGAATTGGCCACACGCGGATATCCAAAAAAACGAGACGTTTCTGTAACTCGATCGGGACTTGATTAGAGACGCTACTAGTTACAGTCTGAGCACGTGAGAAAAGCTCAGAGCGAGATCTGATCATGCTTAAAATTAAAGAGCGTTTCAAGTTATTGAACTCTTGCCCCTAAAATTTAGCCAGCTGATGCTCCTGCTCCGCGTCAATTCGATTATTAATTGAAACTAGTGGAGCCTAAAGCGCTCTTTAAAGTTCTTAAACGAGCTCCGATGGTTGGGCTTGTGCACGGTCGGTTCCGGCCGCTGATTGATAATTTGTCGCCCGACGCACTTAGGCGTCAAATTCTGCACCTGTGATTTCAGGAAAATATTGTATTCAGATTTTGCAGACAGAAAATTTGTGGCCAAAATACATATTTGAAAGAAGGGTACAAAACAATCAAAATGATGCAAATTTGACTCGTACGGTCGTGAAAAGACGCTCTGTTTTTGATGAAAAGTATGGTATCATTAGCTGCCTCCAAGACATTTTTACGGAACAACTAAGGATGTCCATCACAATAAGTTCATTTTCGACTGTCGAGTTCATATTTAACCCCGACAATTGAAGGGAAAGAGGATCGTTTGCCCATCGATCTCGAAGATTCCATTGCTTATAAACTAATTTAAGGGTGTCTCCTGCTTATTCACCCTTGTTCGTTATCAGCAATCTGTGGGTTTGAATCTTACGAGCCTCCGTAGAAGCTTACCAAATAATCTATATTCTCTGAAATTAAAACAAACCGGAGAGTAGTGTTTTCTCTCCGGAAAGTCTTGAATAAAAAACTTGAATAACTTACCTTTACAAAAGTTCAGAAAAAATCAAAATCAGGCCTGAAATTAAGTTTTATGGTCCCGTAATATTTCTGCTAGAAATGAAGGATAAAATGCAAGACATCATTTTGAATACATTTTTGCGTTCTGTAATTTTCAAGTGACAAAATATTCAAAATTAATCAAGCTAAAAGTGAAATGATCTCAGGTGAGTTTAGTGGCCCCTCTCAGCTTACTTCGCATAATGAAGAAATAATAGATTTGAATTGATAAGGAGTTCTTGGTCTGTATTATTCAGGGGAACAATTAAAGTGGTGATGGGTGTCGAGTATAATTGGTAATTTATATGTGCGATGATTGTGGTAAGAGCAATCGATTAATATTAGAAATTGAAAAATGAAATATTCATTTGTGGATGTATTTTGAGGCGACTTAGCCGGCCGCTTAGATCCGCCACCGTACGTTGCTTTGAACTCGCCGCCCGCCAAGGAAAATATTAAGAACGCACAATTAATAACTGCTTACCTCAATCTGCAAGGTGCTAGAATTGATTAAGACTTGATTCCAAATTGACGGAGACTTGAAGATTCCTGTGCCAAGAAATGGCGATTTCAGTTGGAAAAAATGGCTAAAAATGACGATTTTAGTCGAAAAATTGGACTAAAATGCCAGTTTTGATTGAAAAATGTTCAAAAAAGGACAATTTTAGTAACAAAATTGACCAAGTGAGGGGCCAAATATTTGGTCATCTTACCAAAATGGGTTAAAAAGGTTAATTTTAGTCCGAAAATTGGACTAAAATGCCAGTTTTGAGTCAAAAATGCTCAAAAAGGAGAAATGTTATTTAAAAAAAATGACCAAATCGGTTGCCAAATATTTGGTCTTCGAGCGAAAATGGGTGAAAAGCAGCTACACGTGATTAACATTAGAACATATGAAGAACGATGGCGAGTCGCGTAATCATGACAAGAATCCTGCAATCTTTCCGGAAGCGACCAAGAGAGCTTTTCCAAACATAATTGTGGCTTTTTGGACATAATTGTTCGCCTCG